AAGGTAAGGAAGGGAAGGAATCCAGGTGTGCGTGCACACGAATGGCTGCAGCACATATGGTGGTATCCTTTCTTATCTAATTTACACGTGACCTGATGACTAAGCATTTATCTATCTGGGTGGATACATCTATCCAGGTAGATACGGCTGTACACCGTAACATTAGCGCTTTTATTACCCTAGTATTAAAACGGTAATCTAAACGATTAAATAACAATAAAAATCGATTTAAACCCATTTAAAGTGGTTTAAATCTTTTATATGACATACAATTAAGCTAAAATTACGAAAAACCTATCGAAAACTCGTAAACACGCTTAACATATATTAACGAGATTATTTAATACGATATAAGTAAGATTTAGCTCGTTTTTATATAAAAAATCTCTTTATAAAAAATTTTTTTTTATACCAAAACTTTCAAACGTATAAAATAAAACCCCTTATATTAAACGCTTTAATTAAATATATAATCTAAGTTCAAAACTGCTTAATAGTATTATTATTAAAAAAATAACTTTAAACTATGTATAAAGACTTTATATATAAATAAAAGCGTAGGTTTGATATATTAACTATTGAAAATCTTTATAATAACAAAACTATTCTTTTAATCGTTCTAATATTATATAATTAATATTAAAGTAGTATATTAAAATGCGGCATTTAATTCTTTTAAAACGAAACTGTGACGTTCCGTATATGTGAATAGGACATAAAAGCCCTTGTTTGATATTTATATATAACTATCTCTGTCTGAAGAGGAAAAAGAAGATTGAGAGGCACAGCCAAATCTGATGGGCAAGTAGATAAGTGTGTCCGCCCCACAATTCAGAGCCATAGTGGGTCTGGGACAACCAGTCGTCCAGTAGGTCACGTGCTGTCACGTGATGTTGAATGGGAGCCGGAGATAAACACCGGAAGATCTCCAGTGGGGCAGAGACATACAGGGCATCTGACCTACTAAGAAAACAGATGATCAATCTCTGCACGCAGAGCAGAACAATCAATAGAATCAATTAACATCCGTGTATTCAACACGTGATCCCAGGACCATCACCAATAGTAGCGATGTAGCAACTATCATAGAAACAAAAGCAACGTATATTTAAATGTAAATCTTTACGTATGTTTAAAACTATATATACGTTATTACGTCATATATCATTAATTAAACGCGTTAGTTAATAACTAATAAAATGTTATATTAAATGTTTTAAAACGCGTTTGAGCTTTAAAAAGAATATACGGTAGATTTTAATCACGTAAAAATTATTAAATTAACTTGGAAAAATAAAAGCGGGAATTAAAATTTTTTTAACAATGAGAAAACTTATAATTATTCTACATAATTAATTAAAAAAGTAAATTCCCTCAAATATTATATGTCGATTTTTATAAATATTGTCATGGTCTAGTACAGGTAGCCCATATGGTGAGTCCCGGAACCCGGACATGAGTATATGTACCACCATTGAATGTCAAGCTGCCATGCTTGATATTCGACATCCTTTTGGAAGAAACAGCCGTGGCATGGTAGTTTTAGTGAGCGCTCCGTCACATTTACGTTAAAACAAAGTTTATGTAGCAATATAAAACTTGACCGCGAGATTATATAAAAACTATTCGGTATAAAACGATTTAAAATCTTTAACGAGCTTTTTAAAACCGAATATTACATTTGATTAACCGATATATACGCTTTTTTTGTTACAAACACAAACGATCTTGCCTTTATAAAAGCTATAAATAACCCCGAGCATAAGTTATAAATCAAACTATTTTAATAAAAATAAAAATAAAGCCTTTTAAAAAGTACGTTTAAATTTAAAAGCTTTTAACGATATCATTTAAAGTTATTTCATCGACGTTAAATAAACATCATTTTATCATTATAAAACGTAAAAACATGTACTATAATAAACCGGATGCTTTAATAAAAAAATAACATCTTAATAACTCTTAATAACGTTTACTGCTTTAATAAAATAACATATTATCTAAGTAAATTTCGTCGCTGCATATTTTAATAGCAAAAATTTTTTTTTTTTAAGATATTTCTTTAATTAAAAATTTACTTTGATATGTACTTAAAAAAAGCTCGCTAATAATAAGAATATAATTATTAAACTTTATAACCTCTTACATAAACTTAAATAAGCAAAAAAATATTATAAAAAACCCTAAAAATTCTTTAAAGCATAAAAGTTCAAGCCTTTTATATTTAATAATACTATTTATATTAACTGTTTTATAAGGGATAATATCGCTTCATACGTTAATAATTTCTTACTATTAAACATAACCTTTAATAAAAACTTTTACTAGTGGTAAAAAAAGAATTTAATTAAAGATATAAAAAGAGCCAATTAGTTTTTCAACGTTAAAATCGTTAAAAACGGTAATAATAAAAACGTAAAGCTTAATTTATTTTAATATGTCATACATGCATTTAAATCTATCAAATACAAAAAAGCTTGCATTTTTCCGTTACCTTTTAAGCTTACTATTTTTAAATACGTTATTTTTTATAATCTCAAAGGTCAAGCAATTAACGAAAAATCGTTTAAATATTTCTAAAATTTTAACAAGTTCACCTTTTTAACGTATGTTTTAAAAATTAATCTTTCCTTTATAACGTTAACTTAAGCTCGGTTTATAAATAATTGAACCTTTACATATATAAAAGCATTTAAACAAATAGTTAAATATATAAAAAGCATTATTCATCGTAACATTCGATATTATAAGCTTAATACGTAACATCTTTATTATAAATACGATAAGTTTAAGCTGTTTAGTACGTATGATATTAGCCTTACTAATTGTGACGGCCTGCACGGACCTTCCTACATAACAAACCGATACTTCCCAATACGGGAAGGATCTGACCAGAGGATCCCCTTAAAGGGGCAACCTCCCGCTGTACCTATCTCTCTCTCTCTTCCTTTCCTCTCTAGTCTTGATATTCTCGTCAATAGAGTAATAGCTGCTTGTTGCCGGCCATGTCCCAGCTCCTCAGTACGTTCGCCGTGACACTAATAATTAAAATGATATTAAATCGATTATTAATTATATATACTTTATAATAAAAGCATTAATACTTTAAAGAAACAATAGTTTAAAAGGTTATAACTAAAGGATTAATTAAATTAAAACACGTAGCATTTAACGAAATTATAAAAAATGCTACTTATATTCTCAACTTTTTTATAAAGTTGAAATTAATATTAAAAGAAGGTATTATGTTTATATAAGACTTCATTAGCGTTAATTCGTAAACAAAAAACTTTAAAATAATGAACAAACGGTATTACGTTCGCTTAATATATAACTATATCCGTTAAAAAGTTAATAAAAATAATTCAATTAAAACATGTTAAAAGTAAAAAGAACCTAGCTAATGGCTTTATAAAACTATTTAATAACCTTAAGTTCAAACAGTTTATTACTTTCTTTTAAATGAAGGATTTTTAAAGGCAGTTAACTTAAAAGACGTATAATTATACACGCTTAAAATATTATAACACGCCTTACCCCGATTTAAAAATATAATTATATATTAAATTTGTTGGATCCATGCGATTCTATATTCAAACCATACATACCAAACCCACATGTATGATTAGATAAGAGATTAGATACCGGATTGTAAGATCACTTAGCCAGACCTACGAGTCCAGCTAGACCTCTCAATCCAAAAACCCATCAGCAACATCATGACTTTGACTCATACTCGAATATTATGGTTGATCGGTCAAGCCTGTTCTAACTAAATTAATATGCTTTAACACTTTTTACCAGTTAACAAGGTAACAAGAACAAAAAGAAACAGGTTTTTCAATCTATTAGTCTAATTTAAGAGATAACTAGCTACATATAGCCTCTAGTTGCAGCTGGAAGAAGGCGTGTAAGCAATATCCATCTGTCTATATAAGCGGTATGTGAGGATCAGCCACGCTGTCGGGTCGTATAGGGACCTACAGGGGACTTAAGTGTATTTTACTACCAATAAACAGTTAATAGACCTTTTCTTAAATACGACAACGCTGTCACGCTCATACTGCACTCATCGGTTCACGGATAATGCTCTCAGTCTATGATGAATGAAAGACACCAGGCTTGGAGACACAAGACCTAAGAACGGAATGTAACACTTACCACCACCATAGAAAAACGCAGATAGCGTCTCAAGTAGGCAGACAGCTTTGGCGTCGGTGACATTAACAGCTTCATCTAGTTAGGGTAGTTATAGTGACAGCGGCATAGCCTGACTGGTTGCATGCGTTGCGGTATGAGACCATCTTTAATGCATAAAAGGATGGTCTGGGAATAGTGCTGGAAGATAACCGGGAATAAGTAATGGTGCACTTCACACCTAATGGCCGATTGGGAGGCTGATGGTAGAAAAAGGGGTTTCTGTTATGGGAATGTCGAAGTTGCATCAATTGAAGCGTGGGGCCCTGATGTTGAATCGTCGTTCAAGCCACAGACCGGCGGTCAGCCACACTAGTAATCCAAGCCACAAACTCCTTGTGCACCCCCTGCCAGGCCCTGCAATCAACCTCGACAGCTCCAGAGTCCAATCCAAGGCCAGAGCCAGGCCGCCAGCCCAAGCCCGCATTCACCTCACCACCTGCACCAAAAGCCTTCTTTCTCAATCACAACAACCCGCTAACTGATGGACGACCCTTCATTCTTGATACCCCCCTCGACGATCTGATTTGCACTACGACCTCAGGCGACGACGTACATTGCGACACCTCCAGCCCTGTGTCGCCTGTGTCCCTTCCAGTAGAGCAGCAGCGGCCTTTAGGTTGTCCTCTGGTGGCCCGACATCGACCTAAACCTGCCAGGCTTTATTGCATCACTCCCACTCCGCCCTCGCGATCAGCACCCACCACAACCCGCAACCCGCAAACTCCAACTACCACACCCACCGACCCCGACCCCGAACCTGCGAATCCCCTCGAACCCAGCCATATTACCTGTGACTCGCCATGGCTGACGCGCCGAGTGCGGATGAGCTCTACCCCATCGCCGTGCTCATAGATGAACTCAAGGTATGGCGGTGACCCACACACGAGTCCGTCCCCGTCCTAACATGCCATGCAGCACGACGATGTCCTCCTCCGACTGAATGCTATTCACCGTCTGTCGACGATTGCGCTTGCGCTAGGTGCCGAGCGCACTCGGGAGGAACTCATTCCGTTTCTTGATGGTCAGACAGCGCCTTTTGTCCTTTGCCCTCTATGCTCGACCGCAAACTAATACCGGACACAGAGTCGGTCGAAGATGAGGACGAAGTCCTCGTCGCTCTGAGCGAAGAACTCGGCAGCTTCATCGAATACGTCGGCGGCCCCCCCTTCGGCCATGTCCTCCTCTCGCCCCTCGAGAACCTCGCTGCCATCGAAGAGCCCGTCGTCCGTGACAAGGTCTGTCCCACTAGTGCTCTGAACCTACCATGACATGCCCTGACTTATTCACTGTTGCAGGCTGTCGAATCCCTGAACAAGATCTGCAGCGACCTTTCCGCCCAACAGGTCGAGGAGTACTTTATCCCGCTCACCATCCGACTTTCCAAGGCCGATTGGTTTACCTCCAAAGTCTCGGGCTGTGGTCTGTACACCACTCCTTACAGCAAGGTCTCCCCTCCCGTCCAGGAGCAACTTCGCCAACAGTTTGGCCTGCTGGTTCACGATGAGACGCCAATGGTTCGAAGACAATCAGCCACGAATCTATCCAAGTTTGTCAAGGAGATGCCCGCGGCCATAGTTGTCGAAGAGATGATACCGCTTTTCCAACATCTTGCGCAGGACGACCAGGACAGTGTGCGACTACTCACCGTAGAGATCCTTATTGCTATTGCGGAAGTTGTTCCCAAGGAACAACAGGGTAGCCATGGTGTATTGCTCACCTCCTTACGAAACCTGATCGAGGACAAGAGTTGGAGAGTCCGTTACATGATTGCCGATAGATTTGAGAAGGTATGGACGGAGCGGCACGTTCCCCATACTTACCAGACTGACGCATGGAACAGATCGCGAAGGCAGTGGACGAGGAGGTGGTTTCCCGAGATCTAGTTCCGTCATTCGTCAAGCTGTTGAAGGACAACGAAGCAGAAGTTCGGACCGCCATTGCTGGCCAGATACCCGGCTTCTGCAACCTGCTTGACCGGACTACGCTTCTGAATGACATCATGAGTTCTATCGAGGACTTGGTTTCTGATCCATCCCAGCACGTTCGCTCTGCTCTTGGCACGCAAATCAGTGGCCTAGCACCCATCCTGGGTAAACAAGAGTACGGTAATCGTTGTTTTTCTAGATGTGACGTATACTGACTCATTTGTTAATAGGACTATCGACCATCTTCTTCCCATGTTCTTGCAGATGCTAAAGGATGAGTTCCCCGAAGTCCGCCTGCACATCATCTCGAAACTTGAACTTGTGAACCAAGGTTTGTCAGACCTTTTGATCTATCTACCGCGGCGATTCTAACAGTGTTAGTCATCGGTATCGACTTGCTCTCCCAATCGCTTCTCCCTGCTATCGTACAGCTGGCGGAGGACAAGCAATGGAGAGTGAGGCTTGCTATCATCGAGTATATCCCACTCCTTGCGAGTCAGCTCGGCGTGAAGTTCTTTGATGAGAAGCTGAGCGGACTTTGCATGGGATGGTTGGGGGACACCGTCTTCTCTATCAGGGAGGCCGCAACCCACAACCTCAAGAAGCTTACGGAGGTATTTGGTGTTGAGTGGGCTAGTGAGGCAATTATCCCCAAAGTCATGGCTATGGGCTCTCACCCGAATTACTTGTACCGGATGACGACTTGTTTCGCGATCTCGGTAAGTCTCCACTCCTTACATGTCACCCGCCGTTCTAACAATTTTAGACCCTGTCTACCGTTGTCAGCCTAGATGTCATTGGAAAATCCATCCTCCCCATGCTGGACAAGCTGGTTGAGGATGACATCCCTAACATCCGCTTCAACGTTGCAAAGACATACGGAGAGCTTGTCGATGTTCTGAAGCGACTCCCAGAGGAGGGCACAATTTACAGCTTGGAGAAGGCTGGAAAGACAGATACGACACCGTCACCTCAGGCGACCGAGCTGATCCAGCAACGCGTTCTCCCGTGCCTAGAGAAGCTGCAGAAGGACGACGACGTAGATGTGCGGTACTTCGCCACAACGTCTGCTGCGAAATTTCCCGGAACGGGTGGTGGAGAGCCGATGAACACGTCCCCGTAGAGGCCTTCAAGAAAACCCTCTTCCAGCTAGAGGTCATGAATTGTAACGTTTTCGATTGCATCTTTCGCGAAACAGTCAACCTATACACTCAGATTGGCGTCTGTTCATACAAGATCATCCATGAACCCCCGTCTCCAACGGGCTTAGAGAATAGAGACGCAGGGGACTAGGAGTAGGGCAGGGCATGACATGCGATGATTGGTGTTCTTGAAGGATTCTTGTGCTATTTCGATGGGCACTTGACGCCTTGTCGAAGCATCGAGAGTTACGGGTGATTATCCCAAGACGATTATCGAGCATGGGGCTCGGATGGGTATGCTGACGACTGCCAGGCCTGTAAGAATAAGTAAAGCAAAATCGTCATGAAGAAATGTGATGAGTCCAATAGAGTTTTTAAAACTAGACTGCCATCTTGTGAACTCATGTTGTTGCGCACCGTCCAGGGGTATCTCTCCAGATTATAGTTCGACCAGATCTATTCATGCGACCGCGTGTCAGCTACCACGACCATTTCCAGCTATCCCCACCTTCCTGAAACATAGACTGCTAATCGTCTGGCCCTTCATCCCTCCGAAGCTGAAGCTGCGGTACTCGACCCTACCCACGACCTCGAACCCCCACATATCCTCCCCATCCCCATTCCCCTGGTCCTGTTCCTGGCCATCCAGCCTGCTCTCAGAAGAACCGTTATTGTTGTCGTTATTGTTGTCATTGCCATCTCCAACGACGAACCAACTCCGCAGCTCGTCTTCGGTCCAGTTGCAGCTCGTGACGAGGAACAGGCCGCCCTCGCGCACGAGCGGCAGGATGCGGTCGCGGTAGCCCTCGCCGGCGCGCCGGCCCGTCGCGGCGTCCGTCTCGGACGACAGCGAGATGGCGTCGAAGGTGCCCTTGTCAAGGACCACGTCCCAGGCGCCGGGTGGTGGTAGTGGTGGGCCGGGGGCTGTTGTCAGGGCGGTGGGTGGGGTGTGGAGGATGTCGTGTTCGGCGAAGGTGGGCTGGGGGGTTTCTTGGTCTTCGGTTACGTCTTGTCCTGTTTTCGTATCTGTCTCTCCTCCTTTCTTTCCTGTGTCTGTGTCTTCTGCTGTTCCTTCCTCTCCCCATGCCAGCCTATTACCATTGTCCTCTCCCCCGTGCGCCTGCCGCCGCCGCTCCTCCGCGATCCGCCGCGCAAAGTCCACGCTCGTAGCGCTGTAATCAACACCCAGCATGCGGCCTTGCCACCCTGCGTCGCGCAGCCCGAAGAGCAGCGAGCCGTTGCCCGTGCCGAGGTCGAGGAAGGATGTCGTGGCTTCGTCAATGCCAAATTCGGACTGCCGGTCCGAACATAAATCGGACAGGAAGTCGATGATGCGCGCCTCGGCGTCCGAGTCGTCGAACCAGACCGTGCCCGTGTCCGAGGGGTCGTGCGCGTGGTTCGTGAGCTCGTGGGCGTACAGGGCGTCCCAGCTGTGGTGGTTGGGCGAAGGTCAGCTGGACGGTTCGAATGTTGGATGGTAGAGGTGCCAGCCGGAGTTGGGTATGTCCACTACGTACTATTCTTTCGTGCCCAGCTTGGACGGCGCGAGGGGCGTGGGCTTGGACATTGTGGTGGTGGTGGTGGTGGTGGTGGTGGTCTCGGTCCCTGTCTCCAGTTGCTCTTGTGCAAAGCTTACGTTGAAGTTGGCTTCGCGTCAACCAGCGCTCATGAGTATATATGTATGAGACTCCCGCGACACTTCTTCGTCTGTCCGATCGGCATAGCGGTACGCCTCGTCATGCAGAACGTACATAACTGGTAGCTTCAACAGCTCGCGCAGGTGGAGGGGCAGTAGGGGCAGTAGGGGCAGTAGGGGTAGTAGGGGTAGTACGACGGCAAAAACCGGGTTGGGCAGGCGGTGTACTCCACACTTTAAAGGGTCGACAGCTACATTAGTCACAGCACAAGACGCGACGACATCTTTCTGGTGTCAAGGGTAAATATAACAATACGAAGAGTTCCCATTCGCAAAGGGTATGAAGTCTCGCCCAGATCCGAACTCCTTCATATCTCATCGCGTTCAAACGGTCGAATGTGTCCTGCTGTCAGGAAGAACAGAAGTTTTCATCGTCACCCCTAATCTGAGTTTCGTTCCCCTTTTCACCCGTCTGTCCTGCAATTCCTGCCCCATCCATCCGCCATGACCCACCCCATAAGGGGACCCAACAGGTCAATTCATACCATACCATCTGACCGACCAGGGGAATCCATCGACGCAAACTGGCTTTGAAAATTGAGACGTTCTTCTCCTCTAATACCCGTGTTTCCCTAAGACGGGATTGCGACTTTTAAACCATGGGCCACACCGGAGCCTTCATTAGAACCTGTCGCCCTCTAACCTCGACCGCAATGAAGCCTGCGAACCGGATTCTGGACGGATCTTTGGGCGGTGGAGCTGAGGCTGCTGCTGGTGGTGTCGCCGTGTCAGTAAGATTGGAGGCCGTACTGTTCTTTCTGCTCGCCGGATGCGCTGTGCCGCCAAGCATGTTCAACATACCACTTTTTGTCTTGTCTCGTTTGCTGGCCTTGTCGCCGTCCTTTGTGGGCTCCTCGGCGTCGTCCGCTGGCTCGGGTAGCGGGGGCAGTCCCGACTTCTCAGGCTCCATAATGTCCGGTCGTATCGGGTCGCCTGGCATGGGATACGTCAAAGCAACATCACGACTCTCCAGAGGCAGGTTGGCTGCGATTCCCACGGCCAGTTCCACAATCATTGACGCACTGCCGTCCACGCCCGCCGGCGGTGGATCCGACAAGTATTGGAAGAGCGTTGCCGTCAGATTACTGGTAGTCATTTTAGTAAAGTCCGTCCGATACTCGGCACTCTCGGGCGAGTTCAACATGTGTTGAAGACCCTCCAACGTCGCCATCCGCCATTGGACCACCTTTGTTGTGAGCGCTTCGAACTCTTCTTGGCTATTCATGGTGTACGAGAATCGGCGGATGTTGTGCTCGATTTCTTTCAGGTGACAACTCAGGTCGACGTCGAGACTCGGGTGGAAGCACTTGTTGAAGATCTCGTCCACAATCCACCGAACGATGATAGCCCGGCCGACAGCAGTCATTTCTTGCTTGCCAGTCTTGAGCGCGTCCGGACTGACATACTTTTCAATCCAACCTGGCAGTGATCGCCAGTCTTTCCGTATGTTGAATGACAAGTTGTTGATGGCACCGTTCAGCCGGTTGAATCGTGTCGCGTACTCACTGTCGTCGAGCGCAGTCCGCGATTGCGACATGCGCTGCTTGGCCACAGCGTTCTGTAGCGTTTCCACTTGGGAGCCAAGCTGCTCAATCTGTGTCTTGCCGTCAAAGTAGAGTCTCTTCACATTCTTGTATTTCGTTACTGGGCCCCAGGTAAGCATTTTGTCAGCGGTGGATTCCAGGTAATTCTTACATAGATCCTTGAACTGCTTTTCTGGATCCGCATCACGGTCTCCGGTGGACGGTTGAGGACTGTTTCGACCGCGGTCGTCCGCGCCGGCCCCGTCGAACTGCTGTCTATCTCCGATACCGCTAGCACGGAAGTTGGGCGGGGCACCAGAAACACCAGGGGTCGGCGGCAGAGGGTTTAGCGATGGCATTGGTCCTTGACTGTGTCTATAACCAGGCGGGGGTCCGGGAGGGGGCTCGACAGATCGCATCGACTTGTCATTGTCTCCAGATCTGCGGTTCTGACCAGGTCCTCCGGGCGGGGCCATATTCTCGACTTGAGCTGCTGGTGGCTGCGGTGAAACCTGTTGCTGGTTCAGGGGAGATTGGGATTCTTGCGGCGCTTGGCTGGTTGCGGGGGAGTCCTGTGCAGATTGTGAGTGGGCGGGTGTTTGCTCTGAATCACTGGTGGGCGATTCATGCGACAGCTGCGAGATGGTCTCGGGATTGGGCGGTTGTGAGCTCTCAGTACTGAGATGACCAGCGTATAGGGACGGTCGACTATCGGCCTGGTATTGCTCGTGCGGGTGTGCGTATTGATACTGGTTATGAGCAGGATCGAGGAGAATCTGTCCGTACAGCTGTGGCTGTCCCCCTTGGGTGTGTGCTTGGGCCTGAGCTTGGTGCTGGGCCTGTAGCAGCTGGGCCTGGTGGTGGGCGATTGCCTGCTGTTGGTGGTAGGCAAGGTCTCCGTGATTGTAGGGAGAGTTGGCGGCCTCGGGAGGGATGTGCCTGATGGTGTTCTGCAGCGTTTCTTGAGAGTTATGTAGAAGTAGTCCTGGGTTAGACTGAGCCGCGGCAAGGTAGGGGTCGTTTGCGATTTCGCCTAGGCCTCGACTTGGTGACGGGTGACTTTGCGACGGGTGTTGCTGGTGGTGCCGTGAGCTAGAGCTTGGAGGCGGAACCCAGTCAGGGTGGTCTATGGATCGCGACAACAAAGGCACGCCTCTCGAGGATGGCGTGTTACCTCGCTTCGAAGGGCGGCGAACAAGGCCAGGAGGACCGTCGTGGGCGGCTTCTTGGGCGTAATGGTCGGAAGGCGGCCTGCTGCTCGAGCCGGAGAGGATGTTCTTGAGCAGCTTGCGGGTCGACCGCTTTGATTCGGTGGGGGCCGTTTGGGTATTTGGTGGACCCGGGGGGACAATCGGCGAGGCCACGAGTGCGGTCTGGGACAGGTCGTCCTCCGAGTTGGAGGCGACGCCGTAGGGAGGCTGGGTCTGCAGAGGAGGAATCTGCTGCGAGTAGCGCGACGACTGGGAGCGCGAGACCAATTCGGCGAAGTTGTCGTGAGGCCCTTGTCGTGCGGTGTAGGTAGAAGCCGGTGAAGAAGCAGCAGCAGTGTTGGCTTGGGCTTGGGCTTGGCTGAGGGGTATCGAGCTCTGGCTCTGGGTCCGCGCAGCGGGGTTCAGGTTGCTCAGGTTGGGCGAGATGGTGAGGTTATTAGCAGTGCCAAAAGCGTCCGAATTCTGCTGACCCGATTGGTTATTCGAAGTGTGCTGCGGCAGGCGCTGGTGTTGATGCTGTTGCTGATGTTGCTGTTGCGGTGGTTGCAGCGAGCCGATGGTGTTGTTGTCTGGAGGGGAGGGCGGTTCAGGTTAGCGTTGGCTTTACCACAATGGAACAACTTGAACCATTTTTAGAACCTGTTTGTTTACCCAGGCGGCAAGTGCACGCTTGTCGCAACCACCGGGTTTCTTTCTTATTGCTTTCTTTTTTTTCTTTTGTTCTCAGTACTTATGGAAGACATGCGACCGACCTTTATTGTGTTGAGTTTGTTGTTGTTGTTGTTGTTGTTGTTGTTGTTGTTGTTGTTGCGGCAGTGGGGGCTGCTGCTGCTGTGATTGCTGTGATTGCGTACGATGAAAGGAGTCGCCTGGGTTTTGGCCCGGTGGTGGTCCGGACGACGCTGAAGGGGGAGTCTTATTAGAGTCACCGGTGGCGGCAGAGACACGACGACCAGCCTGGGCTTGTTGAGAGGCAGAGGCTGCAGCAGACGACGAGGGAGAAGAAGCAGCTTGCGACGAAGGGGGCGGTGCTGCACCTCCAGCGCTGCCCGCCGTCTGCGCCTGGTGCTGCTGCTGGGCCTGCTGCTGCTGGAGCTGCTGTTCCAGCTGCAATTGCTGCTGCTGCTGCTGCTCATTGACCAGATGATGCTGCGATCTGTTCGTGTGTTTGGTTAGACGGCCGAAGGAGGGCATAATGCAAGTCGCTCCCTATCTTTGGGCAGTGGCGGAAAAAGAGAGCGCGCGCGCGGTTCGGTGCGCAAACAAAGCGAACTTCAATTGCAGCAGTGCAGTATCCAGTGTTCCAGTGTTCCAGTGTTCCAGAGTTCAGAGTGCAGAGTCCAGGAGGACGGATTATTAGATAAGTCGCACGGGATTGAACGATCTGGCTTATTCCTGGCTCCTGATTCGCCTGGCCGTGAGGGTAATTCCTGCGAGCTCTGCTGCATCCCCCTTTTACATGGGTTTCGTCGCCTTTCCAAATGGGCCTGCGCGAACGAGTTAGGTATTACCAGCTTACTTGTCGCGAGCGATGTCGGTTGGGTCTGCCGTGTGTGATTCGACAAAATGGCCGCTGTCTTCAAGAACTGGTGGCGCCAAATGTCTGTCTACCTGCCCTACATGTAGGTCGGTGGATTTCAACTTGTCAAGGAATGGGCGGAATGGCGGAATGGCTTGGGTTCAATCTTAGCTATCCAAGACGGTCGTCGATAGCGCTCCTATTGTCTTGCCTTTTTCTGGGGCGGCGCGAACGATGGAGCTGGATATGGATATCCCGCTATGGCGATTCCATGGGCTGTCAAAGGAAAGTTCCAAGTCTTGGTATCAGCGCGGCGGACACGGGTGATACGCATTCAACAGAGGCGACAGCAAGGGCAACCAAGGGCAACAAAGAGAAAAGAGACAAGGTCAGATTGGCAGCGCTTGGCGGAACGAACGAGGTCGTCTTCGGTCGTCTTCAAGTTCAAAGCGCCGACGCTCAGGTCAACAATTTTTTGACGAAGGATCCTGGTGACGCACAGGGGACCGGGGGAGGTGAGTTGTAGGTGGGAAGAGCCGAATTGTTTGTACGTCAGCTAGTTGCCAGTTGGGAGGATTTCCTACTGGGCTCGACTCGAAGTCGGGCCTCGTCAAATGATCAAATCAACCTGACCACCGTAACATCTCAAGTGCCGTCCAGTCTCTTCCTCACCGGGTTGCTGTTCTCTCGACTACATGTACCTACGGGGAACTCCCCTAGCTTCCCACATACAAGTAACTGTAATAATAAAAGAGATGGACCCCAGACTCTTTCTGAGAGATCTGAAACATTATTAGGCGGGGAGGCGGGTGGCTATCGTACTAGGCCATGTAGTATAAAATCATGCTTCTCGGGCTTCGGCTTCGGGACTAATAACAATTTCTTGAACACCTCCAACGAGGCTCAACTCGGCCTTGATTAAAGGACATACAAATCTCGACATGTCGCTGCATAGCACTATATCTGCAACGTGTGGATGGACATGCCGTACTCAACACCAACTGCATAACACAAATCGACGGCAAATGTCCACCGAATACCGAGGCCCCAAATTCCAAAGCGGATTCGATGGATAGATTGCGGGTTTGCCAGCGGGGGAGGCCCTGCGCTATGGCGCTAGCTAAGCAAGTAGGTGGAGCTGTTGGCACTCGCTTCCTGCAGCTTCCTATAAATAGATTCCGGTGCGGGATGAATCCGATCTTTTGTGAAGACCTCAGTCCTCACCAGCCCTGCTTCTCACAAAAAAAGAACGCAATATCTCTGCACGCATGTAAAAGACGCAGACGTCATCTTCATCAGACTGCCCACCTCACTGCAACCAAACCTCACCCTCCGAGTCGGCTGTTGCTGGTATACAATAACGTTGATGGCGTCTACAGTCATGTCTTGCCCGTTTCGGCCTTCAAATGTTCAGCTTCTAACCTGTCAGCCTGTACACAGACAGCGCACACTTGGGGTGTCCCGATCCAGGTTTGTGAAGTTGCCTGAAGGCTGAGAATGCAGCTGGGTGACTGCAAGGAAACAGGTAACATAAGGTAGGTAATAATAGTACCTATGATATATTGAGAGCCGCAGGCACCCGGCAGCCTCCTATAACGGCGGCACTTCCAAACAGTTATTCCCCAGCTGCAGTTGCGGCTGCAAGAGCGCGCCGCTGATCATTTCCGCGAGCAGCTGGCTAGAGCAGGAGGCAGAGTTGCAATGCGTGATGAGGGAGATTGGACATCGTCAGCTTCGTCCGGTTGAGACGTGCTGCAGGATAACTACCTCATGCAGGCTCACCGCTGATGAGTGAGAGCCCACGGGGAGTTTCAAATCTTCAATACAACTGTAATATATGCATGGCGGTTGCACTGCGCACCTTGAACCCATGGTCAGCCTGAAATGTCAACGATAGCCTTCCCAACATGTGGGACTCACTAAGCCCTACGGTCGAACGGACAGAAAGCCGCATCTCATCGAGGCCGAGTAAGAATATTGAAGTATTTCATCGACGAACGTTGATAGACCGCAGTGCAGTCGGCTCAAAGGAAAATTGGGGGCCAGGCAGCCCAGGTGGCATCGCTGAACAGCGAGTCTAGCGACTTCGAGCAAGAAAGTGAGTTCCCATGTAGGCCGAAAAGCTTTGCCTGCGGTCTCTTCACTCATCCCATCACTGTGATTAGGAGATCACAGTGGCTTGTGACGTAGATTGGTGAGCTCAACTTGAGTACGACCACCCGATTCGAGCCACACTGTGGCTCCGGGGCTGCATCCGGGTCCGACGTTAGATGACCATGGGGCACAACAAACAACTGGTCAGTTCGAAGGCGCGGGAATACTCCCGTCCGTCTGTAGGAAGAAAGTGACTATGAAGAAGCAAACAATCTATCGTCTTGTTGAGTATGAGTGTCTACCTAGGTGCGAGTGGTGATTACCACTGCACAGTGCCGCTTCCGAGTCGACACGCGCAAACCAGATACAACCAACATCACCTGTGGCGGCTGGCAGGTCCCAGCGCCTTAATTTCAGAGTCCTCGCGTGCCTGCCAGCCGACACCACAAAAGCATCCCTCACGTGAACATGTTTCGGCAAGCGACATCGAGCCTCCGAAGCTCAGTCTCGAGAGCTGCCGGGATAAGGGTAGTGCCGCCAATTGCGCGCGGCCGAGGAAATACCAATAGCCACCAGTTCTTCTCGCAGCTACGCCCCAGACCCCATCGCAACAATGCAAGGGCGCCACATGCAAGCCTCGTGCCGGGCCCTGGACCCCGTCAAGACGGATCGAAGAACAACAACAATATGCTGGCCAGCAGGGCGACCGCCACCATCATCGTCATCCTGGTGACGCTCTTCGTCGACATCAAGAAAGCCGGCGAGAGGTTGGGGAGGAAGCCCGGGTCCGACATCAAAGACCTGGATGCCGAGACGCAGCACGGCGTCGAGATGGTCAACGTCATCTTCGAGACCGTCGGCATGCTGGTCCGCGACGAGACCGCCGAGACGCTGTCCACCTTCTGGGCCGTCGGCCGCGCCGTGCTCGGCGACTTCTTCGCCGCCGGCAGCGAGGTCGCGGAGCACGGCTCCGTCCCCCTGCCGGAGTCGGCCGACAGCCCCGAGGCGCAGATCTTCTCCGTGCCGGATTCCTACGACCCGGAAAAGCGGTTCGTGGTGTACCAGGCCTTCGTCCGCGTCGATGACCGGGACCGTGAGGGGGCCGGCGGCCGGGTTGATGACGGATTGAAACCGGGCGTCGAGCACCGCCTGATGGACGATTTTGAGGCGCGACGGGCGGAGCTGGGGACCAACCGCGGGCTCGTCGTCTGCGTGTTCGGCAAGGGGGCCATCCAGACCTTCTACTTCGATGGCCACCGGTGGATTGAGTGCATGATCTACGAGATCTCGCACAACAGCAAGAGAGACGTTGCCATTGCGGCCGAAAGCGACATGTCTATGATGCCGGGGGAGGGTGACTACTGATTTCGGATCTGGCGAGGCGATCGTAGAGGTCGAAGCTGTCAGCACTGGGTCCTTGGTTGCGTATACCATATTCAGTGGCTCGGAATTTTATCAGTGTGGCACTATTGGGTGTTGTACGTTCTTCTGTGTTTATAACTTATGATAAGAGTCGAGCATGGCAGTAGCTAGCTATTCTGTTCCCGCGCATTCCTACTGTGAGAAGATCAAGACCTGGTCGCCTGCTTTCTTGGGATGTAGAATAAGCGAGAAGGTGAGGTGGTTATACAGGGTCGTTCCATATGTTCGCGAGGTCCTGATCGCGGGCTTCTCTCCCCCAAGTGTACGTGGCGCGGGGGACCGTCGATGCCACTGCCGTTTGTAATGTTCTTGACCAGACACGGTCCAGATGAAGGATTGCTGGACCTGTCCCTATCGAATCAGTGTGTCTGGCGGTGAAAATAGGAGGCCATGTGTAGCTTCATGAGCGATGAGCGGGGGGATTCCCAGGCCTCTGTGGCTTCGACACTCGACCCTATCGCGTATCCTACCATCGTACGAAAGGGTGTATAACATGACACTTCCATTACTGCCAACACTTCCTATTCCCGTATTCGAACCGTGCTACGTGCTCAGCTAGTTTCTGTCGATGCTGATACTGCACAGCTCCGATGGGAATCTTGACCGCCGCCTTGCTGTCAAGCGCAGCCACGTGTCTCGAAAATGCATCAGAATCCTCGCGTGTCATCTTGTGCTCACTTTTCTGAGTATCTACCTCCCAAGGAGTCTACAGGTCGTAAGATAGAACATGTTGTGAACAGACGAAGGTCGGAGTGCGCCTTCAGATAGTCAGTCACCAAGAGAAGATGCTACCCTGCCAGTTGTGTCGGTACTCGTGCTACGGCTCTGTTTGGACATGACTCGGTCAGTTCATGTTTCAGCGGTGAGGAACGGTCGATGCTGCTTTTTATAGCATGTGGTTCATTTCATTGTGTGGCATCAACCGAAAAGGAGGTGAAGACCACCTTATCGTCGGAACGCGGCAATTGACAGAGAGCCCAACCATACAGTCTCAGGGGCCGGCAAGATTCAGTATGTCTGATTAAAGACATGAAGTCACATGAAAAGCAGGCAGCTACATAGCAGCATAATCGAGAGGTTGCCTGCATTCAATGTTGATCCCGCATGACCCATTCGTGACTCCCCAGGCCCGAACGGGATCGGGAGACGGCGGGTGGCTTGCGTTATTGCCGAATACGTATGTGGAAGAGAGCGGCGAGGAAGGAAATGGCAAACATCGGCATGTGGGTAGTTGCAGGCAATCTTCAGCGGCCGCTTGCCGAGGGTTTGTGTAGCCTCTATCCGCAAACGAAATACACTGACTCGGACTGACAGGTTGGTGGCTTCGAGGCGCACCCAAAAGCTATCCTGTGTAATCTCGGAAGTTTCCTAATACCTCACAGTTCGGTTGTCACCCGAGGATGAGCAAGCCCAGTTGTCGTGTTCCAGTTCGTGTTCGTCGTCTTATCCGGACCCCGGTTGCACACCGCCAAGAAAAAGGGGTAATGCTTGGAGCCTGTACGAAGAGATGGCCGTGGCCTCCTTGAAGCGAAACACAGCCAAACGCTTGCAGAAGTTTGTTCGAATTGATGGCAGAACACGATTGGAGACTTCGCTTCCATAACGTGGCGAACAACTTGATAGCTATGGATTCCCTCGCTCGAGGTCCAGCAATTGCTGCACACACGTATCTATCTGTGCTCCTTATCAGAATCTGTCTGGCGCTCGAGTTCCACGCTGTCTGGGACGTTAGATTTTCTAGAACGCTGGAAGTTGGCAGGGAACCCTGATTCACAGACTCCCGTCTGTTGTTGGTAGGATATCCTGACTTAGGTAGGTACGTAGATACCACAGCGGTAGAGTAAGTAGTGCTGTGCCCGTCGGGCAAGAACAGCCCAGACTTGGTTATAACTTGTAAGGGGCGAGCCGTCCTCCTCACGGTTGCCTTGCCGTCTGACCCATTTGATCCAGATTGGCGGGTTTTGCTCGCTTCGGATGCGGCTGTGAACTATCTCTTCCGACTCTTCCCTGTGATGTCACAATTTCGCACCTCGATTGCTGTCTACCTGGGTATGTGACACCTTCATAAACTCATCTGGATGTCCGCTCTCCTCGAACGGGAGGCTCATCTGCCATAATCTTCAAGCATCGCGGATAGAGAGAGAGAGGGCTCCTGGCTGCAGCCCTCGGATAGCCGCATAGACAACTCGTGGGTTGCTGTGACCTAGACCTTTGTTCAAGGTGAGCTGGTTGCTAGCTCAGTGAGGTAGCCAACGCCTTGTGCACAGTTGACGTCTTCGCTGCGGAAAAGCCATATCATTTATACGGAGCGGTGTAAGAAAGAGGCAGGAACTGGAGGTAGCCAACAAAAGTATGTCCACCTGACTGTTGACAAACAGTCACAGGGCCATCTGCATGCCGATTGCTGGGTTGAGTCACATGGCAGTGCGCCTGCACCTTCCTTATAAGATGGCAATGTTTGCCCGCCAATCTGGTAGTATGAAGGAGTCTTCGCTCGATACTGAACAAACACCCAATACTTCCTCCACTGCACCTACAACTCCAAATCCAACGACCTCCTGACCTCAACTGCAAACAGCCTCCTCGCCTTAGACTGCAGACAGCCTTTCTCGCCTCCTTCACCGATTGGACTCCCAACAGACCCCACAATGCAGTTCCTCCTCGTTGCCAGTCTGCTTCTGCAAGTAGTAGCGAGTCTCCCGTGGCCCATTACGCGAGCCACGCGTGCAAGCAGGCCGCGACACGGAAGCCTGACTTGGCTCGAACTCGCCCAGTTCCACTTTGAAGACTATGGCCTGACCAACCTGTGCGTCGAGTGTAACAAGGGCGAAGCTTCTGATCCCATGTTCGACTGCCTGCTCAAGTGTAAGCTACTCATCCGAAGTAACAGTGACTCACTGCTTTTGACTAACTTCCGCTTGCAGTTGACTGGATGGACCCCAATGTCAACCATACATGTCATTGCGAGAAGGACTGGCAGTGGGATGGGGTCACCAAGGAGAACGGCCCGAACAACACCTACAACACGGACTACTTCGTCTGCAAGTCGGAGATTGCCGAGACGTTCCAGTTCAAGTTCGTGACGATGACCGACTTAGGAGCGTTTACTCTCATGCTGTCGCACATCTTCAGAGACTCCAAGTATGTCTGACCCCTAACCAGATCGAAGAGACATCCGAATTGATACGTGGTACCCAGAGACTTCCCCAGTCCAACAGTTGCCAATCTGTTTGGGCAAACCAACCTCACGTTGGTAAGCCAAGAAGTATCTGACACCTCTCTCATCTACTTCACGCCCGACGCCATCAAGGCGAAGATCATCGGTGTTACTATCTGATTAACTCGGCATCGGATATGTCGACATGGTGTAAAAACCGGAAAGACTATGGACTAGGGCATACACCAATTTCACACTCATTTGCATCTTGGAAGGCGTCTTGGTGTCCAAGGCTAGAAGAGTAGTCGTTCATGGACGGCCGTCTAGAGACGACATGTTTTGGTCTGCAAGGCGATGATCTTTGCTTTACACTCATTGATGAGCCAACTGGATGCTAGTCTAGTGATCTATCCTCATTTTAATTGATCACATTTCATCTTGGACCGAATGGACAGCCTTAAAGTGTTGCGTGTTATAGCTCGAACACATATTGCCGTAGGTACATCTGTCGGCTAGAATCCCGCAATCATTAGGTACTTTGATCTCGACCCCCCTACTTCTCTGCTTCTCACGACGCACCATTGAACTATTAATGGTGGCGTCCGCGGAGACAGTTAACGCGCTGCTTAACGCTTTGTTTGGGTACTAGGTATGATGTAAAGAAAGTGCTAAAGTAACTCATGGCTGTGTACTTGCTGCCGGATGACGTGGCGGACTTCGTCTACCTGGTCCCCCCGACGACGTTCTTCGGCCAGACGAAGTCTCTGCACATGGTCCTCGATAGAGCGAGCATAGATCTCACAGAAGCGGAGGCGGCGGATGACTGCCAACGGCTCATCACGCCGGAATATCTACGCAGCGTCTGCGACATCAGCGACCATGTGCCAGACCCGGCGAGTGGCAGTCACAGTGAGCCATACCCCGATATAGTTCTTACCCCTTTTTCGTGTCCTGGAGGGCTTCCCTTTGCCATCGGTTTCATATCCCCAGGGCACCACCTGAAGAGCTGAAGACCCGCCTGCGTCAGCTGCCCAAGCGAACAGCCACCAAGACCTCGGCAAGAGGCTGCATGCTCACAGCTCCCTACCTACTAAAGCCAACGATGCCCCGCTCCTACCAATCCCCGTCGATTAATATTCTGCTACTCATTAACATACCCATATTCCGCTCATATATGCGTGTTCAGATTTGACTACATCATCGAGGCAACGTGTAACTGGCCGGCAGAACGCTAGAGATGCTTTCGGCGCTCCGGAAAATCGAACCAGGGAACGATTCCAAACAACCAGCAAGGCAAGCCCGTCAGCCACGGCCTGGATCCGAGGGTATATGCAGTAGATGCTGCAACCTGAGTGTTGAGCAGCTCTGTCCGCTTAGAACCGCGCTGGGCGTTGCCCAGACGCAGCCTACTGAAGAACTCGACGAGGACGAGGACGTGGACACTGATACCGACTCAGAGTCTTCCATCGGTGACATAAACGAGCTGATCAAACATTTGATCAGTGACCGCTCGCATTTCAGGCGATTGAACTCGATTCTCTTGACGTTCGGTGCACGTTCTGCAGACTGATAGCATCACTCTGTGATGTCTCGGACTTGGCTCATCTAGACTGTGTGTATCTGTGTGGGGAGCCTTATGGTAGCAACCGCATCCTGCCCAAGTATATCTTAGAATTGGATACTCTACACGCCTCATCTACTCTTGTCCGTGTAGGTCTAAGGGCGTCTGCGGCGCATCTTACGCGTAATTCATCTGGACTGGCACCTCTCAGCCCGCTTTTCCAAAGATATGATCCAATCAGCCGGATAACCGTCACATTCAAGATCTTGAAACAGACGCAAAACCATCCGACTCAGACGGCAAGTAGAGTGAAGAAGCCTTTCAAGGTCCGCACGGCGTACCTGAAGGCCTATTGTGATCCAGGTGTGTACCGACTGACGCTTGTGCAGCGATAAGAGCTGATGAATAATCAGACCACACGCCAGGCTTACGACGGCTTGTCGCCGGTAGAGCGACACTCCCGGCAGGCTTCGCCGAGACTTCCCGGTCTATCAAGGACTGGCTAGCAACTTGTTCAAGTCAGCACCCGGCATGTTGCAGAAATCTGGTGCAGGAACCCGTTGAGGATAAGGCTGGTCATGTGCCGCTTCCCACACGTCTGATCGACGTTGGCCTCGACCTAACGGGCCCAAGGTTGACAACAACAAGAGTCCATCAACAAGGGCAGTATACTGCCCTGAGCTACTGTTGGGGCAAGGGGACGCCCCTACAGTTATTGAAGTCCAACATAGCAGCTTTCCATGTATCAATACCCTGGGAGCCGATCCCAAAGACCATCAAAGACGCGATCTTACTTGTCAGAGCCTTGGGCCATCGATACCTTTGGGTCGATTCGCTATGCATCATTCAGGACAAGGAAGAAGGTGGAGATTGATCTCATGAGGCCCGCAAGATGGGAAAGTACTACGGGAATGCTCTGTTGGTCATCGCAGCGCTTGCTTCTGACAATAGCGAACAAGGCCTCTTCATCTCAGGCGGTACGACTAATCTCCTTAGAAACCAGGAGAAGCACAGTGCTTTCAGGCCCGCAATTTAGCTACCGTACGCCTTGAATGGTCGTCAACTTGGCAACATCACCGTTCGCCTTCCTCATCAGACTGAACAGACATACGATTTCGACCATGAGAAACAGCAAAGTCTTTGGTATACGCGCGGCTGGGTCGTTCAAGAGCTCACTCTCGCTCGCAGGATTGTCTATTTTGGTCGTCACCAGGTCTATTGGGACTGTAGAAGGACAATGCTGTCGGAAGATGGGGATATCCCATCGCGGCACAGTCTCTACAATACACCTGATGCCTTACAGAATGATCCCGAGAACCAGGAACTTGGGACTCGCAAGGATGTTTTCCACATTTCCTACAATGCACTAGAGACGATCACGATGTCTCGGCTCTTCAGGAAGAAATATGTGAAGAGATTTGCACTGCCGACCACGCCCTTGAAGCAAGCACAGGCTAAGACCCGAGCAACTACCGACTTGATAGAATTTCAGGGCGCGTTCCGCACTTGGACCAGACTGGTAGAGAACTACAGCCTGTGCCAGCTGTCACATTCGGAGGACAAACTGCTTGCAATCGACGGTATTGCACAGACACTCTGCAAAGCCGCCAAGGCAACGTATTACCAAGGACTTTGGCTTGAGACTGTGGAATTGGGACTCTTGTGGCACGGAAAGTCCGCACTCGCGAAGTTACCTCTCGATCAAGGTACGTTGACTTGGTAATGCACACCTTTACCAATGCCGCGCTCCCCGAGCTACATGTTGCTGACAGTTTAGTGCCGACCTGGAGCTGGGCCGCTTGGGATGGCGCAATAGAGTTTATGTCACTAGACTTTGGGTACGCTACTACGCTGAAACGTGGCTTCATTCCAACGACAGCATCGACAGAGCTCGCCTTGACCACGACTATATGGAACGACGTTGCAGTGAGCAGCATCCCTATCACGTTCCCTTTCGTGGAATGCAAAGACTGCAAGTGGCCTGTCGAACACATGCTCAGATACGACGACCTACGGAGCGGCAATGGGCTTGCGTATTGCATCAAGTGTGGGGACCCGGGCTCGAAACACCCCAACATGTTCCACGCTGGTCATAAGAATCTCGTGCGATGTTTGCAGGCTGGCAGCTACCTGGAATGCACCGCCGGACACCTCCACGTAGACGGATCATGCGCATCCAAGGATGATTTCGAACAGCGAGATCGAATCTATTTCGCCCCGGTGGACCAGCTCGGGACACCTACGGAGGACTTCGATGATGACAAGCTGGTTTTGTACAAGCAGCAAGCACTATGGCATGCCCTGTTCACTAACGTATTCTCGAGTCGTCTCAAGCCTTGTTGTGCTAACGCAGCTTGCCGACACAGATGGTTATATCACGAAGATTGGATGGGTTCTATGGGTCTCGTGGACTTTGACCGGCCCGACCACATCCCCGAGAACGTTTCTTTTGTGCTTTTGGAGAATGGCGCCGAGCAGTCTTCGGACAGAAGTGGAAATGATGATCTAAGCAGCAATGGTGAACAGGATGCTAGCAGTATTGACCACGACGACGAGAGTAGAAGCGAGGCAGGCGGAGACACAGAGGATCCCGCGCAGACTGCCGAGCAAACTGCCGAGCAAGAACAACAGCACCAGGAGATGCTGCGTGGGCAGTATGCTCGTGTATTCTCTAGAGCAAGTGAGAGTGCGATACCTATCCTAGCTTGTGTGAGAACTGGTCTAGAAGGACAATATGCCAGGGTTGGTGTCGGTGTTGCCTTCGACTTCAAGCACAAGGTTTGGAAAGACTACTTGGCAGGTTGGCCTGTAGAGCATGAGGGCTTGGAAGAAGATGTCGATATAGTGCTTGTCTAAACGGTCTCACAGTACTAGTGTAGCTATGTTTTGTAGCTGCCTCTCAACATATATGTCTCAAGAGTCTCTCTTCTGCGTGAGGTTGAATGGTAGGGCATACTAAGAAGGGGAAATGAAAAGTAGCATTCAACATCGGCTCATTCTTGAATTTTCCGATTAACTCACACGGGAAGACTCACTCCGAATAAAGTTTTGCCAGAAGCCACACTGCGAAGCTTATAGCCCAGCCCCCTATTCTACCCACAACGGTACAGTATATATATACGAGTTCATCAGGTTCTTCTGGTAGCCGGGTTGGTACGGCCTAGCGAATAGCGGAGTATTCTTATTCTATATCCTTAGGCACAGCGGTTCGATTCCCCTAGCGGCTGAAATGTCTTCTTTTTTTCTTCCTGTTGGCCCTTCCCACCAGACTCTCTCTCCCCTATTTCTTTTCGTATTGAATTAAGCCACCACCTAATGCAGCAGCGCCTTACTTTTCGCACATGCCCACCCGGTAGGGTGTCGACGGCTGCGGGTTCGATCGATCACGTTGGAGAGCAACGCTCCATCAGAGAACAGGGGTCACAGCTTACTTGTTGGTTGCTTGCATGGTACAGTGCATACGCCAAGCATGCATCTCGCAGCCACCACGGATCGTCCATGATCGAGAAGCCATGAGCTCGTGACGAACCATGCAAGGGGCAGTAGTGGTCAGGCATGATAATTGGTTCCGAGACCCAACTACATATGCCTGCCATCTTGCAATAGCCGGTCCTTCCGTTACTGGAAAGTCTCTTCATACGCTGTGTCCTGGCTGGGACAGTGTTGTGAAAGTGACAGCCGCGTGAGAAAGGGAGCGAACAGGCATGTGTCTTGCATACATAATATCCATACACTTACAACCTACCAGCACTCACGAAACAAGGTCAGCGAGATAGACAGAACCAGCTTACCGCCACGAGTCTTAGAATTAGCGCCTCGGATTCTATACGACGAGATCTGGGGATATACCACTGCTGTCTAACTCCTATCTTCAGCGGTAAAGAACGTCGCCGTGTCCAAGTTCTGCTCACGGCCCTCCAGCCTTCTCTGTCGACAACTACTTGCAACAATGACCGTCCGCCGGCTCGCCATCCTCGGCTCATGCATTATACTCGCAGCCGCAATAGCAATACGATACATCAGCCGCGAAGCCAAGAGCTACTGCCGCTTAATCCCCGGCGATCCCACCTGGCCAAGCAAAAGCCACTGGGACGAGCTCAACCAGACAGTCGGCGGGAATCTGATAGCCACCACCCCCATCGCCACGCCATGTCACAACTCGTCCTCAAATGCTCTCTTCGACCAAGAAGCCTGCGAAGCTCTACGAGACGCCTGGTTCTCCCCAACGACACACCTGCGGCATCCCTCGTCCCCCATGACATACCAGTTCACCAACAACAGCTGCAACCCCTTTACGAGCCCGGGCTCCCCCTGCTCACTGGGATATCTACCAGCATACACCATCAACGCCACCACATCCGCCCATCTCAAAGCCGCCGTCCAGGTCGTCAAGCACCACAACATCCGGCTCGTGACCCGCAACACGGGCCACGACTACCTAGGAAAATCAACCGGGGCACACGCACTGGCGGTATGAACCCATCACATGAAGTCGTTTGAGCTCATCGACAGATACGACGACCACGACAACACGTATGACGGCCCCGCCATCAAGATGGGAGCCGGCGTCGAAGGCCTAGAGGCCTCTACCTTCGCCCACGCCCACGGCCTCATGGTAGTCGCCAGCAACGGCCCAAACGTCGATCTAGCGGGCGGTTTCACGCAGGGCGGCGGCATCGGGATCCTGTCGTCGCGATTCGGCCTCGCGGCGGACCAGGTGCTCGCGAGGGAAGTCGTCACCGCCGCGGGGGAGCTCGTCACGACGAGTCCCACGAGCAACGCGGACTTATTCTGGGCCTTGCGCGGAGGCGGCGGTGGGACCTACGGCATCGTGGTCTCCATGACCGTGAAAGCGTACCCCGATACCTTCATTTCCCTCGCCTACCTGACCGTCCTCGCCGATGCGAACGCCAGCAACACCGAAGACGCCATATACGCGGCCGTAGGCACGTTCCTGCAGTCGCTCCCCGCCCTCGTGGACGCCGGCGTCTGGCTCGTATGGGTTGCCCACCCGGGCGGATTCCTGGTAACGCCCGCCATGGCCAGCGACCTGCACCCTGCGGAGCTCGACGCCCTGTTCCAGCCCACACTGGACGCCCTGGATTCCCTGGGCCTCCGGTACGAGTACTCCTCGGCCGAATACCCAGACTTCCTCGCAGGCTACCACGCCTCCACGACCGCGAGCTGGCCGGTGGCGAAGGCCAACATAGGCGGCCGCCTCATCCCGCGCGAGCTGGTGCAGGATGCTGACAGCCTCGCGGCCCTGGTCACTGCCATCCGGCTTATCGGCTCTCAGACCGTCATGTCGGGCGCGGCTTTCAACGTCGCGGGCGCGCGCGACGACGTCGCTGTCAACCCTTACTTCCACAAGACGCTGTTCAGTGCCGTCATGAGCACGCCGATTAACTACACGGACTGGGCCGCTACCAAGGCAGCCCAGGATAAACTGACGTACGAATTACTGCCGGCGCCTGCAGGCACTCACACCGGACGGTAGCTTGTATTTGAACGAGGCGGACGTCCAGGCACCTGATTTCAAAGAAAGCTTTCATGGTGTGCATTATGCGAGGCTGTTGGCTGTGAAGAAGAAATGTGATGGTGATGATGTCCTTTATGCCGGGACGGCGGTTGGCAGCAATCGGTGGGAGCAGCGTGTAGATGGGCGGTTGTGTAGGGGATAGGTAGCGTGTCTGGGTCGTTGTTTACGGAAACGAAGTGGACGTACATAGGTTTAGATTAGAAATAAAGAGGGTTTGGTACATTCACCATCCATGCGGAGATGGTTGTGGCTCGACACTCCTGGTAAAGTCAGAGTTCAGGAGAATGACCAACGTGGACACCAGTAGAGAGAGCAGGATGCGGATAAATGCAAGGAGCCATCGTCGAGCAGCTGTATTGTGCCCGAGGGGCCGATTCCTGTTCAACTTCCACCTGTCCACACAAAGGAAGTGATCATATGCTGAGTATTTAGATCGTGACGTATTACGTTCTTAATCATAGATATCAATTTCATATACACACAGGCACAGCAAACGCCGGCGGCCTCCTCAAGAACAGCGATGGCAGGACTCGCGTCTCATATCCAGATAGACAGAAAGACAGACAGATGTGCTGCACGCCAGTCCCTACATGACCTCCTTGAAGATCTTCTGCATCTCCTTGGCGCTCGCCTTGGGCGTCCTCTTCTGGCCGTCGTTGTAGGCGACGTACGTGACGCCGAAGCGGGTCTCGTAGCCCTCGGCCCACTCGAAGTTGTCCATCAGCGACCAGGCCATGTAGCCGCGCACGTTGCAGCCGTCCTCGCTGACCGCCTTGGCCATGGCGTGCACGTAGGTGCGGAAGTAGTCGACGCGGAACTGGTCGTCGAGAATCTGCTCGAACGACAGGTCGTTCTCGCCCTTGATGCTCGTGCCGTTCTCCGTCACGTAGATGGCCGGGTAGCCGTAGCGCTTGCTGAGCCAGTTGATCAGCAGCCGGAAGCCCTCGGGGTTCGGCCGCAGCCAGAACGACTGCGTCTCCGGCCCGATGGAGTCGCCGTTCTTGTTGGTCGAGTGCGTCGTCAGGTTGCCGAGGTAGTCCTCCGGCGCGGCCTCGCCGGTTCCGTGCTTGACGTAGTCTGCTGTGTAGTGGTTCATGCCGTAGAAGTCGTTGGAGCCCTTGACCAGTGCCTCTTCCTCGGGCGTGAACTCGGGCAGCCGGTCGCCAAGCTGCTTGCGCATCGAGTCCGGGTACTTGCCGAAATAGACGGGATCCGCAAACCACGAGATGGCGAACTCGATCTTTCGGTTCGCGGCGGCAACGTCCTCCGGGTCCTCAGGGTCCCACGGGTAGGCATAGTCTCCGTTTAGGGTAATGCCAACCTGACCCTTGTCAGTTGGCTTGAATTCTTCGCGGTACACCTTTACAGCTCGGCCGTGGGCAACGAGCAGGTTGTGACCGACGATCCACGGCTCGCGACTTGAGTCGCCAACGGGTGACTTCTTCCGGTCAGAGGTGTGGCCAGGGGCGAAGTAGCCCAAGCTGTAGCCCAGAATGGAGCTGCAAAAGGGCTCGTTGAATGTGATCCAGTTCTTGCACTTGGGCAGCGCCTTGTAAACGACACGAGAGTAGTGCTCGAAATCGAGCGGGAACTCTTCCCGGTTCAGGAGGCCCCCATATCGCTGGTGGATCCCATCGGGGACATCCCAGTGGAGGAGGGTGATGAAAGGCGTAATACCGGCCTCGAGCAGGTCGTCGACAAACTTGACATAGTGGTCAATGCCGGCCTGGTTGATCGGGTCGTTCCGGCCGCCAAGAGGGATGATCCGCGCCCATGAGAGCGAGAAACGGTAGCAGGTGGCACCAAGCTCCTTCAGAAGTGCGATATCTTCGGCGGTTCGGTTGTACGAGTCACACGCAACGGACCCGTCGCTCTTGTCGGCAATCTTCCCTTCAACGGCGCAGAACTTGTCCCAAATGGTCGGGCCACGGCCGTCTTTCTCGGTAGCACCCTCGACTTGGTAGCTGAATGCGGCAGGTCAGTTTCACAGTGTACCACAGAGGGCCTACTCCGGCAACAACCGGCGCGTGCATATGGCTGAACTCACGCAGCGGTAGCAAAGCCCCATTGGAAGTCTTTGGGCAACGACATATTGAGGTGTCTGGCCTGGTGCAGGCGAGAGGAGCGAGAAGAGGAGAGCAGAGTGCAATATCTAGGCTATTCGGAGGCCCACGCTAGCGTCTCGATCTCGTCTGGAAGAATGGATATTTGAGCTGGACGCTGGCCAAGACTTGCAGACGGCTTTCGGGCAAGGCAGTGCAGCAGAGACGGGAGGCGGAGGCGAAGGCGAGGTGTCTAGGAACAGCAGCAGCAGGACTCTGGCTGTAGGCGACAGAAGACAAAGACGGGAAGCCGGAAGCCGTCATCTTCTTATATATCCTGGCGACGATGGGCGCTCAGTGAATCTGTGCTCAGCAGGCGGACCTTGGACCCATACGTGGTGAACGTGTACTTTCCCGATTCTCCCATACCGGACCGTGACGACCGAGAACAACAGGCTTGTACGATGATGGCTGTTCTCCAAGCCCATCCAACGATCTCCGCCGCGGGGTAATTGGAGCTGCACGAAGGCAATGGTCATCCCAATCATCCCAATCTCAGCATGGCGTGGCCTTCGATCCAGAAACACCCCCACACGCAGGGCCACTGGGCCGTTGGGCGACAGGGCGACAGGGCCGCTGGGCGCCAGTCAAATCCTCCGTTGCGGCAACTTGCCCAGATGCCAGCGACGGCCCGTGACTCCGGACGAGTCAGGAGCATGTGAGTCTGCATACGAGCTCTATGGATCTTTATGCGGCCAGGGGTCGTCGAATCCTCGGCCAAAAAGCCGGTGGCCAGGGGTCGATAGTGCCATTGGGGGATCGCCGTTCCCTGGAATCGGGATGGTAACGGATTGATGAGTGGTGGCGTGAGGCTCCTGCTGGTACGCCGTTGAGACGCCGTTACAGTAGTGAAGTCCACGTAACGTGGGTGATGCGGCGCCTTTGTTCCCCTGCCCGACTGCCCTGGCTGCCCTGGCTTGCCTGGGGTGGCCGCATTGGAGACGGCCTCGGAATCGCTGGGGACAGCAGCAGTGTCGACGAGTTGAACCCTGACTCCTTGAGCTAACCAGACAAGTTCCCCGACCCTGGGAGTTGGAGTAACGGCTGATGCACGTCAACTCACCGAAGCGAAGGCAACACTATCCAGATTCCATCATAACAAGTCGTTTTATGCATCGATTCTGCGGAATCTGCTTCCTACATCCATTACACAACAGGCCATGCCCGGCTGCTCGAGATCTATTGCGAAAGCCACTTGGACGTTCATGGCCGACGAATTAAGCCTACCCAGTTTTCCCAACCACCTCAACTCCCCATTCGATGCAAATTATTTTCCATGTCCGGAAGCTCGGATCTGAGATCCACGATCGCCCTAACTAACTTTACCAGACCGAGATGAGGGACGGGAACGACGAGAGGCTGCAGCTGCTGGGTAGGCATAGTAAGAAGCAACAAGTCGCTGCTGGATAGCAGCGCCGAAGACGTATGGATATGACCGAGGAAATGCAACGGTCGAGACTGTTTAGCATACTCTTCAACGCAACCAACGCTGTCGTCCTGGCATCATCCCGCCACAGGTGAGTGTCCCCATCCACAGGCTCACCGACGTGTAATTGGCGACAAGGTCGGACGGCGGTTCAGGCAGGAGTGGCGCCGGCACCATCATCTACGTCGCGGCGTTTCCTTTTGCCCGTTGCTGATGATGTCTCTGACGCGTCTCCCTCTGCGTCTGCCGCCTCGTCCATCTCGGTTTCGGCCTCATCGCCGGCGGTCCACTCGGTGATCTCGAATTCAACCCGAACCCGACCATCGTGGCTTTGTCGAACACCTCGCGTCGTCTGCATGTTGCCCAAGCGGCTGCCGGCAAGCATGCTCTCGAACCACGGGATGCTGTTTGAATCGCGGCCGATCAGTTGTCTACCCTGATTATGCACGGGAGCGGGTACGATGTCCATCTCGTCTTGTTCGGAGTCGTCGGGAATCAGGCCCAGTTCTTCCAAGTCGTGTAAGTCCTCGGTTAATAGACTTCCCAGAGTCAATTGAATGTATTCAGCCTCGCCTCTCGGCTCCTCGGACCAGTAGGAGAGCGGCGTGCCACAAAATCCGCAAAAGTTCCTTCTGGTGTGTTGCTCGTCGGGGTGAGAGTAGACGCGTCGGATGTTTGATCGAGACTCGTCTGAAAAGAATGGGAAGGTCTGGCTGCGGTACCACGACAGTGGTACACGGAGGAAGGCAGAGAGTGGTGTCGCGGAGGAGACTCCTGGTGGTACTGGTGTTTAGCGTAGCTGCCCACAGGCTACAGAAGGACGTAGTACAGAGCCAAAAACTTACTGTGGCCGGCGTTGGAGTCGAAGAGGATCTGAGCAACGTCGGAAGCGCCGTTGGGGACCTCGATGATGTATTGGTTTCGACCGCAGTGGCAGCTGCCCCTCAGAGCGCGCTGCAAGCTCATGGTGAAGGATTTCATGTGCTATTCGGTGATGGGTCCACTGGGTACGTCGGGGGTTTCAAGGTGGGTGGTCGGGTGGTCGGGTGGCCGGGTGATCTTGTGTTTATGTCTGCAAGAACTTGGCTACTTTACCCAGAGGGACCAGGATGGCAATTGACTGTCACGTCGCAGGCGTTGGCAGAAGCGGGTAGGAGTAGAATCGTGAAGGCGTGGAGGCGTGGTGGCGTGGAGTCGTGGAGTCGTGGAATCGTGGATGCTAGGTGAAGATGGGAGAGCTTTCGATTTGGTTCGGAACGTCAGTTCCTGGTTCCAGAATTTTTGGGGCTGCAGAGTGAAGTTGGGGTAGCGGTAGGTAGCGGTAGCTGTCTGGCTGTAGCCTACGCGGGCGGCGTCATAGTGGGCTGAGCTGCTCCAGATGCAGGTGTCTTCCAATGTCGAACTGCCCCTCCACAGGTTGTGACTAGAGGCAATCACCGACTTTGGAAGGTGCAATCAATGTTTGAGGTTGTCTTGCTGTGGGCACATAAAAAGAACCTGAATGTATTCGAATACCTATGTTTGCCCCGTGGCACGCACTGGCACTGGTTATCGCATATTTATTCCGGTGATGCAATGATCTGAATCAACTCATGGTGTTTTCCCATTCTTGATGGGTGGGGGGTTCCGTCATGCATGCATCATTTACACCTCAGTTCCCCTCCGTCCTGTCAAGTCTTTCGGAGAGGGAGACTGCTCGACCATGACAATATTAAGAGAGGAAGAAGTCAATATAAGCTTTACTGGTGCTTATTAAACCCCATAAAGCTGAGGTGCTAGTGACAGTTAAACCCGCAAGTGGCATGGCGGGACACGCTACCTTACTGTTCATTGTTCAACTTCAATAGTGGCCGCTGTACCCGCCCCTTGGGATCTCAATGTTGAATCGGATGGCCTCATCTCACAACAGCATGGGTTGAAACAGCCCATCATTAAGAATGGCGCATCTACATTTGAGCACCCAAATTGACAACAGACAGATTCCCGTGGGTTTGAACGTGTTCTTTTCATGATTACCTAGAGGTCTTCGGCTTGATGGGGTGCAGATTAGTCTTTACCCCTGAATCTCTAGTTCGAGCATCGTGGAGTAGCGACGAAGTTGCCCAATATATCAGACGTATTCCCTTAGCGCAGGTCTTTCTCGTCCATCACGGGCGCAATGATCCTCTCAATCCTCACACCCTCATCGACACAGGCAGTCGTCACTCGCTGATGACCAACTGCCCGCTGCCCATCCACAGTCGTGGACTCAGCATCCGACGCCCCTTTCCCGGCCGGTTGCAGCCACCACTTGAAGAATATCGTCAAGAACTGCGCCACGAACACCTGCTCCACGATGTAAAGAAGCACGGGCACCTGGATCGACGATATGGTGAAGTTGTCAAGCTGCGACCACATGGCCGCGGCCAAGGGGATCCCGACAGTTGCCGTCTTCGCAGCGCCGCAGAAGCAGACGGCTACGACATGTATCCGGGGCATCCGCCTGACCGTCACAGCCCGCCGCATCGATACGGGAAGACGCGACCCCAGGCTGGAATTTGCGATGTGCGCATTGACCAGGGCGGCCAGCCGCTTTGGAGGGTATGCTAGACAGAAGCAGATCGCGGTGAACAAGAGGTACTCGGCTATGTTCATGAAGACGTTGAAGATGATGGAGGATTTGGGTAGCTGTGTCAATGCTCCGGTCTCGAAGGCTCCTGAGAACGTGGACCTGTTGTCTGGATCAGCGGCTGAATCTATCTGCAAATCTCGGAGGTATACACGTACCAGGCCACCAGTATCAGCATCACCGAGCAAAACTGCGCAAGATAGAACGTCTTCAACGTCCAAGTGACCTGCTTCGGAAATAACCATCGCAGGCCCTGACCTACCGCCAGCGGTAGCAACACACTAAGACCCAGTTGCTGCATGACACTGGCGTACATGGGTCCCAGCGTGCTCGGGTCCGCAGGTCGAAGTGAGTCGAACTCGCGATCGTCAGGCTGGAAGCCGTAGATCAGCCAGGGGGCCAGAAACGAGCCAGCTACATTGCCGATGACCACTTCAATAATACAGCAGCTTCATCGCTTCCCGCGTTTCTCGTCATCACCACATTGGAGGCGATGTTTGTTTGTTTGTTTGTTTGTTTTGTATTTAACGTGGTGGGTAGCTCCTCAGTAGTGCAAACCACGCCTCCCAGAGCCTCTGTATCGCAGGGTTGTGGAGGTCTCAAGATAATAAGTACAGTCAGTCCCGCTCACGGGCCCATCCCCGTTGTTGCGGCGGTATGACCTTGGGGTCATCATTGGAGGCGATGGTGGTCGGTATGCAGCTGACGACGACCATGCCGATGAGGATGCTGGGTTCGATGTTGCCTGAAATGACTCCGCCAGCAGCGATTATGATGCGGATTAGTACTGTAAATATCGTCAAATCGCCAATCAGATACCCTTCAGCAGACGCCCAAGTTGGGATGCGAACTTAGCTGTATGATTGGTATCAGAATCAGGCTGATACCTTGCACAATGATGTGCAATCGCCAGTTCGCCACATGCTCCTTGAGCTTCTCGGGGCTCAATTGCATGCCGTTGATCAGGAAGATCAAGCCAATTCCCCCGTACAAGATAGAATACTCTGATCTTATGGTCCCGCCACGAGCTGCAACATCTGTGGGACGACGTCAGCGTAGGCTCATCAAACAAGCAAGGGAGGTTGGTGGGTAAGTGACGTACGGGGGAAGAAATATCCCAGGAGACAAGCGAGGCCAAAACCAATGGTCAACCAATTCGCCCAGAGGAAACTCAGGGTTCTTTTGGCGATGCGAACGGCTTTGGGGGGTTCTCTAGTTCCCGAGTGGTCGGCGTTATCTGATGACTCGTCCATTATTACTTGTTCGCCGTCGCTGATCTGTGACGAGGAGGGGCTCCAAAGTGATGACTGTTCCTGTGCATGGCTTTCTAAGCGGGCCTAGCAGACAGTCGCGAAAGTTAGACTGGTCTTATTTAAAGCAATTCCTCCAAGGAAAAGAAGGGAGTGCTGCAGGTTCAAGTCCTGCCCGCCGTTTTCTTCAACAGCCAACTCCGAGCCAAGCCGCATTATTCCCGAGCTCGAGACCCACCATACCCGATGTCGCTGCCGACATGCAGACAAGGTCTACATGCGACAAAACAATAATGATAAAAATAGGAGAACTGAAAACGCCGTGTTTGATTTTTTTTTGGAAAGGGAGAGTTTTCAACTTATTGTTGTTGTTGTTTTTTGCTGCTAATAACTGTGGCACCAGTGCCGTTGTTCAACCGAGTCTGAGGAGGATGGCCGGCTCTATAACGGTTGGAGAGAGGGTGAGTAGGAGAGAGGGTGAGTACCCAGGGGAGGCGCGAGGTGGAGGTTTTTTTTCTAGGATATGGGTTAGCGTAAGTCTAAGAAATGGGTGCTGTGCGTTTTCAAATCAGCCACGGCGTTGCTCTGTTGTTCCTTGTTGGAAAATTGTGCTGTGATTCCACTACAAGAGGTCCGCAGCTACGGGTAATTATTTGGGGCGGTGGTTGTGTCGGCCCGGTAGTTAAGCGTGTTGCCTGAATTACCATCTTGTCAGGAGGGCAGACACTGATATCCACTACGTATGGTCAAGAGATTTTGGCACGCAAGGGCCATCACTTGGGAGTCAGTTCTGCCATATATGCATCTTTCTTGACATTGGTGCTCCGTGGTGAGGAGCTTTTACATGTGCCCTTTGCAAGTAGCGTCAGGCCCGTTGATCGATCGTCACAAGTGCTGTCGCGACATGGGAACAATTGATACAAGCACTGTTCTGACTCGTATAGGTAAGTAGCTGGTAACTGAGCATAGTTGGTATAATATTGATCACATGTTTTCGAATCATTTAGATGCTCTTCTACTTTGATCATGAGCGCTACCCCTGAATGTGCCCACCAAACCCATATCCACATTTTCTATATCCTCCCATAGAGCCTTGGTCTCGTTGTAATGGCGGCTTGTTCGTGCCCTCCGTCTCCTTGTTCCATGGTGCTTATTCCAATCAAAGGAATATAGTATCGATACCCAAGAATCGGTAGAGACATCCCGGACGGAGGCTTATTGGGTTGATTGCTCGTCGCCATTCTCCAGCTTTGCCTGCTCAACCATGCGCTTACGCAGCTCGGCGCGCAGGGGCTCCGTGATTAGCGGAATGTGGTAGAGCGCGTTTAGTCTTTGCATTTGCATCTTGAGGACGTGGCTCTTCCCTTGCGGTCGAAGAGCTTAATGATAAAATAAATCGCTCCTCCACCTTGCTGGCGTCGTGGAAGTGTGGGTTCTGTGTCGCGCTCTGGAAGATCTGTACCAGGCCCGGGGAGGAGGCTGTCAGAAGGCCAACCATATGGGGGGGGTAAATAGTATGTTGTTCTGCAGAGAGGTGCAGTACTAATCAGGCGCGAAGGCCATGTATATGTACACGTATGATTCCTTTGTTCCCAGGATGCTTCCTGACAGAGGCAGTCGAGGATCCGGCACTGAAGTTAGAGGCGCAGGCTTGGTGCTCCGGCTTGTCACCTGCAAACTGCTCCAGAATGTTGATGATCTTATGTAGCAGCAGCACTGAGGCCAGGCACCATCTCTAGGGATCAGGAGTTCATTCCGCAAGCTGATTGCGACGAGAAACGTAACTAGTGGTTCGGATCGGAGGATATGGGTTCAGATGAGGGCGAGACCAAAGTATAACATCTAACAATCGATGTTAGCTTGGCTTCGTCGTGGTTGCACTCGGACAATACCTAGGTAGGTAGCTTGCACGTGCAGGCCATCTCCCTTCTGCATGGCGAGAGTGTTTCGTAGAAGGATACGTTCGAGTGATCGAGTGTCGAATGTTGCAGCAAGCTAGCCGGTGGTAGGAAACACCCCATTGTCATCTAGGATGATGACACCTCAAGCTTTGCTCAGCATCCCGCGGCCGCTGTGTGTAAACCCTTGGACTGGTTGAAAGAATAAGTCGTATTTGCGTAGGCCATGACTAGGATAGCAGATATCGAGGCAGGCATAGCTGTTGCTGATTTCTTGACGTTCTACAGGTACGTATGACACCATGTTAGCTGATTCGCCAGAGGATGAGAATGCTTCTCGTGTTGTAGGCTTCGTGACGGAGAATTACTTGGAGCAGTGCTGAGACGATCCAGACCACCCCGTGGAAAAACCGAATTACTGGAATAAGCATACAGGAATAAGCGGCTCTGGATTGATACACCACCACCAGTGTTTATTCCATGGTGCTTATTCCGATTTGATATTTATTCGTTGTTTACTGGACAGAGATCTTGTGGGTGGGTGGAGGGTGGAGCCAGCGCGAGGCATCTACCGCTTGCAACAAAAGCAAATGAAAGGAATTTCCGGTGAAGGAATTCCAGCCTTGAGCTGACCACTAAGAGTCAAAGGGTAAAGCTCGGCCGTGACAGCAGCGGTAATGGAGGTCGTGTTGGCAACGGCCGTCGCGGCGATACAATGACGAACGAAAGAAATATTTCCATCCAGAAGAACAACGCTGTGGCCGATTGGGTTGGGCATCTCACTTCCATAAACGCAAGCTAATGGATTCCAGACACGCCCGCTGAACCGTCAGCTATTTATCACCCGACAATAATCTAATAGCCAATACTAACAATATGTTTACTTATTTATTATTACTATATTATCATCTTATTATCTTATTACCACACTAATGTCTAGTCCACCCGTTAATGCAGCCGAGCAGTATCTCAAGAGATACGAGATTGACAGCCGTTCAATCTACGTTGGCGGCCTACCCTTCAACGTCACGAACCTCGATGAGATCATTGAGGCCGCTGCGGGACAGTATGGAGAGATCAAGGGTCTACAGGTGATCCGAAAGCGAGGTAAGTAAGAATTCTCAAAATCACCACGGCGTTGTTCTATGGGGTTTAATTTTTTTTATTCCCCTGGCATGAAAGTTTTAATCGTGTCATATTTCATCCACGAATTATAACTGCGACAGTTACGCTGCTTGGTCTAGCCCTACCTACCGAGTGTGACAGACACCGCCAACAGACCGGCAGGGAACCAGGATGCCGGTTCATGCCACTGGGCGATACACGATGTGGCTGTCAATCCTGTTTCGCTTCCCTCATGGTATGCAATGCTGTAGATAGCCAATGCTGTTCTCTGTTGGGTTCTACCTACATGTCTACGACCCGGCGACACGGCAGTACGGTGAATTCATCCGGGACTGTGGCAGCTGTAACTTGAACTGTGTCGAGAGCTCGATGCAATGAGGTCCTATTACTTCATACAACCCTCTTCGTTCCTAGACTCCCATGCTGGGTGGCAGTTGTCTCCCCTGGTGTTGCGTTTGCAAGTCCATATTTTCAGAGTCGCGTGAAGACATCGAGACCACTAGAGAGAAGACACCAGTTTACAGGCAACTGAACAGCATGGGAAGACCTGTAGGTAAATTATAGGTTCATAACTTCATTTCAGCTACGGAAACCATGTAGGACCCCTCGGGGCCATACCGTCCAGTACCACCCGACCAGTCCTCTCCCAGAACCCCCCTAGCCGTTCCATCGCCCAAGACCCAGTATTCAAACCAAGTAGCACCCAACCAATACACTATCGTACACCCCGACGCCCACGCGAACCCAAGGCTGTTCTAGTCTACGGCTGCCGCTTCGCAGCCAAGTCATGCAGATCGCCCGTCTCAGCGACCATGACCCGGCCGCCCGAGTCCGCGTCCGCCTTCTTGGGCCCCTTGGCGAGCGCGCCGTCGACCTGGTCCTTGACGGCCTCGCCGTGGCCCTCCATGGACGAGCCCAGATCCGCCTGTGTCGTGGTGCCGTAGTTGGACTTCTGCTCGTCGATGATGTTCCTGTTGGAAGGGGACGTGGCGTCAGCGGATGGTACTCGACGAGAGGTTACGAGGAGCGGGACTGACCGAGGTCTGGGGAGGGAGGGGAAACTGGAGATCGAGGTTGGAGGAGAGGGCCTTACTGCGCCGGTCCGTTCTGGTTGGAGTCGAGAGGCGTTTGCTCGATGGTCGAGGAGTGGCCGCTGTTTGAGTCGGTCATCTTGATTGCGTTGGTCTGTGATAGGCTGCGTGATTCTGAACCGGGTATGAGGTGTGCTGTAAGCTCAGTATGTCGTGCAATGGTAAGTGCGAGCAGTGACTATGTCGGTTTTGTATGAACTTCAGGTAGAATCAGATGTTGAAGTTGAAAGTAGGTACTGCTCTAGCTCGTATCAAGGTAGTTCCCGGGTTTAGTTACCTCAGAAAAGCCCAGTCTGCCAGGCGGCCTCAGGTATTAGGATGTACCGGAAAATGGACCTACTTTTCTCGAAAAATGGACCAATCAGATAATCAAGTAACAAAAGGCCGCCTAGCAGACTGGGTACTAAGTGTACTGCTAAGGGTTGTAAGATGTCGGCCTTATAATTAAATAAACTGTGGAAATCCAGGGGTCAGAATGGGATGGATAATGGTCTGTGTCTTGACTATGGATCCATGGGGGAGATTCCCACCTAAATACAGGTGTGACAGCCCTTTGATGCCCTGCTGCCTGACAGCGAACAACAAACCTGCCACTGGTCACTATAATGGACCTTTCACCCCCTTTGGACCCCTTTCATCCCTTTCACCTGGCGGACAGCTGCAGCCCATACCTGACAGCACCACAATGCTCACATAAACGTTTTTAGTTTTTAAAAAACTTAAAAACGCAACTAGTTAAAAATTTGTTAGTATTTATCGTTTAATACAAATTAAAGCTACTGTTAATACCGTTAAATCTTTTTTAATTATACAGTTAAATAGTAAGTTAACTTATAACGTTAAAATATATTAAGGCTATTATATTAAAACGTATAATAATAACCCTTTATAAATATAAAAAAAACGACCTCGTATTTAATTAATAATTAAGTAACGAACGTACCTTAATATAATTTATATTAAGTGACGTTTAACGGTCGATTTTGAACTAAAAGTATGATTATTGTTTATTATTCATTTAAACGTATATAAATCAGTTTTTAACATATTATAAATTAAAAAATACATTGTGTAAGCAGTCGGGTGGCTCACAGGTGTGCTGTAGCACGCTTCTAGGGGTGACAAGGCTGACAAGGCTGACAGCAGCACTGAAAGGAAGGAACAGCCTGGAAGCGGGCTTTGAGCCTTAGTGTATCTGGGACAAGGGATCTTTACCCTCCGGATCAAAGGCTGGGCATTGCTTTGAAGTTGGTATGTGTATTTAGTACCTGAACAGGTCCCAAGACCCAAGGGTAGATCCGCACCCAGAATGTAAGCAACATGATGACCTGAACCACTGAACCGATCTTTTCCATACATTGTATTTTAAAATTAAAACGATCGTTTATTTTTTTAAATAAAAAAACGTTATTTTAATATAAAAAACATTTATTGCATTAATTTATTGTAATCATAATAATGTTAACAATTATATAACATAACGTAGCTGACAAGCGAGTTGACATTACAAGCGAGTTGGCACTCGTCATGAACTCTCCAACTGCCATGTCAAATAACTTCACCACAACGCATTCAGTTCAATTCAATCAATCGGATTCTTCTTCCTCAGAGGTTTCTATCTCTATTGTACAAGTTCGCGCATTATGGCCAGTATTGCCGCAAACGCCACACCGTCGCCCACGCGCTGCCGCCCGCCTCGGACGACGACTACCTTCACCCATTTCCTGTTTTGCCAGCTCAGCACTATCCTTTGCAGCCTGAAGATCTACTGCATCTTCAACGGAAAGTACTCCTCTTTTCACTAGACATTTGTTTTTTGTTCTCCGGCGTTTACTTAGTAGGTGATTGGCCTCTTCTAGTTCGCGGACCCGGGAATCAACCAAAGCGACCTTATGCATAAGACCGTATGTAGCCTTCGAAAACGAGCTCAACGCATTAATTATTGATGTAGGTGAGCTTCCCTGGTGGTTTCTGACTCGGTTTCGGATATAAACCGATTGGTTTACCGCTTTGTTAATGGTGGTAGGCGTCTTCGAAGTCCAAGTAGTGGGTGGCAGATTGGGGTCTGGCGACGGTGTTCGTATGACAGCGACAGCATCCAGCTTTGAAATGACACTTTCTGGGTCAAAAGGAACAAGCCCAGTGGCACTGAAACCTGCTCGAATGTTTCCTGGCGTCATAGCAGCGTTGTGTGCTTCATAAAACGCTGCAAGGAAGTCCTCCTTTGAAACGTGGGTTATATGACACCGGATGAGATCCTCAATCATGCGACTGTAAGCTCGTTTGAGCGGGCTAAAACAGCCGACATCTAGAGGCTGGAGCCTGTGTGACGAGTGGGCAGGCATACAAAGGGTGATAATGCCGTTGTTCTGACAATAATCCTCAAAGACCTGGGAATGGTGGCTTTCGTGACCATCTAAGATGAGGAGGCGTTTACCAGCAGTCATACGCGGTCTGGTATACTTGTCGAAATGCTGAATCCATTCCAAACCAATCTCATTTGTGGTCCACCCGTTGTCGGACACGGCCACCTTCCAATCGCGTGGTAATATCGTGTCGCGATACTATGACACGAGGTGGGTTTTGCCCTGTAGAATGATGAACGGCGGGACCACCCAACCATCAGCATTAACAGCAGAGATTGCTGTAGACCATTCCCTGTTGCCTTGCTGAGCTTGTCTAGGCCTGCCACGTCTTTCAGCGCTTGTAACGACCATGCCGGACCCAATAATGCCTATCATAAACCCAGTCTCGTCGAAGTTGTAAATATCTGCGTCTTGGATACCATGTTTCGCGACTGCCGCTGCAACTTGGCGAAACCACGCGCAATACGCGTCTGGATCCTCGTTCAAGACCCTCTGGTAGTCTATCTTCCAATGAAAACGCGTCCGGAGGCCTGGTGTACGTTTGATGAAGTTCCGCGTCCAGTTCTTTCCAACGCGTCCAGCCCCACGCGCCGCCAACAATTGATTCGTCATATCTTCAACATAACTGTACCGGGGCGGAAATGCTCGCGCATCCAGGTCGAGAATGAAGGAACAAATGGCATTCTCTTTGGAAACCATAAGTTTCAAAGTATTGGGCATGCTGTCGCGTCGTGATGGCATTTCTTTGACTCTATTGCTCAAAGTGGAACGAGGGACGTTGAAGAGTTTCGCAAGCTGAAATATAGGAATATGAGGGTCACGTCGTTTAGCTTGAACAGCTAGCTGCAAGTCTGATTCGTTATAACGCGGTGCCATTGTTGTTGGTGGAGATATGATGGTTTGAATCGTATTGGTTGGAAAGTTCATGACGAGTGCCAACTCGCTTGTAATGTCAACTCGCTTGTCAGCTACGTTACGTAAATTTTATTTTCAATACGTGTTATTAAAAGATAGTAATTATCACGGTTCTATAAATGTATTGTAAGGATACAGGGACCTTTATTAACTATTGACGTATAACAAACTCTGGTTGAAAGAAAAGAGAAATTTGGAGATACAACCAAATTGGTGGGCAGCTAGATGTGGGCAGTCGTCACCCACCAGACCCACTAGGGCATGAATCAACCTATCGTCCGATCAGTCACGTGCTTAGTCAAGTGACCCGGGGACCATGGGGACAATCGCTAGACCTGATAGATGGTGGAGCCATCATAGTAATAAAAGACTTATTATAATAATTAAATAAATTAAATAAATTAAATAAATTAAATAAAGGGCTAATAAAGCCGTATAAGACTATAAGTATATATTATTTTAGCCTTTTTGATTTAAGATTTTTTACTTGTACTTATATATTAATATATACTTATATTATTGGAACAGACTTGAACGATTAATCATAATACTAAAGTATTGGGTCAAGGTCATGATGTTGCTGATGGTTGGATTGGGAGGTCTAGCTAGACTCGCAGGTCTGGCTAAGTGACCTTACAATCCGGTACCTAATCTCTTATCTAATCATATATGTGGGTTTGGTATGGATGGTTTGAATGTGGAATCGCATGGATCTAACAAATATATAATAAAGCACTTTTAAATAAAAAAGTTCGTAAACTGTTGAATACACGGATGTTGATTGATTCTATTGATTATTCTGCTTTGCGTGCAGAGATTGATCATCTGTCTTCTTGGTGGGTCAGATGCCCTGTGAGTCTCTTCCCCACTGGAGATCTTCAGGTGTCTATCTCCGGCTCCCATTCAACACATTCGTGCTAGTATCTAACACCTCGGGCACGCGATCTACGCGCTATACTTTAAGTACCGATCCTTACTAAAAGTTCGTATTATAGGTATTTTAACGCGACCGATAAAAAGAAGGTTTATGTTGAATGGGAGCCGGAGATAGACACCTGAAGATCTCCAGTGGGGAAGAGACTCACAGGGCATCTGACCCACCAAGAAGACAGATGATCAATCTCTGCACGCAGAGCAAAAACCATTGATAGAATCAATCAACATCCGTGTATTCAACACGAGGGGCACGGAAACTGACGCCCCGCAGGGGCGTCTTGGAAAGAGGGCTCTGCTTTTTTCGGAGGTAAGGGTTTAGCACCTGCATCGTTATGTGTGGGGAAGACCAATGACGTATGCAGGGTGACTGGGGGGCGGTAACACTAGACACTACCTAATCATTGGTCAGAAGCCACCAACTGATGATTCGCCGGCTTGCTTCGTGCACAACACTCAGGGGTGATCGTGATGTCTGGAATACATACATGTACTACCTAAGCACACAAGCCAGTGGTGGGGGTCTATGTACTAAAGAACAGAACCAGATAAGATCAATTATACAACAGTACCGCCCAAAAGTTATCATGGTGACAAGAGGATTCGAACCCACGCGGATGGCTCCCCCAGGATCGAGTTCGAGCTCCGGCGAGGGCGGAAAAGTCACACCACTACACGCAACGTACGACTCAGCCCATAGAAGATGGCGGATCTTGTTGTATGGATCGGGGGACTCTTGGTGCTCTCTCGGAGTGTGGGCAAGATGGCCGAGTAGTGGGAGTCTCTGTACCAACGCAAGAACAAAACCAGATAACATAGCCTAAAAGTTATCACCAGCAGCAGCTTGAGACTTTATTTGCTACTCGTTCCGGACAAAATGATCATTCTGAGCAGTATGACATAAAGGAGTATGCTTCCAAACGCCGGCCGACTGTCCTGACCAACCGACGGGTCACCGGATGTGAGGAATTAACAACATATTGCAGGGACTCTGAGCTTGGTCTCACGGCAATATAGCCAAAACTTCCTAGTTAGTTTGATCAACCTAGGAATGATTCACATGCATTCTTCTGCGTCGAGTGGTGACCCAACCCCTTATATTGGATTGAGCCTTCGACGACACGAGGATGAGACCTCGAACGACGCCCATGGTACCGGTATACCAAAGCTGAGTAGCTGAGCGGCTGACGCCGAGGTTGATGACATCATAGGTTCAGTTGACAACATCGATGACTCATTGATGGGAGCCATTCGGCAGCAGAGAGGAAAGTGTCCTGCAGTCGTGGAGTTCGGAGAACAGGAACCTCTATATGGACACCCAATAGCCCGCTTGATAAGTTGACCCGCCTCGGAGCACACAATTTGATGTTGGACAGTCGCGAAGACAACTCTGAAGCTTCGTGTATTCAGTAGATATGGTGACATTGGTGTGATTTAGGTCTGTTGGTTGGTTGGTTGGTTGCACTTAATTTGTCCGCAAATAGCCTTCCCAAGAAGCAATCTGGCACACAGATGCGAAGCTCGTAGTAGCTTATTGATCACCCTAGCTGAAAGTAAGTATCTTCGCTTGTGTGAGACGGGTGCAGGCTTCGTCAAATGGATATCCTGGGCAAGAGTCGGTGGTGCTGGAGCACAATCATTTCTTCGCGTCTGTCCTGGCTTCGGCCTTTGGCGAGGTCGGCGACTGCTTGGCGGCTTTCAGAGCCTCGATGTTGTCATCAATGATGGCGATCTCAGCCCTCAGTCGGAGGAGTTTCTCTGATAGCTTCTCCTCATAGTCCTCGTCGGACAGTCGTTGCATGGGACTCCATTTGGAGTCGAACCAGCTGGTTTTGGGGTTTGGCTCGCTACTCTTATATCGCTGTGACACGTATGAGCTACCGGCTCCGAGAGTGCCGAAGAACATTATGCCCGGTATGATGTTCCTGGGTCCGCCTGTAGTACAAGATAATCGTCAACATCATACATCTGCTACAGCGTGGAAAGGAATTGTAGCTTACGAAACATGCCACCGACCATTCCAGATACACCGCCAGAAACTCCGCTTGCTTTAACTAGATCAGATGTGCTCATGTTATCTTCGCCACCCCACGCATGCCACAGAAGGCTTCTCGAAGCTAAGCCGCAGTTAGTGACAATATCCATCTTGGCTCAACCATTGGAGCTCTTACCCATGTAGCTGGATCCGAGAGCAAACCACTGAAGGCCAGCAACCAGGGCGAACAGAGTAGGTGGTGCCGACCGCATGATACCAGAGCCGGCTCCAACAAGTAGACCGATACCGCCTAGGAAGATTAGCAACGGCCGTGGGAGGCTTGGGTTGAGGACCCACCGGTGACAGCACCAGTCTGGAGTGACTTGGTTCCAATCGTCCATAGTTCGGCGGCAGATGGCATCTCATCTTTATCGTGGGCATCCGCCATATTCCGGGTGGGAGCTTGAGTGGTATTGGTCCTGTTTGGTCCAGAGGGGGGAGGGGGAGATGTAGCAGGCTGAGATTGAGGAGCCATATTTGCCACTGGTCAGCCTTGAAAGCTGCGGTGTCTTGGTTCTGTGAAAGCAAGCCCCTCCAGCTATTAGGTATCCTGAGATGACAACGACTGTCCCTCAAGCTTTCTGCTGGTTACTCAGTACAGCAAGAAACGAAACGAAAGCATTTGCTTGCCAAAGAATCGAAGATATACTGGGAAGATATCAACGATTTATGATGTGATGCTACAAGTCATAGCCCGAGTTTTCAAGGGGATTTTGAAGGTCAGGATAGAAAATGGATCAGGGGATGAGTATTGAAAATAGGTAGCCGTCTGATGCAGCAGATTGAACCCTTTGAAGTTTGAACTTGGAGACGGTGGTCGGTGCGTTCACTGATCGACCCCTCTTTTTATTTTGGGAGCTGGGAGCCCTGGAGCTGACCTCCTAACTGAGCCGGCTAAGGACGACCATGTACATGTACCGATGCACAGCAGAGAGCCCGCAGACTGGCAGCAGACGGACATCGGGTAACACAGGAAGATGATTTGGAATCGATATTGTCTCGACATGGAGAAAAGCACATGCACCCAACCAGTCTGATCAGCTTGACGTTATTCGATGAGTACAACTTAGGAGGTGGTTTCTGTGCACATGAGGTGTGTTCAATGTTGTGGGCGGCTGCCTTGCACCGCTCGCACCTCAGGTATCAGGTACCCGTACCTCAAATGGTGGCAGGGCACATTCAGAGGGGTCCAAGCTCGCCCCAGAGCCTAACCGGCCTAGTGGCGCTCGATAGCCCCCCTACCACGACCTCCCATTGTCCAGTAGCCAAAATTGCTCTCCTTGCGATTAAATTTTTCTTCTGATCAGCAAGTCTCTCCCCTTGCACCCAGCCTTTCGAGATCACACTTGGTCTTCTACTTATCGACCGACCCTTTCTCGCTGGTCGGCACTGATACCAGTTTTTCCCACCTGCATCAATCACCTTGCGAAACCCGATAAACCCATCTGCCACCGAAGGACCATCTCGAGTCTCTTCGGCAATTCATTACCTGACTACGCGCGCCGACCCTGCATCGTTGCGCGCAGCCTCAACACCGCAATCATGGGTATGTCGGCGTCGCCAGCCGCGCCTTCTCCCCATCTTCTGCTCGTACTGACCTTTCTGTCCTACAGCTCCCAAGAAGAAGGAAGCGAAGCAGACGATGTCCCTCGGGGCCTTCTTGCATGATGAGAGTGAGTTCACCTCCCACGCTGCCACCCACCCGCTTGCTGCGGCGTCGAGGAAAGGACATACGTTAACATCACGCAGACTTCGGTGGATCGTGGGCCGACGAGGTCGAGGACACCATTGGTATGTTTGGTCCATCACATGTCCCCAGGCACGGCCTGTTTATTAACAAGTCCTTCTAGGATCCCAGCCTCTGCCATCGTCCGGAGCACGTACTGGATATTCCACCTACGGATCAAGCAGCGCTGATCGACGTATGTATTTTCAATACCCATCAAGATCTGTACAAGCCTAGTCCTTCTGAGCTGCCGTACTAACCTGTGTTGATTTTAGCCATGTACTCTACTCGCGAATACCCTACTCAACTCCCTACCCGGCCGCCCTACACCGCCCACTTGGGCAACCTATCCTATGAAGCGAACAGCGAGAGCGTCACCGACTTCTTTGCCGATTGCGAGATCACTAGCGTGCGAATCATCGAAGACAGAATCGAGCAACGACCGAAAGGCTTCGCATATGCCGAATTCGCCAGCCTCGATGGCCTCAAGAAGGCCTTGACCCTCGATGGGACAAGCTTCGATGGACGAACCATCAAGGTCCGAATTGCTGATCCGCGTACGTTCATGTAACATTCCTCGACCATTGAAAGAAGACTTACTGATGACCTACAGCCAAGGATCGCGACGGCCGCAGTGGTGATTCTGCCCGTGATCTCAGCAGCTGGGAGCGCAAGGGCCCCCTGATGGACATGCCTTCCCGCAGTAACGATCGTCGTCCTACTGAGTTTGGTGGTGAGCGTCGTGGACCGCCTCGAGATGGGCCCGTTGATGATGGCAAGGTCCGAGACTTTGGAAATTGGGAGCGCAAAGGCCCGCTGTCACCTGTTGCCCAGCCCGAACGCTCAGCATCACGAGAAGGCGGCCGACCGCGAACCAACGACGGCAACCGAGCCGACTCTTTCCGAACCGACCGGAAGCCTTCTCCCGCCACCTGGGGTGAAGGCCGACAGGAAGGATCCCGACCTCCCAGAGAATTCAGAGATCGACCAGAGCGTTCAGAGCGCCCTGACCGGCCAGACCGCCCCGAGCGTGCTCCAACTGCTGCCGAGAAGGATAACCAGTGGCGTAGCAACATGCGACCTGACCGCGCCGCCAAGTCCCCCGAGCAGTCCCGTGACGGTAGCGAGGCACCACCCTCACCGGCTGGTTCGGGCCCTGCCGCTCCTGCTGCTCCTGTGGGCCGCCCAAGGCTCAACCTTATCAAGCGAACTGTGTCCGAGGCGCCCGACGTTACATCCCCTGGCCTGTCATCTGCAGGTGGTGATGCTAAAGCGAGCCCCTTCGGCGCTGCCCGTCCTATTGATACGGCAGCAAAGGAGCGTGAAATCGCAGATAAGCGAGACCAGGCTGTGAAGGAGAAGAAGGAAGCTGATGACCAGGCGAAAGAAGAGCGACGCCTAGCCAAGGAAGCTGCAGCAAAGGAGGCTGCAGAGAAGGAAGCTGCCGACGCTGAGAAGGCAAAGGCCGACGCATTGAAGGAAAAAACCGAGGTCCCTGCAGAGGTGAAGGAAGAACCAAAGGAGACCAGCGCAGAAGAACCTGGCGCAAAAGAGCAGAAAATGCCAGCCAGACCTAAGCAAGGTGTCGAGAACCCCAAATCCAGAGCAAACGACAGTGGAAACTGGAGAACAGCATCGGGAGAACAGCGTCAAGGACGTGGTGGGTATGTCAACGCCCCACGCGGCCGTGGCGATGCTCGAGGACGCGGTGCTCCACGGGGTCCACGGGGTAACATGGAAGGCAGACCTCCCCGGGCAAATGGCAGTTCCCCTGTTTCCACTACGGCTACGGGTACTGCGTCTGCGCCGCAGCAACCAGCAGCGCCCGCATCTGCTACCTCTGCTACATCACCTGGCCCCGATGCTGAGGAAGCTCCCAAGGAGCCCGATGGTTGGACTACTGTGCCGCCCAAAGGCCGGCGGGGTGGCCGCGCTTAGGCGTGGCGCCATTGCTGTACGAACAAATATCTCCGGCTCAGGCTCGCTAGGAAGGGGCTTTACTGAACCATAATATCGGATACTCAATGCGAAACTTCTCTCTGATTTCTCAAGGTCCCTTCCTCCGTGATGACTAGCTCGCCGGTCATGATATGACGATGTCCTGGGGCCCTCCAGACCGGTCTGATTTCTGCGCTCAACCTCTCGGACTCCGGTGAATTGCAGAACGCACTGCACTTCATTGCCCCAAGCATATTTCGGGTGTTTCTCTCAACTTTCCTTCACTGAACGAAGACGTTCCGTCAACTCTGTACCGCAACGAATGCCCATTTCGCAACATACACATGAATTGATGGGCTCTTTGTCTCCTATGCCGGTGTTCGCTTTTCCGCATTCTTACCTCCCCCCGTAAGATTTGGCGAAAGACGGGATCTATTCAAGTTTTGAATCGACGGTCGGATTTAACGGCACGCAAAACAACGCTACGATGTAGACGAGATCGGACTGAACGATTTGAAGCATCGCATCGCATCGCCTTATCGACCAGCATATACTCCATGAATTCTGTGCTTCGTCTCTTTCCCGTGTCGGTCCAATGAAAAGTCGCAGTTTGGAGTTGGACGGATCGACGATTGCCCTCTCTTTCCATTTCTCTGCTGTGATGATGATTGGTGCTGCTGGTACCCTCACGGTTCAGAGTCGTTTGGATCATTCAGTCCTTATTTGTCTCGGTGAGCGTTGCAGTCTTGTGTTGTTGTATTGGTTGGTCGGTCTCGGTCGAACGTAGTCGAGCAGGCAGGCAGTGCATGGAAGAGCAGACCACGGCAGAGCGCAATAGAGTAAAGCAAGCAAGCATGTATGGGTATTATACGTCGTTATGGGGAATATAAACCGTGTTTACGAAAATGACGGTCCTAGGGGATGATGACTAAAATGTGCGTGATATCCGCGTGATATACATGATCTATGCGTGCGAAGTGAATTGATACGCAGTACAACGGACACCTCCTGCCTACCCCTTTCATGGGTCAAGCAAAACAATCCCGTATTACACACCCACAATCTATGCTAATTTACTACCTCTTGAATACCTGCGCTCCCAATCGCTCAATATCTCTCCCTTCCGGAGTGGTCCTGCCAGCGGCCTCGAGCAGACGAGCCCACGACTCGGCATCCTTGGCTCTGACGGCCTCCTCAGCGGCCTTGATGCGCAGCCCGCACTTCTCGTACATGGTAATGGCGGCGCCTGGTTCCAGATTCGTGCATTTCGGGATGAAGACCGCGGCAAGGCGCGCGTTGCCTGCTTGTAGGATCTGGTTGTAGAACGGCTGTGGCAAGTCGAATCAGTATACAGAGGGGCAGAGGAGATTTGGTTTGATGGTTATGTGTGCTCACCTCCCAGCCAATGGGACTTTTCTTGACTTTGGCAATATCTTCGATCTCGTTCCAGTCCCGCTTGGCGACGAGTGCTCTCAAACTATTGTGCATCGTCAGTACGATCTCCGTATTCGCTACATATTAGGTATTGTTACCGTATCCACCATGCTACCATCTCCGGCACCTTGAATTCGCTCTGGACCTTCTTGGCTTTGTTCTGATAGCCTAGTCGGATCAGTTTGAATAGAGTCTCATTGACACTCAAGCCCGTGAAGGTATCTGTTAGGTCCCTATCCAGAGCCTCTTGCATCCGCACAAGCGTTGCGGCTTCCTTCAGTGCTGTAAGCTCGAGGTTGTGCTCCTTCGAGTCGGAGAGCAGCTTAGCTGCGAGCGCCAGCTTGTCGCCAGTTGTGCGAGCATCTGGCTGCTGGATAGCCTCGCGGATGAACACCCCAGCACCATCAACCCGGCGATCATCTTGGTAGTAGAGGTCTTTGAGGAGAGCATTGTCGTCCTCTAAGGCCGCGGAAGCCTCCACGAATGCAGTGGCAGCGGGCCGTGCGTTGATGACACGGAAGAAGGAGGCGAGAGGAAGCTTCTTCTTGAGCTGAAGGAGCACGAATAGCATTAGATCCGAGTCTCCGCTTTCGATGGCCTTATCCAGTGCAATCTCATCTTCCTCCATGCTGAGAAGAAGGGGTACTTGTCGGCCAGCTCGCGGTTCATGATTTAAGAGTTCGGTAGCGAGTCGGCCACGGCCTTCGTCATAGGCAGCGCGAGCTATGGCCTCGAATGAGATGCCTGGTTTGCCTGCGAGCTTCTGTACAACCATTCGGCAGATGGAATCATCGTCCTCGGCACCGACACGAACCTTGGCAGACGCCCAGTGCACGTATATCCGGTCTGTCGGCAGACGTAGATATCCAGCAATACGGAGGGCCAACAAATACTCATGGCGGTTGATGAGTCTCTGTATCAAACCCTCAGGTGTCAATCGTTGATACTGCTCGTAAGATAGGGGCATGCCTATCTCGTAATAGCGGACCGCGTTGATGACGCGCAGTGTCTCGCACATATCAACGAAGTCGTCACTGTTATAGATATCCAGCACCGACTTGCCAAAGGAGGCTGCTTTGAGTAGCTGCTTCTGCCAATGGACATTAAACTCTTGGCCAGCAGCAGCTACGCATGTGTCGATCGCTTCAACGAGGTTCGGCCGGATAAGCTGGATATTATCGTCTGCTTTGGGAGACTGGTTGTCAAGTTGGTCCACCGCGTCCAGTAGAACGGAAGCCGGTGATTCAGTCCCGTATCGGAAAACTTCATCGGTGACATCAGGTACTTTTTGTATGAAATCACAAACATCGTTGCTGATGAGCCGGACGCCGTCGTGATCTTCCCATGTTAGCATCAGTACAACAGCAACAGTGTCTGATCTTACCGGCGATGACGTGTACCCGCCCTTCGTACACGTAAGTGGCCACGGCATTTTTCGGACCAACAACGTTGACTTCATCTTCCCAGGCGACAACGACGGCATCATTGCCACACCATTGAAGATACTGAGGCTTGATCTGAGATCGTGAATTGTATTCGCTCAGCCTGTTCTGGAAGTCGGCAGTGATGACATGGGCTTTGCCATCTGCTGTATAAAGTGCGGTAAACTTGCCGTTGGGCGACATGCTGATGTAGGTAAATGGACCGATATCGAGAAAGCGATCTTCGCAGTCGGTCGCATCCACTACATATATCGTCCTGCCTATACTCAGAAGCACCTCTACGGAGCGTGAGAGGGTAAAGCTGGGCGCAACAATGGTCCAGGCATGGACTTCTCCTTCTGGTGCTGTGGCTAGTGCCTTCGGGCGCGGTTCGTCATACGAGGAGACAGATATGAGGACATTGTTGCCGAGTAGGGCAACCATTCCATGGTCATAGAAGCGGCACGAATGCACGCCGAAGTCCTCAGCCTCGCGACCAAGAGAGAACTGGGTGAAGTCCCCCTGAAGGTCATAGTAACAGCGTACGGTGCCGTCACGGCTCACGACCAGCAACTTCTCGTCCTCAGACCAGCCCAGACCCTTGATGGAGCCCTTGTCCCAGGCTATGCTTTTCAGCAGCTTTCCGGCACAGCTGTAAATGTCGATGCTGGGTTTTGTGGTCTTGGCGGCCCGATAGGCCATGAGCTTGGTCTCATCCCGACATATTGCTATGTGACGTCAGCAAAGGCCTTGTACACCATAATAGCGGTGGGAAACGTTCAAAGGTCTGACGACCCTCTGGGAGTAAGGAGAGGAGTTGCTCACCTATAGCTCCGCCATATGGGGCCCCGGCGACGAAATAGGTGTCCAGGTCCACATCCTGGTCGAATATGGCGGTATAGAGCTGAGTCTTGCGGTAGAACTTCACCCCGAGTTGCTCCCAGTCTGCAGTCGGGTTCGCTTTCGTTGCCTGCATCGTCGCCTCACTTCATCATGATGGAAGCATTATGCGCAGGTGGAGAGAAAGAAGCGTGTGACCGCACTCGTGTTGTTGTTAGATGCACCTTGGGATGAGCTGTAGCCTGTAGGTGTGGTGGATAAGGCTAACGGATCCCAGCAAAGGAGGGAGCTAGCCGCATCAGGTGCTCGTCGGCTGATTATGTCATCCGCACGTCCCCGCCAACGCCAACGACTCACCGCCAGGAAAGAACGTCACGGCCCTGAATATCGAGGTCGATTTAATCTTTAAAGTGAGATGGAGCCTCAATGTTCCAGCGAATAATGATTACGAACGATCTTCCAATTCATCATCATCTTGGTTCCCTCTTAACGATTGCGATGCATGGCCAGCAAGATAAATCACCATCACTGCTTTGGACCTCAGTAGGTAGACAAAGTGATTGTCAGTGGCAGCCGTCGTCTTACTACCCACCACCTGGAGTTTATGCAAACATGGCACTTAAGGCTATCATGGCTCCCTTTCTCTGTGTCCAAGTGAACTGAAGCTCAAATTTGACAAGCCCTATTAGACGGACTAGGGTGTCTGTATCGTCATGGACTACTTAAGGTAGTGTTCCCAACCACTGCGATACCTCCTCCGTCTCTTCTTGGTGAGCCTAGCCGGCAAGCCAGCTGCAAAATTAAGCCAAATCATGAGGCTAAGTAGGTGACATGTCCGTGGTCGTGGTATCGCTGGGTGTTCTCCTTCACCGTCACGAACAACTCATGTTTGCATGGATAATTAGGTAGCTTGACAGGTGTCCCGCAGCCATGCAAGAGCCGTATATGTGGCATTGGCAGCTAAGATATCAGAATTCGGAGCATGCAGCGACCCACGATGAATCATCTTAGCCAGCATCCCTTACAATCGGCGTAACGGGGGCCCGAATTAGTCAGCGAGTGGAGGAGGGAGATGGGACTGGCAGACACCATCCGGTATATATAAGTTCTTGAGGTACTGGATAACACATCGAAATCCTGAACTTTCAGGCGAGTTTAGCTAGTATTCTCATTCTAAGTGTATCAGATCTTCATCATGGCCGAGACACGAACCAAAGCGTCAGCAACCGGCGGCTGGTCCCTCCCATCTCAGAATGGGTACGAATCCCTGCAGTACGACCCGGCATCAACACCGGCGACAACACAAGAACTCGGCCCCGAGGAGGTCCTGGTTGACATGCACGCCGCGTCCCTGAACTACCGGGACCTAGCCATCGCCAATGTAAGGGCCCACATACCACCACCACCACCTCCTCTATTTACACGACACGAGCACTTACTAAACCCCCTCCCAGATCGTAAAAAGCGGCCCAATCCCACTCACCACAATCCCAAACCTAGTCCCCGGCTCCGACGGCGCCGGCCTTATCCTCGCCATCGGCACCGCCATCCCATCCCTCCGCCCGTCCCTCCAGCCCGGCACCGACGTAGTAACGCACATGGTGCCGCACCTCCCCGACGCCGCCCTCCCCGGCTACGACGACATCGCCGCCGGGCTCGGGCAGCGCACGCACGGCACGCTGCGCCGCCGCGGGATCTTCCACCACAGCACCCTCGTCCGCAAGCCCGCCACCCTAAACTACGCGCAGGGCGCGACGCTCGGCTGCTCCGCGCTGACGGCGTGGAACGCACTGATGGGTCTCGAGGGCCGCAGGGTGAAGGCAGGCGACTGGGTCCTGACGCAGGGCACCGGCGGCGTCAGCATCGCTGCTCTGCAGATCGCCGTCGCGGCCGGCGCCACCGTGGTCGCGACGACGAGCTCCGACGCCAAGGCGGACCGGCTGCGCGCCCTCGGAGCCGCGCACGTCCTGAACTACAGGACCCAGCCGGACTGGGGCGCGAGGGCCAAGAAACTGACGCCGGACGGCAGGGGCGTCGACCATGTGGTCGATGTCGGCGGGCCGCGGACGCTGCCGGGGGCGCTGGACGCGGTGCGGCGGGATGGCCTGGTCACGGTGTCGGGGATCGTCGGCGGCTTGGACGAGGTGGTGCCGGTGGAGTTGATGAATGCTCTGTGGCACATTTGTGCTGTGAGGGGTGTCTTGTTGGGGTCGCGCAAGATGATGATGGATATGGTCGATTTTATCGATGAGAAACAGGTGCAGATTGCTGTTGATGATGTGGAGTTTAGACTCGAGGATGCGAAGGATGCGTATCGAAGGCTTAAGGATCAGAAGCACTTTGCAAAAGTCGTGATCAAGATGGACTAGACTAGGTAGCAGAGCATGTTTAAACACAATGATCAATTGGTTATCGACTATCTGTGTTCTGGTGCGAGTGGTACGACCTGCATGCCGTTACCACGTTGAGGCTATTTCATCAAACCTCATCCTGCCGCCAACTGGCTGACTTCACCGCCTTCTCAGGTCGGGAGGGCATACCCAACAGGGAAAACCAGAGCTCAGAGCGTCTCGCTGTATGATCTCATAGGCAAGACTAGCGTTTTGCGGTACTGGATATGCTCGTGGCACCAGCAAGGCACTGATGCTGCAACTTCGGCAGCCATCCGAGCTGTGCCTCTCAAGCCGACCTCATCGGTGTGAGTATAGTTTACTGAACTTGATCGTACCTAAGCGAGGGACTCCGAAATGGGTAACGCCGTGGCGCACCGTCTCCCGAACAGAGAACAGTGCACGCCCTCGCCGGGCGAAATGAGCGTCGGGCGTTTTGCATGTGGCCATGAACAGCGAAGATCGTGGACCTACTTGATCTCAATAGAGCCGTTCATCCTTGGCGGTAGCTCTTGCCGTATTTCTTCTGCATCATCTTCTTGTAGTGGCCCTTCTTTCCGCTCGTCTTGGCCGACTGGATCTCGCCATACTTGCTCTTGAACCTTCTGGTGGTATCTTCGGTGTCGAGAACCTCTTCCAACATGGTGCGCTTGCGTTCTTTCTTGGTCATCCTGGAATTGTAGAAGTCGGTCGGTCCCTCGACGATAGTCCCCACCTGCGAGAATTCAGGCAGCGCCCTTGAAGTGTCCTTCTTGTAACTAGTGATACGGCTTAGCGAGTGCTTCTGCCGGGCTGTGTGCAGACAAATTCCGCCTGGTGTCATGACACACGTCCAGCCCACAACGGTCCATTAGGTTATACGTACTGTCTCTTGGGGTCGAGCACGTCTCGCATTCGGAGCAGTTGGAGGTCCCTCTTCAACTCTGGAGTGAGATTCGTCTTCGGAAGGTTGTACCACTTGGAGCCAGCATCAACTTTGGTTGCCTAGCAAGTTGTCGTCAGTATTGAGCATAACAGAAGGTTGTCATGAATCAAGATTGTTGTTGTACGGCAGTAAGTCAGAGTAACTATGATATAGTCTATCATTCTGGCGCAGTAACCTTTCCCATCACGGGATCAATTACTGCTTCAATTAAATTGGGATATTACTTTCATCAGGGAAGCGTGTTGTTGGGGATGTGGGAGAGCATTGCTTGGGGCACATACCATTTCCTTCTTGGATTTCCGGACTTCGGGAACTCTGACGGAAAGCTCCTGGCCCTTGGGTATTGACGGCGACATAGTCAAGGTTGTGGGTTTCGGGACACTGGTCATGCCCTTGGTGATGGTCGTGAGCTCGGAGCTGGACGGCATGGCAAGGCTTTTGCCATTCTGTTCTTGCTGCTTTGCAGCTAATCTCGCCTCAGCTTCGTTCAGAAGCTGGTTGATCTCTTCGTCAGACAGACTAGCCGCAGTTGCGGTCGTGGTCTCTGCCATGGCGGTTGGCAGTTGGACTGGGCTGGTTGTGGTCATGATAAACATTTGGAGCTCTAAAGAAAATCTGTTTGAGCCCCATCCAGTCGCAAAATATTTTGAGGGACCCTTGATTGTGGCTTGATCCGGGAGGTGGGGCTAAATGCACAGATAATGACAATGGCGGTGTGTGGCTGGAGCAGAGTGCATGTAATGAAGCTTGGCAGCTTGGCTGGACACTGCGGGGTTGGTTGGTCACATCCACCGACGGTCTGCCCCCAAGACATTCGAGAGACAGCCGTTGAGATACTGTAGACACAACACGATGAAGCATCTTGAAGCGAACACGTTCCATCATTTCATAGTCAATGTCCAATGCGATGACAGTTGTCTTCTCAAAGTGACTCTAGCAGCCTCAAGTTCAGCATCCCGTCACCGGCGTGCCACCTTGATGAATGAACAACAGGTACGGCCGGTGGTCATGCAGTCATACCGCCAGTACTCTCCAGCGGGTATCTGATGTTAGCCAAGGTTGTTTCTCGACACCAACGTGACCTCGGGAAGCTGAAGATATCACAAGCATTGAGATGCGATCACTAACACAAGTACTCTCTTTGATTGTACCGTATCTCACTTCTATGTGAAGCTGCGTCAGGTCATCTATCACCAGCTCACAGATGCGTTCCAGCCCAACCACATTGCCAGCGCATAAGGTCGATTCCCAGTCGTCAGGCTGCCCTGCCCGGTTTTGTAACTTTCGCGCAGCATGCCAGCTTTACACCGTGAAAAGCACATCAAAGATCCCGTCTCTCTTTCCTCGTCCCATATCTTAAAATAAGACCATTCACGTCATCGTCAGTCGCGAACGAACAGATTCTCTCACCTACATAAGGAAGCGATTGGTCGACCTCTGTTCCTCCAGTCGTGGGTCCCGTGTTATTACCGCCTCTATCAACCACTTCATTGGCAACATTGGAAGTGAACTATTGGGCAAATTTTGTTGAATGAGACTTGGACTTGGACTTGACTTCAACATCGTTAAAGGTACATGCAACGGTACCTGAGCAAACTTTCTTGACCTGTGCTTTTGGACCAACCTAGACGAACCAACGAACCAACGAACCGACTGCCCGCTTGCCCGCCGAACCCCGCCTTCCGCTCAAGTCCAAGTCTGCGCGCAAGTCAGAAAAAGAGAAAAAGAGAGTTATTAAAATCGGAAAAAGCCCTCGACCAAGCAGAACCTCGACAAACCCCGAACCAAACCCACCATCATCACACAAGCCATCCTCAGTGGTTCAACCCCGCGACCAATCAATCTCGCCAATCCTCTCGAGGCCCGAAGCCAGGAAGCTCATTTGTTACATCACCTATCAGACTATTAGTCGTTGCTAGCCAGCAGCAGTTCGTTTGTCGCCGCCACCGTCACCGTCGCCGTTGTAAACAAATACACGCGACACAATACGATACGCAGCAGAGCCGAACCGAACCAAACGAGAGAAACCCGATTCCACAGCTCGTCCGATACTCCCCCGTCATTTGTTGTGTCGGCGCGCTCCTCGGACCTCTGTGGCTTTGGGTGATACCTGTGCGGGTTACCTTTCGGGAAGAAAACGAAGAGACGGGAATAAGTGCCCTTTGGTGTTTCGTCGCGTGCGCAACGCAACCAACGCCTCGAGGGAACTCCCCGCCGCTGCTGCTGCTACCTCAACTGCCCTGACCCAACCTGCGTCGGGCGTAGTTGTGTGCTTGTGTGTGTGTGTCGCGAGCGCCCGCGCAGAGAAAGAAACAGGTCAAAAAGCCGACGCCGAGTCTCGTTTGCCTGTGTCGCCAGTCGTCGGGTCCTATCTTGTGTTGTTTGCGCCCGATTGAAGCCAGTCCCGAGTTCTGCTGCTCGACTGCAATAACGCAACCTGTAAGACTGATTGATTATTCCACCACCATGGATCAATCCTCGTCGAGTCACCCGCAGTCGTCGCGCGGAGGTGGAGGAGGAGGAGGAGGAGCCGCAGGAGGCGCGCCCGCTGTATATGACACAACACACGGAGGTCATTATGGTATGTGCATCGGTTTTGTTGCGAGTTGCCTTTGCTCGTGCGACTTCGCTAATCATCTCTACTTCTAGGTGCCAGTGCAGCAGTGAGTCCCACCGCGCATCCCATCCCCCCCTCTCCAAACAAACATTGCGTTCCCAATCTCCTTCCTTTTCCGACACGTTGGACTGACCGAAACAACCTAATGTAGCTTGCGAATTCAGGCTTCGCGCCAGCCGAGCTCTACACAGGACCCTGGGCCAACGTGCATCAGGGTCTGCATGGCCAATACAAGGATATCCTGACCACGTACTGGCAGCAAACCATCAACCACCTCGAGTCCGACCAGCATGACTACAAGCTTCACCAGCTGCCGTTGGCCCGCATCAAGAAGGTCATGAAGGCCGACCCGGAAGTCAAGATGATCTCCGCCGAAGCCCCTATCCTCTTCGCCAAGGGCTGCGACATCTTCATCACAGAGCTTACAATGCGAGCATGGATCCACGCCGAAGAGAACAAGCGTCGCACCCTGCAGCGCTCAGACATCGCGTCTGCATTAGCCAAAAGCGACATGTTCGACTTTCTGATTGACATTGTTCCCCGTGAAGAGTCCACCAAGCGTCCGAATCCAACCGGTCAATCGCAGTCTGGCCAAGGCGCACCGTCGGCAGCACCTGGCCAGCAAATGCCTGGTCAGCACGGAATGCCTGGCGCTGCAAACCATATGGCACCTGCCGGTTACATGGGAGAGCACGCGATTGCGCCCGACCAGCAGTATCGTGAACCGCCGCCCATGTATGCCAACCCAGTCCAGGCTGGACCAGGAGCGCCGTATGGCCAGCAGCCGCCACAAGCCATGTATGGTGACATGGAAGGTATGTACGGGTATCCGGGGATGCCTCAGCAGCAGTAGAATGCTCAAGGCACGCCGGATAACCGTGGAAATCAGGGGGTACAGCAGCAGCAGGATGATGCTCAGGGCACGTTTGAGGAGGGGTTTGAGAGAGTCGTGGGAAGTGTTCTACCTTCAGTCGAGCATGGTAAGGAGATGCAGACAGAAGAGGCACCAGTGCCCTCGGGTGCTCACATCTATGGGTCTCAGAAAGCGGCTGAACGTGCAAATTCGTCGCGTGCTCACATCCATGGGTCTTAGGAGGCGGCTAAGCGTGCAGAGTCGGCACCTTTTCTTACTACGCCAAAGAGTGAGGAAATGCGCCGAACGCTTGACGATTTCGACTTTCTCGACCTTCTCGACCCCGATTTCGACTTTCTTGGCCCTGCGTTGCGAAAGCCTGAGGGTGCGAATGGAGATGCGCGAAAACAGTAGGGGTCGCCCATGGTACAAAGGGGTCTTCGTGAATATCATCCAGGCGGCATAAGTCTCCTTTTCCTTGCTTTCCTTCATACTTAATTCGTTTCGGTATGGCGTAGGGGACTAGGGTTCAGGGGCAAAGAAATACTCCATCGATGAGCATCGTGTCTGCTACTGCTGCGAATTCGCAGTGCAAAGAATGCAAATTGATACTTTTACACATTATCCACCGGGCTTGACTAAATGCGTGAGATGATTGGCAGCTCATTTGGTACCAAACCGAGACGACAGGTTCGACGAGAAGTTGGCGAAACGTTGCGACGCTTGGCCAGGACTGGATATCTGGTTGGTGAGCCTGTGAGTTGTGTTAGCCGCCTGCTCCGCGCGAGTAATAATTCAAGATGATTGCAGATGGCATAACGTACTTTTCCAGCAGCAGCGGGCCGTTCATAGCATCCACTCGGCCGTACTTCTTGTTGCGCGTCGAGACGTCGAAGAACTCGTCCGTGTTCTCTGACCGCAGCAGCTGAATAGTCTGCTCCAATTCGTCGAGATTCGAGCGCAGCATGAACCCGTTTTCGAGGCTGTCGACGAAGTCTGTAAGGTGCTGAACATCCTTCGAGAGCGCCATCACGCCGTTCGGGTTGATCTTCTTGACGTCTGGAGAGAGGGGCAGGGCCTGATGTGCTAGGGGGTCAGCGTTGACGCATACTGGAGAGTGGTTGGATGGGAGAAGGGGGACACTGACGAGGATCTTATTGGCTGCGTGACTGAGGGCGTCGAAGTAGATGAGCTCCTTGATCTCTCTCGGTAGTCCCAGCAGTGTCGAGTTCATGATATCGGAGAGATATACGGTCAGAGTCTGCATGTAGCTGCTTGGCTCCGAGGGCTGGTTGTATCCCGTCCAGTCGTACTCCGCTGTGTCCACAAGGTCATCGATCTTCGAATTGACCAACTCGAAGATGCGCTTCTCCGCCGTCTTCTTGTTCTCTCTGAACTGTTCAGTGGCCCCGAGGGTCAACGGCCCACCTGCGGATGCGGACGAGCGTGCCCGGATAAGAAGCTGCTCTAGCTCCTGGCACGCAGTCTCGAAGTGTTCCAAGTTGATCAAGATCTGTACTATTTGACCCAGATACTGCGAGCTCAGTCTTTCGACAAGAGACTGGCACACCTTTTCTGTGAGGAGCTCGTCAAGGGACTGTTCCGCGGTCAGAGAAATACCCTAGCAAGTGTTATTAGGGAGGGAGGCCTTACTTTGCGCAGAGTATCGTCAATCTTGTTCGGATGCTGGAAGTGATCGTCCGAGAAGAAATAGAACTGGTTGAGGAAATTCCTAATGTCGATACAACACAGTGGGTACATCTGCGAGAAGGGCAGAACACAGGGGAACCTGTGATGGTTAGACGCGTTTCGTGATGGGCATCAGGGTAGTTCGCTTACGTCAACTCTTCGATCGGTTTGTCTTGATTAAACCAGCTAACATTGACGACCTTATCGTACTCCTCTCTGGAGTTGATAGCCATTGGCATGTAGTCATCAGTTGACACGATCTTTGAGAGGTTAGCCTGGTTCCCGCAGCAGCAGAAAAAGATGACCGCACCTCTTGAAAATCCTCGCTGAATCTTCTCTTGAGTAACTCTGCGTATTTGTCGAATAGTGTGACTAGAAAGTCGTCAAGTCTCACAACTGAGTAGCCCCATCCCTGTGCCTGCGAGTTAGCACTGCTTCACTCGGGAGAGTCAAGTCCCCTACCTCCATGGTCTGGATGAACAGAGCGATTACCCCCTTCAGCTTCAAGAGAACTTCGGCGTTACCGACGTCACCTAAGGCTTTCGAGGTCAACGATATTGCAGTAGAGCACATTGAATCCCACAATTCCTCAACCTGCGTGTGTTAGCGGCATACACGGAATAGTAACTGGAGATATGCATACATCGATGGCCGTACGAAGTTGCGGCGCCCTTCGCATCGTTGCTTTTTCAATAATGGCAAACCCGGCAATGCCCTCCAACAGACTACTTAGAGACTGCTCGTCGTCTGTTGTAAGGCTTACAGAGCTTGGTAGAAGTAGCTCTTTTTGTCGTCTTCTTGTAGCAGCGTACTCGGACCGAAACTTATCGCTTTGCCCAAGGGCCTCATGGATATGCAGAGCCTCGAAAAGGGGGGTGAAGTCGACCTGGCTGGAATTAGCCGCACCGTACCGTAAGGTTATGGAATTCAGAACGTCCTTACCTGCAACTCCTCGTTATCGAGCACGTCGAACTCCTCACTTTCGTCGAAAACTAGTTCAATGGCCGAGTTTAGTTTGAAATTGTTCAAAAAATCGTCATTCTCGACTCGTTCTCGTTGGCGAGACCGACGCATCTCTGTATGGTAAAATGCAACCTCTCCAAGGAACTGCGAAGTCTCCCTTATACGATATAGCCATGTGTTGAGATCTGTCATGACTGCTTCGGAAATAGTCTTTTGCGAAGCTGGAATGGACTTTTGGATCAGATCGGCCAGCCGATGCTGAGTAGCATACTTGTTCTGTATGGTGGGAATAAGGAATTCGTTCTGGAGGTCGTCGAGAGACTTGAGCGCGCCATAGTATTTCTTCTTCCGGATCAATTCATGCGCGTTGTTGACAGCGTGCAGTATCTTCAGAGACTCCTTCAGCGCATCGGACACGTCGGATATATTCTCCCGGACAGCGCGTGTGTTGACCAGCGCTTGCTTTTGCTCTGCCAACTTTTCGGTGCTAGCTTGTATGGACTGGTTCAGCTCGAGGATATCGGCCGTCAGAGTGACGGTTCGTTCGCGAACGTTCTGGAGCTGATTGACAGAGCCGAGGAACTCTTCATGCTTCGTCAAGCCTATCCTCTCGATCTCGGATTCCCGGTCGTCGGCGTACTGCGAAAGGGTTTGGGTGAGGGCGCTCGAGCGGCTGGTGATGGTCGCATCTTTGAGGACGGGGATGAGCTGGTCGAGGAACTCGCCGTCAGAGGTAGACAGTATGATCTGCTGGACGGCTGAGCCGTAGTCGTCGTAGTTCTGTACCCTTCGCACCATATTGACAGCCACTGCCGAGCAGCTGGTACAACAAGGGGGTGCGACTCCGGATCCGAATGAGAAGTACGTAGGGAGGGTATGGAATCTTATGGTTTGGGCCACAACAAATGGCTATTTGAGTATTGTGTCGTTAACCAGGACCACATTCCGAAATGGCTGGGCGGCGGGATGGTTAGCAGAATCGCAGAGTCTTGTCGACACACAGAGCCGCTGAGTATGGATGTATTCGCCGTTCGGATCCAGGTGCCCCGGTGTTTCTTAAGAACTTGCAGGTGCAGCAGGCAGGGATTCGGGAAGCTGGGGGAGCCGCATTGCCAGATGTTCCCCAGTCTTGAGAACAAGTCCAGCCCCATACTGCCTGTGGCTGGTGCACATCTAAGACTGTGGCGCATAACTTCATCCCAAAACTACTACTAGAATCATCATATTCTGCGAACCACGAGCATGAACGTGTGCCATCAGGCCTAGACACCAGATAGCAGCTCTTGCCGGAGACTCCGTCTGTATCCCTAATTTCAAATTTCGCCATCTAAACCGTGGTCTTCGCTTGACGCTGCTTTCTCCAGCTCACCCCAAATAATCTACTCCATCGTGGTTGGCGAACTGCCATTTCAGAACCCGGGAGGGAAATCCTGCAACCCTGATTCGCTATGTGGGCTAGACCTGTACGTAAACAGAGTCCTACGCTTCCATGTACTGGAAGACTACACGTGGTCTATCAGACAAGCTACTCACTTGCAGCGCCCTTCTTTGATGATTGGCGCACGCCTCATGGTTGGTTGGGTTGATGACCTCCAGACAAATGATCCCATGCCGGGTCTTTATTCAGCTACGTGACATGACTTCAGATGGTGTGATGCCTTTCTACATGTCTACCTAGCTTATCAATCTCACTTGTCTGATACGCGGCATCTGATCGATATTGCTCGGCTAAGGACATTCCAAGACGGAAGTCTCCATGCTTCGACACAGCACAAAGAGGAGATGACTGTTCAGAGCCCAGGCGGCTTCAATATGCCGAAGCTTCGAGGTCGAGGGAAAAGACGAACAGAGTTCAGCCATGAGCCACCAAAAAAATCGGTAATTTACTCAAGGTTACAGCAGAGCCTGGATTGATTCCACATCATCGATACCGCCTCAATCTGCTGGGTTAGGAAGACGAAAGTCAATATGCCGAAGCACTCAATGGTTTCAACAACCGCCTCTGGGGAAGACGACAACCATCTACTCGCGTAGTTCTCCTAGGACTTCCCAGTGCATCAGGAGATTGAATGGCATGCAAGGACCTGGATCGAAATAAGGTGCTCAAGTCAGAAAGGGGCTAAGACTAGGCAAACCACAGAGTTGCAAATGTCACCGGTGTAGGACCCCGGCTACCCACGTGTGCACTCGTGTCATTGCTGACAGTCAGATAGTGATCGGCCCTTGATCACGGCCCAGGTGGTTGTCACCTTTGAATCACCCTCTTGGTCTATTGGCTGATAAAGGTCCGATCAAAAATGGGCTTGTTTGCTAATGTGATCCCAAAATGGCGGAGAAGCAGAGAGGTTCAGCCGGAGTGGACACATCCGTGGATGGATCTGTTTGGTGCTTTTCATTGGGGTGTCGACAAGGAGAGAGAGATACATGTAGAGCATGAATCAACCTGGCTGGCAAAACTGTAAGTGGTCCGCGCATTGCCTTTTTTTATCACACACTCGACGAGCCAGAAGGTATTGCAATTCAGCTGGAAATGCAACGAATATTCAGTGCACGTCTACCTAAGAATGAACCATGTAACTTACCATACTCTGAATGCAGGAGTACCAATACCCAAATACATGGAGTCCAGAGTCCAAAAGACACAATCAATTCCACCTGCAACCTTAATCATTGATTGCGGAGCCATGCCCCTTCTGGGTAAGCTTGCTGCGTGTGAGTTGTAATGGAAGGCAGTTACGCCATTTGCGTCTGAAACGAGTTCCTTCCCACCAGTAATGCCCAGTCTGTCTGGCTGGCGCCTTCCTCGCATTTACCAGCAGTCACTGAAATCTCTGACACACATGATTTCAAGCTGAGTCCCATGCCCATCCAGACTAACTGGAATCCTCTCCTTCACCCTCCTCCCTGTCTTCCTCTCAACACTCCAACTCTCTCACTCAGCCTCGAGTCATCTCTAGCACCTGTCATCCCTCCGCCCCTAGAACTTGGTATTGCCTTGGTACGGCTTTGAGTCCGCCCATTGTTGAATTGGTTCTTGATCCATTCAGATATCCCCAAGGGCACCGCTTGGACCCGGGACTGCATCGACACCCACCTCAGCAATCCGTTGGCCTGTGCAGACAACATCCACGAGGACACACGATCGTCAAGCATCCCCTCAGGACCCCGTGGCCACTCTCGCAGCACTTCCACTGCATGGACCACACTGCAAAGACCCTTTGGTGCTCCGTGATCGCATAATACCTACCTGCCCATTCACAGCTTCCCATACAACCGCATTGTCAGTGGTATTCCATTGTCGCTGAACGATCTCGAGGTTCTGCCACACCCTTGGAATCGGCGATTACTTAAACCCACATCGACGAACCAGATGAGCAGACTCCCGTCATCTTCCATACCGTTTCCCTGTAGGTTCAACGTTGTCGATGATCTTCTGTCCAATTGCTGACAAGTTGCTGTCATAGTCGAAGCAAAACCTTGACCAGATATTCACATCTCTGTTCGCCACACCTTCCTCAAGATACCGCACGGCTCTGACGCCAAATCTCCACCCTAATCGACGCCACCTTTACAGACTATATCTTGATTCTCCTGGAGAACCGTCTCCACCCCTAGTCACCCCTACTGCCCAAGCTGCAACAGCAGAACAACCACCCAAAGCGTCAGTGACTTGGACCACACGTCCATATTCTCGTTCCAGTAAGTTGAAGCCTCGTACTGTCCCGGCTTTCGTCTCTCGATTTCCATCACCACCTTACCTTCATCTGAGTTTCGCAAGCACCTCTCCATCTCTTTACTCGCTATCCCCAAAGAGTAGCCCCACACCGTGGCTTGCATCTCCTATCTGACTGCCCGTCTGCTCCCCACCTCCCGTACTTGACCCCCTACTACCACCCAAATCTTCAATAACCTCGACTTTTCCCAAACGGGTATTGCACCTTGATCCTTCAAGCCTTCATACACAGTGTGACTGGGCAATACAACCCTTTGTAGTTGCTTCAATTTGGTGGCATCTCCAGAGCATCGTGATATTCCGCTCTCCAGATTGCACGACTTGACCAGAGATACAAGAACCTGAAGGACAACCCTCTGAACCGTCATTAGCATTTGCCTTCTTCAAACGATACCGCTACGGAGCTATAGCTAACTCTGACAGAATACAGTCGAGGCTTGATCCTGATCTTCTTCTCATACCATCAATCTATCTTGATCGTACTGCCACGTACCGCAGCCCGTGGAAGACAAAACACCAGGTCTATAACACTCGGCGACATCACAGCGCACGTAGCAAGGTTCGTATCTTGACCCCTTACCTGCGGTCGTCTGCTTCAATTATCCTCCCCGCGAAACCTTCCGCCACCCTGACACGGATAGCTCAACATATATGCTTCACCTTTCCATCCCACAAACCTCCGGTTCCGCACAATGCTTGCCTCCTTACTGACCACCTAGTATATCAGATTCCATACCTCGCTTTCTGCACTCGGACAGCGATTCTCAGGAGAGCAACAAGACGGCAACCTCTGTGCTGGATCCAACCCCGCACCCTATCGTCCAAGACGTCGGATCACTTACAACAGCATACGCATACGCCGCGATTCCCAGTAGCACACCAGTCGTTCGTTATATTCACTTCTGTGAAATAGTTGGGTAGGCAATGTCCCGGCCCATTCACTTTTGCAGTTTTGACTGAACTCTTCACGTAGTGATCATTGATACCTTCTTTCCATTGATCTCTTCAGATAGATCAGACCATCTGAAGGATAGCGATCTACTCAGCCCCCAGCCAACCCATTGTCAGTGTCCATTTACCCACATCCGCGCTCCTGCCCAGCGCCGCATCCCCACCATCTACACCTACTTCCTCAGCCCATCATCTCTGGACCAGTTCCTTGATCATCCAACTGACCCTCCTGACAGAACCATCAGTCCCAACCACCAGACCCTCCTGACAGAACCATCAGTTCCAACCAGCGAGACGTGAATTTCAATCGACCTCGATTCTCCGGACCGTCGATATTTTGCCATCCTGGTAAAAACCTGAGGCCATTTCCATCTTCTCCATTACCCCACGAGATCATAGCAAGGTACTTACATAGTCTTTTGCCCGATCTGAGGCACGCAATGTGAGTTTGATCCGAACCCCTATCAATGGTCATCACTACCAAATCGGATCATGTGAATGCATTGCCCGACAGCGGATTTTGGGCCTTTTCATTCATGGACTTTGCTAACTTTACTTCCAACAGTACGGTACCAGTTCCAATTTTCAGTCCCAGGACTCATCTTCCCAACCTCCATAACCAGACGACTCCGATTCTCGCAAGATTTCCTCCGAATGTATAGCATGCATCGATTCTCTGAGGTGCCTGCTAGTTCAGCAAGCAACATGAGCAACCTACCTCAGAATCGAGAGGCGCACTACAACCCTGCGTCGCCTCATTCGTCCAGTGGTGCAGCCGATTCTTTCAAAGGCACCCCGGACACGCGACTCACAGCCTTCTCTCCTGACGACGGCTCCTCCAAGTCCTCCCGGGCATTGCAGTCTCTGAACTTCGGCAACCGAGACAATGGTCCCATTCGTTTCGCGGTCTCCTCTCCGCGCTCGCGTGAGCTTCTGCGTTCGCGAGAGCTTCTGCGTTCGCGAGAGCTTCCGAGCTCATTCTACCGCAACAATCTGCAGCTCGAGAAGGACCCGTTCGTGTCGTCTTCGGCCACCGATGTAGCCAGATCGGCGCAGAAGCTATCGCCAACGGCGTCGGTTTTCTCACCTTTCCCCACGCCCACCATTACTCGCGGTTCAGCCTCAGAGCCGATCGGTGCCCCGAGACCGGGCTCGAGAGATCGTGGCCAGGTCCAAGTCCAGTCATCTACAGACAATGCCCAGCAGGTCAAGTTTGTCCACACCAGCCTGAGCACGGATCTCGGCATTTCGAGATGCCTAGTTCTCTCCATTTCCGGAGATAGACTTGGTGCTGTCGAGGTCGGACACTATTTATCGGTAATACTCCCGCATTGACACTAATCTGTTTGCATGAGCTCACCAATGACAGGACCTAGATTCGACAGGTACTCAATTCGAGGGAGGCAGACAGATCTGTGACGGTGGAGACCGGGTGTTTGTTCGTTTCGCCAATATCCGCGATGCTTGCGCTGTGTTCTCAAACATCACCCTTGGATTCAACCGGAATTGGTCTGCCAATTACATTGCCCCGCGCGAATTCTCTCAGGTATTTGGTCACTTGTACAAGAAGCCAGGGCATGTCTAACAATGTGCATAGATCGTGGAGCCCGCATCCGGCCTTGTCACAGCTCACGAAGCACAGCTCTACCTGAACGTCTTTGCCACCCCTGCATCCTTGCACGCGGACATGCAGCAATTGGAGGCCACCCTCAAGACCATCCTACAGGAAGAGGGTGATCTCTTTGCTTACAAGGCCCAGCCGACGTCCGGAGCAGAGGGCAGCATCTACAGTGCCGTTGCGGAGTACTGTGACAATGATGTGTCCCTCCGTGCCATCTCGAGATTCAACAATTTCATAGTCGAGGTGAGTTTGAGGTATCCATTATGGTATAGATACAAGTCATGGCTAATAGTTTACGCAGGGCGGATTCCAGGTCTGCATGGTGCTGTTCCGACCCGACATTCCTTCGTTCGTCAATGCAATGCAAGGCAGTATCGTCAGCCCTGCTCGAACTACAGCTGACGCATCGGACTTGGTGGGAGGCTTTACCCGGATGTCTATGTCTTCAGGGCCGCAGTCGGTCATGCAGTCCATGCGCAATACTCCATTCAACACTCCGGCTCGATCCCCTGGATTCCACTTCCAGCCATCTTACGGAATGGTACCCGTTGTGTACCAAGTTCCCGTCAGCCCACCCTACGTATTCGACCAGGTTCCCTCGCGTTGCCAGAGTGCTGCGATGTCGTCCAGCGGCTATCCCTTCCCAATGATGGCTCCAACTACTCCCTACACATCACATGAACTTATGACCCCGCGTCATTTGCAGCAGACATACGGTCGACGACAGAATGCCATGCGAGTGGCTAGATCCCCTTACTACCAGCAGTCCAATCACCATAACCATGTCGACGTCAACCGAATTCGGGAGGGCACCGATGTTCGCACAACTGTAAGTCGCCTTCCCACTGGAACATCGAACGTGAGCTCACCAAGGACAGATTATGTTGCGAAACATACCCAACAAGGTTGACCAGGCGATGTTGAAGAGAATCGTTGACGAGTCCAGCTGGGGAAAATACGACTTCATGTACCTTCGCATCGACTTCGCCAACGATTGCAAGTAAGCTATCTTCGGCTCCCCAGAATGGGACGTTATTGACATGATTATGCCAGTGTCGGTTACGCGTTCATCAACTTCGTGGATGTGAGTATTTCAAACACCCCAAGTATCTGTATTCGACTAACTTGCCTTTAGCCCTTGGACATCATCGATGTAAGTCCGCATATATATATACGATGGGTGTGGTCCCCTCTGACTCGTCCTCAGTTCGTGAATGCTCGAGGCAATCAACGCTGGAATTGCTTCAAGAGTGACAAGGTCGCCGAGATCTCGTATGCCAGTAAGTCCATATAGGGAACTCCAAGCGTGTCGTGTGCGCGCGTAGGTTATCACCTGCTGACACGAACAATAGCTATCCAAGGCAAAGACTGCCTTGTCCAGAAGTTCCGCAACAGCTCTGTCATGCTTGAAGCTCCCCATTATCGACCCAAGGTGAGTCTATTCACACGACGGCGGTTTCCAACCTGTAGCTAACCGTTCCAGCTCTACTACACCTTGAACGGCCCATGCCCCGAACTCTCTGGGAATGAGGAGGCCTTCCCCGAGCCAGACAATCAGTCAAAGATGAAGAGAAGCTGCGAGAACGCGGAGCACGTTGGTAAGTGATTCTAGCCTCTGTCATTTGGATTGTGATTGGGGTTACTGACGGGTCCCGGACAGGTCTCTTTACACCCAACGCTGGACAGCACTTCCGGGATGAGCAACGTCGACGCCGCTCTCAGTTTGACCGTGGAACTCGACTAGCAGCACTCGAGGAATTCGACTATGATGCATCCTCGCATCAAAGTCGGTACTCCCCGCAGTAATTCCCTACGGGGAATTGGTGTTGAGGTAGATGATACCAGCCTGAAGGCAGCATGCCCGAGGGTTCCTCAACATACCACTTACACATGGTGTCTCTTTGTACATTATTCATTCCAGCGCATGCTTTAACCTCCTCATACCTATCCTTTGTTGGGACATTCGGCGGGAGGACGAGCGACTATCACGATATGCGAGGGCTCCGCAGATCGGCCACGCCGGTGACAACGTTAACCTCGGAGCCGGCGGGCGTGATGCTCTCCCTGGCTACGATTCATTCCTATCCTCTACCTAACGAACTATTCGGCTGAAATCCAGCCATAACAACCACTGGCGATGGGCACACCGTTCACCACCAGTGAGACAAACCAGCTCTTCTCATTCATATTTTCTGCTACGACTCGACGTCAAGCGACATGCCTCTCGGCAACACTGGAGTCCATTCATCATGGGACTGAACACGTTTGCGGTTGACGCGCACGCTATTTCGGCCGGTTGTCTTTGCGGGCGATATTCAGGCTTTGGTTTCGGTTCCGTCTGCTATCAATGACGTTCGACATTCCGTCGTCGTTCGACCAAAAACAACCACAAAACGAGTATCTGCTTCTCATTTTGGCCAGCCATCATTTGACCATGAGAGATGATATTGACGGGGATTAGTCAACTTGACCCAGAGTCCTGAGTTCCTTTCTCGACAAGAAATCTGGAAGATCAGAAGCGCTTGAGGGTTGAACACCCCTATGTAATTAAACATTCATACTCCTGATATTCAGATCAGTTTCCGCACTCATTACAGTTCCATCTTGGAACTCAGTTCCGAGAGTGACGGTCAAGGATCTCTTACATGATCTGCTAGATGGTTTTAGTCTCTAGGATGAAGTGGCAGATCATCCTGCTGCACTTCGAGCGGCACACGCCGAGCATAACCTAGATGAGTAGAGGGTGAGCGCCCAATACACTCACCACTATGGGGCATCAGGACACGTCGCGATGACTGTCTGCAGACTTTCTCGCACCGAACAAGAAAGATCTCTGTCGATGGTTCGGCCCCGTTCCTGGTAGTCCCATAGCCCGAGTAATCCGGTGCCAAGATCTGCAGACGAGCTTGCATAACAAGGGAGGAGACCGTTTAGTCCCCCAATCCTCTTCCATCATTTCAACTCGGATCCAAGTTAATTGCCCAGCTGGGGAAGAACCGGCTGGGGCAGACTCGTCGACGGCATGGGCCAGACACACCCACCTGCCATCCACAACACCGTTATCTTCGTCGTTATGGGCATTCGGGTCCATCAAAGATGCAGTGAATTCGATATCAGACACACTAGATTCTAACAGCATCCGGGTGACTTGTGACTCAATGGCTGTCTAGATACCCTAGCATTCGACATCGACTTCCCCGAATTGAGAACGATGAGGGTGGATACGCAGCCGACCCTTCTTCTTGCTTGTAAGGTCACCTCCCCGAAGAGTATCTGCCCAACGGCACCGAGTCCACCGTTGGAAGCATAGGCAGGTATTGCGCCATCAATCTGCCATCTTCTCGCGGTCGCAAAGGCTGCTGCAGCGGACTCGATCACGCTGTCGGTGTCTGCCACCCGCAACAGACGCGTGTCTAGGGAGCTAGGTGACCAACTTACCCTCGACCAGATAGCAGCCCGCAGCATACGTGGTGTTGACGCCGGCGCGACACCCTCCTGATCTTTCAGGTCCTTCGGTCAACAACCACATACATCAACTGCCTCTCACCTTCGATGTGTTCGCAAAAGCTTCCTCCAGAGTAAACGCGGGAGGCGGTTGCAGCGTACCATATGGACATTAAGACTGCTGCCAGAATCCTCATCTTTCATCCGGCCCGTCACTGAGCAGACCCCAAAGCCGAGGTAGTCGAAGAGGGAACCGGTGTTACCAAAACCAGCCAGCGGAGTCGCAAACAACGATACAAACATGAAGCTGATGTGGCTTGGTACAGAGCCTCAAGACGATGTCATCTTGAGGACGTTCATGAGCGCAAGTGCTCGTGTTTCCTGCTGACTGGCGACGATGCTCAAGATGTCAAGTTGCCAGCAGCCATGTCGGGATAGGGTGCGAACAAGGCCGTCTATGGAGCTCTGGAGATATCGAGGACAGCTACTGACGGTGCAATGCTGTGCTCATCCGCATAGGGTTGGTTCTTTTGGCCAATGACCGACTGGGGACAACACGGACGCAGCTCGATTCATGGGTCGACCGCTTGAAACTGATTCAACCTTTGCAAGACCTTCAATCTGGCCTTCTTCAAGGGGCCCGCCTTCTTACACGCCTTTTTCGACCAGCGCTGGCCAACCGTCAATAGGCGGTGTCTGCAACGCGGTAGTCGAACTCAGTTGGAAGATTGACTGGCATGGGCGTATCATTCGACATGATGTGCAAGGATCAAACCGATTGAGACGCGATAGACTGGTGTCCTTTCATACTGGACTCATCCGCAGGCCGCTCGCACACGCGCATCCACTTTGGTATTCTGCTTCGGGGGCCTATGTGCCCCTGCCCAGCTTATCAGGTCTTCAGGAGACCTAAACAATAAAGGCCAACGAACCTCCAGATCAGGCAAGCAAATTACTTGTGATTCTCATGAATGCAGGGAGTCTCCAGTGAAGCTCCCAGAGTGTCGCCGATAGCCACGCACAATTCGTGAAGCCTCATGGCAACCATATCCTGAAGGTTTCAGTTGCAGGCTAGCGAGCCAACCCAGCTGCAGCCTCATTCTCTGCAACGATATGACAGTGGGACCCCCCTACGTCAGTATTACCGTAGCAACGAGCCTCTGTGTTGGGGAAGCGCAACTAACTGACGGTGACGGCTAGTTTTGCCCTTCATCACGGCCCAATTCAGGTAAAGACAAACACAGCCTGGTTTATTCCCCACAGGACGGCCACCAGTGATCTCCAGGTGGTCGGTCAGGGGACAAAAGTGCTCAATAACTTTACAAGGCGCCCATTGAGCCATCGGAACCTGGTTTCACCACCCCCTTGTTCTTTACTTTTCTTATTTCTTTTTATTCTCGCGACTTTCATCTCAACCGTCTTCTCCTCAGGAGAGACCCTACCACCAGCCCGACCCGGACTCTCTCACGGCGAATTCGTCTATGCAGGTGAAAGACCTGCCAGAAAGGCTTAGTGTCAGGCTGACTGCGTACACACCACGGCAAGCCAAACGACGAAATTGGCTGCGGCTTGCTGGGTAAGGAACTGACTGGAAGGGTATGGATGGAGGCAGGGTGTTGGATTACAGAGCATATTCCCGGGTTCTTAGGTAGACAATCATATCTCTGTGTAAAACATCTTCGCTGGCTTGGTTTTGTGTGACGTTGAAGGTGCAGAACTACCCGTTACATCAACCCGCAGCGGGACACCCGGCTGCTACGACGGCCACTGAAGAGGTTAAGTGGCAAGGAATACACTTCTACTTGAATTGCGTAAGGAAATAGGGGCTGGTGACAGTGTACTGCTTCAGGACAACCACCCATAGACAAACTAACCCTCCTCTAATGTGCGTTTACTGAGCTACAAGTTGCATTTGATCACACAGCAGCAAGTCCAACGATTCATCGTCTCATCATCATATTCATAAACTCGTATCTAGGAGGTATCTAAACTGAATCAATCAACCAACCAACCAGGCCATCAATCAGGATCCTCCGGTAGAGTAGGCAAGGGTTTTTGAGCCGGACCAGCATGCGGTATCATGGGCCTGCCAGATCGAGTTCCGTACTCGGCGATGTCAACCTCGGACGTGGGTGTCAGCTGCCTCTCCGACTGCCTCGCGAGCAGGTCTGGGTAGCTGGAAGAACCCCCTCCGGCAGGAGTGCCGTGCTCGCCATTTACGCTCCCTGCTGCTGAGAAGTAATCACCGTTGGGCGTCAGCGCTGGCTCTGAATCGTATCCTATATCGACGCTAGCAGGCGTGGCTGGCTGAAAGTATTCCATGCACTGTGGATCGGTAAACGCTCTATTGGGCGATACGGGCCGCTGACTGGAGTGGAAACCTGTCCCGCGCGAGTTTGGTCTGCGCTGAATCTCAGGGGACTGGCTTGGGCTGCGGCTGCGGCTGTCCTCGAATCGCATGCCTGGTTGTGCCGAGTTGCGCAGGCTCCCGTTGCTCACTGGCGAGCCGTTAGTGGAGTGGGGCTCTACAGCAGTGAGATGACCAGCATTGTTAAGGCTGTTCTTGTGGTGCGGCACCTTGGGCGTGGACGGGTATATGGGAGACGCGAGCCTGGAGGACGAGCCGATAAATTGGTTGGGATAATACGACTCGACGCTCGCTCCGGCCAAGCCGCCGCGCGAAAAGATGACCAAGACGAGGCAGCCAAGCAGCAGCACGCTCTGTAGGATTGCCATCCGCTTCTGGAACACGACCTCGTCCGCCAGCATACCGAGGCGTGAGCTCAGAGCCACAATCTCACGCTGGGATTGTTCGCGTTGCGTCTCAAGCGCGATGACAGTTGACTGCCAGATCTGGTCATATTGGGTCCTGGCCTCTCGGAGCTCGCCCAAGACTGTCTTGTTGAGTGTGTCGAGGAACCGGTCTACTTTGGCGACTTGCCGCTTCTCCAGCCTGGCGAGCGCCTCTTGGAGGAACTTGGATTGAGATTCGATATATTGCATGGACAAGGTTGTGTTGGACTCGAGGGTTTGCAGACGCTTGGTCAGCGCCTTGAAGAACGAGTCTTGGACGGTGGGAGTCGCCGCCCCTGAGGAGGTTGTAGTACTCGTCTTGTTGCGTGGTGTGGTCGGTGAGCTGGGAGTGGCCTTGACGGACGACCTTGAGGACGGTGGCCTTATAGAGGTCGGAGCAGTGGTTCTGTTCCTTGGACCACTCTGACCAGTCGATGTCTCGACAGACACTTGCGACGAAGCAGTGCTGGATGTAGAAGTCGAGATATTTGCCGCGCTGGGTTCAGCGGACGGCATTGACGTAGGCGCCACATCTGTGGTGTGCGTAGTCGAACTAGCTTGTTTTTCCGAGGAAGCAGAAGGTCGGTCATTAGAGACCTCGCTTGATGGCTCAGTAGTTTGCGCCGTCGTGATCTCTGCGGAAGAGCTATTCGCCGTCACGGCGCTTGTCTGCTCAGCAGTACCTGCAGGTTGGGACCTTGTTGGAGCAGCCTCTCGCTCTTCTTCTTCATGACTCTGTGATGTGGGATGTGCTGTAACTGATGCTGCACAAGTCATCTGAGGCGCGAAAGCGCGCTGGAAGTATGACTTATCCCAATACGGCATGCAGACACGCTGTTCTACCACCATCACGGTTTTATTCTCAACTTGAATAGGCTCGGCCACCGCCGTCTCTTCCGGAGGCTCTTCGACAACTTCGATTGTCTCCTCGATCAATTCAGACATGGCCTTGCTGCTCTCTTCTTCGCTGTCAAGATCAGCTGCATCAGCTAGTTTCCATGAGTCCAGCATGCGCATTCCGTGGACACGTAAGAGCGATACTGGGCAATAATATTCGTTGCCGTAGTGGCTAAGGATCTCGACGCGCAGATACCTAGCCCAATCCTGGGGGTTCTCGACCAGGAAAGCCTGTATGTCTCTCGAGTTGCGAGCTTCGAAGTTGCCGAGCTCCTTCCACTTCTCCAACTTGACGGGATAGCGGTCGCTGATACTGACTCTGAAGTGGCGGACCATACTGGAGAAGAACTCGAAGTTGGCCAGAACGACCGTGTCGACCAGGATAACGTCGCTCAGTTCTACAATAAAGAACTTGTTCTCCATACCGCACTCCAGCAACATGTACGAGTCCTTGTTCTCAACCAGGATAGCCGTTGGGTTCTTAGCGGCCGGGCTCGCCTTCAGAACAGTGGCGCCGCCATCAAACGACGAGTATGAGAAGCGCTCCTTGCAGGTCTTGCCAGCATCCTTACTCCGGTAATGGGTCAGGCCTTCGTCACCATGTGTCACCTTCTCGACCTGGTCTGCCCTCTCTTTCTCTCGTTCGGAAGGTTTCGTCGACGAGGTGATCTCTGAGATCTTGTCCGAGTAGGCTTCGAAGTCGAGGGAGATTTCGCCCTCGTCGCCAAGACTGTCAAAGCCTTCCCCGGTATAGGCGTCGCCACGGCCGTCTTTAGGCTTGCGCTGCTTTGGCTCGAGCACATCGGGGGATTTGGCGAGCATCATTGCCTTCCATTCCTCAAACGACATGAATGCGCCGGTACTGAGGTCATTTCCGTCGGCGTCTAGCTCTTCCTGGGCAGCCGTACTGCCGGCAGTACTAGCCTCGGGTGTAAATTCGACGCTGGTCGCTGTGGCAGCGGTGGGCGTGACCGTGACCGTGACGCTGACACTGACGGAGTTGGGCACGGGAGGCGACGGACTCGAGGTAAGGCATTGTTGCGGCAAGGTGTGGGTAATGTAGTTTACGGTTCTCGACTCGCACGTCGGTTCGGCGGTGAGTGTGTTCGAGGCGGGTCTCGAGGCATCGTGGGTAGCGGAGGTGTGCGAATCACCCTGTGTAGTCGTCGCATCGGCTGATAGCAATAGCAATAGTACGAGCGAGGCTAATGTGAATACTGGTGCACGTGTTGCCAGTGTGGGCCACATGGTGAGTGCGGTGAAGATGCCGGGCAACGAAGAAACGATCCATGTCCTCAAGGGCCCCTTTCCACCCCGTCAAGTTCGTTCAGCGTCTGACGGGTGTACGTTTCCTGTCACCAGAAGAGGAAGTGGAATTGGTAGATGGTATGGACACGAAAGTTGCCCTGGTTGTCGGATACCTACCTATGTATAATGGCGCCTGACGTAAGTCCGATAATCCACGGACCACGGTGAAGTTCTGGCCAGCTTTCGGGACCTGCTTTTAGGCCCGCTTCTTAGCGCCTCCTACTACTTACCTATTAGCCTCTTGGCATGATGGCTGACACACGCTTAAACGCGCTTGGGGTGAGGATGGCCCAAGCTCCCTAAGTTCAGGGGTTTAGTTACATGCAGATAGGGGGGCGGTTTTACAGGACGCTAGGTAGTAGCTTTATTATGATGTAGATACTTATCACTGACACATTGAAACGCCACCTACACACCGGAAGCTTAAATGAATTAATACACAATTAACGCACAGAACGGTTGATCTGAGGGATGCATACCGTACGTACCCTTCCTATCGAACGACATTTCAGCCAACAGTCGCGTTCTTACGCCACCATGAGTAAGGACTGTAGAAGGATGTATGGACCTTCAAAATCTAATCATAACATCGCAGACCGAGTATAAGTCTGTCACCTAAATATGGGGTTGAATAACCTGCATATGGCATGGGCTTGCGTACCTGGTTGTCCAAAAGTTGAGAGCGCAGTTCATCAACGTTCAACATAGCCATGGCTGACAGCAAAAGTCAGTAGACTAGGGATCCCGAAGCCTCACTTGTCTACATCTCCACCCTTTGAAACATGCTCCATTCAACGACATGGTTGAGGGAGAAGATTGATAGGGTTCAGCCATGAGCCACCAAATTAATAATAATCGTCGATTTGCTCAAGGTTGCGGCAGAGCCTGAATTGGTTTAAAGATTGATGTCATCTCCCAATCTGCTGGGTTGGGAACATGAAATTAACACGATGGCGAGTTGGTTACTGCCTCTTCCTACGCTCTTGGAAGAAATCATGTTGCCAACTCCTGCCCACCATGTCAGCAATACCCCTAAGACCCGCCGCAGCATCCATCTCATCGGTGCTGGGGAAAATACCCCAGGAGGCAATACTTATCCTCGTGTCTTCTCACTTGGATTGGCGAGATTGTGTCGTGCTCACATTGACGTGCAAAGACTTACGCCAAAGCGTGCTGGACTACCACAAGCTCTACCTAAGCTATTGGCGTGATCTTCAGGAACGCAGAATTCTAATCTACTGGAAGTTCCTTTGGCAGTCGGCCAACCGCCTCCCAGGTTTTGTCTGCACGGCCTGTTGCAGATTCCACACACAGCAATCTATCGACGCCGCCGACCAGCTTGCCATCAACGCTGTCATGGTCAGAGATGGCGACCAAGCAGTCATGGGAGATGTCGTAAATGACCCTTGCTCCGACTTCCAGCATGCAAAAGACCTCATACTCCACGGCTTCAAACAGTCGCCGCGTTCCCTCCCCATCGAAGACCTGAATCGCTCGAGCAAGTGGGAATACACCGAGCTTGGACATGCCACCATGCCTTCCGTTCGCGTCCGCGCATACATCAAGTCAGACACCAACGCTGTCGTCGACCTCGGACATCTTATCCTCCACAGGACGCGAAGGATGTGGGTTCCGCAGCACGCTGTTACGGACTCTTTTTCCAACGGCAGTCTCCGCTTCAGATTCAAGCATCATTTCAGGCCATGTGCTCATGTTGCCGATTTATCAACCTTCTACTCGCGGCCTGCTCTGGAGTATCCATCCGAAACCACAGGAGTGTCTTCGGGACAGAGAGAAGGAAAGCACTGGGCGCAATTCGGCCACACGTGGTGGATTCAAGGCAAATGCCCTGAGTGCGCCACCAACTACGGCTTCACTATGCACAGTCATGGGAAATCAGGAGTCGAGATTGTCTTCGATACCTACCAGGACCTCGGACGCCCCTCCGACCGAGCAGCTCACGGTGGGGTGGAATGCCGCCACAGATATCGCGGCACCGACTGGGTATATTGGTACTACAGAGTCCCCAGGAGATACGACGTACTCCCTTTGATACTTCACCGCTCGTTTCGGACTGACATGGGAGAGCCCGCCAACTGGCACCCATCAGCGCCAAAAGAGGATGACTTGCGGAGATTTGATCTCTGTGTCCAGCGGTAGCAGATGGCGCACGAGACCTGGCTAGAGTATTTGTTGGATTGGGAGCGACCCCGGACTTCGGAGGAGACTATCATGTTCTGTGATCCACCGCGGAGGATCGAGAGGTTTACACTCGTACATTTGATAGTAATATTACACCTCTTTGACGTCTAATAGCTCCGTGGTAACTGAAGCACCTTCTCACTGATGTAATTCATGACCATCTCCCGATACACCGGTGCGATCGAGGCACAAGGCACTCCCTCAACTAGACGTTCGACTGCGCTTATGGTAACAGCCACCCCCATAGCGTCCTGCCAGATAGACTTGCCCTTTTTGCTACTATCATAGAGCCGGGCAGCACGGACAGTCACGGCGCAACCCCAACCGGTGACGTGAACGAAGAGAGGTTCGACTGGCACTGGGTTCGAATGGCTCTCTATGCACCACAGATATGGTTTTGCTGCGTCGCTTGGTTCTTCCTTCTGACCCCCCTTTATTGAGTTGTAGCTCCGGAGGGAGGGAGGCACTAGAAGACTGACCATGTTAGATATATAGAGCTTTTCCAGTTTTCCTGCTAACCAATTGTCAGTGGTTTGGGATACAAGTAGACAACGACGCAACTATTCACGGTCCCACCGAAAATTGCGGCGTTCTTCTTCGTGCTGGCAATGGCTTTCCTGTCCATCCACATCAGAGCATGTGAATCTATCATGACATCGTGCTGTTTGATAGCGATTGCTGGATACGATATGCTCCTAGCATCGAAGGATAACGCTGTCCGATAAGGTGGCGCACTCCTAGTAGCAGTAGGAGTGCCGACAGCTAACATGTGATCCCATAGGATGACCAACGTACTACTTACTCATAATACGCCACTGAGCACGTTTTTCGACACCAGTTCGATTGAATGGGAAGACCATCCAAGTGCCGGCATGTTATGAGTTGCAGTCGTCAGAGCCCAATACCTCAACGTGCCAGCCCCTCGACTTCTAATTACCTGTTCTGTTCTCCTTCCCCTCCAACAGCCTCCCCTCCATCTTGGAAGCGACTTACAGAATCTCGACCATACATCCCCTGAGAACGACTCAAGAGCCACGACACATCGAACACCTACCCCACACACGATGGCGCCCGACACCCAAAAACGCGAAATCCTCTCCTTCGCCGCATACCTCCTGGTCTCCAGCGGCGTCCTCCTCTACACGCTCCAGGGCCTCTACTCGGACCTGTATTCGCCCATGATCCGCGCCAGCCACCACCACGTCATCTTCGCCGCCCTGAACGTCGCGGCCCTGCACACGGCGCTGCTCGCCAGCGTGCCCTGCTGCATCGTGGTCGACCGCATGAAGCCGCGGCGGTCACTGCCGTTCCTCGGCGGCAGCGTCGCGTCGCTTGCGTACTTCGGTACGTATAGAAACATCCCCGTCCCAAGACCCTGAGCCTTGTGTTCAGGAACAAGCTTCGTTGTTCCCTTTCCGTCTTCATCTGAAATGGCAGTACGGGTCCAAAGACAAGATGTTAACATACACGCAGTACCTGTGGCATCCCGCGGCTTTCCGGATGGCAAAGATATTGTCATTGCGGCGCTGCCGTTCTTGGTGGGGTTTGTGCTGGAGTGTATGACTGGGAGGTTACATGTGATTGCGAACCGCCTGGATGGAGTGCTACCTTATGTGCTGAAGTATGTGGCTGGGAGATTAAATGTGATCGCGGACCGCCTGGATGGGGGCACAGGGGCGGGGGGAGGGGGCATCAGGTGGATGGGGTGCTACCTTAGTAGCTTAATACTCATTTCGGCTTCCCAGGACGCAGGACGCAGGACGAGATTCCACGATCGCAGACTATCCAGCAGCTCGCCTTTCTGGTGAGCACGTCGTTCGGCACTGCTGTTACGAGGCCAGATTCCGTCGATACCGGAATTGGTCCGTCGTCTCCAAGAGCTAGTGCGGTATTATCACCTCTCTTTTCTGCCGACCAGCGGGCTCTACCTGGACCTGTTAGCTTGTCATTATCACAATATTCGACACCTGTAGCCAAGTCCCTGTACGAACAGAGTCAAGACTTTATTTTCTTTTCAACGCTTGTCAGTTGACGTCTCACCGGACTGGGCAGCGACAGTGGTATAGTGTGACGGCACAGAGATGGAGCACTATACCACTACACTACAAAAGTAGAACGTTGTCAAGTCGAGCACTTGACCGTCTCCATCCACTTATATGTGCCACGGCAGATGGAACCGTGACATACAGATATCTTGTCGGCGTGACCCTCGAGCCCAGTACCTAAGACTCAGAGCATATCAGTCCCGTCTCATCGGTTCATGCGCATGTAATCGCTGCCACAGGCTGGTGGGATTGAAAAGCAACGACCTTCTGCGATTCGACAGCCGTTGGGTTGGTTGAAAGAGGGACGTTTTTGCCATCAGCAGTAGGAGACGCAGACGGGAATAACCAGCCCACCCAGTGCCAGCTGCCAGCGCAGCGACTGAGCCCAGCCACAGTGGACTCCACTCGCACAATCAGCCCGCCCCAGCCACCGCCGCCCCACCAGCGCTGCACACATAAATTTGCGCGCACCTCGCGTTTCGCTTTGGACTTTTCTTTTTCCTTTCTTCTTCATCATCAGTTAGGAGTAAATCTACATCGTCAAATGTTCATTTATAACTTACCAATGGAGGCTCCGCTACGGCGGCTTGCTGAGGGTCATCCTTCTGTCTCGGCAGAATGATGGGTTTCCTTCCGTTCCCGGCCTCCTCCATCAAACCCCAAGAAGGCACCTTTCCATATCAGCCGCCGACGCCAGCTCCTCCTGGTTCGCGACTGTGGGGTGTCTCCTACATCACTAACACCTGTTTGTATTCTTCCTGTAGTAGATTCAATCTTCATATCCCTCGTAGTTGGCATTGCAAGTGAACGCGGTCGACTGGGGACGCGGCTCGCTGAATGAGTGCTGCGTTTCCCTTCTCGTTACCAGTACCGTCATCGACGTGACGTGTGGCGCTCGCTCTGACAACAATGCGACTGGTAATTTCATGTACGAGATCTGCTATTATGCTTTCAGGACTGGCAACCTGCGAGAACCGTCGTCGCGTACGCAGGTACGTCGCCATCGTCTACGGGATGGAACCAATTATGCGAAAAAATTTCAGCCTCGAAAGTAGCGTTCATTTGACCATGTGCTTTTTCTGAATATTGGTGCTCACTGCTTCACTTGTCCATGTGGGCTTTTGCGAGACCGAGGCAAATCCATAGTAGCAGCCGTCGTGCACGATGTTTGGAATTCATATCTATTGTATATTGCACACGAGACTGATCGTTAACACATACTTCGGAGAATGAGCAGAACTTGTTCACGGGAGGTTCAGTGGAATTGACTATCTGGTTGCTGTGGCGTGCGATCTATCTGCCAACATCACCAGCTCTACATCCTCCAATGACCTGTGTGCAGCGTGACCTATGGGTGCGAGACTCGGGCAACCTGGAAGTACCCGTCTAGTAGAGGCGCTTGGGAGGGCTCATGGAAGCCTTGATGGTCAAGCTGCCAACGTTTTGCCAGCCCTTCTTCAGCAGCGAGACGAGGTAGTTGATGGCCAACATGATGTTACCAACAAGCTCCTCCGTGGTCATGCCGACGTTGCCAACAGCCTAGCAGTCCATGTTAGCAACCAGTGCTTCTGGCCAAGTCGGAGCTCGCCGTCACTCCCAAAAGCCAGAGCCGTAGAGACAAGACGCGACCCGCGGAAAGGGTACGAGGGATACTTACAACACCCATGCAGAGAACCTTCTTCAGCTGGAACTTGATGGTGGACTTGACCTCGTTGAGTCTGCCAGTGAGGTCGTCGGCGTGGGAGACGGGCGTGGGGAACTTGCCGGCCTTGGACAGACCGGGACCGAGGAGACGAGGAATCTGCTTGATCAGAGTCTCGGAAGCGACGAAGGCGTCGTACTTGCGAGCAAGCTTCTTGATGAGCTTCTTGTTCTTGTTCAGCTTCTTCAAGTCGTCGACGGACATGGCATCGACGCCACCGTGCTTGGCTCGGTCGATATCGTGCTGGTCACCCAGAATGCAGACGCTCATGTTGGGGCGGGGAACCGAGGGGAGCTTGATGGTGCCCGAGAAACGCTTGTCACGCTGACTGTTAGGTACATTGTCAGCATTTCTATCCGTGCCTCAGGGGAACGCGTGCAACGCAAGGCGGAAGCCATACGGGTCATAGTTCTTCAGGCCGATCTGGAGCTCGACGGTCTCGAGGAAGTTTCGCTTCTTAGTGTTGAGGGAGTAGTCGAGAAGCTCTCCGACGTTGTTACGCACTCCGGCGACCGTGATCTTCGACATGATGACAGTCTTCCAGTAGATAGCAATCTAATGGTGAGGATTCTTGCGTTTTTCGTTGCCGATGGGGGAGAAGAGAGGAAGAGGAGGGAGCGGATTTTGATGCGGTCAGATAAACCAGGAGGGGCATTTTTGTGGCAATAACCGAGCAAAATTGTGGAGTGGGTCTACTGAGCCACGACACCTGCAACACCTACCTAGGTACCAGCCACATCTATGGCTGAGTCATGGACACCAGCCACCTCCGAGTTCCGGATGATGAAACTCGTAGCTCCCGTCCAGATGCCACCTCACAGACGTCCTTGCAGTCACATCATCCTCAGCCAGGCTGGCCCGCAGTCCCATCGTAAAGCCACGATTGGGGTTCTCGACTCTGGTATAGCCTCTACCTCAGATGCTGCAGCTCTGACGCAATCAATGAACAGCCAATCGCATCTTCACCAGGGAGACCGCCTCGAAACGCCGCCGTGACACCCGTCTAAGAACAAGCTCCGTGACCGGAATACTGACTGCCACTTGCTTCTTTGAAAAGACTAAGCATTCCCTAATCACAGCACTCGTCGTACAGGTGGTCTGCCATCGCCCATGGGGTTACAGTCGTGTCATCGCCAATATGCCCGGAATGGTCTCCCACAATGTTACGACAGGTGTTGACAGCAATATGCCGACCAAATATGGGCTACTACAGCGTGATCACATGCATTCGAAGGGAATTTCTTTGTCCACACCGGCGATATCGAAGAGTACCGCGGAGCATGGCAAGGCCCTGGTCTCTGAAGCCCCCTATCGCCACTGGATCAAAGCGAAAGGAGTCTCTTACGGCCCTGACAAGATGCAGACCAGCTCAAGAGCCAGGAACCAGCTTCAGACACGGTGATGAGGATAGCGGCTGACTGGATGTAGCACCAAGCTTTCCAATCACTCGCTTGGGCCCTAGGACGTGGCCTGCTTCGCTCCATTGCATCTCCTACAAGTCTAGCGACCTTACCAAGCTGACATTTGCTCAGTGAGCTCTATGTCATCATAGACACTCAGCCACATCCGTGACAGCCCAACAAACCAGTGGTCGAGGTGCCGGTATTCGCTGCTTGTGTTTCTGGGGTTTCATGTGCGTTCTTGATCTTCCCGGCAGTCTACCCGTGCAGATCGTCAGTCATCTCCGAGGAGCTTCCCCGTGTACCAAGCTTCGATACTAGGCCGGCATCTTATATCTCCTACTCTGTCGCCATCCTTTGCGGGGATGCATAGTCTACCCAGCCTCAAACACACGCTTTATTCGCCGTCACATATTATTCCTGGGTTGCAAACCGTGTTCGAACCTGTCTAAATGAGGGAGATGCTGCTGTTGGGTATCCCACTTCGAAATCTCGCCACCGCTGCGGACGCCCAGGATGGTGGTTAAAAACCAAAAGAGGACCTCATGTTCCCGGCTGTGCACCCTTTAAATCACGTCCCGTCATTATCTTCGATTGCTGTCTTCCTCGGGCGTGCTCTGGCCTCGCCTTCAAATTTCAAACTCCTTGGTGACCTCTATATCTCGAGTTTCTCAACTTACGACAGCCGATCCGGCAAAGCATGCGTCTACCTCCGGCCGAAGTGCTCGCCACTTGGCCGAAGCCCAACTATACCGATCCAGTAACAAGAGGGCCGACGGGCAGAGTGATTGTATTGGTGCTGGCCACGATTGTCACGGCTATTCTAGTCATCCGGTTCTACGCGCGAACACGGCTAACACGAGGGTTCGGGCTTGACGATACCCTCGTATCATTAGCTTATGTATGCTACCACCTACCAACCAAGAGCTTCCGCGTGCTAATCAGGCCGACCAGGTTCCAGCCACCGCTTTTGCCATCACTGGCATCTTCGCGGAGGGTCAATTCCAATGGAACCGTCACATATGGGATGTGGAGTTCAAGTTCTTCAGCTCCAACTTACAAATAGGGTATGAGCATTCCACCACTTCTCTTCGCTGTGTGAACTTACTCATGAAAGCATAGGCTTGTGACTGCCATACTCTTCGACTTGGCGACGTGCTTGACCAAGCTATCCATGCTCGCTATGGTGTACCGCCTCGCGGCCGCCTCCAAGGATAAGAAGATGAAGAGGGCTGTTTCGATAATTAGCTCCATCATTAGTATTAACAGCTTAGTCTTCATCGTCGTCGAGGTATTTCAATGCAGGTACGCACCACTCAGCCACCGCTCCAGGAGACCTAGGTTGATTATTTGCTAGGCCTGTGTCAGAATATTGGACAGCCTCGGCGGAACCACATTACTGTATTGATGAGGGTTCTCATATGGCCGTAGCCAACATCGTCAATACGTTGTCGGATTTTGTCGTGGTCTTGCTCCCAATGAAGATAGTCACAAACCTGGAGCTGCCAATCAAGCAACGCATCATTGTGATTGGTTTGTTTGGTATCGGGCTGGTCGCTAGCTGCGCAGGAATCGGCAGGACATTCTTCTGTTGGCACCTCTTTCACTCAGCCGATTACGACACGACCTGGGATACCTGGGTGGTATGGCTCACCAGCTCCATCGAGCTATACCTCGGCATAGTGAGTGCTCTGAAGAGCAGGCGATGATTTCGGTTCGAAGCAGGCCTGCTGGCTGACTACGGTTTATTAGCTATGTTGCTCTATTCCGGCCACCAAGCCCTTCTTCACCTGCTTCCTGCCGGGCATTGTCGGTACCACGCTCAGATCGCGCAACTCGCTGGCCATGATCCCTTGGGATGACAAACCGCCGAACGAGCTTCCAATTCCCCGCAATACCTTCTCTATCCATGGCGAACCGGCATCAACCTCAAGCTCATCATCGACTCGCCGACAGGAGATCGCGCATCTGGACAAGCCTCTGCCTCCGGCCAGGAAGCATTTCTCTTCGCTGACCGTTACATCCAGAGACTACGCAGCGGCGATGAGCATAGAAGAAGAGCCAAGATTCATCTGGAGCTATGCTGGAGATAGCCGGGCGTCTCGCCAGACCAGTCTCACCGGCGTTCGGTCCAATGATGCTCAGTCAAAGGGCCCTATGAGGCCAAGCGGATCTCTGCCGCCACCTTGCAACCGCACCACGACATTGTTCGTCAAGTACCAGCGAGATGACTCCAATTGCAGCACATTTTAGAGCAAGTTTCGGCGTGTGTTTCGTGGCGTGTTTGAATTCATTCTCTATATCACCACTTCGGCTTTCTTTTTACACTTCACGGCACACAGCCACATGGTCATTTAACAAACAGATTCCAGGGCATGAAAGGTGCAGGACTGTAGATAGAAGTCTTGAATCATACGTACACAGCCTGTCTTTCACGAACATACCAGTGTATTTTCTCTAGGACCGTCTCCTATATTCGGGCTGTGTCACGAACCTGTTCTACCCTCCCTGCGATACCTCTTTCATTAGATACTCTATCAATCAAATTCTCACTGTACATGTACAGCTTGTCGCCCTTACTCGCGCGCTCCTAGGGACCGGTATAAAGTGTGAACGCTGTCATCAAAGGGCATGGGTTTTGGCAGAATAGATACAACAGGTCCACCTGGCTGGTATATACAGGTCATACAGACGGACAAACAGCCAGCCAGCCGGCGCCGTGGAGCCAGCAGCTGAATTGCTTCGCAGGCTGGGCCATCAACTCAACTGATAAACCACAGGACCACATTGCAACGCAAAGAGGCGAATCCATGCCTTTGGATAGCGTCGGCGCATGCATCTTTAACTTGCGATTGATGGGAAACACATATATGCATATATCTATATTTATATATATATGAAGTGAATTACCAGCTATGTATCCTGACTTGCGTAGACGCACGTATACGTAAGGTTGCTTGGTCCTTGTTCGTTGACCTAACGGTAGGTAACGGACTCATGGGCGATGCCTTCCAACCATCAAGTTCCTAGGCAGCCCGTTGGGATATCACGGTATCGAGTGAGCGGGAACTTACCGCATTGAATCACATGCATTTCGTCATGTATTGCCTGAGCAAGCTGGTACCGTCCGGCAATTTTCAATCTCGTTTGGTACCTACTCATGCCGGGGACAAGAGCTTGATGAGGATATAAATGGCTTCTCCATGAAGTGTGGGCAGAGAAAACGCAGCATCACGAGCGATGGCTGATGTTTAGTCCAAGCCGCAGCAACGGGGAGTGTGTGCGTTCCGTGTCCAGAATATGCGGATTACCGTCCCTGAGTATGAAGGATACACTACAGCACGAGCGTAAAGCAGCCGGAGCTAAAAATGATCATCTTGACGGCTGTGCTCCGTGAGATGGGAAATGGCAGTCGAGTGTATGGGTGGCAATCCCATTACAAGCAGGTGGTAGACAAGGCAGTAGGTAAAGCGGCAGAGGCAGGGAGACAGGGAGGCAGGGAGGCAACAAGGGGGACGAAAAGATCGCGGCGTTCGCGCTCCGTGAAGCATTTAAACAAACTTCAAAACCCTAGCTATGCTAAAGTACCTAGATATCTGTTTCTTTCCTCTCAAATCCAAAATCTCAAAAGTGACAGCATACGATAAAGCATCACATGATATATGCAGACTATAGTTCACCATAAGCACCGGCACCGACGACGACGTCGCCATGCGTAATCCTCCACACAAACACGCACGTCACAGTCACGGAGTCATCAACCGGCTGGCTGGCCGCTGGGGCACAGACAGGGCTGTGATACATTCGCCGCCTCAACATCTCGCGTCTTCCCCTGTGGCACAGGACTGTGCCACGCGTATATCCATCTGGTCCTCGTCGTCGAGGGGCGGGAAGTCGCATACTGTAAGCTTCCTCGTCCCACATCGTTGGCATGGTCCGTAGGTTTCAAATCCGGGATGTTCTACATTGTAAACAACAGTTCCGGTGTTCCTGGGTCCAATGCCTGACTCGGCTCTGAGTATTGTGGGATTGTCTTCGACTTGTCCTCACGAAACCTGGCCGACACCTCCGACGCAGTCTCCTGACTGGCGGAAGTAGAAGTAGGTATGCACTTGCAAAATCCTGGGCCATTAGAAGTATCTTCCGGCTGCAGGTCTGGCTCTACTAAGCAAGTCGGAGTCAGTTGGGCTTCAAAAGGAGCAAGTTGCTTCATGGGGAGTTGTAACTCACGCTCTTCATTTAGCCAGAGTAATGTCGGTGCGAACGCCCATAAGCCTCCTGGGCAAGGGCTGGCTTCTTGGTCAGAAGCAGCTTCTTCGAGATCTTCCCCATGGCCTCCATGTGATCCCTGGCCTCGGTCATGGTCTGGAGATAGTCAAAGGCGTCGGGGGTATTGTAGTCCTGGAGGTAGGACTGAAGCGCCTTTTGGTGTTGGTACCATTCATCGATCATGGGCTGCTCTGCTGCCCTGGCAGCGGCAGCAGCGGCCTCAGCTGCCTGGGCAGACCGAGAAGCATGCTTGCGGGCGCTCGAGGAGCTGTCTGCGTCCTTGTTCTTCCGCTTTCGACCCTTGGTCGAGTGGGAAGATCCATGAGCGGATGGGGAGGATCCATGGAGAGAACTTCCATTGTCGTTGTGGACACGGCGCATATGATCCCTCAGGTTCCATTGTCGTGGGAATCCATTTCCCATGACGGCACGATCACATCCCTCGTAGGTGCAGAGGTATGGCTTGTCTCCGTGGCCGTGCATTGCATGGGCCTCCCGCTCGTGTCGGAGGAGGCAGGCAGTAGAGGAAAAGCGAGCATTCTCACAAGCCTCGGCCTTGCACCGGTATGGCTTCAGGTGCGAGTCCACAAATTTGCTGTGGTACGCTGGTTAGATGGAGACGACAGTGAAGACCTGCGTTTCACTTACTCGTAGTTGCACTTGAGCTTCTCGGGCTTGTGGTTGCAGCTGGAATCGCCCTCCCACGGGCAGTGGAACAACCCATCGGTCTTGGGATACGCGTTCTTGTACAGCGGGTGGTCCCGGGCAGTGGACTCGTTGTCGCCACCGGGGCGTCGCGTGAAGGATGGAGGCAGGGCAAACATGTCATCTGAGAGGACGAGTCCGTTGTGGTCCTCTGCGCTCATCATTTCCATCTTGCGGCTGATAGGTTCGCCTACGTCAGAAGGAGGCTCGAGGATATGGCAGATTTCAGTCGTTACATACCTTGGTGACATCCCGTTCATGACTGGGGACGAGTCATTAGTGTGTGTAGGCGACGCATCCATGGGGACAGCAGCAAGCGACCATGCATCATCGTGGACGCCAGGAGACGACATCCTGGATTCAACCGGGCTGAGCGAGCCCCATGAGGTAGTGGGTGAATTACCTGCCATGTTCGCTTCGAAGCTTAGCTGCATTTGTGCAGGGTCAACATGCTGGTGCGTCATGCCTGGCGCAAGAACAGCGGGAGAGTATGAGATTCCGTCCGTGGGCAGTCCGACACTCATGGGGAGTGCGGGATAGTACATCTTAGATGACACGGAGTGGACATCAGAAGAATCCGGAAGTAGATATGCGTCCATCTGTGGGTTACCTGCCATGTCAAAATGGGACATGTGAGAGCCCTGCGACACAGAAGGCATCATCCGAGGACGGCTCTTCTGTGACGAGGTCTTGACAGATCTGTTCCTGTGGCTTCCTGCAGAGCTTCGCGAGCTGGCGCGACGCATGGGCTCTGCCGCGGATGGCAGTCCATGCTCGGTGGCAATCCATTTGCTGGTCATCTCATCCATGGCATCATTCTGGTCCTGTCCTGTGGGTGTGATCTGGCCATAAGAAAAACCGAAGTCATCCTCTCCATGGAAGTTCTGTGCACCTTCTGCTGATGTGTCCCATACTGAACCATTCAGGTCCGCATGTGCTGTTTGAGAATAAAGAAAAGGTCCGCTGGCATTGGCAATCATGTTTCCCTGGGAATATGTGCTGTATTCACTGGGGTTGAGGTTAGTGTACTGTTTTCCACTACCCAGTGGGTAAAAGTGATACGCCGAAGAAATCAGGTACAAAGGAAATCGCTCCAGTGTGGTACAACTTTGTTCCTATTGATCAAAAGTCTTGTTAGTCCACGGTTCATCTATCAGGTGTACGAGGGGGCTGATGAGCACAAACCGAACTGAAGCATATTTTGCGACACCCGTTGGAACATAGGTGTCCAAAAACAGTCCAACGAGACAGCATCCAAGCTGATCAATGGACCGTATGACCACATGTACATCCCAGGGCTTGGGCCGAGTACGAGGACAAAGGAAATATCCTGGTGTAGAAGCCTGGGTCTGTCCAGGAAACCATGACTGCGGGAGCCCTACATCGGTGGTCATCAGGCACCGAGCGAGAAAATAAACACCAAGGCGAATGATCTCGGTGTAAGCCGCGTGCGTTCTGAGGCCAAGAAACGCGATTGTCGTGAGCATATCTGGGTCAACTGAGAGGTCCGTCCATTGGGATGTAGCTAATTGATTCAGGGAGCAGTGAACAGAAACGCTTCGTCAGTTCCGAATGTCCAGAAAGTGTAAAGCAATGTCCACGGAAAAAAGCTGCTAGTCACTGACGATTTGTCGTCGTTCTTCCCAAGTGCGGACGCACGCAAGAGGTCTGGATCCTGTTGGTCTCACATGCTGAAGGGTTACCCCACAACAACCGTGAAAGCTATGCAAAAGCAAATACAGCGGCGAGGTGGGAAACACCACTCATGGCATTCCGGAGGTGTTGATGTAGTGTAACGGGCTACTGCCTGTGACAAGAAAAATCCGCGCGTCGCTGAAATAAAGAAATCCGGTAGTCCATGTGAAGGTGCGATAGAAAGCAAATCCTAGGGCCCATGGCAAGCCGAGCTTGAAATCCGCGAAAGCAATTGTCCTCTGGAAATTCCTGGGTTCATTCCTCTCTCCTCGAGTTCTGTTGTCACGGTTTGTTGCGGGCGATACTCACCACATATTGCAAGGCGCAATTCTGAAATTTCATCTGTGAATCCATCTGAGGTGGGTTTGTCAACAAGGCCGTGAAGCCGAGTCGCTCGCTACTAAGAGACGAGCCTCAGAAATTGAGCCGGGAAGAATTGAGTCCTTTGGATTGTCCTGATGTCATGATGTCCTGTCCATATGGGTATTTCCTGGGCTGCATATCCTGGTTTGTCCTGTTCATGTCCTGTGTCCTGAAAATGAAGTTCCGGATAAAAAAATGCGTTCAGAGCAAAGCAAACCGACCCATAGCACTTGCGAGGGTTCCTGGAAACAGAAAGAAAAGCATACATGACAGACGGCAACATGATTGTGGTGGTCGAAGCCCGAAAAGAACAAATCACTCAGAACTCCGGCGGGAAATAGGAATCAAAGCAAAATACCTCGCGGGTGTGTGGACGCCGTCCATATCTAGAGTGTTGAAAGCTGCCATGTTGTCCTGGCGCGAAGCAACCATGGCAGTCATTGATCCTCTCCGTGGCACGGAGAATGGTCCTTGAGAATCCTTGGGCAATGCTTTCCTTGCGGAAGAGTGAGACTGGCTTCTCAATAGGTGATGGCAGACGCTGGTGAAGATCTTGTGGGCAAGATGGAAGATGGAAGATGAACTGTGGTCGACAAGGTGTAGTACAGTGGCGATCCTGGGAGCTGCAAGACACCTGTAGGGTATATGCTGGGGCGTGAGCTGCTGTGTAATTGTGTTGTGTGGTAGACAGAGGCAGAAAGCTGTGACTGAGACAGGCGACAGGCAGGCGGGTCAACGATCAACGATCAACCAAGAGGATTGTTGGGCAAGAATTGTGGTCTCGGGTTTGGGTTTGGGCTGAAAAGAAGGAGAGATGGAGCGCCGTTGGGCACGCAGAGGGGACGCTGGGGTTTTATTGCTGTGTTCCATCGGTTCCGGCTCGACGAACGGGGTTGGAGGTTGGGTTGACGCGAAATGAAGAGACGTGTGACGGGCCTTCCCTGGCGCATGCTGCTGTCGTGGCCCTGCCTGTTGCCTGCGGCCTGCCTACCTGGGCCTTAGCCTGTAGCAGCCCAGTAAGGGACACCCTGGCGGCACCCTACAGTGCTGGCAGTGTGCTGCGTGCTGTCACTGACCCCGTATCGCAGCAGGCCTGTCCGCGCCCTGCCGGAGCCGTTGATTCGCTATCGCCGCCCCTCCTCCAAGCCCGCTACCAGCCCGTGCAGCCAATCGCAGCCAGCTTTCCCCTCTCCTTTCCATGTACCTAGGTATTATCGTGAGGTTATTCTCTCATCACCGCCCATCTTTGCTTCTGTTCCAAGCTTTTTCCCATCTCGCTGTCTGCGGTGAGCAAAGAGTGCGCTGGCCTTTCCCCTCTCCTGCATCGCGATGGGCCGATGCCCCCCATGATGGCCAGATGGCTGATCGAGTGCCTTGTTTCGAAGCAGCCCATGTGGGGGAGCTGAGCGTCGCCGCCAGCCTATCGAAGCCGGTCATGCAATGTGCCGCCATGTGACGAAGGGATCATGGAGCATGACTGCAGCGACAACGCACCACTTCATGCAGCTCCAAATAGCATGGACCTGGGCATCGACTTCTTCGAATTCGACCAGCCGTCCTGCCGTTCTTCCTCGCGGAACTCGCGGGAATTTCACTCTCGTTCTCTCTCAAAAGGCCAGATTTGCCAACCGTTTTTCGACCGGACTGCTTCGCGCGCTCTCTGGTTCTTCGTATGCAGCAAATCGCTTGAAGTGTCGGTGTACTGGCTCGCTGGCAGACCAAGTCTATCTGTCACTAGCCATCAACACCTGATTGCAATCGGTTGAGTCGGTGAGGATTTGGCAGACGTGGAAAGTCTCGGCGTGTCAGATACGATGTGACAGTTGTCACCCCGTCTCGTCTGACGGCCGGAGGCTACCGTCCGCCAATGACGAGGACCGTCAAAAGAGGCCGAATCGTCGATTTACCCCCCTATCTATCACTATCACCTAGATATGTGCGCGTGTGTGCTGGAGTAGTGCTCGCTATACAGGCCGGGCGAGCTCCAACGCACTCCTGCATCAGAGTTGGCCGTGTGACACCCCACGCAGACGTCACAACAATTGATCCTCATCAGAGAGTATTGCCGTCCATACTGACAGCTGTCGTCCTGCTCGCTGCCTTGGAATACATCACACAGACGTGCCACATCGGAAGCCGGAGGCTGGTCTGGTCTTCCCCTGTTTCATACTCCTTGTCTTGCCCATTGCAGTGTTGTGGCCGTAAACTCCTGAATGGAGATAGCTGGCAGCAGTTTCGATGCGGAAGAAGTTTCAACTGAATCTGGCTCTGCAACAATATTCTGCTACTCCTCCTCACTGCAGGAAGATTCAGCAAGTCGAGTCACTCAATACACTTCAATTACAGAGAGAGACCAATCCATCGTCATTATGAGAAACTGTATTGCTTGAAGTACTGTATCCTAAAGCGCCTGAAGTCAGGTCGCCATTACTCTATGCTAGGGCGGTGATGCTTCTTGAAAGACGAGACGACTACCGTTTCTGCCGTCCCGAATCCGCAGGAACCGACGCCCAATACCGGGGCACACACAACTCCGTCCAGGATATCAATTCTGCCTGCTCATAATCAATATGTACATGTTACCACAGATCAGTCATAACACCGTAACCACCACAGGTGAAGCATTACCATTACCAGCACGCCTGAGCCATGCCCACTCCACCTATTATGTCCTGTCCCCCACGCGCGTGCACAGAGTCAAAGCACTGCGTCTTGGGGCGCTTGCCGTCGTCCTGCCACACGGCCTCCTCCCACAGCGCCTTGAGCTCCAGCTCGCCGTCAAAGTCGTCCTCCCACGCGAACAGGCGCATCGCCCCCTTGGCGTCCTCCCACGTCTCGATGCGCAGCACCTGGCTGACGAGGTTGATCTTGTCCAAATAGATATCGTGCACGAGGCGCATCTGTTCGGCCTCCATGGCGGAGCCGGCGCGCGCGGCCGTGGTGACGCAGGCGCCGAACATGACGGTCCACAGCCATAGCGACTGGCTGTACTCGCCCCTATACATGAGCGGCTCGGTGTGGCACACGTCGGCCAGCAGCTGCTCGATGAACCAGTTGAGGATGAACGGATCGACCGTCGCCTCGCGCAGGATCACGTACAGGTAGAAGTAGCACGCGATGAACCCGACGCGGCTGCAGTCCACCGACCGCAGCGGCGCCAGCACGCCGTTGCTGTCGACGGCCTGCGAGGACGACGGGGTGTGCGCCGGCGGGGGCGTCTTCTGCGCCATGACCTCCGACAGCGGACCCGCCGAGTCGCCGTCCTCGCCGCTCAGGGTGAACACGCTGTAGATGGGCCGCAGCGCCACGCGGAGCAGCGATATGATCATCGATTGGTGCACGTCGTCGGTGCGGCTGATGTCCAGTATGTCCCACACGGGTCGGCTGGACACGCTGCGTGCCGCCCTGTCGCTCAGTAGATAACGTCAGTCGTGGTCATCCCAGTGTAGGAGCAGCAGGCGTACGTACATGAGTATCATCCGCTGGAGCAGGCCCATCTTCTTGGGCCGCCGCTCTTCGCCCTGTAGTTCTTTTATCCTCGCAAGACCCCGCAAATGTGACGACACGGCCTCGGTAGACCCCAGAGAATTCTGGAAAGTCGTTATTAGAATGAGATTGCTTGCAGTGCGGCGTTGTGGGCGGCACGTAGTTACCTCGACGAGCGCCAGGCTCGCCACGGCGGCGATGGTGCCGTCGTTGACGGCCGTCTCGGGGTGCTTCAGCTGCTCGTTGACGAACCGGATCGCCTGCAGCTTGTGGTATAGGTAAGGCACTCTGAACTGCTCCACGTCGCCGGTGCACCATGCCCAGTGCAGGGTTGTCATCAACATGGCCGCGTGGAGGAACCCGGGGTGGGACAAGGCCTTGTGTACGCTGCGCGGCGGCACGGTCATTAGTACCAAGTGGCCAAGGTTGCTTTGCCTCACCCGCGAGCTCGGGGACCACCAGTAGTTCACTCACATAAAGGAGTCGCTGGTCCTTTCGACGCGCGTTGTGTATAATACTCGGGAATTCGTGACTGTACACCGGCATATACATGTCAGCGCCCGCCCGCCCCTCATCTGCCTGCAGTCGACATCTCATCATCGCCCGCCCGACAGGCATTCACTTACAGAGTTGGAAGAGAGACCGTGAGTTGTGCGGCATGTCAAACGACGTGCCGAGGAACGGATCGTTTGGCGTCGAGTCGAGCAGGCTCATCACGCTCTGTTCCGTCGCAGCGCCGGACTGCTCCTGGGGCTCTACCGACGTAGACACGGACCTGCGCTCGGTGTCGGTGGTGGTGGAGACGGCATCGCTGTTGTCCGGCGGGTAGCCGCACTCTCCGCCGTGTCGAAGGCAGTGTGTGCTGCAGATTCTCGTTAGCCCACCGTATGTAGTAGGTATGCCACGACGGGACCTAGCCTGCGCCGGGTGTACGGGTGGATGGACGGTGACGGCGTGGTCGACACACGGCCGGCGCCAGAATGCGGGGGGAGGGCTTGCGGGGACAGGGGCGCGACGCGTGTTGGTTGCTATGTTATGCGCGCCGCGGCCGGGTTGGGATTGGCAACTCGGGGACCTGATACCACGATGCTGGGGACTGGGTCTGGTAAGATGTTGGTCGACTTACCAGAGCGGCTTCCTCTCATCGCAGCGTATATGTTTCGTCTTGCAGGTCCCACAGCCGTTGCGCGACCTACGGTGGAACTTGCGCTGGCGCTGGCGCTGCATCAGGGTGAGCGCCTCGGTCGTCATATTCGTTGTCCGTGACGGTCTCGACTCTCAGCTAGCTTGGGCATGGAAGAGATGGCAATACACGGGTCGGTGATTCCTCTCTCTCTCTCTCTCTCTCTCTATTTCTCTCTCTCCATCTGCCTCCTCCATGATGCTACTCAACACGACTATATGACAAATGGCCTGTTGAATTAGGCAGACGAATTCTTTGGTCCCTCAGCCAAGCAGCTGAACTGGGGACCCTGTTCGGCCCATGCATTGAGGGTATGATTTCATCTGTACCAAGAGCTGAGAATGGATCCTGCGGTCCATGGGGCACAGCCGCTATACCTAGCTTGATAGCAGTGATCGCTGACCCAACGGCTTGCCACGAGATAGTTTAAACGGCTGCCTGGGTTGTGAGATGGGCCTCTTGCAGGCTTTTCAGTGGTAGGGCTCGTCTTGGATGAGCCTACCGATTAATGGAGTCATGGACCAGGGTCGGCCGCCATCGGACGCCAGCCGGACGTTTCTAGATTCGTTGATGATATCTGGTATCTTCAACGTACGCAATTGTGTTGCTGCGGTGCTGTATCATAGTGCGTACCGTAGTGCTTATGAAGTACCTACCTATACTATTGCTGTAAAATGACCATCTACTACTAAACTATGTACGATGGCTCATCCGTGCCCCCACTTTATCGCACTTGCTACAGGAACAAGGGGGTTGTCGCCAGCAAATGGTTGTGTAATCCCAAGGACCGCAGAAACTGGGCTGGAGTAGGTAGAGGTGGAATCTTCGGGACCGATCTTGCTCATCAGTCCATCTTTCACTTCGTTTTGGGGGTAGCGGGGGTGGTAGCATTGAGCAAATAGGCAGACACTTTTGTCCCCTGTTATGGCCACAAATAGGGCTGGATGTGGTCATCGGCGGCGCACCCAAGAACCAGACTGCTTGGGGGTAAGGGGGTGGGCTGCTTATGTGTGCAATAAGGTACCAATACCGTGCATGGAACACAAGGTGATATGCTGTGGAAAAGGGGGGGGGGGGGGAGGTACGCAGCATGACCTGTGTATGGTGAGTTCAGGGGCGAAGTTGCGCAGGGTGAAGAGAGTGGCTGACAGTTGTAACTGCGATTGACGACAGTGATTATCACGGTGATTAGGTACCTATGTTGATCACGAACCATGTGGTAGGTAAGGTAATAATGCTGTGCAATAGGGCTGAGGAGTTGCACAACCGTCACACCGTCAGGTAATCTGATCATTGATCAAGATCCCTCCAATCAAGATCCCTCCTACCTACCTAATCAATGATCATAGGTTGGCAAACGGGGAGCTGGGAAACGCAATGTCGGGTACGGTCCTTGTCTGCCGCATCGTTAATAATAATCCCCTGGGGCCGTCGTACCGGCAGTCCAAACAGGTGTGAGGAACTTCGGAAGGCTCGCCAAAAGGGTCTCCAATGCTCATCTGTATAATCAATGAAAGTACCCTGCAGTCCGCTCGGGTCATCCTGCGGACTTTGCGCACCTGCAGACCTTTGCGCGGAAAATGTTCCCTTGAATCTGCCCCAGCCCAGCCCACGGCAGAGCGTCCGATCAACTGAGCCTTGAAGTTCTGAACTTCTGAGTCTGCATGTGCCTCCAGTGTACCTTAGGCAGGGTTCACACCTCAGTCAGCGCCGTGCATGTCCTACCGCCTTTTGCCCACACTTCCCGACGTTGTCGGGCGGCTTGAGGGCAGTTGTCGGAGGCGTTGGGAGCGGTGTCCTCGATATGCTGTGAAACCTTTAACGCAGAGCCGGACCTTTGGGATCTGCGCCTACATGTAGGTAGGGCTGACTGACGTTACCCTCTTCCCACTTCCAACACCCACGGTATGGTAAGGTAAGGTATGATATCTTGCAATCACAATGGAAGGAGGAAACATCTGTTGATGCGAAGAGTGTGATAGATTCAATGTCCCGGGATCGTTGTGGCTACAGTAGGTATACTCCGAGTCGGACCTAGGTAGGTAGGTAGGTGCACCCAGCTATTGAGCACCACCACTCTTTCCGTACATCCAGAACTCGCAGAATGTCTGGTTGACTTCTACCTAGCCCAAAATGCTATCCGGACAAGATGGAATCAACCACCACCATCTTCAAGCAGCGATGGTTGATGGTCGCGTGTATCGAACCATGAGTACACTCACGGGTCGGTTGCAACAAGCCGCCGAGTGGAGGTTGTGTTGCAATACCGCGAGAACCTGAAGACACCATTTCTCATCATCTTACTTGCTTTTACTTCTGCCCCGATGTTTTCCCGCCGGTGGGAAGCGACGTCGACCTGAATGAGGTTTCTTGCCCACAATGATGAGGCGACGCAGGATAAGATCAGGAGCTTATCGCACCGTCACGCGCGCTTTGGGCAATGGGATCATTCCAACGTTCTTGCAAACCCGCCCTGCTCTTTCGAGACGAATGAAACCAATCAAAGCATCAGACACTGCGGAAATATCAGAAGCCCTAGAGTCTCGTCAGAGAGAGAGAGAGCGGGTTGGCTCACAGTAGCCGGACACGCCGGGGCTGCCTGGCACTGGCACTGGCACTGGGCAGCAACGCACACCGTTGGGCTTCTTCCTGCCGAATCCCGCCCATCCTGCCGTCACACTCGGCAGCGAAGCGACGCGACACCGCCATTCGTCCACCAGCCAGTTCCCTGCCAGTTCCTGCCAAGGCCGGACCAACCAGCAGAGCAGAGCCTTCGTCGTCGCTTGCCTTGACTTGCCTTGGACGACAGAAAGCGGGAGGGAATGTAAGCATTTCGGGTCCTGACTGCCCAATGGTGCCCTACCATGAAGCCGCGTCCAGAGCATCCAATTGCAACGCATCCAGCTCTCTCCGTACTTCCGGTTGAGGCATATCGCCATGACTGCAGAGAGGATCGTTTCCAGTACAGGTCCGCATTCTCGCCAGGGATACCTTGCGAACAGTAAAACCTTCTCTGACTTGGCTGCTGTCCTGCGAGATCATGCCCGGCCAGCGAGTTCTTCCTCGGTTGATCTTCACCTAATTTGAAGCAATCCAAGCCCGGAGACCCGTCCGTTCCCCCTTGCGAATAGCTGAGCGACGCCCGAGCCGGCACCCGTACCCCTCCATACCGACATTTTCACATCGCCCTACCTCCTCGCGCACCACCTGGAAAACCACCTGGGAACATCACTGCCGCCCCAGACATCGAGAAGCGCTGGGGCGAGCACCCTCCAGGGAAGGTCCTTGTTGCTAAGAGGAGCCTCTTCAAATCTCGAACGCATCACGGTGGCAAATTCTCCATGGGAGACATCAGGACATAAAGTGACCCATCTCGGACCTGGTTCCTGGGATATGGGAGATGGCCAGAGCTACTACTCCCCAGTACCCAGCTCGGTCTCTTCCTGAATTGAGTGAAGAAGAAGAAACGTCCGTACCGGCGGGCCTCACACATCTTAGAGATGATATAACTATTTACATCCGGAGCTGCATCTGTTTTCCACAGGTTGTTTGCCCAACGCACCGAGGCACCCTTCTCGTCTTCTTCCCAGGAAGCCGCTCGGCACACTTCATTCCCAACACTCCAAGGCGAGGCCAGTGCACCACGGATAGGACCATTCGCGAACCGCGGGGATTAAGGAAACTGTCTAGTTTCCCGACTCGGAGCTTGTGGGATCCCGTATCGGAAAGCCAAGTGGGCATCAGGACAACTCTACGCCGAGAGTTAGGACATCTTCCGTCCGATTACCATCTTCCAGCTTCATATCAGCGGATTCCTGTCTATCGGGAAGGATATGCCCCTGCAGGAACTTGTATACCGAACTTCCATCATGTCGAACGGACCTTGGAACTCGCGCAGGTGCGGCTCAACGCCAATTTGGTACCTGATAGTCGAGTAGGCTGACTTCCTTCAGTGTCATGTACAATGACAACTCGTATCTAGGTGACGCGAACGACAGCAGCTACCACCGGTCAAGGTAAGGGTTGACTGCCAGAAACCCCCGTCTCTTGGATTATCAATAACACTGGCTTTCAAAGTGTGACATACTCGTCCGGGACCGCTGCATATGGCATGACGGCCACCGCGCCGCTGCTGGAGACAAGTGGTCCAGTCGCGCGGCCCGATGTTTCCTACTCTGGCACGCCGGTATACTCTTCGAGACCGCCCTCCTTATCATATGGTACTTCAGGAGCCGCAGCTACATATGGATCGCACAAGAGCACGGGCTCCCAAGGTTGGGAAGCCCATGGTAGATATTCGCCTTCGGATTCCCTGGATGATATCATTGCTTCTCCGAGCCTATCGGATTACGCCTTGGACAACGGTGCAGGCACCACGTCTTCTGGGAAATCCAAGAGCTCGAGCACAGGTCGTCCCCAGCGGCGGCCCTCCAATAGGGATGAATTTGACGGGCCGCACCAGTTTCTGGCCAGACCACCCACGGAATATCAGGAGAGGGAGCTACCCCATCTCCCAACGAATCTCCTTGTGCAGGAACAGGATAGTGTCCTAAGCCGGGTGAACGATCGACTGTCACAGTGTGCCTTTGACTTTGTCGCAAAATACCAGTTCCCCATACCGCTCACGCAGGAGTACGTATTCAGGATTCTCTTTCTTTCCCGTATCAGTCCCCATCCGGAGTCGGGGCACTCGACCTGGGCTTATTTTGGACCGAAGACCCCCGACACCAGACAGGTGGCTTTCATGTACTCGATTGAGATCCAGGTGAATCCATCACTAACCCTATGTTAACAGCATGCGGCCTGTTGAGCGGCCTCAGGATCGCGAATGGACAGAGTGGGTGTACTTACTGAAGCGCCTCGCGACCAAAAGGCGAATACCGGCACGGGTTCTCTACAACGGACAGATCAAGCAGTTCGTCACCATACTAGAGAATTCGCTCGAGATGCGACATGCAGCGAAGCATCAGTCGCGCCCCCTGAAGGATGATCGCAACATCTTGCAGCTCATCAGTGCTGGTATCCAAGTTGCGAAGATCCTCAAGGACGCCCAAGCTATGGATTATCTGGACAGATTATACGTTTCAACGGAACAGCGGATTCAGGACCGGACGGCCGCGGCGTCGGTGCGGTTCCGCTGAGTGATGCATACCATTGGGATACCCGATGACACCCACGTTTTTTCCCTTTTTGCTCGTTTCCTTCCGGACCGGGGTATGAGCAAGGCGGAGGTTTGCCCTGTCAGGGAGCAAACAATGAGCGATGCCTTACGCTCATCCAGCTAATTTCGGCTGACGAGGATGGTGTATGAGAGTGCTGCCACGCGGGGTTAGGAACGATTTACGAGGTTCTTTATGTCTCGTACATTTTCCATACAAGACATGAAAGGCCAAGGGATGGAGAAGAAGAGTGCCTTCGGTGTTTTTGGGCGATAACATCTCTTCTTTTTTTTTCTGTTCATCCGTCAGGCGATATCCGGAGTTCATATGGTGGAGGCAAGCGAGTCCTCATTTTCAGCCCCAGGCCAGCGAAATGGCATTGATGTACTGTTACGTATTTCCTCAAGTGTTTATCTCGCTCCTTGTGCATAGGTAGCAACCAGTCACCTCGGACGTCATTTCTTCCGATCGGATGTCTGCTTGTCCGATCGGCTTAGATACGGAATTGGGCTCGACGGAGGTTGGGCATTGGGTTGGTTTCGTGATGGGCAGACATACCTCATGCAGAATTGGGCACACTGCTTACCTACTTAGGCATGTTGGGCACGAAATCGACCGGCCACTCTGACAGAAAGAGGCCGGTCGAGGCTTGGTGGACTAGATCTGTAATGTTGCTGCTGCATGTGCGCACGTATGAGCTATCAGCTGCTTTCTCATCTGATGTATCATATACATACCTATGCCCTGCATATACCGGTAGCTATAGTGTACATATAGCCCGGACGGAACTCCCCTCTCCTATTACAACAGTCGGTCTACTTGCATATGATGCGTGCAGGGGCTTCTCGTGCTTCGTCTATTGCTTCCCATAGGTTGGCTCATCTGGGGAAATTGTGAGGGCAGCAGCTTCCTGTGTCTGCCGGCGGCGTCCTTGGTGAGGTACGCGTACAGATGTCTGCTGCGTGGGCGTATACATGGGTGCTGTATGGGGTTGTGTGGTTGCGAGGGCCTTGGTTGAACGGGGCGGGTTTTGATTGTATGTCACTGGATGTCTAAGATCTACGTAAAGGTTAGAAGAGCGATGCAAGCAAGGGCTCTAACTATACTTATTGTTGCTTTCAGCTCCTTTACCTTTGGTCGGAAGTGTAGGTAGAACAAGAGACCGGCGGCTCGCTGTGACACGTCACTATAGCCTGTGGCGGGAGTGAGGGCGTCATGGAAGCCCTCATATGTGTGAGTACCTAGGTAGCGCCCGGCTCGGTCACATGGTGCCTCATGTCTTGCTCCATACCTTGGCTCGATGTGAGCAGCTAGTCTGTATGGACTTCCTCTAGAGGACAAGTTGCGATAGTAGACGATGTCCCGACTTGAGCTTGGTGGCTTTGCAGACATCGCTGTGTCAAGCTGGCCGGCCTTCGACGGGCATGGTTCGCCACGGTTCCTCCATCGTCTATAAGAACTCAACAACACCTATGTTTAGATGACTTATGCAGTGCCCGTTGCTACCTGTGCCAGGCTTTCAAGTTTCCTCCCATTGCCTGAAACCCAGATCCCGTCTCTCGCGCTCGTCCTCAAGGGCTGTATGCCCGCCGACAGCCTCCCGTTGGGCTCCAGTGTCTGCTAGATTTCCGAAAACGCTCACGTCGCGTGGGATGGCCATTCGATACCTAGAGCCAGAACATCTGACACCAAGAAGCACACAAGCAGACCCAGGGCTGGAGCCGCGAGATGTTCAAGCGGCCACAGGCCGAGCCTCGTCTCGGCAGATGATGCCATTGCCCCTTGACTACCGGTATAGTATCGGGCATACTATCACCATGGACAATGCCCCAGAGCGCGTCATGAGATTTAAGCAACCATTCTTCGGGACGCTGAGAAACGGGCATCTGATCGCGTGTCCAATGCATTCAGGGTCCCCGAGCCCCTCCAGCTTCAAATCGTCGCGGAACAGAATCCTTGGGGCCATGGTGGCGGGTCGGTAGTACGGAAGATGGGATAGAACCGCAACGCGAGCGATGTCTAGAAACACGTGAGTGTCCCAATCTCTACCGGCGTCCTACGATGCTTCGATCTGGAACTTGACCTGGCTTTTGTCAGTGGGCGTCTGTGTATTTGTGTACCGAACGATGGATAGAAAAATGCGGGGATTAGGAGGCACGGGTCAGTACCTACTACCTAGGTATGTACTGTGGGGGTGGCTGGGGTCTTATCTGTGACTCTGTGGCACGTGCCAAGTGGTTGCGGTTGTGGCGTCCCATCTCGCAATCATGACCTGTATGGATCAATTCTGATGGACCAGAATGTAACCCTTGACATCATTGAGCAAAAATACCTACCTGCCTTAAGTACTGGCACTCGACAGTCATCATACGCCCAGGATACTAGAACTTGAGATGTCTCCTTTGAAGACTGACGACATACATATGGCAACTCAACGATGGGCACTGATGGTGGCTGTCAGATGAGGCAGATGAGTGAGGGTGATTCGGTTGGGATACCAGAGCCGCCATGGCCCCTGAGACATCTACCGAATCCCGATCAGGGTCCAGAAAGCCCGACACTGGCACATGGCAGACTGGCTATTCGATACACCTGGAATACCGTGTTCTTCGCGCCACCGCCTTCCTCTGCAGGCAGCAGATTGGAACATGGAACATGGAACATGGAAGGATTCCCACCCACATCGCCCTGATCTGACAGAACTTCTGAAGGCGGCTGAAGGATCAACACCGACGCCTGAAGGGGTATAGCCCCTGTCGTACCCTTATCACTGCAGCCACTGTCGGTCATCCCATCGAGCGTAGCCCCTCCAGTGGCGGGGCTGCCAGGTCTGGGGATGCACCTTTTTGCCCTTTATAGCTACAAGATGGGGACCCTCAGATCCCTTCTGACGATGAATAGCCTTGCTCCTGTTGGATCTCGTCGATGTCGCGCAGAATCTTCTCCGTTGTGATTAACGTCATTCTGTCAAGTTCTCGACGAGGCGAACCGTCGTTCAAATGACCTGGACACGACGGCCTGCCAGACTTCGCTACGACCCTGCGACACCCGCTGGATATAGCAGATAGCGTACCGTGGGACGGAACTCAAGTGGAAAGCTCGATTTCCCTATTGACAGAGCACTCTTGCCTAATCCACCTCATATCTACATCTCTCATCTCATCTCAAGTCGTTGCTGCACAAACCACCACCAGCCATGGCCTCGGTCGCGTCTGCTTCGCCTACATCAAGGCCCAGCTTTCACCGCTCAGAATCAGCCGATGACTCGGACTCCTGGCAGTATGTAGAGTCAAATCCGTCATCTGTTGGCTTCGTTCCCAGCCCAGCCAGCTCAAGTATGAACAGCTGGGGGATCGTGGGCTACGCAAACCAGCTCCGCGGCTCTCCCACTGCCATGTCGCCGCTACACCTGGACCACGACCAGCACCATGGACTACCTCCTCCACCGACTTCGTACCCGGACCATACCAGCACCCCCATGATGCCGAGCACTGGTGTTGACGGCCAACTGATGTCCCCCTTCCACGAGCAACGCCTCATGAGCAGCCAGGAAATGATGTTCGGGGACCCGCTCAACCGTAAGTCTGATCTACCTGCACTCGGCGTTATGCTAGCACAGCCGCTGATCAGAACCAGATGCTGTTGATATGTCGTCCTATTACTCTTCGTTCCCGGGCGACATGGCGGACATGAGCGGATTAGAACCCCTTCACCTGGGAGACCTAGGCATTCCGCAGCAGTACCGCAACGATGGCGATGTTCCTCCGTGGGCGCCTCACGCGGAAAACGATGACATGACGCCCATCATGATGAACGACGTGAATGGCCACATGTCCCAGTCGCCCACACAGCTATCGCCGACACAGAGCTCCCACTACTCGAGCCCTACATCGCCTCATGTCAAGCTGGAGCCGAGCAAGAGTGGCAGCCCCATCAGGAAGGTCAGGGGTAGCGTTAAGGTCGAGAAGCGGAAATCGGAGTCGCCAAGCAAGTTTGTGATTATGACGCCAAACCTCATTAACCAGCAGTCGGGCAAGCCCAACCCCTTCGAGTGCTTCGAGGCCCTGCGGACAACACAGCGAGGGAGAAAGGGGCCGCTGGCAAATGAAATCAAAGAGAGTGCCTTGCAGGTCAGGAGGTTGGGAGCCTGTTTCTGTTGCCATAGGTTCGTTTCCCTGATCTCATCGCTTTAGCGGCCCTCATGTGACAGAGAGCTGACATCCATCGCCACAGTCGCAAGGTCAAATGCGACAAGGAGCGACCATGCAAGAACTGCAAGAAGCTCACCGCACAGATCCCACAAATCATGTGTTGGCAGTTCGGAGACTTCCTGCCGGCGTTGTTTCCCGACTTCATCCGCGGTCACTTCAAGAAGGACCAGGTCGCCAGCTTCATCGGCGAGAACGTCGAGAGCTTCGGCGTCGACGGCGTGGAGCAGGGCTTCCCGATCGAGCTGTTCTCGGGCATGCGGTTCAACTCAACGCTCACCATCCCGGCGAGCTTCTTCACGCCCAAGACGGCCGAGATCCTGCAGCACTGGCACATGAACACGGGCGTCAACCAGATGGACCTGCAGTCGAGAGGTGCCGCGCCCATAGGCATCGATCCCAACAACTCGGGCCAGCGGGACGAGCTGAAGAGGAGGGCGCGGGAGTATATCCAGAACCTCACACACGAACCGCTTTACGCCGAGCAGGTCACCGACTCCGTCAGGTCAACACAATTGCCGCGCAAGGTCCTGACGATAGTGCAGAATTACGCACAGCGTACCGATGTGAGTACGAGGCGCAAGGCCCGATGCTGGATTGCGAACGCTGACTCATGTAACGCAGTCGATGATGGTGAAGCGGGCACTATCCATCTACGTGATGCACTACGTGCTCACGCGTCAGCTCTGCCTCACCCACAATACCATCATCAGCCTGCAGCACACCAACATGGTACCTCAGAACAACCCGTGGGTTACGACGCGCGTGCTCAACCGCCAGGTCAAGTCGATGCTCGACGAGATGCTGCTCAAGGAAATGCAGGCGCTCTTCGACACCTTCTCCAAGTCGCTCAAGCCCAAGTCGAAGCGCGAGTGGGCGCCATGCCTGGCCGCGTTCCTGGTCCTGTGCCTCTTCATGGAGGCCGTCGAGACCGCCGCCGACACCTTTGTCGTGTCGCAGAACGAGATCGCCATCCGCAACCACTCGGCGCCCGAGTATAGCCGCGACTTCGCGCTGGGCCTGTGCCGTGAGATCGACAACATGCCCTTCAAGCAGTTCGCGTACCAGTTCCACCAGATCTACCAGACGCACTCGCGCGACGCCGCCACGCGCCCCTTCAACCCCCTACTGGACGACAGCTTTGCGCTGCAGGGCGAGCTGGATGCGCCGGCCATGGAGATGGTGCACGGGCTGAAGCAGCTGATGGATGGCGACGGCTGTGAGTTATCCTCGCCGCAGGTGACGCAGGCGCGTGCGTGTGTGTGTTTGGAGTATGTTGCTAACGAGATCAACAGGGCACGAGCTGGAATTCCTTGTCGCAGACCCGATTCTGACGGCTCAGGAGACGCACCCGTACCCGCGGGATGTGACTATGGATTACACCGGCCGTCTGCTGGCTCGGTTCCTACTCTCTTTTACCGATGAGAGATACCTCTTTGACGGGCAGTATTAGTGTATGCCATGTGTCGTATGTCATGTTTTAGATCTGTACGGATTTTCGCATTGCCTGCGTGGGGGGGAGGGATCTGGGTTGATGCGCGAGGGCATTCGTACAATAAGCAAGGGAGGCGGTGGGTCGGTTATGAGAGAAGTTGTATTACAAAAGCCGCATTGGGAGGCGTTCTCAAGACGGCGGCATGGTTTCTTTTGGGCAGGTAGCACGTTGAATATAGGTATTGGGCACCCTTCATGAACACACCAAAATCGGCGATGACAGGCCAGTGAAAGCTATGATGGCCCCTTTTATGATCCCCATCTGCCCACTCTCACGTCTTCTCGCCTTGCGAAGTGGTTTAATAGCCCTATATCCGTCTCCCGTTGCCATCCCACCGGAGTTAGCAGCCCGTCGCAATGTGATGAATAGCTGGATCAAGAGGACGTCAACGCATATTCCTGGGTGGAACAATGCCGCGTTCAATTGTCGATGAGGGTGAAAGGGATGATCAAGGAGAGGTGGTCCAAGCATCTCTCCATCGCTAATACAATACAAACACACATCCGACCCAAACCCCTCGAAGTCCTCCAGGAGGAGACAAATGATGGTCTTAACCTGCTGCTGAGGTGGCGAAGGACGGCAAGTGCGCACCATCGTACGCGACAACTAAGAAGGGTCTGCGGGTGGGCGTCCGTTGCGCATCAACTTTCGGTAGGAAATAGTGGTTCTTCGCCGTCGACGCTGGCGATACGCTACCGGAGCTGGAGTGCGAAGTGAAAGTGAAAAGCGCCCATGCTAAACGAACGCGTGCCAGAAGCCATGTACCTACCTGCCCATGCATTGGTATGGACCCAAAGTCGATCCTCCCCCAACGGGATAGGTCATTCTGGTCCTTGCTGGGACTATCAAACGAATATCTGCTCCTGGTTAGCCATGACTGCCTTCGTTCAGTTGGCGACTAGACCGGAGGGGAACTCGCTGGTTGGTCTTTTAGAGCGTAATATCGCCCTCCTTCCCATCACGCCTCCTTATTTTGGAGTGGGAGAGTCGTGGGGATTTTACCACTGGACGGCGTGGGTTTATACGTGCTGTCGCGGTTTTGAGGGTGATGGCCAATCCGAAGCGTCGGTTTCGTGGTGTTGTTCGCACCTAGTGGAGGCGGTGATCGCCCTGGTCGGCCTCGGCAGCCTGAAGATCCAAAAGGCGCTTCACTCAGTCGCCATTGTGAAAGGTAAAAAGTCCACGGAGGGACAACAAAAAAATTGTGGTTGAGGAACCTCGCAGATTTGTGGCTGTAGCTGTGGTAAGCTGCGGCGACCAAGGATTAGCTTGGCCAGACGAGTATGGATCAGATGGGAGGGAATACCTGATGCAACTGCCCCGGCGAGCTATTGGATTCTCGGTATCAGCTGCGGCTTCATCATGCCGAGGAAGTCCTCTCTGCTCATCACAAGGTCCTCTCTGGACTCGGTAAGAAGGCACCAGGTTTGAACAGCCAGCCAGAATCGCATGGTAATCGTCCAGAGTGACTGCAGCTCTTCTCTGCGCGGTGGTCCAACAGCCTGTAGCCCACGCGGTCGGATGGCAGTCGACGAGACCAGAATTCCTCAGCAAACGAATGGCTTGTTGGGCGTTGTGAATGATTATGGGCAGCAAGGTGTCACCCATCAGCCGGAACTGCGACACGCAAGGCACCCAATCGCCACCCCATTCGCTACCAGCTGCGAATTCGCTTTGATGGTACGCGGTCGAGCGGTAGCGCCAACCGCGTGAGTGCCTGGGCTCCACCACCATACGGGCCGCCATAACCCTCATTGCCGCGTTAGCCAGGCCCAGGGAGGCGATTCCAGTGGTTTCTTCTGTGAGGCGGAGGGCGAGGGGCCCGTAGATAGCTTGGGGGTTGTCGTCGTGGATCTTCTTGAAGAGTCGGCAGCTCAGACTCAGCGAGCGGATGGAGTAGGTCTCGTCGAGCTGCTTGAACACGTGGAGCCAAATCTCGTAGGGCGTTCGCTCGAGTGCTCGGGCAGCTGAAGGCTCGATGGCATCAACGACAGCATCAGTGACATCAGCAACGGCGGGACCAGCGACGGCATCCTTGGCGGCATCACCGGCAGTCTCCATGATCTTCGTAGTCACAAGCGATGCATTCCCAGGGTGTGGCGATGTCTCATTACCTTGGCGGTAGAAAGTGCGGACTTGTAGGATGGATGGCGTGCAAAATGGATCGCGACAAACCCTCAGAGCTTTCAGGTCAATGGTGCTGGTGAAAGATATGGATGCTGAGGCGGTGGTGCTTATTAAGAAGTACTGTTGCCATGAAACGACTATCTACTAGGTGATGATGGCATTCGGGTGGCTCATACGATCGGGGCTCAGGATATCTTCTATCACCCACCGAACTTGAGCGGCTGTTGCCTCGTGACCCCTTTCCATCTCCACGATAAATGGGAGGCACCTCAGGGTAGTAGGTCTATACCACGTATTGGTACGGCAGTACGCGTCCAGCCTTCACGTATCTATGTGTAGATGAAGTTTTAAGTCACATAACACGGCAAATATTGAACATAGGGTGTAGACACAAATCTAGTTTATATATCTATCTACCCACGTAGCGGCGCAGCAGGTCTATTCTTATGCAAGTGGGCTCGCAGATGAATAGAAGAAGGGAATCGACCAAAACCCAAAACGCTCCCAATGCAGTAGATGCTGAATCGCCATGTCTGATAACTCCTAAACCAGGCCATCGCCTGCTGCCCTGAGGAGGGTCTTCAAGTGCCGGAATATGCGATGGAATTGCAGATTAACCTTTGACCTGCCCTGTATCCTCTTTCCGCAGATGGGCAAGAATTCACAGAAGAGCTCTCCCTCTACCTGTAGTCGAAGATGATCGTAGTCAAGGGAATTCGTCAGAGACCCGTGAGAGACCGGTTTGGTCTGTAAGTCGGGAATCCATGTTGTTATCGAAGACAGTCTGCCGGAAACTGAAACTCGACATTGTTCGCCGCCATTAGATATTATGCCCACCATATCATGGCACCCAGTGCTATGCCTAACTTATATGAAGCCTGCCTCGCAAGCTACCTCGTACTTTCGAGCGCTCTCAAGCATTCCAATGTTGTTGACGTCGGCGCCGAAATCCAAGATGAGGATCTTGGGATCTTGCCCGGTGCTGATGATGCGTCTATAATCGCTCTTGGCACTGAGGACCCAGCTAGCGTGCCATCGAGGGAAGTCTAGTCGCTGCTCTCCCGTCTCCATGTCGAAGACCTTGATGTCAGTGTCGTAGCTGCCGCTGATAAGGCGTCCACTGACGCTATCGATATGTAAGCTGCGCACGAGCATGTCGTGAGCCTGAATCTCGCGAATGCACTCGCCCGTGTTGGCGTCCCAGATGCGAATCATCTTGTCGCTACCGGCAGATGCGATATATCGACCATCTTCGGAGAATTGGCTGCAGGCGAGACCCTTAGTATGACCTGCGAATTCGCGAATTGTCTTGCCGCTGTCGATGTTCCAGAGCTTCACTCGGAAGTCACCAGAGCAAGAGACGATGGTGTTTCCACGCAGCTGCACCGCGTTGACGGGCCCACTGTGGCCTCGCAGCTGCTTCAGAAGAGCGCCTGTTTCGCGATCCCAGACGCAGATAGTGACATCTTTGGAGCACGTCACGATGTGCTTGCCATCGAACGCCAAATCCAGGACAGCTGCCGTGTGGTGCTGAAGGCGTCGAACGGGCCTGTACCCTGAGCGTACATTATACACAATGCAGGTTGAGTCCGAAGAGCCGGTCACGAGTATGTCGTCATCATACTGGAGACACAGGATGGAGGCCTTGTGGTGAGTCGGGAAGGAGACAGTGACGGGCACGGATGGATTGGTCCGCTCGTTGGTGGTGGACGACGCATAGTGTATGGGCTTGCCATTCGGGTCGAACAGGATCGAGGTCTCGTTGACGACTTCGGGGGGCCCAATGACAAGGCGGCACTGCAAGGTACGCATGTCCCAAATTCGAATAGTCTTATCTCGAGAGCCAGTGATGATCTTGTTTCTATGGTCCAGATTAGTAGCTGCCACGGAAGTACATCCAAGGGGTTATTGGCATACTCATCAAACTGCAAGCAGTAAATGCTGTCGAGATGACCGTTCAAGTAGGTTGCACGCGCTTGCGGCCCAATCTGCCAGCGCCTGTCGAGCTCGTCACGTGCTTGATATATCTTCTGCCAGTCCATACCAGGTCGGATTGTGGGTACACCGCACCCCGTGCCCGGCTGGACAGGGAGGCTCGTGGCATACGTGCTGGTCTTCTCCCTCAGGAAAGATCGACGCCAGATGTGCTGGTCCTGTACAACCTGATACCATAGCCGAGATACCTGGCCTGCCGCCCTGAGCTGGGCGGCATCCAGATGTGCGAGAATCTGCACAGAAAGCTCCGAAGGTAGGTGGGCTATGAAATCTGTTCTGACGATGGAAGGGTCTTGCTCCTCCTGAAAGCCGCTTTGAGACTCGGTGGCCGTGAGGGCGATACCGATACCGCTCTCACGATCATTCAACTCGTCGGTCGATAGCCACTCCTGCTGCTGCCGCGCAAAGGCGAAATATTCGTTCTGCATGGCGGCGGCAGCTTTGGCGGCACCGCCCGTGTGGTGGGGGATGATGGGAGGTGCCAGACCGTGGCCGGGCACAGGAAGATCGGGAAACTCGGACTCGTGGGGGGAGTAGATGGTTTCCAGGCCGCTGCGGTCTCCGTACGAGCTTCTCGAGTGTCGGAAACTGGTAGCCTGTCGCAATCTGTTCCATGCCGAATGGGCAGTGGTCGGTCGGTATTCGTGGTAGTCGACGGCGGGCTCTGAGCTACGGCGATCACGGCCCACGATGCCTTTCATCAAACTCACGGAGGCGCGGCGGAACTTGCCCTTGAACGATGTGGACGGCCTAGGCTCATGATTGTTTACATCGTGGCTCTCTTCGATGGCCAGCTCGCCCAGGCCGTCAAGAATGTCGCCGTCGCCCAGGACGAGGGATTTCGGTCGGCGCTTCCATGGTAGAGAGGTGCTCGCGCTGCGGTCTCGCCGGAATGGGTTTGCGGTTGTTGGTCTGGGGTGTTCGTGTTGGTGGTGTTGGTCACTGGCTTCCATGCCAGTGTCGTGCGAGTAGGAGCTAGCACTCGAGGTCGACGGCCCATGGTAAATGTCGGCTATGGGTATGGGTACGGGCAGGGTGCGCAGAGGCCCTTCAGCGGTTGAAGTGACCATTGCAACGGCGTTCTGGGTTTGTTATGATATGGTTGGTTCCACGAAGGTTGGACTTGGCTGCGCGCGTGCGAGGTATTGTAATGGGCAATGGGCAATGTAGCAAGTAACGTAGCAAATGCGGAAGTGTTGGACACAGGGCAACGGCCTAGTAACGATGGCAACGGGACAACCTTTCCTTGTGCTCGTTATCGCATGCGAGCAGCGGGGCGACGGACAAAGAGCGCGCGAGAAGAAGGGAATGTTATAAAGTGCAGAATCAGAATCAGAATGCAGAATGCAGAATGTGTGATAGTGACTGGCAGGCAGTCAGTCAGTCAGTCAGTCAATCAGTCAGTCAGTCATAACCTTGAAGGTAGTGAAGGTATGGGGGCGTGTCAGCAGAGCCAGCCTCTCCCTGTCGTTCGAAAGTCAAAAAGGCGAGCACATATGACTTATTAAGGTATGCAGCGAGCGTGCCTTGCAGTCGGCAGCCTCGTTTCCTCCTGACTTCCCGTCCTTGTTGACTTGCCTTGAGTCAGGCGGATATGGAGCAGAGCGGAGGAGAGGCGGAGGGAAAGTGGAAGGGATGGCCGAAACGAGGCTTCAGCTGGACGGTGGACGGTGCCAAACCAGGACGGTGTGAAACCAAGGACCAACCCTGGCAACCCAGAGCCACGGCCACAGTGGACCCTCCTACGTTAGCCTCAAGTGCTAACACTGCTAAAGCCTGACGTGGCACATGCAGCGTGGTCCCCTAAAAGAACCCCCCTTTTTGCTGTTCGGTCTATTCACGATGAGGCTTTGTCCAATGACTCGTGCGCCCCGACTGGCAAGATTAGGGGTCGAAGGGACCTCGAGCCAGCCACATTCAATTTTAGAGGCTTGGCTTCAATGCTGGCTGGCTTACATACACATACATACATGCAGTGGTAGCTGGAGATCGGGCATCCCCGTACTTCGGGACTCATACCCTGTGTGTCCCAGCCGTACAATAATGCAATTCGTCTGACTTGCAGGAAGCACCAGCATCGACGAGACAGGGCCACAGGCGCTTGTTGCAAGTTGCGAGCCAGAATAGAGTCTGACTACCTATATTGTCTCATCAGTGGAAAGATCGGTGTCTCTGATACAGTGACATTTAACATTGACGGGCTGCACAGAAAAGACCCCGAGATGGCTGCTCTGCTAGTTTAAGTTCGCCATCTAGACTCTGCCAGTCTAGTTCACCCGCAGGACTGTCACACTAAAATAATGCAGGCCCTTGCCAGCGAGATCATCCCGATGATGGATGGCAGAATGGGTCCGCATCTCTCAACCGAGGTCCGCATCCGGACAGTCGGTTGTCCGTTCGGTTTATCAAAGTAGTCCACAGTTCACAAACAAGGATACCGTTGGATGCTGCTATTCATGGTTCCCTACCCTACTGTATACTATGTCAGTGCCACTCCAGACCCAGCCAGCCAGCATAGGGACAGTAGTATGCGCACTCCAAGTTTGGATTTCAGCTTCCGAAGTGGCCTCCCATGCCTCCCTCTTGTCACCGACCAATGACTCGCGTCGGAAGTACGGCTGCCTGCACCAGGTTCACGTCTCGGGGTCACGGCGACTGTCGAATCCCGAGCCTTGTCGATACTGTTGAAAGTTGACACGGGCCGGCGAGGGAGGATTATCCCAGTTCATCTTGTCTCTTCGCTTGCTTCCGAATTAGAACGCACACCCTGCACGACATAGTTATTGCGACAGCCATCCCACTGATCCCATTTTCGACGATGCGGATCGTCAGGAATCACGAGCTCACCCTCACCGTAAGTTCCCGTCCCGTCCCATCGCCAGCACTTGAGGCAGAGTGCATTCCAATCTGCCTCACATCATCACGTTGTTCACTTCCATTGAGGCACTTCATCCAAATCGTAGCGTCATTTCATCTATCTGTCAGCATCGCCTTTACCAAATGGAGATGGAGTTGAGCCGTGTCGAATTGCCAGATCACGGGATGCCAATGCCAATGGTACCTATCTTGGACGGCAACCCAGCCATGGTCTCACTATCTTCACCCCATACGCAACAAAGGACTAGCCGGGCGTGACAGCGACGAGGATGCTGCGTGCTCTTTGGAGGCTGCCATTACGCAGGGCAGGAGGCACCGAATTGATTGGGCAGGTTTTCTACTGGGGCCCTGTGGTTGAGCGAGCTCGCCTAAGATGGTAGTCGACGAGGCTACGCAGTGAGACAAAAGGGGAAGACCAATTCAAAGTGAGACTTCCTGAGGAAGATTCTGTCGATAGCCTCGAAGGCATGTTCCTATTTGTGCATTCGACGATGACTCCCTTGCGCCACTGCCTCTCCTCCACACTTGACTCCTGTCCGAGATGTCGCACAGCGTCATCAGACGCCCCTCGTCCTATTCGAGCATCTGGATGGTACGGCTCCAGCGTGCTGATACTGTCGGGTTCGTCGTCCCAGTCTGGCTTGCTAATGGCCGAGTGATTGGCTAGTACTAGCCGCAGGAACCTACTGCCGTTCTCAATCAGAGTGTCAGTGGCCCACCTTGAATCGCTGTGCACACCACAGACTTTTGAAACGGGCTTTTTAAGATAACAAGCCGTATTATAGCCATTTTAAGAGATATAAAAAGTTAATATATATAAAACAAATGATTTTCAAAAAAGACTTCGGTAAAAATAACATAATAAATTATATAAGTATTGTAACTAGGTTATTAAATATATATTGTCAAATGTTGGATCCCAGATATGGTGCCCTTAGGTGCAGTACCCACTAGGGGCTGTCAAGGGAACAGTGGATCCATCCTGGCATAGTGCAGTATGGTATTTAGCTGTAGATTAGCCCTGCCGAGTATACTTAAGAATGACAACAACACTTGCAGCGACCGCTTACACCCTCAAGGCTTGTGACCCTTCTAAAATCTCATATATATATATATATGTTTTTATAATCTTATTTTAAAACTACAATAGCTTAAACTAAGTATAAAATTATTTTTTATTTTTATTTTTAACCCGTTTCAACAACCGGACTTATCTCATATTCTAATTTACGAACATGGCCTATATTGGCTAATTTATTAATTCTTATTCTTATTGCGGTAATTTTACCCCTTTATTACCGCTTTATTACCTTCTTACCTCGGCATTTAAATTTAATCCGATAAAAATACGGTATTTAAAGTTGCAACTACCATCCCAACGTTGTGGATCCCAGCCACTGGATCTGCTGGATTAAAGGTACGCCTAGAGGGCACCTTAACAGTTAGACAACGGAACCTAGTTGTTCCGTCCCGATCCAGCCCCCTCTGGCAAAAAGCTGCCACAGTCGCACAGGGACACTTCAAGGACACAGAATACACACATACACTTCAACCTCACGATTGGCTCAAATCTAACAGGATCCAGCCACCAGTACCTTATCGGATCTCCTGTCATCCAGGGCGTTCTACGATAAGGTTACCTGGGATGGCTGCCCCAGGTGACAGGAACCAACCCACTGTAATTTAGGTATTTATATACTTCTCGGATGGGATCCCTTCCCATCCGAACGTAACCAAGCACCAACCAGAATACAGATCATCCCAACCGAAACTTGTGATAGATCTATGTTCTGGTTCCGCTACTACAAAGGCACAACGTCGTGCATATCATTCCATACCATCTTTAAATAGCTAAAAGCTAAGGCTATATAGAGATGGTATGAAATAACATGTGCGACGTAAGAATAGAAGCGCGACCGTAGAAAACGTACTTTTGTCGCCTTCGTCAACCAAGTCAAAAAGTCTATGGAGTACACAGCGATTCAAGGTGGGCCACTGACACTCTGATTGAGAACGGCAGTACCACAAGTCAGTCCCCTGAATGAGTGCCAAAGTCCCCGTTATGTAAGTCCGAAAAACTGAAGGGAAACTATGAACTTGCCATCCATAGCTCCCACCGCTCCACAAGCCTACCTCGCCCTGTCTAGTAGCGTCGCATACTCGTCGACATCTTGCTCCGAGACAGTATAGCCGATCGCCCGGCGACATGGAACAGGTCGTCTTTCGTGACACCCCATGCTGAGGTGCTCTGTTTCCCTTGGGTAATGTGTCAGCAGAAGACCTTTCTGTCGCTTCCAGATCTTGGGGATTTCTATCTAGGTCGTTATTGAGGTAGACGAACCTACGAGCTCGGTTGTTTGGATCATATGACGACGAGTATATAGCAACGGCGCCGGTGGCAGGAGTGGTCGAGGCACGAGGTTCGCGGTCCGCCTTTGTGATCGGCGTCCTCCGGCCCCTCGGCCTGCTTCCGACGGCAGCCATATCAGCTTTCCGATCTCGCCGTGGCCTAGACTCCCGAGTTCTCTCACTCGCTCGGTCGCAAAGCTTTGATCTGGGAAACTTCACGTTGGTACTTTGTCGACTGTGTTTCGTCAAAGCTTCAAGCATCAGACTGTATCAAGCTCATCCTTGTGGGTTGGATCTTAGTTATATGATTTCGATTATGCTTTCCTCAGTGAGGGGAGATTGTCTCATTACATCGTCCAACTGATACTACATTATTTCTTACAGCCGTTGACCGTGAGTCGGCTGCCCAGTCACCCAATTACACAACTTGACCGTGAAGATGGTTTGGCGTGTGCAGCTTCCATAGGGTGCAAGAACATTGCCTTCTCTGGTTTAGCTTCCTCGTCCAGCTTGTCCTGATTATGGGACTCGAAGACCTGGCTCACTGCACGCTGAACACCGAGGACGTCCAAGAGCTTATATACAGCAGTTGGCCCCCCGTGGTCCACACAGTTCGCGACTTTGCCTAAAAGGTCATGAAACTCGTCCGCGTCGAAATCGACACACACCTCGGTGATCCTTGCCGTGACGTGAATCCAAGCGGCGACGAGCTCTGGCTCGAGCGACCCTTGCATATGCCGGAATTCGACTGTGTTGAGCTGGCTCTTGCGAACCTTTCCCCAAAACTCTGATTGCGGCGGCAAATGCTCCGTCACAGCGATGGCCGCCTTGCGCGACCGGTCGCTCTCACCCACGAGCTTGGCAAGGTCCTCGACTGTCTCTGCGCGCCAGAGCCATGGCACCTTCGCTTTGCCGTTGTGAAGAGCCTGTGAAACGAATGGCGGCACATTGCGCTCCATTTCGTCCCTCCATGGCGCTGCGTGGGCGTCATCCTCGTCGACCCAACTTGGTAGCATGTCTGTCTTGTCCATTGCCATGTTTGTGCGCTTCTGCAGTGGCGCTGCGTACTTGATAGCTTCCTGCTTCCATGTTGCATGGAGATCGAGAAGCTTCGCCTCTGCCACCCACAGCAGCGTGAGCAGGCGCTTGAGATTGTGCAGTGGCAGAGGCAGCCCGCGGATCCCCCAATAGATGTGGACAGAGCACCGGCTGGAGTCCTTGACGGAGGTAATCCCCGTGTTAACGCTAAGCCTATAATTGGCACGGAGAACGCGGCAGGTACGTTCGAGATGCGCCTCGGCGCGTTGTCTTTCTTGCCACAGGTAGGCTTTGCTGACTACCTCGAAGCCGAGCCAGAAATAACCCTCCTGTGCTGCTGGTCGAACCAACATACGACGTCCGTCGACCAGAGGATCTGTCCAGATCATTGTCTCCTCTGGGATGACTGTCGTGTTTTCGTATGCCTGCGTGTACGTTAACATCGTGTAGGTTGACATCGTGTAGGTTGACATCGTGTTCTTAACCCTGTACAGACAATCTCTATATGAAGGAGGAAAGGGAACAACAAAGCTTGTTCTCGAATACAAGGCCTGGCCAGGGTCTTGGGATGGGATGTTTATATACGTACCGTATAGCGATAACCCCGGAAGGGGCCTAGCTTGACGTCGTCGGCCGGCTGGCCTTCCACCTCGTCGGCGCTTGGGTGGCCCTTCTCGCGGTACTCTGCATACATCCCGGCTTCGGTCAGCTTCTGGGCAATGATGCCACCGAAGTGGTGCAGTCTCCTCATATGGAGTTCGTGATCCGACCCGGTCTTGTTTATGTCTGGGGGCTCTTCGAGGATTGGCTGCGTACATTGAGTGCCGTCTCCTCCCTCCCAGGGGGTCTTGGTGCCGAATTCCTTGAAGAGAGCAAGGAATTCGAGCTCAAACCCGAAGGTTGCCTTGCCGCGAAAGGACTCTTTAGGCGCTTGGTCCACAGCGTCTGATTGTCCAATTGCCATATTGATAAGAAATGTACGAAATGTCAAGAGCAGGTCGTCAGTTTGTGTTGCTGCGTGTTGTTCTAGGAGAGATACCCGGCTCCAGAGCCAGGCTCGCCATCGCATTTAAATCAAATAGTCCCTTGTAGGCCGCCCGACGAATACGACCAACATCCTCGGCCAGATATCCAAGTGAATGCATCTAACCGTGGCGGGAGCTGCGTTTGCCGCAGTCGTGGGATTGAGATCGGTCAAGAAGAGCGGCCGGGAGGCCCTGCAAATGCCAGTAAGTAGTCTCCAGACTGATGGCCGACGTCCAGCTAGTATAGGTAGCGCATTGGCGGCTTTGTGAGAACAGGTAGTGGTGGGTATGTGGCTGGCACCCCTGGAGAAGAGCAGATACCATCAAGAGTCGACCTTTCCATAGCAGACCGACATTTGCACAATTCGTCATCATACGGCACAGCCGATGCACGCGTGGTCATCTTAAGGCGAACCACATTGTGACTCTGGCTGGCTGTTGGTGGTCAGACAACTGGGGACGGCGAATTACACGACCTATGCGGCCCAACATCGTAGCACATGTTGGAAAGTAGTTGGGTGAGGCTCAAGACCTGTCCGGCCTATCAGAGCCTCCGGAACGTCTGCAACATATAGGCCGGTTTCGAATAGTTCGACGCCATGCGCAGTTCAGCCGCGAAGTTTGTTCGTACCTACGTCCAGTGTGGTGACGGCCAGGGGCTGGATGGCCGAGAAGAAATTGTTAACAATGCGAGAAGGAGACCTCAGCCAACACCTCGACAAAGGAACTCGGGCTTTGCCAGTCTTGCAGAGTAGCGTGCTGCGGTAAGCCGACTCGGATCCTTGATCGGCGCGCACGATCCTTCACAGATTCCCGGACCGTGTGGCGCTTCCTCATGGTGTTCTCGTAATTAACTCATATTTCACGGTCAACGGTGCAACAGGAAGCTTCGCCCATCACATGGCATGCACCGTGCAGATGTCAGATACCAGCCCTTGGACCCTGTAAAATTAGGAGTACTCGAAGCGATATCAACTGCCCCCGAGGCTTCAACAAACACGGTACCCATGCAAATTGCTATACCCAACCTGCAGTAAGCCACGAGATACGGCAGCTGGGGATCGCAGCCTTCGAATCCCTGTGGAAGGAGTCTGGAGCGAGCCAATTGCGTAGCTGACGCCGACCGCGACGCGCAGGGCTCGAGCATATTGACTGACTGGCTGTCTCATTGGATCTGAACAACGGACGCGCGACAACTGATCGAATCTGATTGTCAAGGAAAACTCGAGGCACCTCCTGGTAATGTAGTATCAACCGGCTGCGTCCGCGCCATGGCACCATAGCGACCGCCCGGTTGCTTGCCGGTTGGTATAGAGAGGCCCAACGGCGCGAACCTGTTTCTCGGTAGGTACACAGTAGGTAGTTGGTAGACACTGACGTGAGACGGGATTGGGGCGGAAGCGAGCTGCTCGTCCAACACCCGTGTTGGCTGCAACAGACGCAAGGTCATCAATGGTCGATCTCGCAACGCAACCCCCGATGGAGATGATGTCTGCCAGGAGAGGGAAAGCCGGCTCAAGGCCGTCAGGATGAACACCCCTCGACTCTGTAGGCGGCTCTCGTGGCCGTGTGGGAAAAGTGTCGTATGACCGACCCCAGGGATCGCCAATGAGCCAAGCCAGCCTGTCAATCGGTCGGGAAGGTTCAAGGGATTCCTGCCAACGACTCAACCGGCCGGGAAGGGATTCCTGCCTGCCGGTTATGATCCATGACCATTGACTCCAAATGGAGGAACAGCTCAAAGTAGCTGATGTAGGCGACAACAAAAGTCGGGATGCTACAGAACCATTCCAGAATGGCTGCGGCAGTGATCCAGTCACAGTCTCGACAAACGGCGGCTGGCCATGCATGTGGTGGCGAGCCCCAGACACACCATGTCACACATGTCTGCATCAATCAATGCATGCGCAATATCGCGCGCGCGTTTGCCGGATCGCTCGGGTCGGGTCTGGACTGTCGTGGAATATGCCTTTCCCAATGGTGGGAGCCCGGGCCGTTGCCCTGGAACCGTGGAAACACCGCTGAGGGAGGGAACAAGGTTATTCCAAGCCCCGATGCAGGTGGTCGTTGCCCGTAAGGTTGCCCGTTGACCGGTTTCCATTCCGCGTGCAGGTTGGGTGCACCCGTGACAATGACCAATTGACAATCCCTGGCCGACCTGATCGAGGCTCACCTTCCTCTCGAACAACACCCGCCGCAGCTTCCGTTGCAGCTTCCATTGCAGCTTCCGTCGCAGCGCAAGGACTGAACCTGAAATCACGGAAACGATCGGAGACAGTCCCGTCGGAGAGACTCGGAGACACCTGCACGATGGCCCCGCGGCAGACCGTCCTCCCGCTCGCCTACCGGCTCTTCTTCCTCATCATCGAGCCCATCTCGGCCCTCGTCGGCGCCTACTACGCCCACTTCCAGCAAGATGCGTACCTGAGCATGACCACACACGCCGCGGCAGTCGTCCCATCGCCGGCCACCTCAATCATCATGTCCCAGTTGGCGAATCTGTACCTGCTCTTCGCGCTGAACGAAGCCTTGGTTCTGCGCTGCACCGGCGACCTCACGATCTGGAAGACTGTACTTTTCGGGCTGCTCATCGCTGACGTCGGACACGTGTATTCGGTCAGCAGCCTCGGTGCCTGGGTCTACTACGACGCCACGCGATGGAATGCCATCGATTGGGGCAATGTGCCGTTCGTGTATCTGGGCGCCTCGATGAGGATCGCCTTCCTCTGTGGAGTTGGCCTGGGAGGACAAGGACAGGCTAATAATACCAAGACGCGGAAGGCGGCTTGATCAACCCGTACAACCCGTGGTAGCACGCAGGTTACCGTAGCTCCCGGATACCGTGCGTCAAGATCTATAACTGCCGGTCAGCCGGTGGTCACGACTCACCGGGTGGCCTATGAAGCTTTCACTAGGGAGGCCGCTCACAGCTTGAGATCCCATCAGCGATGCTTCTACCAAGGCACGGCGACATATGGGCCGAAGAGACGAGACAAGCTCCACCGCAAGGTAATTAGTGAGCCGATGCGACAGCACACGTTCTAGGAGGCTTGGCGCCGGCGCAAGTGATATAAGAAGCATAGGAGGATGATGGGATGAAATACGAAGCGTTTGTAGGTGGCTAGCACGAAGGAACCGAAGCATACGTATAGCATGTTCAAGGCACTCGCAAATGCATATCAGCTTCTAGCAATCCCATGAGCGACACAAGCCGAGCCCAATCCGAGCTCAATCCTTTGATTGGGAACATTGGCATGACCATGTCGGCGTCTCCTGCCCAAGCCGCTACTTGACTGGTGGAATTTTCGGCGCGGCCCATCGGATAACCACGACTCACTCCGCTATCCTGACCAATGTCGGGCCCTCGCATAAGCCGAACATTCCTCGCTACGTTGCGGCGACGGTGGGACCGATCATCTACGGCACGGTGACGTGAGGATCTCGCCGGTGGCGGGCGCTCGCCTGATTCGCCTTGTTGACGCCCTAAGGATAAAATCGTGAGAATTAGGAACAGCGCAACCCCTCCAAGCGGCAGGATTCTGCAGCGGGCGAGGTGGGGGGTAAAGGTAGGAGAGGTAGGGGTTTGTATGACGGGTTGCGATGCGATGACTACCTCGGTATATTATCTGCCTAGCCCCTCCATGGCCTTCGGATGACACGAAGCTCGTACCCGTGTCACTGTTTCCTTCCTCATTTCATCGGAATCGTATCTGTCACTTCGATACGCTCCCCAAGACAATCCCGCCCAAGATGTCCAAATACGACCAATACGAAGGCTTCCAGGTCGAGTCGCCCGAGACCTGGACCGAGTTCCACAAGAACAAGTTTGACGTGAAGCCGTTTGGCGATCACGACGTCGAGATCAAAATCGAGTGCTGCGGCGTCTGCTCGAGCGACATCCACACCATCAACGGCGGCTGGGGCGAGCAGAAATTCCCGCTGGCCGTCGGCCACGAGATCGTCGGCAAGGCGCTGCGCGTCGGGCCCAAGGTCACCCTTGTCAAGGAAGGCGAGCGCGTCGGCCTCGGCGCCCAGTGCTGGTCCTGCCTCGAGTGCCGCCAGTGCAAGAACGACAACGAGACGTACTGCACCCAGCAGGTCGACACCTACGGCCAGGCGTGGCCCGATACGGGCATCGTGACGCAGGGCGGCTACTCCTCGCACGTGAGGGCCCACGAGCACTGGTGAGCATCATAGCCTTCACCATGAGCAATTGGAACCCATCGTGACTGACTGGGCCCTACAGGGTCTTCCCCATCCCTGACGCAATACCGAGTCATCTCGCAGCACCAATGCTATGTGCTGGCATTACAAGCTACAGCCCACTGGTGGTACGTATAGAAACATCCCGTCACAAGACCCTGGGCCTTGGATTCGAGAACAAGCTTTGTTCTTCCCTTTCCTTCTTCATCTAGAAGCTGGCTGTACGGGTTTAAAGACAAGATGTTAACATACAAGCAGAGAAACGGTGCCGGCCCGGGGAAGAAGGTCGGCATCGTCGGTCTGGGCGGCCTCGGCCATTTCGGCGTGCTGTTCGCCAAGGCGCTGGGGGCCGAGACGTGGGTGATCTCGCGCTCGCACAGCAAGGAGGCCGACGCCAGGAAGATGGGCGCGGACGGGTACCTGGCATCGCAGGACCCGGACTGGAACAAGGAGCACGCCATGACGTTCGACCTGATCATCAGCACGGCCAACAACTTCGGCGAGGGCTTCGACCTGGGCGCCTACCTGGCCCTGCTCGACGTCCACGGCAAGTGGGTGTCGGTCGGCATGCCCGAGGAGGCCACCCTCAACATCCGCCCGCAGGACCTGAACCCCAACGGCTGCCTGATCGGCTCCTCGCACCTCGGCAGCCGCAAGGAGATGTTGGATATGTACAAGCTGGCGGCCGAAAAGGGAATCAAATCATGGGTCGAGACTGTGCCGATCAGCGCCGAGAACCTGTCCGCGACGATGAAGAGGCTACGCAAGAATGATGTACGGTACCGATTTACCATGACGGACTATGACAGGGCCTTTGGGGCATAGAGAGCATACGGACTGGAGCATACAGAGCATCGGAAGGAAGGTGTCGAGGATGGTGGCGCGACGCATTTTACATTACAGCATTGGGGTTCCGCAATGAAGCAAATCGATACACAATGATTACCTATTAGACTAGACCTAAAGACATGGGTGAAAACACACTGGGAACACATTGACCGCGAGCTTCTCACTGCGAAAGCCAGAGCACCGGCTGCGGACGCATATGGATGTAGGGATGAACCTGCAAAACCAAAAGACCATGCTAATAATACCAAAGGCCAACCGGATTGCAGTCTCCTTTGCGTGGTCATATTTGGTCGGACGCCGGAGACGACGTCTCAGCCACGCGCCTACGTTCCGTATATTACCATCCAACTCCGTGGCATGGAGGACCAGCGGAGCCATCTGCTGCTTCTGCGTGGTGTTCGCGTTCGCCGCCGCCGTATCCCAGTCATCTCCGGCATGTCCGACACATGTCTGTGAGACGAATGCTTACAAGCACACAGTCCGTGTGTGCCATCCGTTTTGTGCCAGGCGGCGATGAGCTGGGAAAGCCGTTCGTTGATCGAACCATCCACTCAAGATCTAGCGGACTATCGGAGTAAGCAAGTCCTGAGGCCACACAGCACGGTCTACCCCGTTCCCTCTCGTGCCAACATGAAACCCCGGCTTCACGTTGCCCTCGGGAAACTTCAGTACCGGCGCAACGGTGCTGATGCTCGTGCCCAGATTCTCGCAAGGCCTGACCTCGAAGTAGCTGGGTTTGAAGAGGGTGGCGGCATTGTTGGCCATGAGCATCTGCATGTACTGCGGCAGCATGTGCGTCATGCCGTGGTAGTGTCTGAAGACTCTCCGGCCGTCCTTGGTCCATAGAGCGTCCCATACGTCAGGAGGGTAGGCGCCGACCGTGTCGACGAGCCAGCGCGAGTAGTAATTCAGAGCAACCTGTTTGCTGGAGTCAGCAATCGGGCCGAGCTCTGTCAATCATTGTCGTCAGCGGCCAGACGTACATCTACTTTGTATGAGCCTCCGGCTTCCGACCGTCGAATCAGGGCGTCGAGGACAGCGCAGACACCAGTTACGCCCGTGCAGTAGTCGCTGTTGGGGAATACTGGCGTGACAGGCTCATCATTGCCCATGGCTCGGCCGAATTCCATCGACACACCACAACATGCGTCCGAGATCTGCTGCCAGCCGCTCCGGTCCTTCCAGGGCCCATGCCATCCGTAGCAGTTCTCGCGGACGACGACAATGCCTCTGCCGCGTCCCTTGCATCGTTCGATAACCTCATCAGCTCCGAACCCCCATTTCTCCACCACGCCCGGGCGATAGCCCTGGACGAAGACATCGGCATCGAGGATGAGATCCCACATAGCTTGCCGGTCCTCCTCCTTGCGGAAATCCAGTTCGGTATTCCATTTACCAAAGTTCAAGTCGAGGTGCAGAGGACTCGCGTCTGGGAGATGGGGCGCGGCCACGCGCATGACGCTGGCTCCGAGCTCGGCTAGACCTCTTGTGATGGCCGGGGCGGCGATGATGCGCGTCATGTCGACGACCTTCAAGCCGCCGAGCGGGCGGGCCGGGCCCGTCAGCTCGCTCTGGCTCGGCTCGGGCCACCAGCTCGCGGGCGCGTCTCCGGCACGCTCGGTCTCCCAGAGGCCGACGTCTGCGTTGGCCTTGCCGTGCTCGCTTTGCCGGTACTCCTCCGGGGTCCAGCAGATGGTGCCTGCCTGCCGGTACTTGTCGGCAGCTAGAGACTGCAGCTCGGCGCTATCCATCGAACCGACCTTTGCGACAAATGGCTTTATTGCCTCATCCCAAGATTGGGGCTCCTCCTCGGTTCGGTGCGGCAGTCCCAACATGTCCAGCGTGGGCTCGGGGTTGAGCGAGCCGTGCGTGTGGAAGAAGCGGTGGTCCTTGGTCCGATATATGTTGGTGGCGTTGGTGCGATGGAGTCCCGTCTGCCAGCCGTGGATGTCCGTAGACTTGAACATGGTATTGAAGCGTTTCACCGCTTTCGGATCGGCGAATGAGGCCAATGTCAGGGGTGATTGGCCCATGGGGTCGATCTTCCAGAGCAATGTACTCATGATGAAGAGCTGCGCATGGTCGGTATCCACGACGACTTTCTGCGGAGGCAGACCGGACTTCTTGTGGACCAGGGCGTTGACGTAGGCGGCCTCGAGCCCTTTCAACGAAGCAATGCTTTCGGCGAAGCGCCAATTGATCGGAATGCTTGGGTAGTCGGCGCCTGTGAACTCGACCGGAGCGGCAAACTTCTCGATGCCATTGAGAAGGTGTTTGGAGACCAGAGGATTGCGTAGAATGCCTTTTTCGAACACAGCGCGAGTCTCGTTGGGGACCGAATACGCTGAACTTGTGCCGTTGCTTGACGCCTCGGCGCCGTTGGCCAGGCCGTCTTTTGCCATACCGAAGAGATGGAAGGGAGGTAACCAGGGCGAAAATGAAGGAGTCGCGCAAAAAAAGAAAGAGGGTTTTGGTTCGCAGAACTGAGAATAGTCAACTTGGCAGCTCGATGCTGTTCTAGTTCATGCACAGCCACGTGCATCTGCGTGTGGGACCGGCACGGCGATGTCCCGAATCACCCTTAGGCCCGGGATCCACCATTATGATCATAGGGGGTGGCCCACGGGTATGCATAGCAGAGTGATTTGGACATTAAAGGGAAGCACGCGAGGTTCATTTACGGCACGCAGTTCTCTCCAGACGGGAGCTAGCTCGTTAGTGTGGGGGAGCGATAGACGGATATGGCTTTACGACGGCAAGACAGGAGAAGCGGTGAAGCGGTGAAGCGTCAGTGAAGGAGAGCACAAAATATCGAGTCTGACGTTCGGGTGGGCAGTACGATTCGACCTGGACTTATTAATGGAAAGAAAACGGGGAGAGGTTTACACCAGGCAACACCTTTTGACTGTATCTTCCCGGCTCGTCTAAAGTACAACCATAGGGAGACAAGGCTCAGTCCAAAGCTTCGTATAGCGACGGAAAACAAAGAACTCTGCTGTCGAAGGAAGTCAATTGTGCCCGTCAGCTTGCTATCTGCGAGATGGACTTTTCTGCGGGGGTCACACATGCGCTCTGTGATGGTATGTATTATTAATAGTAATTCGTAATTTCGTAGAATGAGTTCGCTGTGACAACCTGGGCCTGAAAGCCCAATATGGTCGACAGAACATAAGCATGACAAGTAGCTTGTAGTTTCGCTGTGACAAGACGGATGACATATGGACACCCTCATCCCCTTAACCAGATGAACGAGAGATCCCAACAGACAATCAGACTGACCTATGCGCAAAACACACCGCTTCCAACCCTCGATCCAACGCTTCATTGTAGCCAAGCGTCACGATGCTGGCCCTTGATGCCGGTTGACTTCGTCCTCGCTACTCTGGACAGTTTGGCTGCTGTCTGAGCTTTGGCTTCTGTCTAAGCTATCCTCCCAGCGATGGGAAATAGCTACATCAAGTTCGAACTCTATCTGACGGACCTTGAACCTGGGATTGCGGCGTACCATCTTATACCAGAGTTTCTCCTCCTCGACGAAATTGCCGAGAAAAATCGTAAGGTTTATCAACATAAGATGGAGGTTCCCCAAGTCGTTTGCAATGCTCATCGGATCCGTCCAATTGCCGCGGATCGCCCTCTCTACAGGCGAGGTGGTCATGCCGACAGGATCTCGATCGGGCGGGAAGTGTTTCTCGAAGAGTGCCAGAAGCTTATCAAGCGAACGGCTACGGAAGCCGCAGTCTCTCTCATGGTAATACAACTTGTTGTAAACGTATGTGTCACATATATACGCTTGCCATTGCGCGCGATCCACGGTGGTGGCCTTCGTAAGCAGCTTCCGCATCTCGATGCAGTCGTCGACGAGGTGCTCGGTTGCCACCCGCCGCCGCAGGGATCTGACTTGAAATCGAGCGACCGGCGATCCATGCGAGGGTTGCACAAGTAAAGCATGATCAAGTAAGTTATGATGCGCAGGCCGAGGCCTACCATCTTTTCCGAATCGGTCTTGACCTCGCAGCAACAGCAGGCGCATTCCCTGCTCAACACAGCCGCGTCTATAAAGTTGCCCGATCGGAACAGCCGGAGGCTCACCACGTGTCCGCATGAGTGCCTGAGGCTGGCGCGACAATATGGGCAGTGAACGTTAAGGTCGTCTGTCTTGCTGTTGTATCCCAACGCCCATATGACTATGCACCTGGGATGAAAGGAATGGCGGCAGGGCAAGGTGACATGGGCTGACTGGTCGTCTTTATCCTGGCAAATTGCACACATTTCAGTGGTGGTGTTGTTGACGTTGCCATGTTCTCCACTGAGGGCGGCACCAAGATCACGAATTGGTTGACTGATTCTGCAGTTTCGGAAGCTCCGATTTCGTAGTCCCCGTCATCGAGAGTCCAACACCGCACCATGTTGTCCAGGGAGTCGGCGCTCGACGAGGAATTGGGTTGGCTTGGGGCATTGTCGGTGGTCACCCCTTTCGAATTGTTCCTCAGTGGTGACATTGGGTTGGCTTGGGGCATCGTCGATTGACATCCCTTCGGAGTGTTTCTCGGGGGTATCGTCGATGGTCAGTCCTTCGAACAGTTTCTCGACGCTGCAATGGGACGACATAGTTTACGATAAAAGGCGCTATGCTATTGCGTAATGTGTGGTGGTGATATAGTAGTATTGCTAGAAGAGGTGTTAATAGGTTGCTCTGAGCTCTCTCTGAGCGTATCAATGGAGGATGGAGGTCGAGCAGCTCGAGTCGGATTGAAATAAGATCATCTCTACAGGAAGTGACACACGATGGAGAAACCACGAACATCTGGGAGTGAGCGATATAAGAAGTCGCAAGGCTTGTGGGCTGAAGATACCGCGCCGGTTGGGCAGCCACGATTCTGAAGAACATTTGGGGTACCTTATGCTATGCCATAACGAAAGCGCAAGGCAGCGTTTACATACATACACTCCCTCACGTCAAAGCAATTGCCCAACGGCATCACTGCCCGAATGTACCTACCTGGGTAGGTAGTTTTCATTATTTGCCGCCTGCTGCAACGTCGGAACATATCTCTGTGGATCACAAGATGTGTCGTCGACGGCTTGCCGGGTCTTGGTGCGCTGAATCCAAATGATATGCTGAGAGAACAGTCAAAAAGGGGTACGAAGTGTCTCTACCCGTAACAAGGTCGAAGGTGGACACTGGACATATCAAACACAATGCGATGCTCCGGCTGGGCGGATTGCGAGAGGTCTGACTGAACTTCACCCATGTAATGGTACAATACGAGAAAGGGGGAATTTGATAGGAATTCTTTTATATCAGTACTGCCCAAACGATGCTCGGAGTGCCAAGCAGACTGACCATAGAGACCGAGCAAAAGGGGTCGCATCTGCCAATGCTGCCCAAGACAGCGATTCATTGACATCGGCATATATATGGTACTTCCCACTTCCCAGGTCATCGCCCACCAGCTCCATGGGACCAGCCCCGAGGCTTTCTGTGCCAACCTTCCTTTAATGCTGGCTGTATTAGTACGAGAAGCTCCTGATTCAGCATGGCAACGAAGATCAAGGAGACCTGCTTGCACTGAGCTTCGAGATACTGACCCCTATCGTGGGATTCAATCCGTTGCACGCGACTTGGCTTACAGCTGTATGGCTCGACATGGAATCAATTATGAGTAATGCACTAAGTGTCTGTTTGACATTGGTGGCTTGACCGATAGCACAGGTAAACGCGATACGCAGGGCCTGCAGGCGGGATCCATCTGTACACAGGCCAAAGGACTACCCGGTTGAAGGACCGCAAGATGAGTCGGCCAAGTATCGTTCGGAAGTTGAGACTCCTTATTGGCTTTCTCGACTGGATTGACCCGTCAGCATCTGTCAATGCAAACAGATCATCCAGAAGTTATATCCTTGGTCGGTCTCTGAATGGCGCTCCGGGTGGAGGCGACTCCGCGGGAGCTCTCCCTGAATGGGACGTCTCGACCCATTTGGAATTTCAGCTTTGACCTCCTCCACACCTTGGACTGGCTACAGGATAATATAAATTTGAGCGACGAGCCCAGTGGGAGACGATTCTATGTTGCACAGTATAGATCCATGCTATCTATGGCCATGACTGCCAGGGGAAGGCCGTGAGGGGGGAAAGGGGTCAGGAGAACCTAGAACGAAAGAGCTTGATCAACGATCTTGTCAAGGAGAAGTTTCAATAATCAATAGAGTAGAATTTCTTTATTTACCTTATGACCGCAACTTGCTCTGATTATGCTGCACTGTCATTATCCCCTTGCAGCCGTAGCCTTTGGGATGCCTCCTTACTTCGTGAAGCTGTATTTGAGATAGAGGTTATTCAAAAGCAGCAATCGTGGCAAATAAAGTTAACCAGGTATGCTAATAGGAACGCATTGATACGTGTTAATTGAGCTTGGCTCGACAAAGACGTGTTAACTGAGCTTGGCTCGACAAAGAGGGTTGTACCAGGCATGGATGTGAAAACCCCTGAAGTCTCAAATGCTGCTTTGCACGGTCGTATTGAATGGAGAACTGAACGAGGGGAGCGACGAAGGTGGTGAACAATTAACTGAAAGACGACCATACCACACCATGGGAACTGGTAGACTTGCTGCGACGAGTTGAGTGAATCAACGAACCACGAGACACTGTGCTGTGATGATCAGCCCCTGACAACAAAGCCTCTGGTCCACTGAAGGTACCGCAGTAGGCTTCAGTCTACTCCCCGGCATTGATAAGTACAGCGCTGCCACCGCAAGGCCTACTGTAGCAGGCCCAAGCTCACGGCAATGTCACCCACCGCGGGTAAACTGTTAAGGGGCATTGTCCCCATCCTACTCCAAGCCTGTGTCCCAAGCAACGCCCCCAAATTAGCCAGCCGGTCCGCCTTCGTTGTCGAGGGGGTTATGTATGCCAATAGCTCGCCGACCCTTCATCAAGTAAAGGACTAACGGTTGGGTAGTCCAGTGGTTAGGACGCCTTCGCTCAAGGGTGTCCCACCTCGGCTCGCCCTTAGGGGCAAGAGGAGGAAAAATGGGAGGCACCGGCCTGAGTCGTTAAGGAAACCTGGGTTCGATTCTCAGCCCGACCAATTAATTCATTTTTGTGTCTCTTCTGTATTTTTGATTTTCTGTTGTGCGTTCGCTCCCGTCGTTCCAATCTCTTGAACCATCACCATCACCACCTCTGCCTCCCTCCTTCTTTCCTTCTTTCATTCCTCCTGAACTTCTCCCCAGCCGCCCGTCCCCGTCCCGTACTCTATTTTACTCTTTTTTAAGCAACTGTCGACAACCGATCAAGCTTCAAATCATTTGGAGATCGAGATGACTTGATCAAACGAAGCAAGCCGGTATGGGTTTCCTTTGTGTGGCACATCCTGCCCCTGATCACTCACTCCGCGCCTTTAATGAGAGGCTCACCGCAACGGACTTCGTATACCGCGGATTATGTCACGAAACTATCCCAGTACAGGCTGCCGCAAGAATGAGTTGTACAACGGACCCTACCGATCGACGACTCGGTGGTTTAGACACGACAACGCGTATAGCCGGGCAATCATATAATCTGCTGTTCCGCACTGCTCGCAGTCAGCCATACATACCTGGGTGGTACTGCACCCCCTCATCCTTGGCAATTGTGCGATCAGTCACAGAAGTCAAGATCCACTTGATGTTTCACAACACATGAAAAGAAAGAATATGTTCCAAGCCCTTCTTGATCACCTGTGCTAACGTTTTTTCTTTGTCCCAGGGAGTATAGAGTAGACGCAATGAATTCCGACGAAGAGCCGGGCCGCGATGCAGATGCATATACCCCACGAGATTCTTGACGACGAGAGTCGGATTAAGAGGGCGATAATATACCTCTTCAACCTATTGGAACCGGCGCCAACGGAGATCGGCAATACACCAGCAACGTCTAAGATGCTGGTCCACAGCTGAAGGGCAACCCGGCAATACGAATCCAGATTATGCACGCAGCAGCCAAGGCCGTCGATGCATATTCGTCTCAGTTCTATTCGCACTCCACCACGATAATGCCAATGAGGAGTTGGCACGAGAACATCAATATCGACTCTGAGACCAGCAACGGTTTCCGAACCGACTTCTCGATCATCATCAATGGTAGCTGGATCGACGCCCGTGGCCAGCAAAGGGGCTGTGCTGTTCATCACGCCAAGGTGCCGAAAGAAGATAGGGGCGTAATAGTTGACTGTTGAAACGTTGACTCGAGAACCATGCTTTGACGGTATAGGCACTTGCTTACTTGAATCAATACCGAACGAGACAGTTAGACATGTACAATGAAATGGAAAACAGTAGGAAAAAGAGGCACCTCATAACCTGCACCTGCAGCCAACAGAATTCTAACCCCGAGCCCAGCGAGGAATTGGTCTGGGTAGAGGTAGGCCCCAGGCCTTAGCTAGGCACCGGCCGTGAGATAAGAACCGAGTTTGGCCCATAAAAAACCGATGAATATCGTGTGCTTCTGCGTGAAGACCTTGGCACGGATACGAGTAGAACGGCAGCGAGCCCAGCCACGGAGCTAGAGCATCGAGGTCGTTCAGCCCTTCTTTCGCACCATCATTTTTGACGATATGGAAAAACACTCTCGCGAACGTGGGGGCTGGGTATGACAAGAGCCTGCTGTCCAAGCACTCCTTGTTGATTGGTGTACTGTCCTAGCCACCCTCGGCGGAATGAGACTTATACCTCCACGATGATGGCTAGGACGGCACAGACTACGGGAAACCAATCCGGGTGGCGTGTTGCGAGGGCGTCGACACGACTGCCGGTGCGTTGGCCCCCGAACACTCGTCCATCTTTCGGCGGAATCGCCCCTCCCACTCCATACTCGGAGTCGCTGTGTAGCGCACACAGCGAGGTGGAGGACTCCTTGGGAGTGAAGTCGGAGGGATCACGATCGTTGGTCAGCTGGGTTCCGAGCGCGGCCCGCCAATTGCGGGGATTCGGGATTTTGGTCCTGACTGGAGTCAAGGTGAAGAAAGTGACGACATTCGTACCACTTACTATTTTTCACACACTGTCCGAAACGCTCTCGCCCTGACACCTCAGTCCCCTTTTGAAGAAACAGTTTCTGACACCGGGGCGCATTGGGCGCAGAGTCAGTCACCTCGACCACAGCCAATTCTACACACGTCATCACGGACGCGAGATCCACAAACATCATGACCACCACAGCCAGCAAACGGCTGGGAGTCGGCATCGTGGGCGCTGGAGTAAGTTCTTAGCCCACACGAACGCCGGTGAGTGAGTGCCCGTCCAGTGCTAAGTAAACGCATGAACAGGAAGTCTTCCAGGTCTGCCACGGCCCATGTCTATTCCTAATGAGCCACCTCTTCTCCATAGAATCCGTGTGCGACATCTCGCGCAAGAACGCCGACTTCTGCGCCGCCAAGTGGCACATCCCGCAGGCGACCACGGACCCGCGTGCCGTCTTCTCCAACCCCTCGGTCGACGTGGTCTTCGTCCTGACCTCGGACGACAGCCACACCCCGCTGGCCGTGGCAGCCCTGCAAGCCGGCAAGCACGTCATGCTGGAGAAGCCCGTCGCCCTGTCGATCCCCTCGGCGCAGCAGATCATCGACGCCGAGCGCGCGTCGCCGGGCCGCAAGCGCGTCTTCGTGGGCTACATGCGGCGCTATGCGCCCTCGTACCTCGGCGCCTTCAAGCGGGAGCTCGCCACCATGCCGCGGATATCATATGCCCGAGTCCGGGACTTCAGCGGTCCGAATGCCTATTTCGTAGACGGTTCGGGCACGTTCCAAGCCAAGAACAACGACTTCCCGCCCAACGCCGGCGCGGAACGAGATGCCCGGCTCGAAGACCTGTTCCGTCAGGCTTTCCCGGGCCAGGAGATCACGGACGAGCATCGCAGGTTCTGCAGGTTCCTGGGGAGCTTGGGGTCCCACGACCTTTCGCTGCTGAGGGAGACTCTTGGTTCTCCCGAGAGCATCGCCGGCGTCAGTGCCAACGATCCTTTCTACAGCACTATCATGAATTATCGCAATAAGGATGGCACACCCTTCTCTGTGACTTATGAAAGCGGTATTGACGAGATACCCATTTTCGATGCGCACATCGCGGTCTATAGCGCGAGAAAACGAGTATGGATACAGGTACGTACCATTCCGTCGAATGAACGGAGATGCTGGCTGAATCTGGCTACAGTACGACAGCCCCTACGTCAAGGGCCTCCCCATCAAGGTCCATGTCGAGGAGGTCAACGATCAGGGGGAGCCTCAGAAGCGGGAGATACTCTGCTCGTACAAGGATGCCTACACCTGCGAGCTGGAACAACTCCACGCGTGTCTCGTGGACGGGAAGGAGATCAAGACCAGTGTCACGGATGCATTGGAGGACCTCAAACTGTTCGACATGTTGTACAAGAAGTGGCAATCTAGCAGGACAGACGCCTAGGACATCAGTGGTCGTTCTTAGAAAGATACCCGACCCGGTGCGAAAGGAGGCGGCTATACGGCAGCTTGAGGTTTGAGTCATAAAGGTGTTGATCTACGCTACGCTGTTCTTCTCTCACGAGTATCATGATCTGCCCAATGTTCCTTGAAATTTCTTACTTACACGCCACTCCATAGTTCCAGATTACGCCACAAATCTACCGCTAGAAATCGTATCCCATGTGTTGTGCGTGGTCATGCAAGCACGGCCGTCAATGATTTGACTGCGGTTGGAAGTACGCTGGTTCCGGGTCTAACCCATATGAAACCAAAAAGGAAGAAAAAGAGAAAATAAAGCCGCGTTCAATCATGATTTCGAGTGTCTGCAGCGTGATGGTCCGGACCATTCCATTCACGACGAGATTATCATTATTGGGGCCGCCGGAGGAGGAGGCGGGGGTGCCTGCGCGGGTGCCGCAGCTGGTGCAGATGGTGCGGCAGGAGGGTCCGGGTCCGCGTTGTATATCATGTCCTGCACGAAGTCTTTAATGTCGTCGTCAGATTCCGCCGTTCCGTTGAGCATGAACGAAGCCGCAGTTTTGTTCGCGACAGGCTGGGACGTCTTTGCTAGCATTTGTGCAAGCGTGAATCGATCTTCGGGTCTTTTGGCCACTGGTACCATCCACATATGTCAGTTACCTGGGGATTTTTCGGGTTTATGGTGCCCCCGGGGGGTCCCGCCTTTGTGCTTATGCCTCCTGGCATCGAGTGGGTTTGGTCATTGATCAACAAGATGGGCGGACTTACTAGACCTGCAGATGAGATCTCGGAGGTCCGAGTCGAGAGTGAGATCCTGTGGTTGCTCGTCGGAGAGTCGCACGGCAAAAGTCTGTATGTCCTTGTACTTTTCCGTGTTCGTCCTATCATTTTGAGTCCTCAATTGACGGATGGCGACACTGTATATTGCCTATCGTAGTGCACCAATCAATTCACCGACCTTGTCCGTAGCGACGGTCCAGATATAATGTGGCTACGTACCCTAGAGGCTTCAAACAGATTCTCCTCGACGGCTTTTTTCGACTCTTTTACTCTTGTAGTCAGCCCGAAGTCGATGAGCTTCATCACGGGGACTAGGCTATGTTCAGGGACGGCTAGATCAAAATCGCCAACCATTACTATGTGCTGTCAGTCACGAGTACCAGGATTGTTGGAATTGGGAGGACAAGATCGGCTTACTATTCCCAGTGTGAAGGTCGCCATGAACCTTCGTTGATGCCTCAACTTCCGGTATCGGAATGTTTTCCAGAACCACCGCGGCGTCCGGGTCTGCTTGTCTCGGGTAAGCCATGCCAATACATGCCCGGACAGCTAGATAGCCAGTTTGTCAGATATGATCCTATTGCAAGTCGGGAAAAAGGGAAAGGGGTCGTTTCACGGGAGTGGTTACCACATAAGTAGAAGGCCCACAGGACACGATTCGGCGTCGGCTCCGCCCGATTTTCCAGCCTTCTAATAAGTCTTCGCAACATGCCATTCTCAATGTACTCCATTACAAGCACGGGTCCGGTGAGGCCTGCTAAGAAGTCCCCCTGGCCTGGGTCGACACGTGGAAATGGTTTAGCGGCGAGTTGCCGCGCAACTCTCCTCTCGTCATCTCGAAAGGCCACGAGGCCGGCGATGTGCATGCTGCCGTTGATTTCCTTTAGGTAGGGTCACCACTTCTTAGTCGTGGTCTCACCATAACAGTTGAAAGGGGTCATGAAGGGGACATACTTACTCGGAGTATTCGTATCTCATCCCGCAATGGCTGTATCCCTTCGTCTCCCAGTGCCCTTTTGAGGCACAGCCTTCTGAGTATCTGTGGTTCTGGTACTCCACCGGTTACTCTTCGAGCCCTAGGCGTTAGATTCCGTCTGATAGTCTGGAAAGCCTCAGGTGGAGTCGCGTTTCTTATTCTCTTGATACCACGGGCAATCGATTCCATGCCTTTCACTAGTTCTGTTGGTGTGATAGACCTGAGCCGTTTGGTTCCCACGAGCTGCCCAGGTGCTGTTGCTGTTCGAGCTGGTGGTGCAAGGGGCTGTATGGGTGGTGGGAGAGACCGCACGTCCCCAAACTCGATCATTTTAAAGGTCACGCCATATGCGCCATGTGCTATGGTCCCTTCGAATTTGAAGCGGGCAGCTTGTGGCTCGAAAAACTTCTCGAGCCTTTTCCTCTCGAATTCGCTTGGTTGGCCCATCTCGTGTTAGTTGATTGCAACTTGCTCTCCTAGAAAATTACCGATACCACAATTGCTTCGATTATCTCTTGTGTGGGGAGAAGTAGATATCACGGAAACAAAGAAATCTTTTTCGAAGAGTGACAAAGACCAAAATTTTTGGTAGTCTATGAGCTGTGAAGAGTTGCATTGTGCGTTTCATTGTAAACTGTTTCCGGTTTAGGAAAATACCTCGTCTCACCTCGCAACTCGTTTCCCAGTCAATGCAGTGCGCCGCTCACCACCCGTGATCTGACCGTCTTAGCGTATGAGGCAAGTCTCATTGAGTCTCAATAAGGGGGCTGAAGTGAAGTGTGTGGTAGTCAATAGGAGAGCGGGCAATCGTCAGGGCTCTCTTTGATCAGCATGTCGCCCAGCAGGGCAAGATCAGGGCACAAATCCCAGCCAGACCAAACCACGGTTATCACCATAGAATGGAGAAAACACAGTAGCCTGGCTCTGGAGGTTCGGCATAGGCTTTCATCATCCGATTGTAGGAAGCTGGTGACAAGTAGTAAACTCTGAACTCACCAAGAGATTGAGCCGACTCTTAGCCCGGTGTCCTTTCTCTCAAACACTGGACTGTGGCTGACGTACACTGCGAGCCGAACATCACAAATGTCATGGGAGCGCGAGGGGATCGAGGCGTTGAATCACGTTGTGCTGGCCCTAACTTAGAGACCGCCTTGAATCTATTTCTTTTTTCTAGACGTCGTAGCTACCAGGCGTTTCTTGAGGTGTTTGGGCATCTTCTCTTTGCGCCTTTCGTTCTTGGCTTCCTTGACAGCCTGCTTGCGATTCTGCTTGTCGTTAGCTGTTTGTGGCACAAGACTGTAGTAGTGGGTGGAATGGATTCGGTCTGCTGAGGAAATGGGAGGCGGGCATGGACATGCAGGGTTGGACTTCATTTCCGCACTGACCTTCTTCTCATCCTTGTCTTCAAACCGATGGCCGCGGGGTGTCCCTTTGTCAAATCTACTCTCATCTTCGCTGCTCCCATCATCGTCACTATCAAGAGCGGCGCCATTATCTGATTCGTCTTCTGAGCTCCGTGGCTCTGCTTCATTCGGCTGCACCACCTGATCTGCAAGTAGGTTGCGGTACACCAGGTTACTTCCTTTGCCCTCCCCGATTTTTTCTGCGTCCTTTTCGATATCGTAGACCTGGTCCAGGGTCTGCGGTATGTACTGATTTCGGAATACCTCATTGTCGACTTCCTGCTCGGCTGTCGCCGTATCATCATCTGCAGCTGCCGACCTCGAAGCGTACAGGCGCTCAATTGCTTGGGCTAGACCCGGCTCCTCTACTACGCCTTCCGATATGGTGATGAAATCGAATACCGTCCGGTCGGACAGCGTGTCGACCCCCTGTCTTCGGAAGAAGTCGCCAGTGTTCTTGATATCCATGCGCAAGAACTCGAGGGATCGGGGGTGGTCATGTTCCACGCTTTGGGATACATCAATGATGTAGAGCTGTTTGTCATTGTACAATATGTTGTATTCGCTCAAGTCTGCGTGTACAAGCTTGCAGACCTGATACATGCGTCGCATGATACCCAGAAGCTGAATGTAGAGGTGCATCCATATTTGCTCGGCATCGTCTGCTGGGATAGTGGCATCTCGTAGTCGCGGATAGGCCCATCCTTTCCTGTCACCCAAAAAGTCCATAACGAGAACGTGAAGCTTGAGCTGGATGGGTTCCGGACACGCAATTCCGGCCGAATGAATCCTTCTCAAGTTTCGAAACTCCTTCTCAGCCCAGAGCTTGACCATCTTGCGATTGTTGCCCTTGTCGGCGCCGGACTTGAAACGGTGCTCGCCGGTGATGTATCTCTCTCGGTCTTTGAAACTCAGGATAGCGGTCTTATAGACCTTGACAGCTCGCTGAACGGGTGGTCCATGGATATCAGGGTATGCGACGGCCCCGTAAACGTTCGCCTCCTTACCGGTGCTGATTGCGCCGTGTACCTCGCTGACAGCGCCACGGTTGATCATCTGGTAGAGGATCATGCGGGTTCGTTGATCCAGAACTTGCTCACTGGTGGCCCTGTCGGCCTTGTCCTTGTCCCGTTCCTGGCCGTCCTTGACATCGTCGAGCCGAATCTTGGAGGCATGTTTCGAGAGTGCGGATATTTGGTCGTCTACGCTGTTGAAGGTGTTTGCGGCGGGCTTCTGCTGGTTGGAATGTAAGGATCGTTGGCGATTGTAGTTTCTCGACGTATCCGGCTCCCCGTCGGGGCCGAAGTCGCCAATCTCGTCATCATTCTCGTCAAAGATATCGTCCAGACCAGAATCTTCCTCGTCGGCAACCTCTTGAGCGCTCGAGTCCGGAGCGGAAACGGTCTGCGGTGTATTCTGATTCACCGAAGCATCATGCCCATTGGTGTTCGTGTTCGTGTGTGGCGGTTCGTGTGAACTGGCCGCGGACGTGGTGGCCTCCATTGTCGGACACCAGTGACTGAGAGTTATTGGCAGGGCTGCCGGTACAAGGACCGAAGTCGTGATGGCTGGCGGGGCAATCGAGTAGATGTCGGATGCTTTTCTTACTGGAGAGAGGCCGGTCGGGGTCTGATTGGAAATGTAGATTCTCCCCTATAGACGAGAAACCTGGAGAATGAAGCCTTTGAAAGGGCGACTAAATTGTGCCGTGTAGTGACTCCCTCTGAAGTTGGAGTTGGTGATGGAATCATTTCATCAGTGTGTGGGCATAATCTTTTTGCCCCGCCATGCCTAACGTCCACCGGCTTATCGATAAGAGGTATACTGTCCGACAAGATAAGATAAGATGAAGCTATGCCCAGACTGCCGAACAGGAGAACGATAAATCTGCCTCCAGTCCGCCTCTGCCTGCCGGATCTTGCCAGCCAGTCACTCCGCTCTCCTGGCTACGTTCAACGTAGCATGCTCTTCACCTGGCATGTGGACCTTTGATTCCAACCTCCTCCGGTAACTGGATACTGCAACTATCATGGTGGAAATCAGGATAACAAGGTCGCAGTTCTGTTCGCTGCCGGCCCTATCATCCCCGCTCCCTACGTTACATCAACCACAAGGACATTGCTCCAGAAAAGGTCGCTACATCGTCTCGACGACGGAGTGATCGTCCTGTGCTCAAAGATCATGTCCAATCGAACAGCCGAGGACCGGCGAGATGTCCGGCCTACTGGATACCACGGGTTGTTATAAAGAGGATATGGCAACCCGTCCTGCCACGAAGTAGTCGCTATACCCATCAGTCGTCCTATATCAGCCTCCTTCGTTTACAAGAAAGGGTTTGACCTCCATCGTATTGGTCTCGCAGGTACCATCTACACGCCATGCGCTTCATGAACGTGCCTCACTTATGTGCCCTGACTTTGTTCTATGGTCTGTTGACTCTATGAGTGCCTTGCTGGACGAAATAGCTGACCATTTTCCAGCGGTGACATTGTCCAGACTGGTCGGCATACCAACGGTTCCCTATACTTCATCAAGTGATGAAGGAGGTTTCTATTCACTTGCAGCCCTGAAGTCACTGGTTGTCGACTCTGCTTACACCGAATCTCGTGACGAGGACGGCGAAACACTGATACCGCCGACCCTACAAGAATTCGCGGCCACCTTTGTGGATGATCTGTACAGCACTTTGGCACTGAATGTCAGCGTGTCCGTCGCCGACAAGGCCCCCGAAAACTCTGTATTTCTTACGCTGGGCAACTCGAGTGAGTACACTGACGCCAGTGGGACTCAGACATCCGAAGGGTACACGCTTTCGGTCTCGTCATCGGGAATCACCATATCTGGTGCCAGTGCCTTAGGAGCGTGGTGGGGTACTCGCACCGTTTTACAGCAAGGAGTTCTCCTGAACGGTTCGATACCCTATGGCGAGGGAATGGATGTGCCTGGGTGGCGAACGAGGGGCATGATGCTTGACGCCGGTCGACATTACTATCCTCCCGAGGTATGTAAAGCCCCTGAACATGCCTGATCTGACTGTGGTCATGCTGCTGTTCAGCTTCGCAATTACCCTGCGTAGTCTGTCCCTGATGCAAGATCGGGCTCCTGAGACTAACGTCACCATTCCAGTTCATAGTCGAGATGTGCTCCTACATGAGTTTCTTCAAGCAGAACACATTTCAACTGCACTTGAGCGATAATCTGTACAATAACGTCGACATATACTCTACAGAACGGTCCCTGAGCCTCTATGCTCGGTTTCGATTGTGGTCTGATTCCGACGATGTAGCAGGCCTGAATCAGCACCAGAACGAATCATACACCAGACAACAATTTGAGGACATCCAATCGGCATGTGTTGCTCGCGGGGTCACAATTCTTCCCGAGATCGAGGCTCCGGGACACGCGCTAGTGATCGTGCAATGGAAGCCAGAGATAGGACTCAGTGATGACTTATCGCTGTTGAACATCTCGCACCCCGACACGATACCCACCATGAAAGTCATCTGGGGCACTTTTATGGATTGGTTTCATTCGAAAACGATACACATAGGGGCAGACGAGTACACGGCCAATGCCAGCGGGTATAACCGCTTTGTCAACGAAATGGCCGACTTCGTATCTGAGACTGGAGGGAAGTCAACTCGGATTTGGGGGACGTTTCCTCCCAAACCCGAGTATGACAATATCGACACGGGCGTTTCAGTCCAGCATTGTGAGTAGCTCCTATTACTGAACCAGAGTTATCTGGTCATGGACACCATCGCTGGGAGATTAACTTTTCGCCCAGGGGAGTTTTTCGAAGACAACCCTCTGTTCGACTACATCTTGAACAACTACTCCGTTGTGAACTCCGACGACACTTTCTATACGGTCAACAAATGGTCTGGCAGCTACCCCCAGACTGTCAACATTTCACGATCGTTCAACGGCAATCCTGCTACCAGTGGCATATGGCAACCCTTCGTTCTTGATACGAAGAACAGCACCAATAACCCCGAAAGGTCTAACCCTCTTGTACTCGGGTCTGTGGTCCCTCTTTGGAATGACTATGGTGCCAACGCGTCCGTGTATTCTGAAGCTTATTACGCCTTGAAAGACGGTATTCCGGCTTTAGGTGACAAGCAATGGGGAGGAGACCTATCCGAGGCTGAGTTTACGACCTCATTCTCAAAACTGGGTTCCTCTGTACCTGGCCAGAACCTTGATCGAGCGATACCTTCTAGCAGCTCGACGATATTCAACTATAGCTCGGGCTCGTGTGTGAGCGCGCGTTCCTTCAGTGCCCACGCCTTACGGACGGAAACAGTTCTCATGGACCAGTCTGGAAACGCTTACGACGCGACAACGGATTGCTCCCTCACTTCAGAGGCCACGTTGGCCATCGCCTCGTGCTCTTTGAAGACCCCACTGTCATCAAAGGGTCGTGACTACACTCTTTCACTGAAGATTCGAGTCGGTAAGCTCAGTAGCGGCGATGCAACCATCATATCCGGCGCAGACTCAGCTCTCATGTTGACGCCGAATCTCACATTTTCCGCCTCCGGAAATTACTATCGATTGAACTCGACGATGCCAACGGGAAGTTGGATCAACCTCAGTGTGGTGGGCCGTGGTAACCAGACCTTCGCCAGCGTACAGCCAACAACCTTGGAGGACCCTTTGCCAGAGCCTGGCAGTACGGCTGCCACGGAGGAGGAGTTTCTGGCTGTCTTGGGTATAAACGGCGAATATTTCGTCTGGGCGCCCATCGCCATCGAGGCGCCCATTTCTCAGTTAGGAGGAAAAGGCTCCGGGTGGACGGGAGAGCTCGCCGCTATGAGCTTGAGCTCCTTAGCTTGAGAGTTCTTGGATACACGCCACGTCTAGAATCAGACTTGTAGGGCGCCACGGGCATGCACCTGTCGTACTAGACTCGATAATTATAAGCCTGTCTGGACCGAGCACCGAATACAGTCATCAACATGTCCCCCAAGAATATCATCATCGTAAACCTGGGGTCGCTGATAGTAGTGTCTACCTACTAAGAGCACCCCTGGAGTGCTGTACGCTGGCAACGAGTGGCACCGATGATCAGGCCTATTCAAGTGGTGTCCGTGGCTGATTGACTGATTGGGTGCGGCACAGCTTCTTCTGCGGCATTTGAGCCCGGATCAGGTGGAGCCTCCGCAGTCAGTTGAAAGTTCAGCTCAGCTTGCTCGATTGCCGGAACTTATCTGACTAGCCAGGATCCCCCGCCGATGGAATAAGGCGAACCGTGGCACAACAAGGTTGACTTGAAAAAGCACGTCTGATGTAAGCTGATACACCAACGATCCTTCAGGGGCGAGGCGCAAGGCCATGATCTGCCAGTGAACCAGGTCTTTCGCATGTTGTTGGTACTTTGGGAATCCTTTCATACCAGTGGTCGGCCGTCACAAGGCGCCCGGTCAGGCGTCACTGCCGTTCTTCCCGGGTCAATAGGTGGCCTGGGTCAGATCTACCGCTCGGGTGAGATTTCCTAGATCCTTGATAATGTCTATGCGGCCCTGCTGGCTGCCTATTCGGGTAAGGGTACCCTCTTGGAACTTTCATATTTTTCAGCGGTCGCTTCTTCGAGCTCGAGTCTGAAAAGACATTATTTGGTCTAAGTCTCTTCGTCTTGCGTGTTTCGCCAGCACCTCCGCAATGGCAGACCATCAGGTCAACCCTCAAATAAACGGCACTCACGCGCCTTCAGTCACGACAACCAGCCCTAGCCTTGGTCACGCGGACAGGCTTCCTCCTCGGTCGCTCATGGCGGCTGTCTCTGACGTCTCTCGTACAGGAAGTGCTATCCCTCCTTCGTCTGCGACAAGCATTGCCTACCAGGAGAATGCCGTCTCGAATTCGCCTATGCCTACCACCGCGCACCCGGAACTTGCCCACCGGGTTCTAGACCAGCCGCCGCCGCCGCCGTACCAAGAGCACGAACCCCCCAAGGCGGATATACAAGGAGATGGCAGATTCGCGAGGCCCATAGCTTTAAACAGTTTGGGACGGCATCCAGCGCTCATCGACTGCCCATGGTGCAACCAAACAGCGCAGACGAGAACCGAGGAAGAGCACTCGGCGATGACGTTGTAAGCACCCTATGAACAACGCCCAATCGTCCCATATGCGAACGACTGCTGATATAATATCAACAGCATCGCCGGCATCGGGCTGGGACTCATTTGCATCTGCTGCGCCTGCCTTCCGTGCCTGGCACACGTGTGTCAAGACGTTAACCACTTCTGCTCCAACTGCGGGCACCAGGTCGCCCACGTGCCATTCAGCGGCGTCTGTCAGCCCGTCGTCCCTGTGGTGAGGCCAGCTGGGTACGAGATGGTTCCCCTGCAGCCGTACAGCGGACGGCAGATACCGCCTCCTCGGGGGCAGACTGGTGGTTATACACGGGGGAAGTAGGGTTGGCGTGGTGGGCTGGAGAGCTTGGACCTTTGCCTGCCTCTGGCATACTCCGTGGAGCTTTCTTGTGTATACAGCGGAGGCGTTGAGGCGTGTTGGCATGGTGCGACAGTTCGGCCAGTAAGCATAGGCTGCTTTACATCAGCTTCGGACACCATACATTGTTTGAGTGGTGGCTCTGTTATCAGGCTCATTGAGTGGGAATACACCCCTGTTTACTCTTAAGCGCGAGGCATTACCGAATGACTAGGTATGATATCAATTTTGCAGAAGAAGACCCCCAATTGAGATTTCTGCTGAACGAAGTGCATTCTTGGAGTTTCTAGCTGCCCGGTACTATCAAGTGAGGTGGTCGAGCTTCTTAGAAGCCAGCAGTTCCCTTGCGCCAACGCCAGGACTCCTCGTCGAAGTCGCAGGAAGTCTGGGTAACACGTGAAAACTATAGGGGCGAAAACTCGCAATGCTCTCGCATCAGGACACAGCTGGCCAGCTGCTCTCGTCCCATCCATGATCGACAGGCGAGTCCAGTTGTGAAGGCCTTCAGTTACCCCTTCACTGGTGGCGCATCGCCTCCCCTGGCCGATATAGCTCCTCAAGACGGCTCTCTTCCTCGGCCGTCAAGGTCTTGCAACACAGCCGATCGCCTCGTCAATCGGTAAGCCAACCACAGGGATTGTAGCCCGCGCCTTTTAGGTAAGCCACTCAAGCGATACCTGGCTTGCAGTCCAGCCCCTTTCCGCTGCGACCTCCTGCAAGAGCCTGGTGGTATGGAGGTCCGGCTCCGTCTCAAAGAGCGAGTATGAGGGTTGACTTATCGATACTGCTGCGCGTTGTGCTGCCGAAGATGTGGGATGACTGCGCGATATTGCCTTGCGTGCCGTCTCAACCAGAGTCGCCGTGGTACACCACAAACGGTGTGCCAGTTTACAGAAGTATGAGACAGCGGACGTGTACATCGTACCTAGCTTTTCCAAGTACCGTTGCATTACTACTTCGGGTATCCTGACTGTCTCGGCAGCTTGCACCATGACCAAGCAGTTGTTGTGGGCTTAGCCCCTGAACCGCCAATCTTTCGACCACCGTCTCTCAAATATCGCACATCCGAGCCGCTCAATCCGCGTCTTACCCCTATATGTCTGCCACTCCCAGCAACATCATTGAAAAAAAGCCGTGGTTTCCTCCGCTCCACTTCCCGTAGACCAACCACCTACGGATCCAGGGACGTCGAGCAAAGATCGAGAGTGATGTTATTGTACGGGTTCTTGTAGCCCTTCAAAGTCAACCCGTCAGACGCGGGATAGACAATTCAACTCGTCACCCGCGGGCACACTTACAGTAGTCTGGCAGCACCCCGTGATATTGTACACGAATGCATTGCACTCCCAGGTCGGGTCAGTGGCGCCCATCTGATGCGCCGAGATGCCTGGGACCCATCAGAAGACTGCAGACAGTAGTAATAAATATAAACACATAACACTGGGTGCTCACAATTAATTCCAACCTGGCCGTTAATGTTGGCGCAGCACTTTGGGGCGAAGCCGGACGCCTTGAAGGTCTGGCAGCTGAAGAGCCCTGCGATTGGCTGGGAGAAGATGACTCCGACGAAGAGCGCTGAGAGCGTCTTGGAATACATAGTGATAATTGTGTGTATCTTTGATAGATAAAGGAGACTGAATAAGTCTTCCGACCTGATTGGGATGTAGTTGATGGCCCTTTGTACTTTGGCGAGCCGCATTCCAAGTTGTTCTCGCGAGAGACAGCTGTGACGTTGCTCGCCAATCAGGGAGCTGAATCCCCGTATCAGTGACAGCACCGTAAGCGAAACCAAGCTGTAATTTGTGCTATATGTAACCAGCTATTACTGGATTCAAGCCAATCATGCTCTCCTCCCAATTATTCACTGGAACAACATCCCAGATCTGACGGGCTTGGCACTCGTAATCGCCGACCATCAACGCTACCTCGATTCAAGGTTGCACCCCTGACAGCTCGAATATGTCCCGAAGGGGAAGGGTTGGTCAACGGCAGAAGTCAGTCTACCGACGCAACCGCTTCATGAGGCCAACGGCTCCGTGAAACAGTGGACAGAGGAAAGTTCGGCCAAACGTAGCTTGACCAGCGTGGGCGGGCTCTCGCATCCTTCGCTTGTAGGGCAAAGTACAACGTCATCTGATCAAGACTTGCTTGATAGGACAGTCGAAGCGTGCCTCACGTATATCACTCCGAACAGTTGGTCGACGACTCAGATAGCTCGAGGGACTGTATACATTAATGTCGACACCACTTTTCATTGAGATGCTCTGGCTACTCCTCAACTCTCAGCCCGTCGAGGTAAAATTCCCATACCCAACGACAATAGGTTTGCTTCTTGGCGAAGAACAGGCCCCACGCTGTCTGGCCGAGGGTATTTCGAATGCCGGGATCGGCTCCGGCTCGGAGAAGGAGCTCTTTCATCGCGATGAACTCGAACCTGGCGTGCCTCCCTTCGGCGAGGGCTGCGGCCAATACCATCAGCGGTGTATAGCCACCGACACCCCGTGTATCGGGGCCGGCCGTTACATCCAATGGCTTACGGCCGTCGGGTATCGCCGTGTTGACGTCGGCCGCTGCACCATGCGCTAGGAGCACCTTTAGCATGCGGGCATCGGTGTTGTCACAGGCGACATGCAACAACGTACCGCCCTCCCAGCGGCCATATGCCACCGTGCCATGGACGGACGCGCCGTGGCGCAAGAGCTTGATCAGCGCACGCTCGCGGTCTTCCCTACTAGCGTAACATCGAAAACCGTGATAGCTGTATTCGTCCCGAGGGGGGTCAATCCGCGACTCGACGAGCATCACCAGGGGCGTCCTTCCGGCCTCGTTCCGCACGTTGGGTTCAATACCATCCGGCGCGTGGTTCAGGAGTGCCTGATATCGGCAGGTGTGCTCGTGCAGGAACCTCCATTCTCTGCCTGCCCGGACGGTCTCCCAGGAACCCGTCGCATGATGCAGGGCCGTGCATCCGTCTATATCGACGGCATTCGCGTCGGCGCCGCGGCTGAGGAGAGCCTTGATCACCTTTCGTACATCCACGTGGGCTGGCTGGCGGCAGGCGACCATCAACGGTGTTCGGTGTGCCGAGTCTCGACCATTCACATCCAGGCCTCTATCGAGCGCTTGGTGGATTGTGGATATCGCCGCTTCGACCGCCCATCTTTGGTTGCTGAATTGGTTTGAAGAATCCACCAGGTCGTACAGGAACGGTCCGACGACGCAATGCAACAGTGCAGTCGAACCATCCGTGTAATAGCTGCTCTCAAGAGACCGGGACGCGGTGATGTCGCCTGCACCGCTTGCATCGGGCAAGGGGATCAGAGCGTGCTACTTACTCAATGGTGCCCACCACGAGACGTTTTGCCGCCCACCGGAGAACATCGTGGACGACGCGGCGGTCAGGGCGAGAGAAGTCTTTGTTGTGCAGCCTTGCATACAGGATCGGGGAGATGTAGTGCTCGTGCTGGCGGTTGACCAACAACAAGCGTGATAGGTCAAGGTCGGTAAGGTACAGTGGGTCGGCACAAATACCGCACACCCCACCCAATTCCCCGCGTTTCTTTGCGTTCTCACCTTTATCCCTCGACTAACACCACAACTTCAATCATGCCTCAAGTACTCCAAAAAACTCCAAAAAAATCAAGAGTTCATACAATACCTCGTCAGCGCAATCGGATTTACGGGAGGCTAATTGGAGGCCAAACGTCCAAGCAGGTGGAGCTTGCTGAGGGAGTGGATACAGCGACGTGTCGCGGCATCAAGAAGCGCTTCACCTCTCAGGACTACGGCGTGTCTCCTAAGGGCCGTGGACGACCACAATCCCTATCTGGGATCGAGAAAAGGACGTTATTACGTGAAGTTAAGGCCAATCCGTTCATTTCTCTCCTTGGATTGAAACAAAAACTCACTCTGAAGGAGTCACCGCGAACTATCGGTCGCCATATGATCCGGGAGGGCATCGGACACCACGAAGCCGCAACACGCCCGTTTCTGACCCAAGATCACGCGAATAAATGATTAAAATGGGCTCAGAAGTATGAAGACAAGCCGATTTCCTTCTAGAGGAGTGTTTTGTTCACAGACGAGTCGACTGTGGAGCGTGGGCAAGGTCAGCGCAAGGGGTGGGTGTTCAGGCCCAAAGGTTCGGAGCCCCTAAGACCTCTTTTTCCGTCCCCCTTCACGCGGAGCGCGATTATAAGCGCAATAACTGACCAATTTCCTTCAAACCAGGCTCCTCTGCGATAGCAATAAAGTACGTATAGCCCTGTCACAAGAGATCGCGTCATTCGCAGATGTTTTGGGGTGGTATTTGCCACGGCGTGAGGAGCGAGTTGGCCATCTGTTCAGGGGACCCCGAGGCCAAACGCGGCGGCGTGACAGCTCGAGTTTATAAGGAAATCCTCCAGAAAGAGCTCCCTAAGGTTATGGAACCAGGTTTGACATTGATACAGGATAATGCACCTATTCACACCTCAAAATTGCTGAAGGAGTGGCTCCAAGAGTTCGGGTTCCTTGTGTTGGAGTGGCCTCCTTACTTCCCTGATCTCAACCCCATTGAAAATCTCTGGGCGTGGCTCAAACAGAAAATCTGTAAAGATAATCCTGAGCTTAGAGAGCTGCCGGTTAACGCTGACTCAATGGATCGTTTAATAGATGCCGCGGAGAGGGCGTGGGAAGAGGTTAAAGTTGCCATGATTAATAGGCTGATAGATTCGATGCCGAAGCGGATCGCGGCGATCATCGAAGCAAAAAGGTGGTATATCAAGTAATCAAAATATTCAAAAAATAAACTATATCTGCATGTACATAATGCCCAATTTTCTAAGGCTGTAACGCAAAATTGCGATAATTGTGACATCGCGAAGTAGGGTGGTCAATTGTGGTCACTATATTAATTGGGTCGGGTGTGCGGTTTTTTTATCACCCCACTGTGTAGGTCAGGATCTCGTCAGCGAGCTCATTCGGAAGATCAGACAGATGCATGATTGCTTCTCTTCGCGAGACGATCAGGGAAATGCAAGCCAGAATTGAAGCAGATCGTGTGAGACCTATAACTTATAAGACCTGGCATCGTGAACGAAGCAAACTAATAACTGAAGGTGGTTGGGCGGGGATGGCACTGGGATGAGGTGAGTCACGTTGGATTCAGGCTTCAGCGACATAAGCCCTGTAATCAGATATTTATAGAACCAGGTCGGCCCAGCTCAGTCCCGACTCCCCGTTCCACCTCCGGGTGCGTTTAGATGTTGCCATGGCGGAGTGGCGGACATCAAGAGGAGGAAAAGAGTTCACGGAAGAGAGTTGGGGCAATATGGATAATACGTACGGATATACATTCGAGTTCGAAGGTCGGGAATATGAAGGATCGTGATCTTAATGTTGGCCGATTTCCTGGGCGACTCGGCAATGTCCGAGCCCGATAGGCTAGTTCACCAACATCTCACCACCTCTTCCTATACAGATATCCAGAAATGGTAGAAATGCCAGGCGTGGTGAAAATATCAGAAATGGTAACATGCCAGAAATGATAATATTCCAGACCTGAATCACTGGGTGTAGGGGACTTCTGAGAAAACAGTGTACCGGAAAGCCATACACACGCAAAGAAGCACAAGACGCCGCGCACAAACTTTTACGACAAGTCTACCAGACTGAACAGCTCATATTCTTCTATCGATCCGTGCATATGAAAAACCATTCAAAGAATCATTCAAGTCCATCAAAGGGTATCCTTCAAACATACATCGTACAGCGCCTCTAAATGCCCCAAGGCGTGCCTTCGAAAACACCATTCATTGGCAAACCACCATCATCTCAGCTGAAAGAGCCCAGCCAAGTCTCCACACGCTGCCGCTTCGTCGACGGAGTATGCGGGAGAGGGCGCATCTGCGCCTCCGAAGCGCTCTCATCCGTGGGGGTCTTGTCTGCCTCCTAGACATCCTCGTCCCGCGCGTTCTCTTCTGCTCCTTCACCGACAGTCTCCAAGCGTCGTCCCTCGTTCAAGGCAGCTCTGCCGCGCGCGAAGCTGGCGTCGGGCCGCGAGCCAGCGTACATGAGCGGCGTCATCAGTATGGGCGGAGCGTCTGCGTCGCTGGCACGCATGGCCTTCAGGTATGCTAGCTGCCGGCCTGCAATATGCCAAGGGAATGATGGGGACCTTCGGTAGTACATCTTGTAGCAGTAGGACGCTTTCAGAAGGTCCCAAGGCGAAAGACCGACCGCGGCTGAGGTTCCCTCTTGTAGGGCTTTAATTCTCGTATGATTGACTTCATTTTTCGGCAAAACATTTCGCCACTTGTCGTAGGCGTTCCACAGTTTAACCTCGAATTCGCCCTGGGTACTATTCCACACGCTGGCGACATCATCAATGTCTCTCTTCAGCCTGTCGAAGAATAGTCCCCAGGAAGTTCTTTTGAAGTTCCCGGCCTCGTTGGCTTTTTTCCGCTCGTTACTCGTCCTTTGAAACTTCTCGTAGAAATCAGAGTACCTCACAAGATCCTTGTCCCAGTGTTTAGCTTCGCTCAGGAAGATATCAAGGGCCTTGAGTTCGGCCTCGACGGTTGGCTTCCCTACGCAAAACTTGACAAAGTCTATAATGTGAGTAGGCTTGTCGTTGCCTCTGTAGTCCGTGTTCTTGTACTGCGGCAGTAAAGGATCCAGTCGAGACTTTGCTCGCTGAGGATCAGCTTGGTCGCCATTCAACTTCTTTCGAAGTGGATTCCACTCCTGCTCAGTAAACAGGATGCCCTGCTTGGCTCGATCTACCAGATGGCTAATAAGGGTACTCAAGAAGATTGCAGGCTCGTCCCTGACCGATCGCCTTGAATAGCAAAGCTTCTCCTTGTAGTTTGTGCAGGTGCCAAGTAGATTTGACTCCATATTGAATCGCATCGCCTGGTCGAGAAACTCCGTCGTATCATCGTCGCCCTCTAGCGAAACGACCAGATCGTGATAAGTTTGGCTGTCCTTCGACAAGATCCCTTCTTTGAACAAGTCTGGAACATCAGGAAGGGCCGCATTTTGGAAGTTGTCCACAATGGTGGGTTCCCAGCACACCCAGGCCATATCGCCATCGTAATCGCCACCTGACAGTTTGTCTGCTAGGGGCGTGTTGCCTGTTGTTGGGAAAACTATAGCATCTTTCAACGCGCCCAGTTCCGGCTTCAAGACTGCTTTGACTCTTTGGACATCGCTTGGGTAGTGTGCCGGGGAACGTGCAACGAGGACGTCCATGCCGTGGAGGAATGTCTCGGAAAAGCCAGATTGCTCATCAGAGAATTTGGAGGAAAAACCAAGATGAACCTCGTCTTCTTTCAGTACCCCAAGGAAGTCCACCACCATATAAGCGTATGTGGCTATTGTATAAGAACATCCTGCGTTAGTCCCATTGCATCGGCTTCTATAGGACCTAGACAGGGCCTGGCAAAATTACTTACTGCCAGAATGTTAGCTGAAATCCAGAGGCTGTACTAGTTGGTCTAAGAAGGAAGGATTTGGAGTTTGGAGAAGGATCTTGTTTTACGTACCATCGCCCAATCTTGACATTGAGTTTGGTCTGCAGCTCTTCGCATTTCTGTCTTCGGAGGTCGTATGCGATCTTCCGTAGGAAGTCTAGCTTCGTTGGATCGAAGCCTGCTGTCAAGAGAAGTTCCATCTGATCTTCTCGGCTTACCGGGAGCCCAGCAGACCATGAAACCTGTCCGAGTCTAACACGTTCTTGTCGACGACTGGCAGGCGAGTTCTCGTAGACCCACTGTCTGAACTGTGTGGGATCTTGCATGGCAAGCTTCTGGGCTTCCATCTCCCGAAGCAGGCTTTCTCTCATGAACTCGCCCACCCGTATCTTCATCCGAGACGCATCGATCGCTCTATCTTCAAGAACAGGGAGCAATTGGAGGTTCAGGTTCGCAGATTTCAGCTCACTGATCTCATTGCGAACTTCGAAAGTTCGATGATCCTCTTCAGCATAGTCGCAAGTCCATTTCCGTTGCGAAGGAGTCGTCTCGATCCAAATAGCATCTGTAGTTTCCGTCGTATCTCGTATCCACATGCCTTTTGCACTGCCAAATCGGCCCTGGAATCCAGATGGGGTGTCAGACAGGCCCATGATGTCACGAACTAGCCGCGCGAGGGCAGGCGACATGCGAGCAATGCCGTCATTCATCACTTTGCCGGTGGGGGAGGTAACGTCTTGGGATCGATGCCGGATCTGGTCTGGCTGAAGAACAGCAGTAGGACGCGTGCGACTAAGACCTAGACGCTATCAACAAAGGAGGCAGAGTGCCTGGAATTAGCTACTATACCTAGTGTGATTCGTGCAAACAGCTTAAACTTCGGTTGCGTCTGATTTTGAGATACTTGCTGCGTGCATGTTAATGTCTTGTCTCGGAATCCTAAAGTCCTATTTCCCCGAAGAGCGTTGAAATGGAACAAGAAAGCCATCTGGAGAAGCCAAGGCTTGGTGTCCGGGAGTTGGATGTTTGTTACGTACGAGGAGCCATTCGAGGAGCGCGGCGCGCCCCATTCTTGTATGGGACTTGCATGATTCACCTTTCAGGGATAATTGTCCAATTGCCGGGAGGGCAAAATCATTGCCATCCTCAGCAAACATGTACACTCTTTCTTGTTGAATCAGCTTCGTTTCAGGCCGCAGAGGATTGTCATTGTTGATCTTCTTGGGCGTGGAATCCTTGACGCAGAAGGACGTCCATATTCGACCAAGGATCAAATGCGATTCCCTGACCAGCCACCGATGATAGTCATTCAAAACAGATTCCCCAAGGTTCCTCATTTCGGGGGAAGACCTCGTTGGCACGACGAGTTCGAGAAACCGATCAGATCCGAATCGGCGGTTTAGTCTATGCGGTTGATCAAGTTTCAAAGGCTGGAGTTGAAGGAGAAACTGGGGCCCAGTTTTCGACGTATTGACTGTCAGAGAAGCGGCAAGTACCACCACTTGATCGACGGTGCAGAAGTGCTTTTCCACGGCCGCTACCCAAGCTTCAGGTCGCGACCTTTCTGGGAAGGCCTTGCCATCGAAAATAGGTAGTTTTCGAAGTCGCTCCCATAGCTTATCCTGGCTATCCAAGACTGCATCGTATTGGAAGCGTATACCTGCCATGTCTACCCCACAGTAGAGAGCGACCCGAAGGATCTCCCACCGCACTGCCAGAGGGGCATCATGAAGATGAGACGGAAGGGCAGCTGGAAGAGCTGGAGATTAATTGATCCTTGCATGTAGGAAAAGAAGGTTGCTTACGCCATACATCTAGCAGTCGCTGATCGGCTTCCTGCACCCTGGTGCCAGGGCTCTTGACAGGGGACGTGCTGGTCTTCGGCGGAAGGTCGTATTGACCGAGTTCGAGATCCAGCGAGAGACTGAAATCTGAATACGCATTCGTCGACCCGCTGCTTCTGATGTGTTGTTCGTTGCCTTTATGCTCGAGTCCATGATGCTCGTTGAAGGAAATGTTGAGCGCATTTTCAGTACTGGAAGATGGGGCCAGTGAGTCTGAGTCAGCAGCTCGAGACGAGCGCTGCATCTTCAGGTGAGAAGTAGCCGCCTCAACCGTGACCTCGGTCTCTTGCGTAGCCGGAAAGGGATTGAGCTCATCTTCTTCTGAAAAGACTTTGGACACGAACGATGATCTGCTCGTATTGACTGATGTGGGTTGCTCGTACAAGCCTCCCTTCGGCACAGACCGCAGCTCACGTACTTGAAGCGATGGTGCCGGTTTGGAAAAAGGGGAGATAGGCCTATACTTACCACCTTCGGAATTGGACAGGACGCTGATTGGCCTCACGTCTTCAGTACTACTCTTGGACTTCTTTGCGGTAGTTGTGCTGGCTTCCCACTCGTCGGAACGGCGTTTTGGTCGACGACCGAGCGAAGGGGATGGGGGGGCTTCTGTAGGCAGGTTCCTTGACCGCGACAAGGGGCTCCTTGCCCTGGAGATCGAGAGTGGCGTTTGCGCAGGGCTTTGAGTGAAAGAACGGGATGACTTGGTCGGGGTGCGGCTGTCGAGAACGGATCTGAGTAGATCTATCAGCTGTCTCCGCTCGGGTTCGGTTGTAGCATAGGGCAGGTCCGTCATAGATGGCGTCACGCCGGGCTCCCCGCGGGGCTTCTTGACCCATCTGCAATGGATGTCATAGGCTCCTTGGCGGAAGCGATCACGGATGTCGTCACCATTGCCTTCGAAGAAATGGAAGCGGAGGCGTTCGTAGAACACGAGCTCATGGTAGTCAGGCCGGGCTTTCTGTTGCTGGCGGGACAGTTTCGGATCGGGGCGACGGAGGTGGAGGTTATAATCGTTGGAGAGGTCGAGGAACCATGTGTCAAAGTCACCAGCATTTGCACGCCCCTTTTTTGGCGTTAGGGGAGGAAGCGGAGGGTACAGCACTGCACCGGATGCCTTGACATTTGCAGATACCACAGATGCAGGTGCAGTTGAAGCAAGTGCAGAAGTATATTCAGACGCAGATCCATGTCGAAAGGCCATGACTACATGCACATGTAGGTCCTTCCCGTCCCATGCAGGTCAGTTGAGTTCAGGTGGTTGGCCCAGCCCACCGGTACCCAAGGCTTATGCTGGTAGTACGTATGTTGTACTACAGAATGGGCGTAGACGTCCTCAGGCCATGGAAAGCTCCAAGACGGGATGGCCAATGCCGCCAATCACAATGTCCATCGGTGCATGTACCGTAGGCCACCACACTTCCACACTTCCGACCTGCAATGCAGCAGAGCACGGGAAGAGCAGGAAGCGATGCCCTGCGTCCCTGGGGCGTAGGCGTATGACGAGCTTGGGCAAGGCAAGATACCAGCAGCAAGACTTGAAGATAACAGGTATATCCGGCGAGATGGCTTCGATTGGATGACAGGTCTTGAAGCCAGTGCGGACCGAGCCGCTTAGCGGGGGAGGCTAGACGAGCGAGGCGGTGAGACAGCAGGTATAGGTGACAAGCAAGGTCAGAGTCAGAAGCAAACGCGGAGGCGGGTGGGTGACGCGAACCGAACGCCAAGCAAGACTGGGTTTGGTATAGTCGCTAGAGGAGTTGGTGTTGCGCGAAAAAACGACGAGCACGCGTTAATTGATGGGATTGAAGATGAGGGGTTGAGGGGGAACTGGAATTGAGTTGATCTGGCCATTTGGACCACATGCCCGTCAAGGGGGGTTCCATTCCAGGTTGGCCCCTCAACGGCGGCCCGTGCCCGCCGTCTGTAGACTATAACCCCACCACGCGGATTATTCGTCGTGGCAGTGCCAAAAGCAAGGTTTCACCACTGTCCCACTCCCACTGGCACCTCAGGGCAGATGAGTCTAACCTGTCTTGTGCTAGAGCCAGGTAGCATCGCAAAAACTACCTTAGCGTTGTACTTCCGGGCCTATTCCGTCTTCGGGAGGTTCGGAGTCTTCGAGGGCTTGGCACTTCCATTCTGTCTCTGTTTTCTCTCTGCCCCGCCCACTTCCACGGCACAAGTCACGACCGTCATCTGGCAAGCTTCGGTTTTCGGCGTTCTGATAGTATACCTTACCTGAACCCACCGCTCCCTCGTACCTACCTGGGCTCATCCGTCAGCCCGTTCGCTACTGCGCCTCGTTTGTACACCAACCAGCTGGAATCCTTGGCAGGCCACAGGTATCCTCCAGTCCGCCATCCGCCATCTGCCCGGCCAGTCCTGCCTGCCGCTGCCGGTCACGTCAGGCCTCCAGGTCCGGGGTTGTACCGGCGTTGTCTCGCGCATAGAACCCGATGTCAGAGCAGGACGTCGACCAGGTCCCCGTCCTGGATCTGACTCCCGAGCAGGCCAGCCACATCATCCACTCCCATCGCAAAGTACGATACGGTATGTCCCATAAGTGTCCCATAAGTGTTCCATTACATAGGTAGCCCGTCCACACAAGCTCCATCTAGGTACAGCCCAATTGAGATGCGAATCCAGTCCGCTGACAAGACTTGTAGGCACTGCTTGCTGGCCATGTCGGCAGCGCAAGGTGAAATGCACCAACGACCTGCCTTGTGAGAACTGTGTCAAGAGGGAGCACCCGCAGTTGTGCTCTTACAAGCCTAATCGTTCGAGTGCTGCCAAGCAAGGCTCCATAACGACAGGCAGTCAACAAGGCAAGAAGCGTGCCCACTCTGCCGATGAGAGTGGCAATGATGATCAGGAGAGTGATCGTCAGCCCGAGGGCTGGCGACGAGCCATCGGTATGAATGCCATCCCCGGGCGCCGGCACACTGCTTGTGCTGACTAGTCTATCTACTCAGAGGATTCCGAAAACATGGAGCTATCCCGCTACGTAGGTCAAAACAGTATCCCAGCTCTACTGAGAGACCAGCAGTCTCCGATAGACACCAAGGATGGCGTCGATATACGTCAGAACATGCGCCCCATACTCGGCCTGGACACTTCGGCCCCATTCCCCTTGATGTCAGCAAAGCATCTTGACAGACTGACGCGGGACATCTTCACCGAGCTTCCTTCAGACCGGGAAGTCATGATGTGAGTACTTAGTCTGCTGCCTCACGGGACGATGGGCCTGTCACGTCAGAGACTTGGGGTACTAATGAATCTGGTGGACAGACTCTTCACTGCTTATAAAGAGATCGCGCACCCGTTCTGGGGTTTCGTCGTTGACATCGATGATTTGGAATCTCAAATCATGATCTATCTCGAGGAGCGGGCGAAGAATGCCAAGGATCAGGCCAAGCCAAGTCGACCTGTGTCTGCTTCATGGCTGGCTATTCTCTTCGCAGTGCTTGCTGTCGGGTCGCAATATCGCGATTCTCCATATCACCTACGAACTCGGGACTCGCAGAGATACATTCAAATCTCATTTCACTTCCTAAGATTGGGAAATTTTCTGCTCCGGTGTGTTACGTACAGAACCCGTCGGGTTCGTCTACATCTAACGTATCCTTTTACAGCCCCAATCTTGAATCGATACAGGCCCTGCTACTGACCGGTTTCGTCCTCTTAAATGATATGAAGGCCGAGGCCTCCTGGGCCCTGATTGGTATGACTTGTCGACTGGCGCAATCCCTTGGACTTCACCGAACTGTGGCCACAGAGGATACGTCCCTGAAATCATTCGTGCGCGGGAAATTATGGTAGGGTCCAATTCTCCCTTCGACTTGGATTGTCTGACGTATCCCAGGTGGACATGTCAATGGCACGACACACTAACGTCGCTGTCATTTGACCGGTAAGTTCTCGTATGGGTCAAGGGCATCAGACAGTACTGATAAGGCGGCCAGGCCTAATATGACCAATATTCAATGTTGCCCTATCCCGGTTTCCCCGAGCGCGGGTATAGCAGGCCTTTCATACCTGGAAGCAATGTACACTCTTTGCGAGATCATCTCGCAGCGACTCAATCCAGATGCGACTGCCGACTGCACATACAAGACGATCCTGGACAATTGTGAGGCCGTCGAGTCTCTGCGGGACAAGGTCTATCCACAGCTCCGAAGCAAGGAGGCGTGCAAGAGTGTGGTAGACAAGCTTCAGCACTATGCCTTGCGGTTGCACACTGCGTTTGTGATCTCGGTTTGCTGTCGCCCTGCTCTACGCGGAGATTGCACCAAGCTCGACGCCTCGGAGAAGAGTGCCCTGGCTGACAAGTGCAAGTTGAACTTGACGGAGACAGTACGAATGTTCCTATCGATGCACCAGCTGTCTTTCATACCCACTCGAAGCTGGGCATTCACCTACCATGGCCTCTCATCTGCTGTTCTTCTCGGCATATTGTGTGATACCAAGCTCGACACGGAAATTCGACAGCTCCAGGGCGATCTGATTGCGGCTCTGTCAGCAGCGGCAGCTAATGAGCAGACCAGTCCTTCTCCCGACCATATCCGCAGGATCGATAAGGATATTGAACTGTCTGGGCCGCTTTCTAGAGCACTGACTGCCCTCAAGAACATCTACGACTATGGCTCTCTGCATGGCGTGAGCGGGGTCAAGAGTGAGAGCGTGTCTGGCACCCGCACACCAAACGGTGTTTCCATCCCGCAGAACCTTTCGAGTATGAACCCTCAACTTCGACTGCAGCCTGGCTTTGACAGGCATCAGGATGCCGCGCTGGCGATGGCGGAGTTGCAGAACGGCAACAACATGGCAGACTATTCAGCGTAAGGCTCTCTGTGCGCATATATTCGTCGTCGATCTACTGACACGCTGCTCGTTAGGACAATGCCCTATCCAGTCGGCCTACAACCTCAAGTAGGAATGCCCGACATGAGTCAGATAGACCCGAATACTCTGGCGCCAATGGATCTCTACGACTCGATATTCTGGGGTAAGCGCTGGCTGTGCCAGCGTCCTTTGACCTTTCCTGACTGACATACGCAGAATCACCGGACCCTTTCTACACTGGCGCGGATATGAACTTCGACTTCGTCCCGCAGGCGCCACCCGGGCAATCCCAGCAGCAGTTCTACTTTTAGCCCCGACAACGCTGAAGTAGCTAGCCTGCATGGCATGTCAGTTCGCATATTGTCTGAAATCAATTCTCTGATGCTGTAATGACGGGGCAGGATACTCGGATTGGGGCTCACAGGATTATGGGGAAAAGCTTGGACTCGGTAGTTGTTTGTGAGGTTTATTATGCGACAAGGGGGACCTTGGGAGTTTTTTACCCAGGTAATGGGTATCTGCGATACCTGACAAGTCTGAGATTTTCGTGTACAGTTCGACGCGCACTTCGTACGAATTTCCATCAAAAGACGTACTGTACCCTTGACTCTCTATGTGTATGTGCAAATCGCTAAATTTCTGATGCGCAAATTGCGCCAAACAGGAAGAGCTTGGTGTCATATGGATGCTTTCTCCTCCCCAACAACGGCATCCTCCGCCATCTCTGCTTTACGCGCCCTCTCGTGATTTGCCGTCATATACGAGAGCAGCGCAGTCCACACGGCCATGGCGATAGACACGGCGATCATAGCCCACATACCCCTCTGCACTACCATCAGCGAAAGACACAACCAAAAAGATAGACATGGACAGGTCTGAACTTACCCGAAACCACGGCGCCATCGAAGCCCCGTAGAACACGATGCTCCACCACGCATTCACGGCATTGCTGCCCAGATTCATGGCCGCCAGCACGACGGCGCGGAACATGTGCTCCTCGTAGCGCAGCGCGTCGTTGGCCCAGGCGAAGAAGGTCGCCTGGCACGCGTAGACGGTGCCGGCCCAGTAATACGCCGCGAACACAACGGCCGTGGATCCTTCCTCGGCGGGACGCGCCGCCTCAGCGAGCACCATGGCCGCCGTGGCGACGCCGGTGGCGCCGATGAAGTAGCCGACGAGGTCGCGGCGGCCGCCCAAGTAATCGGTCAGCGCGGCCCAGAACAGCGTACTGACAATGCCGATGGCGGGCACGCCCGTCGGATAGTTGTTGAGCTGGGCCACGGCGTAGTGTTTCGTCGGATGGGCCTTCATGTACAGCGCCTGTTAGCAAATCAGAGTCAGTAATTACTCCTGTAGATGTTTTGCGGAAAACACGGAGTCGTAACGCGTGTCTCTGGAGCAAGGCTCGTGACACGGGCTATAAGAGGGAAATTCGCGCCCAGGATATGGCCATATGGGGCAATAAGAGACTCGAAAATGTACATGCCATCAGCGCGTTGGAGCTGAACGACTCGGTCTCGCCTGCGAGGATCCAGAGGATTACGAAGCCCCACAGCAGCCGGGACGAGAGGGCGCGCTTGAGAAAGCCGAGGGACAGCGGGGAGCGGTCAGGGACGGGCGGCACGCGCGAGACGGCGAGGGCTTTCTGCGCGGGCGTCAGGTAGAAGGCTGTTGTTGTGGCGGGCGTGTCCGGGAAGAAGATGAAGCCCCACAGGGCTATGGGGAGGGTGATGAGGCCGTCGACGCTGTGGTGTTGTGGGTTAGTCGTCGTTCCTGTTCAGGTCGTGTCACCTAAGACAGACTGCGCATCCGGCGCTCAAGTGAGCGACCCTGCAGAGAGAGCTTTTGGACCACGAGGCTTATCTAGGGGGAAATGCGATGAGATGATGCATACATGAACAACCACCGCCACCCACTCAGGCCATTCTTCCCATCGAGACTTGAATGGATCCCAGTCTGGATGAAGCCGCCGATCATAGTGCCCGCCAACCCAGACGCCGTGAAGATGCCGGACCTCTTGCCTAGCTCTCGCTCCGTGTACCACGAGCCGAGAATGTAGTGAGTCCCGACGAAGGTGGTGGCCTCGGTGAAGCCCTGGAAGAAGCGGATGGCTATGATGCTCTGCGGGCTGTGAACCGCGGCAGTGACCATGGTGAGGCCGGCCCAGGCCAGCATGCAGGCCGGGAAGAAGATGCGCGGCCGCACGTAGTGCAGCGACAGGTTCGCGGGGATCTGGCCCACGACGTAGCCGACGGTGAAGCAGGTGGTGATCTGGTTGAGCTGGTCGCCGACGAAGCCGAGCTCCTCCTTCATGCCCGATACGTAGGCATTGTTGAGGTTGGAACGGTCCAGCTGCGCACACAGTCAGTCAGTCAGCCAGTCACTCACTCACTCACCTGTCTTCATATGTTCCGACGTACGTAGTTGGTGAAGTAACTCAGACAGCAAAACGTGAGGATGAAAAAGTCGATCTTCTGCACCAGCATCCGCTCGACGTGGTGGTACTCGGTGTGGAAGTACGCCCGCAGCTTCGATCTCGTGCCCATCGTCAATACCTATTCGACTCAAGCCGAGGTCTTCCAGTAGGCACCACGGTCAAATGAAAAGTCGCGACGGCGGAAACGTTAGGTCATAAACGCAACCGGCTGTTCCGTGACGAGAATGCGCGGGGTGGCGTCGGCCGATACAATCTATGTGCCTGCGGTCATTCATATGTAGCGCCGTGCCGAAATGCAACGTAGGGTCATTCCTATGATACGAAGCCGGCGGCCGCAAGGAGTCGAGATAAGATTTGGTCGAGACGATTGATACGAGTACCGAAGGCTTTGGGTATTCTGGCGGTTTGGCAGAACCACTTTTATTTTGAGCGGCCGCTTTTCATTAGCTTCCCAGACTTTCCGTGAGATCTGGTATTAGTCATCCGAAAGCTGGGTGCACCACGGGCAGTAAAAGGTGGTGACGACCAGGCAAAAGGGCTCTGCCAAATTGCCAGAATACCCAAAGCCTTCGGTATGCGGGCCACTATGTCTGCTGGAGCATTTCTGTCACGTACGGGTTGGCTGCTCCGATGGTGAAAGCAAGTAGGGATCGAGATAAGCACTAGTCGTGCTCTCGGAGACAGGTTGGTTTTACACCGGGTGTCTTCCATTTTCATAAAACAATCAGTACCTACTAATCAAGTCGGACGGTTCCGATGGCGCCCCTAAATACCTTAATTACAAAGGCAGAGCATTCGAGGAAAAAGATACCATCCCTTATACTTCCTCTCCATCATGAAACCTTTTACGTCATCACCATGATGCCGTCCACATCATCGCCCCCATGCATCCCGACCCCTCCGTTGTCGCCGTGACCGTCTTCGTAGAGCGACTTGAACCAGCTGCCCTCACGCTCCAGCAGCTTGTACGGCTCACCGTACTCCACGAGTTGGCCTTGGTTCATGACGACTGCTTTGTCGAAATCGAGGATGGTGTCGAGCTTGTGGGCCACGGCGATGACAGTGTGCGAGGCGAATTTTGAGCGGAGGAGTTTCTGGACGTGGGTATCTGTCGCGTGGTCGAGGCTGGGGTGGATTAATTAAGAAGGACAAGGAAAGGGAACCGAGAGGGGAAGACTTACTTGCTCGTAGCTTCGTCCAGGACCACCACTCTACCTCTCTCCGCTCGCAACAACGCCCTTGCTAGGCAGAACAATTGTCGTTGGCCATGCGAGAAATGCAAGTCCTCAACTTGAACATCTAGAGGATGCGCGTACTTGCTCATGTCGCCCTTGCTGACCACGATGTCCCACACCTGGACGTCTTTCAGCGCCTGCATGATCGCCCTGTCATTGCTCTGGGAGAGCGGGTCGGCGTTCAGGCGAACTGACCCTGGGAGCAGGTACGCGTCTTGTGGAAGACCGATGAGCCTCGAGCGGATCGTTTGGCGCGGGAGACGAGAGAGTGGAAGGGAGTCGATGGTGATGCTGCCGGACGAGAGCTCGATCATGCGGAAAAGTGAGAGGACGAGCGAGGATTTGCCACTGATACAGGGTCAGAAATACGATCTGAAAGTACATATAGGACGGGAGTAGTCTACCTTCCTGTCCTACCAACCACAGCGACCTTCTCGCCCGGCTTGATCTCGAGCGAGAATTCTGAGATGACAGGTTCATTGGGACGATAAAAGGCCGTGACATTCTTGAATTCAACGCCGCCTTCGCTCGGCCAATTAGGAGGCGCGGGTTGGTCCTCACCTTGTTGGTCTTCGCTGGTAGCCTCCGTGGTAAAAGTCTTGATGCGCGCTACACTTCCAATATGTGTCTCGAGCTGTGTCCAGAAGGTAATAAGCAGTTTGATGGTCTGCGAGAAGAGGATGACGTTGAGTAGCGCAACACCGACGTAACCGGCGCTCAGCTTGCCTTTCAAAGCTACCACCAGGATGATCAGAATGGTTGCGACGGCCGCAACAATCAGGTCGAGAACGAGGGTTAGCCAGCGCTGAACGGCGAAGAGAAGATAGAAGGGGCGTTGGCTGCGGTCCAGTAAGGCTTTGGCTTTCTCTTCGAGGAAGCCCTGCCAACCAAATGCTCTGACTGTTGGCAAGCCCTCCAATATCTCGCTGAACTGAGTGTATAGAGGTGACTTGGCTTCCAGATCAAGGAATCGGAGTTGCCGAGAGGTGCGCAAGTAGAATTTCTGGATCACGTAGACGCTAATACCGACGACGGGGAACGAGATGGCCGCGAAGGGTGCAGCGACGGCGATGAGCACCATCTGTCCTATGCAGAGCACGAATGAGGCAAATGTGTTCAAAGCAGAGAGTGGCAGCTCCATGTCGATGAGCTGGAGATCTTGGCTGAAGCGGTTGAGTGTAACGCCGGTATCCGTCGCTGCGAAGAATGACATCGGCGACGCGAGGACTGTACCGAGAAGCCTCTTGTGGAATTGAACACCGGAGCGAGGGACCATCGTCACAATGAGTTGCCTGCAAAGACTGTTAGCCAAGGTTGGAACGGCAGGATAGAGCATACTGACCAACAACTGATCATGAGGAAAACGAGGGCGGAGCCACCGAGCAACGCATAGATACCGAGATAGTAGCCCAGACGCTGGTTGGGGAACTCTTGGTTATACTCGGCCCACATCTTGACCCAGATCGTCGGGAAAGACTGTCCGAAGATGAAGATTGTGATGGAAGCAATGAAGATCAGCGTGGGGATCCAACCGACCGACCGAATATAGTAGAGGTATATAGCCACATCGCCCGTGCGTCTGTTTGTCTCAGCCTGAACGTCTTCTTCAGTAACCTTTTCGTGAATCGGCCGCTCGGTGTATCGCGGAGGGGACGCGTAGGTGAGCTCCTCTGGTGCAGAGTCCCAGTCGGGTGGTGGCAGGTCGAAGCTGGAGACATAGCCACCCGTTCCGTTGAGCGTGTCAAATGAGCCTTGCTCTACGATCCTGCCTTCGTTACCAAGTGCGATAACCCAGTCACAGTACGGCAAACGTCTCACTGGATGTAGGGCAGAGAGTCAGCCTGGCACGAGGACTTTGACCGATGAGGATGGAGATATACCTACCGGATGATGAAGTGATGAGAACGGTTGATCTGCATCTTCGTAGAAGTCCATCGCGCCCGAGAAGCGAGTGCCATACGCGGTTCTCGGTTGCACCGTCCAGCCCGCTCAGGCAGTCGTCGAGAATAACTAGATCCTTCTGCGCATATACAGCCCTCGCCAGCGCCTAAGTATGAAGTGTTAGTGACGCTGACGGCGTAAGAGCAGGGTCAAATTGTCATACTATACGCTGTTGCTGGCCACCACTCAGCGCAACCCCCTTGGACCCAATCGAGGTCTGGTCGCCTTGCGGCAATTGACGAAGGTCTTCATCTAACGCGCAGGCACGAACCACGGCCGCATACCACCGTTGGTCGAAGTCTGAGACGCCAACGATGCTCCGTTGCACACTTCCGTTCACGTGCCACGACGTCTGGTCGCAGAAAGCGATGCGCAGGGTCGACATCTGGACTGTGCCATGTAACATCGGCAGCTCTCCCAGAATGCCCTTGAGCAGGGTCGACTTGCCACACCCTACCGGCCCCACGATCATGGTAATCTTGGCACGTGGCACAACAGCTGAGACCTCCCGCAGCTGGCCGGTAGGCTGCGTCTCCTTGTCCCACCCAAAGGTCGCATTCTCAATCGTGATGGCCTGGGAGCCAGAACTAGGTGCTCCAAAAGAGCCCACTTGCTGCATGAGGAAGGAGCGGCTGCTTTTTTGAGACGCCTCGAGGTCTTGGCCCGAGTCGTGATCAACATCTGACACTGGTTTGATGCTGCCGCAAAGATTGGGGGTCTTGCGGCGTTCAACCTAGACGGGGGAGATAGAGTTAGCCAACATACCGAGTGTTGCGAGCGCATCGCCATGTGCTCAGCGTGCGCAAGCGTCAAGTACCTAACGTACCATGGGGTCCTGCAATAGGAACTCTTGGATTCTGCGGAAAGAACCAACACCGCCCATGAAAGACAACATGGCCAGGATCAGCGAGCTGATGGGCTCTGCCAGCAACGTGAATAGCGAGAGCGAGGTGAATACTTTAGCAGTGTCGAGAGTCGTGTGGCCGTTACTCTTCTGTGCGAGTATTGAAAAAACGGCAAACGTAATGATCGGTGACACAATGGGCGAGATGTAAGAAATCCCCATCGTCCAGATTAACAGTTTCCGGAACTTCTTGGAGATGTTGAGCTCATCGATTCGAAGTTGTTGCAAGTCTTCACGGAGTATGTCTGTAATGCCACCCATCTTTACACCTGCAAAGAGTCGTCAGCTCGGGTCCCAAGATATCATGAAGATGCTTTCGGACTCGGTGCAGGGGGCTAGTTTCACACCTTTCATAGAGTTGAGCATCGTAGACGTTGCAGCAATGCGACGCTCGATGGCCTCCAGCCAAAGCGCTTGACGTTGCATGACCAAGCTCGTCGCAGCAAATGAGCCTAGAAGACTCACAACAGCCACCCCAATAGGAACAGTGCAGGCCTCACCGAGCTGTCGCGAAAGCAGATAAATCGCCAGGGCGACCTCTATCGAATTGGCCCATACCTCATGTCCTGTCTCCATGCCCGTCACGATCCTTTCAATATCGGCTGACATCAGCGTAATCGAAGACGCCAAGTCGACATCCTTCAATGCGAGGTCGGTAGCTTTGTGGTAGAGCATTGAGATCAAGCCACCTCTTATCATCGTGATTGCCCGATATGTTCGATGTTGGTACTGCCCTGTGGCGACCTGTATATGCGGTTAGCGAATATGATCGAGCATGAGTACAGCAGCGTTACATCCCGCATGAACATCGTGGTGTGTACCGGGATCAAGGTTATTTCAAACCAGCAGTCCCCAGCACGATGCTCAATGAGACGACGCTGAGCTGAGTCGCTGACCGGGGGTTGCCACTTACCGCGATACCTACATATACAAGTACGTATGCACCAATAAGCCCGTAGCCAATGTTGGTGTTTTGAGCGACGGAACCCTCGTTAGAGTACCGAACAGCGCGTTCGATGAGGAAGGGCTGACAGAAGTTGAACGCGATCAGGCAAACGCGCGACGGGACGACCACCAGTATGGGCCATTTAAGTCGGTCCAAGATGGTTCTGAAAAGCGCGTTCGGCCCAGGGTTTTTTGTTACTAACAGAGTACCGTTATTAGCCAAAGAGCGCTCAACACCGATTTGCAAACTCACCTCGATCCCACGTCGATCGAATTCTGTGGTGCAGATACTCCGCGCCTAGATGCTTGTCCAACTGAAACAAGTCGTCAACGGACAGCACGTTGGAAAACCCTCTCCTGAATAGCTCATTTTGCCACCAAAATAGCGCCTGGCTAAATAAGCCAGCCGTGGCTTCGGGAGGCACGTCTGCAAACTCGGAACGCAAAAGACTGCCTTTTCCCCGCGCCTCAAGGATGACGAGAAACACCTTGACACCGACCCTTGTAGTGAAAAGCGTCGAGATGGTATCGAGCTCAGGTAATAGGCTCCAAGAGCGAGAGCGGGCCGTGTCGAAGATGACGGTGAAGAAGAGATAAAAGTTGATTAGGACTGAGGTTCGGACGGAGCGTTGGTGCTCGAAATAGGAGAGGAGGGCCAGGACGAGGGCGCCTATGAGGCTCAGCGCGGCCGAAGGGACGGCGGCGTGGTATCCAAACGGCTGCCACGCCCAGAAGACCAATAGAGCAAGGTCGAAGCCTACCAGGAGACTCCATGATATCTTTCCTCAAAGTTAGCCGGTATGTATGATTAGGTAATTGACGGATGATGGAAAAGGGGCAAATGGGTGCGTACCAACTTTGTGGGCAGAATGGGAGACCACGAGACTTTGCTTTGCTTCCCCCACAGAAACAAGATACGGAAAGGCGCAGCGCATAGTATCAAGGTGATGGGGAGTATTGAAAGAATGGACTCTTCGAAGAGAAGCGTAAAGTCGAACCCTCCTCTGCAATCTTTTCCAGCATAGGGGCCGAAAGACGTGTCGGCTGAGCAGTTCCCGACCTGGTTCGTGACCGATGCCATTGCGACTGGTAGAATACCACTTGCTCTTGCGGAGGCAACGGGTCAGATCTATAGATGGAAAGGCCAAGGGATCCCGGGGCTCAAAGGCTGGAGCGGAGAGTTGGTCACGACCGTCAGTCCTTCGGTCTATTTTTGATCAACCGCAGAATACCGTGAGCTTCCTTCCACCTACCTCGAAAGAACGTGGTCGACTTTGGAAAGCTCCGCTGTCTCTAGAAGAATCTAGGCAAGGGGGTAAGCAGGCAGGCTTCCGCATGCAATGGCAACAGTTCGCAAGTTGTGATATTCACGAAGTCTACGTCAGCTTCGCAGTCACCGGGACATCGTGATGATGCCACCGGCGCCACTCGCGTTTACTACCAGAAAGGGAGCATTGCTTCTCTTCAGGGGGCAAGATGCTGTGGATTGCCCCCGCCTGCCAGGATTGAGTTGCGACACATGAGTGTGCCGGTGGCATCATCACGATGTCCCGGTGACTGCGAAGCTGACGTAGACTTCGTGAATATCACAACTTGCGAACTGTTGCCATTGCATGCGGAAGCCTGCCTGCTTACCCCCTTGCCTCGATTGGACTATGCTCAGGACCTCAGAGAATGTCCGTCGGCCCCTGCCTGCCGCAAATGGACCAGGTTCCCACATGTGGATGTCGTATGCAGCCGGCATCATGACGCGATCCCGGGACCTGGTTTCCATGAACGTTGCGACGTATGACTCCCATGCACTGCACGGATGACAGATTCACGAGGCGAGGAGCGGAAACGGCCGGCAGGGATGTGATTGGCCATGACAGGTAGATCATGCGTCTGAAGGGATTAATGAAGGATTGAAGGAAGACCGAGAAGAAATAGCAAAAGGTGGTAGCAGTACGTAATGAGAATGGGTGGTGGCGCCGAAGGCCTGTCCCAGTTCCCTGACATACTGACATGTTGACTCTTGAGGTCTCAATTAGGCAGGGCGAAGCCGCTTAGGGACGCGCAGGGTTGGAGATCTGGCCGGAACTCCTGCCAGATCTGCCAAGTAAAGTATAATGTGCGGGGGGGAGCATCCGGGACATGAACGCAACAACCAGTGAAAATGCAACCCATGGTTCTGAGCCCATTGCGGGGAAATGCGACCCACGCTTGCAGCGGCTGACATGCAAGTATTCAGGGGCGTCGTCCAAAAACTGTGCAAGTAAAGCAGGTTCCATACGAGGCGTTGACACTCGAGCGGAGCGTTTCTCCGGCTGCGAGCTCCGGATGCCGGATGCCGTGCGCCCAAGCAGCCAAGTTATACATAAGCGACAGATTTCGGGCGGAGCGGTGGGTGGGCGAGAGGAGAGGCTTGACGACAATTTGACTGGCCATGGACGGTGAAGCTGTAATACGACGTAGACTGATGATGTCAAGCCGAAAAGACCAACGCGTCTGATCGTATGATGTCGCCATGGGGGGAAGATGTCGCCATGGGAGGAAGGTCTCCTGCTGTCTAGAAATCAACTACCCGGCTCGGATAGTGAAATTCCCCAGGAGAATCGGAGGAGTGGCGTAACCAGCGAGGGCCGACACTCCTGACCATGGACGGTGAAGCTGAAAGAGCGACATGTTGTAATGTTGCCAGGGAAAGTTCTTTTGCTGTCCAGAAGTCGACAAGCTGGCTCGGGTCGTGACTATTCCGCACGAGAATTAAAGGCAGGGGTATAACCAGCAAGGGCTCGACACATCGAATAACGCACACCGTGATACATCCTGTCTGTATGTTAGCGTCACGACCGGATGTTGACGTGTGGCCATTCTGCTAGGTATAACTAACATTCCTTCTAGCTGCACGTGGCTTGCCATGTTCTTGAAGTGGTAGGCGATGCTTAGCAATCATGACCGCTTGATATAATGAATCGCTCAGGCGTACCGAAAGCCCATATATACCCAGGTAGTGATTCGACTTGATATCTGGACCTGACTATCGTGGTATCCCAATTGTTTCAAGTGACGCTCCCTCACACGGCTAGGTAGTAAGTATACCCGAACTCCGCACTGCTAACGCATAGCTTCACGCCACCTACCATGGCTGCTAACTCGGCACGGGGCCTCTCCTGCTTGTTCCCGGGTGCTGGAGGGGCGGACGGCGTGCAGAGACGTCCGCTGTCTCTCCGTATTGAACTCCAACACGCGGAGCTTGTGCATCGGCTCTCGGCGAAGCCAGACGGCAATGTTGAGCTGGCCACTGCTGTCCAGACTGCATTTGCAGTCTTGCTTCGCGCGTACACTGGATTGGAAAGCGTCTGCTTTGGCCTCCAAGAAACTGGTGGAAAGCATCATGATGCCGTCGAGAACACCAATCCAGCAGTCGTGGTTGATGTCGACGAGGAGATGTCGTATGAACAGCTCATCCAACACATCAGTACCGGCTCCACCATGAAACCGTCCAACAAGGAGACCGTCGACTACAACACGGCCATACTGTTCTGCTTTAGCAACGCAGCCGCCACCCCTTCCTTGAAACCCGCCACCATGGTCGACTTAGTAAGTTACAGTCCCTTCTCTTGCTTGCCAGGCATACCATGACTGACTGACAGCTGAACAGTGCAACCTCCGGCTCCTCGTCAAGGTCCTCAAGTCCGGCGTCAGCATGTTCCTCGAATACCGCAACTCTTTCATCCCAACCGGACAGGCCCGAAACGTCGCCAGCACAGTAGACAAAATCCTCACTTGCATCCTCCTTAACCCTGCCGAGCGTATCCGAGACTCGGACATCTTGAGCGAGCGCAATAAACTCCAGATCGAAAAGTGGAACTCTCTGCCGCTCGAGCGCGTCGAAAGGACCGTCCACTCCATCATCTTGGAGACGGCGGAAAAGGTGCCCCAGGAGCAGGCCGTCTGTTCGTGGGATGGCCAGTTCACGTATCGTGAGCTCGAAGAATATGCAACCAAAGTCGCGGTGTGTCTGGTAGAACTGGGAGTGGACGCTGAGGTGATTGTGCCGCTGTGTTTTGAGAAGTCGAAGTGGAATGTCGTGGCTACACTTGGCACGTTGATTGCTGGCGGTTGTTGTAAGTTAGGTTTTTGACGGTCTACTTCCTTACCTAAGTACACACCCCACGCCAGTGGTCCCACGCTCGGAACCGGCCGGCCCGGCCCCTCGGCTCCGGACTGCACGCTACCTACCCCCTTACCCCCCTACCCGCACACCATCCTGATGCTGTACCAACACCCTCTTGTTCCGTCCGGCGCCAAGTGTCCGGCAGCTGGCAGGCAGTTCACTCACTAATCCGTGCCAGTCATCCCGCTCGACCCAAGCGCGCCGAAGGACCGCAACCAGTATCTCCTGGACACCGTCAATGCCAGGGTCGTGGTTTGCTCTCTGAACTACGCCGAGACGTTCAAAGGCACAGTTGCCCATGTCGTGGTTGTCGATCCCGCGTTTATCGCGGCTCATCATCAGCCAGCACAGCGACCGCAGGGTCGAGCAGAAAGCCACAATGCTGCCTATATCGTACGTCGCCAGCAGTCGGCAAGACCAGCAGCAATCTTGTGTGCGTGGCGAGTGCTACATGTAGGCTAACATTACGCCTGGCCCAGATATCAACCTCCGGAACGACTGGTCAGCCAAAGCTGCCCCTGATAGAGCATGGCAACATCTGCACCAGCGTGAAGGCGCACTATTATGGAATCAGCATGCATGTCACCAGACCATTGCGCGTGCTCCAGTTCTCCGCCCACTCATTGTAAGTGACTTGGACATGCATACATCGAGATGAGGCGTTACCAACCTCGCGCTACAGTGATGTTTCCATCTCCGAGATCCTGTCAACCTTGATGTGCGGCGGCACCATCTGCATCCCGGATGAATACACTCGGTATTACACCCTGATAGTCATGCACTTGTCCTCTGCAGTACTGACTGCGTTCTAGCCTCAACAACATCGCGCAAGCGATGAATGATATGCGTGTCACTCATGCGCAGCTCACGCCGACGTTCGCGCGGTTCCTTGAACCTTCCATGGTGCCTACTCTCGCTACCATCGTGCTCATGGGAGAGGCCATGTCGCAGGCAGATCTCGAGACCTGGTCTCAGATCAATCTTCTCAATGGATGGGGCCCGTGCGAGACATCGGTATATTGTACCACGCAGAAAGGGTTGACCGCAGCTTCGGACGTACGTAACATCGGTCCTCCTTTCCAGAGGTACGATGCAGATGAGCGAGCTGTAGCATATGCTTGGGTCGTGAACCCCAACAATCGACATCAGCGTGTGCCTATTGGCTGCACAGGTGAGATCTTGCTCGAGGGGAATATTGTTGGACGTGGGTATTTTGGCGATGAGGAGAAGACGGCACAATCCTTTGTGACCGATGTCGCCTGGGCTAGGAACCGACCGTTTCGTGGCTATCTTTCTGGCGACCTGGTAATTCAACAACCTGACGGTACCTACAATATCGTAGGCCGGAAAGACAATCAAGTGGTAAGTCACCAGCAGCTAGTAGAACAGCTCCTCAGCATCTGACCAGTCTGCTAGAAATACCACGGTCAGCGCATCGAACTCCTCGGGATCGAGCACCATATTAATCTCGACCCGTCCATCGGGCACAATCTCGTCTTCCTGCCAAAAAGCGGGCTCTGTAAGGAGCGTCTGGTTGCAGTGGTCTCACTGAAAGAGCATACGTGCGAGGACAAACCCCTCATGTTATTCGAAGGTGCAGAGAAGGATGCAATCTATGCCGAGACAGAGCTCATCCGCGCGCATCTTGCTGAACGGTTGCCAGCCAATATGGTCCCCACAGTCTGGTACGCAACTAATACCCACAATGTTACAGGTGCTCTTTGCTGACCCCGGACTCTCAACTATAGGGTTGCTATCTCGGCCTTTCCCCGCCTTTCCTCCAGGAAGCTGGACCGCAAGCAGGTCTTGACCTGGTTGACCGATATGCCCGCTGAGGTCTATCAACGCGCTATTGCTGGCGTCGAAGAAGTCATTGGCTCGGCAGAGGAGTCTTTGTCCGAAATGGAAGCGTCTTTAAGGTCTGCTTGGGCTCATGTGCTGAACTTGTCCGAGCAGCAAGTGGCTCTCGAGCGTCCGTTTTTGTCATTGGGTGGCGACAGCATATCAGCAATGCAAGTCATGGGCCATTGCCGCAAGAAAGGAGTCACCCTGGGAGTCCAAGATATTTTGCGCAGTGTAAGTACCCCGTTACAGACCGTGCAAGTGGATATACGTCGATATTCGTCGCGGTCCGAAACTGAGTAAGCTGCTACTCCTCTAGTTGTGCTTTACTAACTTCCTATCCCAAACTTCAGCGGTCCATACGCCAACTGGCCACCACAGCCAGGTTCTCCGCCACGTCGGTCAGGGACACCAAAGAAGAGATCGAGAAACCATTTGACCTTACGCCCATCCAACGCTACTGGTTCAGGCTGCAAGAACAGGGCCACGGTCATTTCAACCAGTCTTTCTACCTCCAGGTCATGCACCGAACTAGCGCCCATGCCTTCCATTCCGCGATCGAGCAGCTCGTTTCCCGCCACTCTATGCTGCGGGCCCGGTTCTCCTTCTCGGATGAACATGGCTGGGGACAGCGTGTCACCGAAGACATTGACAATTCATATCGCTTCCGCAATATAAAGGTATTGAGTCCGGAAACAGACTGCGTCTGTGATATAACACCATATGTATTGATACCCATTTCGATGAGCTTCGCTGACTTGTACCCGTACTTCAGTTGACCAGCAAGGTTGAGACTGATACGATGATTGAGGACTCGCAGAAATGCCTTGATTACGTCCACGGACCGCTATTCGCCGCTGATCTGTTCGAAGTAGGCGGTCAACAGCATGCCTTTCTCACCATCCACCATCTTGTTGTCGACTTGGTGTCTTGGCGTTTGATTTTGGAAGAGCTCGAAGACATCTTGAAGGGCGAGACACTCCTACCCCCTGCACTGCCTTTCCAGAAGTGGACTCAGCTTCAAACCAAGCACACGCGAACCCTTTCTCTTGATGACGTATTACCGCTCGTCGATGTGCCCGCACTTGACTGGTCTTACTGGGCAATCGAGCACCACGAGAATACCTACGGTGCTGCGAGAAACACCAGTTTCTCGCTCGATCCCTCACTTACTGCCCCCTTCCTAGGCTCCTGCCACATGGCGTTGAAGACAGAGCCCGTTGAAGTCCTTCTTGCTAGCCTGTTTCAGGCCTGGTCTCGTGTCTTTATTGACCGACCAATTCCTGCCGTGTTTAATGAAGGACACGGCAGAGAGCCTTGGAGCCCTGACATTGATATCTCTCGTACAGTTGGTTGGTTTACCACTAGTAAGTGGGCTCGTTCGTATTCAAAATGGGATTGCGTTACTGACAGCTTCTACCCCTAGTGAATCCTGTCCTTGTCGAGCCTTCTGATGACCTTGCGACTACTGTGCGTAAGGTCAAAGATTTCCGGCGCCAGATACCAGGCAAGGGACGACCGTATTTTGCGCGACGGTGGTTAACCGACGACGGCCAGCAGCACTTTTCGACTCATTGGCCTGCTGAAATCACATTCAACTACCTTGGGCAGTATCAGGTAAGCCCGCTGTACGTGGCAACTTCGAACGCATCTAACTCGCAGTAGCAACTCGAGCGATCAGGTGCCCTCCTACAGGCCATGGAGAATATGGCTGGTGAGACCCGTGAAGCTGGCGGAACCGCCGACGTCGGTCACGATGCTCCTCGCATCTCCCTCTTTGAAGTCTCGGCCATCGTCTTCAAGGGCTGCATCAAGCTTGCCTTCACGTTTAACAAGAACATGCAGCATCAGGACAAAATCCAACGTTGGATTTCTGAGTGCAGGCAAAGTATCACAGAGTTGATACAGACGCTTCCAAATTTGACACCACATCCTACACTGAGCGACTTCCCCCTTCTATCTCTGACTGAAGATCGCTTCCAGTCCATGCTTCAGCGCCTCTCACATCTCGGCATCTCGCCTTCAGTTATTGAAGATTCATATCCATGTTCGAGCATGCAAGAAGCTTTGCTACTTTCGCAGTCGAAGGATTCCGCCACCTACGCCTGCGCTACTCTTCACGAGCTCAAGTTACCCAATGGTCGTCCGCAATGGAAACAACTGATTGAAGCTTGGAAACAAGTAGTCAAGTACCACCCCATTCTGCGGACCATCTTCCTCGAGAATGTGGGCGTCGAGGAGCGCTTGTACGATCAGGTTGTTCTCAGGCAGGTCGATGCTAATATAGTTCACTTCGACTGTATTGACGAGCCAGACGCATTGGACAGGATAGGGAAGCAGCGTTCAGTGAACTACGACAACGGCTGGTGCCCGGCTCATCGGTTCACAGTGTGTGGTACTGCAGATGGTCGCGTCTTCTGCTCCCTTGAGATCTCTCATGCCATATCGGATGGGTGTGTACACGACGTGCATTATGTCCTTCTAGATGAGCTTTACTGACCTTACATCCCAACCTTAGGCACTCTATGAGTCTCGTGTTCCGCAATCTACGCGATGCATACATGGAGACCCTTCGCGATGACGGCCCGACTTGTAAGCGCCACTGTTCAATGCTTCTGTGACGTACCACTGACTTCGTTTCAGACAGCGACTACATCTCGTACGTCATGAACCAACCCAAGGAGGCCAGCCTTGACTACTGGAGATCGTACCTCGTGGACAGCGAAACCTGCGACTTCCCCATGCTCAACGACGGACAAGTCGTCGAAGCCAAGGACCTCGTCTCCATCCGTCTGGACTTTGGCAACGTCAGCATTCGCGACCTGCACTCCTTCTGCAACACTAACGGCATCACGCTGTCCAATGTCATCCATACAGCATGGGCTCTTACGCTCAGCAACTACGTTGGCACCAAGAACGTCACCTTCGGCTATCTGACGACTGCCCGAGACTCGCAAGATATCCATCGCGTCCAGGACATGTTTGGCCCCGTCATCAACACGCTTGTCTACCGTGTAGACCTTTCTGATGGCTCGTGCTGCCTTCTGGATGTCCTTCGGGACGTGCAACAGGATTACCTAAATGCTATTCCACATCGTCATATCGCACTAGCGGAGGTCCAACATATGCTTGGCTTGTCTGGTGCTAACCTATTCAACACGGTCTTGTCGTACCGCAGGCTTCCTCCAGCGGCTCCATTAAACGACACCGATATTCGGTTCGTCGAACTCGCGCCGATCTACGACCCTGTAAGTCTTCACTCTCTGTGTACTGCTTGAGGTTGTACTAATTGTACAGACCGAGTACCCGGTCAGTCTTAACATCGAGATCTCCGATGATGCAGCAGCTGTCGACCTCGACTACTGGACCGACCATCTCACTGCCGGTCAGGCTGCCAATGTCGCCAGTACCTTCGTCAGAGCCATCGAGAATATCGTTTTCAACGCGAGACAGAGTCTATCGTCTTTGGATCACCTCAGCAGAAAGCAGCTGCAGCAGATCCAGCAGTGGAATGTCATGCCTGAGACACTCCACGACTGCGTTCACCACCGCTTCCAGTCCTGGGTCACGTGTCAGCCTGATGCGCCTGCCGTTCGTGGGTTCGACGGCGACTACACCTACGCTGAGCTGAACGCCGCCACTGATCGATTGGCGCATTACCTTGTCGAGCTCGGCGTAGGACCAGAGGTATTCGTTCCTACATGCTTTGACAAAAGCTCCTTTGCTGTTGTTGCCATGCTTGCGGTGCTCAAAGCGGGCGGCGCAGCCGTGCCTCTCGACGCGAACCACCCGAAGCCCGCTCTAGTGTCGCGTGTTGAGGATACCCAGGCCCAGATGGTTTTGACTACTTCTGCACGCTCCGAGATGTTTGAAGATGTTGTTCCGGATGTGGTCATTGTTGATTCTGTCCTGATCAATGATTTGCCGGACGTAGATGGTCCCCCATGCACGGTCGTAGCACCCCATAACCCGGCGTTCGTTATCTTTACCAGTAAGTGATCCCGGCCTACACCCAGTTCGAAGCACATGGCGACGAGGAAGGGCGCAACGATGTCTGTCACGCCTCTCTGGGTGAGCTTTGCTGACTTCGTAAGGTGGATCCACTGGCCGTCCCAAAGGTGTGATCCTGGAGCATGCCGCGATAGTAACAAGCGCCAACGCTCACGGTGCCAACCTTGGCTTTGGCCCTGGCACTCGCGTCCTGCAATTTGCATCTTACACATTCGACAACTCGTTGGAAGAGATGTTCACAACTCTCCAGCGCGGTGGCTGTTGCTGCGTGCCGTCTGAGGAGCAGCGTATGAATGATCTCGCCGGTTCTATTGCGGAGCTTGATGCCAACTTCATGGATCTGACGCCTACGGTTGCTTCTTTTCTCAACCCCAAGGACGTACCGAGCATCAAGAGCATGGGGCTTGGTGGTGAGGCACTAACCAAGGCTGTTATTGAGAAATGGAGCCCTCATGTTCATCTCCATGGTCAGTACGGACCGTCCGAGGCTTCCATCAACAGTGCTTGGAAGGACTTCGAGCATGGCGGTGAACCAACCAACATTGGTAGAGCTATTGGTTCAGTGAGCTGGATAGTGGATCCAGATGACCGTAACCGTCTCGTGCCTATTGGATGCCGGGGCGAACTGCTCATCGAAGGGTACGTCTGGCGAGAGAAACGTGACCAGTTCTTTGCTGACCGTACGCCAGCCCTATTCTCAGTCGTGGCTACTTGAACGACCCCGAGAAAACGAATTTGGCTTTCATTTCTGCTCCTATGTGGGCGCGCACTGATGATGTCAGTGCGAATGAGCGCAGGTTCTATTGCACTGGCGATCTGATGCACTACACTTCACAGGGAGAAATGATGTACCTTGGTCGTAAGGATAGCCAGGTCAAGCTCAATGGCCAGAGGATCGAACTCGGCGAGATCGAGCATCATCTGAAGCTTAGCTTGCCCGGCGATGCGCAGTCGGCCGTCGAGCTAGTCAACTTCACTGACGTTAAAGCCACGAAGGCTTTGGTTGGCTTCCTCTGCTTGGCTACCGGCTCAAGCGACGCTTCCACTGCCATTGGTAAGATGACGGAGTCTGTACGAAATATGGCAAAAACGCTAGAAGTCGAGCTTGCCATCGCGCTCCCGGCGTACTATGTCCCGTCCGTGTTCATGCCCGTTACCTCCATGCCCATGACGACGTCCGGAAAGCTTGACAGAAAGACCCTCCGACAGCTTGCCCAAGCCGTCCCAGAAGAGCAACTCCAAGGCTACCGACTTGCTGGGAAGAGCGGCCGTGCGCCTTCTGGGCACGCTGAAGTCGCTTTGGCGCGGTTATGGGCAGTCATCCTCGGTCTTAGCGAAGAAGCTATCGGCGCAGAGGATTCGTTCTTCAGGCTCGGCGGCGATTCGATACGCGCCATGAGACTCGTCGGCACCAGCCGAAAGGAAGGGCTTGTACTCAGTGTGGCAAGTATCTTCTCGCAGCCGAAGTTGGTAAACATGGCACAGTCGGCGGTTGTTCTTTCATCCGATCAGCATAATGACGAACCCGAGCCTGACACTGCTCCCTTCGAACTCATTCCTGCAGACGACAGACGCCGTATCATCGAGTTTGCTGCCTCTGAGTGCGGTGTCTTTGCGGACGCCCTGGAGGATATTTACCCATGCACACGTTTGCAAGAGGGCCTCATCGCGCTCTCCACAAAGGAACCAGGAAGCTATGTGGCCCAGGTTATCTACCGCCTACCCCCCAACACTGACATCTATCGATTCAAGCAAGCATGGGATCGTGTCATCGCGGCTGAAGCAATTCTACGCACTCGCATCATCTACGTCGAAGATCGGGGGTTCCTCCAAGTCGTTGTTCGCGACGGCGTTGAGTGGCACCATTTGGCCGACCTGCAAGACATCAGCGAAACCCATCGGCACCTTCCAGCCTCTCCAGGCGACGTGTTGGCAACGTATGCTGTTGTCGGAGAAGATACTTCGTCGCCCTTCTTCGTTTGGACAGCTCACCATGCCGTCTATGACGGTTACAGCATGCCGAACATCTTGTCCAAAGTGGAAGCGGCCTATCGGCTCCCCAGTGAAGCTCCAGTCGCTGCGGTGCCTTACTCCCGAATCATCAAGTATCTTTCATCTGTTGACGAGAAGCAGTCTGACGCGTTCTGGCTCAGCAAATTTGAGAACATCTCCGCCCCTCAGTTTCCCCAACTCCCAAGCCCCGACTACAAAGTTCAAGCATCGAGCCAGCTCATACATCAGATCCCTTTCGCTCGCCGTTCTGGAATGGAAACAACCTTGCCATCCATGATACGTGCTGCTTGGGGCTTTATGCTCGCTACATACTCTGCTTCCGATGATGTTCTCTGGGGAGAAATCAATTCCGGTCGTGAGGTCCCCGTTCCGGGTATCGAAGATATCGCAGGACCGACGATTACAACATCACCAACGCGTGTGAAACTTGATCGCCAGCTCACTATCAGCGCGTATATGCAACAGGTCCAGCGTCAGTTCTCGGCCGTATTGCCATTTCAGTTCGCTGGGTTGCAGCATATCCGGAAGCTGAGCAATGATACCGCGTTGGCATGTGACTTTCAGAGCCTCCTAGCAATAGCCGCCGGCGACAGTATGAAGGACCCCGACGGTGGCTTATGGGACTTACAGAGCACTGGAAGCGTGGGCACCAACTTTTTCAACTACGCGCTCATCTTCAACTGCATGGTTGAGAAGGACAGCATCCACGTCGAAGCCCACTATGACAGCCACGTCATTGAAACATGGCTAGTTGAACGGCTGTTGCAGCAGTTCGCTTTTCTTCTGAACCGCTTCAACTCGCCAGACTTCTCTGAATGCACCCTCGGGGATTTTGAGCTACTCAATCCCAAGGATCATGCCGTCATTGCCTCGTGGAACGACAAGCCTGTACACACCACTAACCACTGCATCCAAGACGTGAGTAACCCTCCCAATACCCTTAACCATGACCGCCTACCTGGTGTCACACTCGCTGTAACCCTCACCAGATTCTATTCTCGTCAAATAATATTGACTTTGTGACTCTTAGATCATATTCGAATACCAAGTCATCCTCCGTCCATCAGCCACCGCCATTGAGGCTTGGGACGTGGGCACCCTGACATATCACGAACTGGACCAGCAAGCCACGCGCCTTGCTTCTCGCCTGATCTCGCTCGGCGTCAAGCCCCGGGCCTTTGTGCCCCTCTTCTTCGACAAGTCTGGCTTCACCATTATCGCTATTCTGGCGGTCTTGAAATGCGGAGCTGCATTCGTTCCTCTTGACTTTGAGGCACCAATCCTCAGAATCCGCGAGATCGTGACTGACGTCAACGCCAACTTGATCCTTTGCGCTGGCCAGTACGAAAGCGTCTGCCGCTCCATTCCATGTGATACCCTCGTCGTGGATGCATTAACAGACCGCCCCGAAGGGCGTCCCCACAGACTACCTGAGGTGCAGTGCGATACTCCCGCTTACGTCCTGTTCACGTCGGGCTCAACTGGCAAGCCAAAGGGTGCCATCATCAACCACAACTCCTTCGTCTCTGCGTCTGCTGCCTACGCTCCGGCCTGGAATATCACAGAGAAGTCCCGCGTGCTACAATTCGCCAGCTATGCTTTCGATTGCTCACTCATTGAGATCTTGAGCGTATTGATGCAAGGCGGTGTCTGCTGTGTGCCGGATCAGAAAGAGAGGACTAACGATCTTGTTGGCGTGATCAACAGGATGCGCATCAATTATGCGGCTTTAACGCCGTCACTGGTCCGCACCCTGCAACCATCCGAGGTTCCGGGGTTGAAGGACTTGACGCTTGTTGGCGAGGCGATGTCGCAACAGGACTTGAACACTTGGGCAGACCGCGTCAGTCTTGGGAATGGTTACGGTTCGTCATGACACTTGAGACGCTGTGAACTGAATTTAACTGACTTTGTACTTCACCACAGGTCCGACCGAGTGCTCTGTCGTGGCGACTTTCAACAACATGACGTCAACAACGAAGCCCAACAATATTGGGAAGATTATCACGGCGAGAGGCTGGGTCGTTGCGAAAGACAATCATGATGTGCTCGTTCCCCTAGGAGCCGTGGGTGAGCTTCTCATGGAGGGCGGCGGCGTTGGTGCAGGCTATCTTCACAACCCCAAGAAGACTGCCCAAGCCTTCATCAGCGACGTCAAGTGGACTGTGGGAGCCGACTCTCTGGGGGAAGGTGAGACGAGACGCTTCTACAAGACTGGTGACCTGGTCAAGTATAACGAGGACAGTACGCTATTATACCTTGGAAGAAAAGACGACCAGTATGTAAACCCACCATGAAGCATACCGACATCCCCCCGGCCGAGTTTTGCTGACTTTGTTGCCCACCTCTAGAACTAAAGTTCGCGGACAGCGTCTTGAGCTGGCGGAAGTTGAACACCATGTCGTAAGCGACCCAGCGGTGCAGAACGTACTGGCCGCGGTCCCTACGTCTGGACCATGCGCCAAGCGTTTGGTCGGTGTCATATCGCTCCAGAGCATGCCCAGCAGCGAGGCGAGCGAGGAGCTTCGGCTGCTTCCCAACGACATCGCCTCCCTCAACGTCGCTTATATCCGGGATAGGCTCTGCGACCGCGTACCTTCCTACATGGTGCCGTCCCTCTGGGTGGTTGTCGGACGGTTCCCTTTGATGCCATCTGGGAAGATGGACCGCAAGCGAGTCGTACAGTTCCTTGAACGTATGGGAAGCGACACATACCGTACAATCTCGACACTCGGCTTGGAAGAGGCCAAGGACCAGGCCGACAGCGTGGAGAGAAGACTCCAGGCTATCTTTGCAAAGGTGCTCAATCTAGCCTCCGAGGATATCCGACTAAACCAATCCTTCCTGCATTTGGGCGGCGACTCCATCAGTGCTATGCAAATTACCAGTATCTGCCGGAGCAACGGGTTTTACATCTCGGTACAGGACATCATCCGAGCCAAATCGATCACAGCTCTTGCGTCCATTGTCTCGGTGGCTGGTGCGGATCATGCCCCTGCGCACACAGTTCCAGACTACAACTTGCCTTTCGATCTTACGCCTATCCAGCGCGTCTTCTTTGACGCGGTTGGAGAGGGGTACAATCACTTCAATCAGAGCGCTGTTCTTCGCCTTGCCCGGGCGTTCAAGTATGAGGAGATCAAGACTGCGCTCAGTTCGCTGGTTACTATTCATCCCATGTTGCGAGCACGCTACAACAAGTCTGAATCCAGGATCTGGAAGCAAATGATTGAGAAGGATACCACAGCTTCCTTCCGACTGAGACAGCATCGGGTCAGCACTGCAAATGAGCCCACAATGCGCCCGATCATCGATGAAAGCCAGGCCACTTTGGACATTACATCTGGCCCGACATTCTCCGCGGACCTGTTCGAGATCGACGATACGTTCTCACAAGCGATCGCGTTTGTGGCCCATCATCTTATCATCGACGTAGTCTCATGGGGCATCATTCTCGAAGATCTGACGTCGCTGCTCAGTGGCACGACTCCGCCTCCCCAAAGCCTACCGTTCCATGCATGGGGAGAACAGCAAGCCGTCCAAGCTCGAAAAGACACTGCGAAGAGGGTATACCCTCTTCGAAATGTCCTGCCACCTGATATCGCCTACTGGGGAATGCCGGATGGCTTGCAGAACATCAATGGCGATGTCATCACCGAGGAGTTCGAACTCAGTCCCAAGGACTCCATGCTACTGCTTGGTGCTCATGATGCGTTAGCGACAGAGCCCCTCGACGTCTTCCTCGCAGCTATTCTTGAGTCGTTCAGAAAAGTGTTCCCTGATAGGAACTGCGCCACAGTTCATAACGAAGGTCATGGCCGAGAATCTTTTGATGCGAAACAAGACCTCTCGTAAGTTCGTCCCTTAGCCAACGCTCCATGCTTCAGATGTCTTCTGCGCATGTTTTACTAACTCTTAATAGCCGTACTGTCGGTTGGTTCACCACGTTGACTCCCATCCACCTTCCCGTCTCCTCGGAAGACAGCACGGACATCGCCAGCACCATTCGATGGGTCAAGGACCTCCGTGAACGGATTCCCGGCAAAGGAAGACCTTACTTTGCGTACCGACTTTCTGGGGAAGCATCGCAGGAGTTCTCCAGCCACTGGCCTGCCGAAGTGACCTTCAACTACCTCGGTCGCATGCAAGCTCTAGAGCGCAAAGACGCCTTACTCCAGAGACTCGATGGCGTCAATACCTCCGACATTGGCGATGACGTTCCTCGTCTTGCGCTCTTTGAGATCACGGCTGTTGTGGCTCAAGGCACTATTAATCTGTCGTTCTGCTACAATCGGCATATGAAACGTCAAACAGAGATCAAGCAATGGATCGGGGAGTGTCGCCAGACTCTCGTCGACGCGGTGGATCGACTCCTTCAGGCACGGCCTGAGCCTAGCCTGAGCGACTTCAACCTGCTGCCACTCTCGTACAACGGGTTGTCAAAGCTCTCGGCTGTACTGCCATCTGGTAATAACGTTGCCGATATCGAGGACATCTATCCGACTTCGCCGATGCAGCAAGGCCTGCTTCTGTCCCAGATGAGGTCCCCCGAGCTGTATGCGTACCGATGCAGTTTCGAGGTCTGCGCGGCCGAGCCTGGCTCATCTGTCAACCCCAGGAAGCTCGCGGAAGCCTGGCAAAACGTCGTTCACCGGCATCCAGCGTTGCGTACTGCCTTTATAGAGAGCCTCTCTGAGAGGGGTCGCATGGACCAGATAGTCTTCAAGGAGAGGTCTGGACAAGTTGTATGGATGGCAGACTGCGATGGTGAGGACATGGCTCGTTTCTTGCGCGAGCAGCCTGCAATTGACTATCGCGAGTTTGGTGCGCCTCACCGCTTTACTGTATGCAAGACCAAGGCAGGCAGGGTATGGGTGCAGCTCGACATGTCACATACAATCTGTGACGGCGGCTCAATCCCGAATCTCCTCAATGACCTTTCGCGCGCCTACGGAGGGAAGCTTTCTCGGTCCGACGCTGGACCACTATTCAGCGAGTTCATTGCGCACATCCTCTCAAGCTCTCGGGAAAGCGACATCAACTATTGGAAAACTTTCCTCCAAGGTGCTGAGCCTTGTATCCTTCCTGCGTTGAATGACGGGAAGCCTGGTGCGCGTGAGGCTGTTTCGTTCGAAGCTCACATTGCGGAGACTGCCAGCATCCGAGCCTTCTGCAAGGCCAACGGCGTAACGTTGTCGAACGTGTTGCAACTGACATGGGCGCTGGTGCTGCACTATTATGTCGGTACCTCGGATATCTCGTTTGGCGTCGTCGCCTCCGGCCGCGATATCCCCGTCAAGAACATCGAGGAGGCGGTGGGATGCCTCGTCAACATGCTAATCTATCGACTTAACTTCTCAGACGAAACGCCGGTACACCAACTCCTTGCATCAGTGCAAAATAATTCGATGAATGCCCGAGACTACCAAGGCTCTTCGCTTGCGGATGTTCAGCACGAATTGCAGCTGCCGAGTCTCTTCAACACCGTCTTCACTTTTCAGCGACGACACATCTCCCGTGGCTCCGAAGATACGGCGCTTCTCTTTGAAAATATTGAGGCAGCGGACCCCAGCGAGTACGACCTTACTCTCAACGTCAGTGACGAAAGCCCCGCCGGGATCACAATCGACTTTGGCTACTGGAGAGATAAGATGTGCGACGCGCAGGTGCATAACCTAGCCGATACATTCGAAAAGATCCTCATCAATCTCACTTCCATCGCCGATTCGAAAGCTACTGTTGGCGATATGGATATTCTTCCGATGGGCAGCCTCGAGCAGATCCGGGTATGGAATGCGAACCTCCCTCCACCTGTCCGTCGTTGCGTACACGACATCGTCTCCGAGCAAGCGCTCCTTAGACCTCCATTCGCCAAGGCCGTTGAAGGCTGGGACGGTACATTTACTTACCAGGAGTTCGATGCAATCACCAACTCGCTGGCCATCCACCTCCAGACCCTGGGAGTTGGTACTGGGACGTTTGTGCCAGTCCTCTTTGAGAAATCTTCATGGGCTATCATGAGCATGCTAGCTATCATGAAGGCTGGGGCAGTATACGTGCCACTCGATCCCAGACACCCTCCCACCCGATTGCGCCAACTGGTCTGCGATGTTGGGGCCAAGGTCGTTGTGTGTTCGAGGAGCCATCAATCACTTGCTAGCCAAGTTGCGACGACAGCATTCACCGTGGATAAGAGGGCTATGGAATCGATCCCGACCAGAGGACAGAGACCGAAGTCCGATGTCACTCCGGACCACGGGTGCTACTGTCTCTTCACATCAGGCACGACTGGTACGCCCAAGGGGACCATCGTTTCGCATCAGGCCTTTTGCACAAGTGCTGCAGCTTTTACCCCCGTTTTGCATATGGACAGCACCACGCGGACGTTCCAGTTCGCGAGTTACACCTTGTAAGTAGCCATGTGCACTACAGTCGGCTAGCTCGGTGATTTGTGCTAACCTTGTTTCTGCTTGTAGTGATGCCAGCTGTGTGGAGATACTGGCTGCACTGACGGTTGGTGGTACGGTCTGCGTGCCGACTGAAGATGAGAGGATGAGCGATCTCTGTGGCAGCATTAGCAGGTTCGGGGCGACTTGGGCGCTTCTCACCCCCTCTGTGCTTGGCAGCATCAAGCCAGAGTGGGTGCCGGGCTTGAAAACACTTGTTGTGGGTGGTGAAGCAACTACACCCTCGGTGCTGACGGCCTGGGCTTCCAAGATCTGCTTCGTGGAAGCGTAAGTGCCTGTACCATCCGCTTGAAGGACTTGACGCTAACAGATTCCCAGTTACGGTCCAACGGAGACCGCTATCATATGCGCTACCTGCGCAAAGTCGACACTGGAGAAAAAGGTTGTTGATGCTGATCCTGGTATGTAACTCCCTGGTCCTGACTGAGCTCCCGGCATAGCATGCGTCAGTGTTGCTGTAGTCGTGGATGTTGAGGACAAAATGCTGTGGCACTACAATACCCTAGAAATGCTTTGCTGACTCTCGAACCCTTTCAAGGTACCATTGGCATGGCGACTGGTTGTCGAACCTGGGTTGTACATCCTAGAAACCACGACAAGTTGATGCCCGTCGGTGGCATCGGCGAACTCGTCGCGGAAGGCCATATTGTCGCCGCTGGCTATCTTGGAGATGAAGTCAAGACCGCCAAGGCGTTCATCGAGAAACCTGCTTGGGCATCGGCTTTGTCTTCGATTGACAATACCTTCTCCACTGTCCGAATGTACAAGACAGGGGACCTTGTTCGATACAACAGTGACGGATCTCTCACATACGTCTCCCGGAAAGACACGCAGATCAAGCTCAACGGGCAACGTATCGAGCTGGGAGAGATCGAGTTCCACGTCAAGAGCAGTTTCCCCGAGGGCGTGCAATCAGCCGTCGAGCTTGTTGCGCCTATGGGCCGTTCTGCCAAAGCGCTCGCTGTTTTCTTTTGTGCTGAGGGTCTCCAGCGAGGAGTGCCCGCTGATGCTTTGCTGCCAACGTCCACTGATCTCCCGGCTGCAGATGATGTTCTCCTCATGGACAGTCTGCTCCGAGACATGTGCAAGGCAATGGAGAACGCAGTTGCCGGTGTACTGCCTTCGTACATGATCCCCTCCATCTTCATCCCGGTCTCGAAGATGCCCTGGACGGCTGCTGGCAAGCTTGACCGAAATCGCCTCAAGAACCTCGTCCAGAATATGAACAAGGAAGCAATTTCGACGTACCGCTTATCCAGTGCTTCCAACATGCGGAAGCCGACCAATGAAACGGAGAAGAAGCTACAGAAACTCGTTTGCTCCGTCCTCAACCTTCCGCTCTCCTCTGTGGGCGTCGACGACAGCTTTGTAAGACTCGGTGGTGATTCTATTGGCGCGATGAAGCTTGTGACCGCAGCGCATGCGGATCATTTGGACCTCTCTGTTGTCGATATTTTCAAGACCCCCCGCTTATCTGACCTGGCGGCCAAATGCGGTGCTGTCGACGAGAAGATCGATGTAAATATCGAGCCTTTTGATCTACTACCCCGAGCTCTGTCGCGGTCGCAGGTTCTCAACGAACTCGCAGAGCAGTGCCGCGTATCGAAAGACCAGATACAGGACGCCTATCCAACTTCTCCGCTCCAAGGGGCCTTTGTCACGCTATCAACACGACAACCCGGCGCTTACGTCGCCCAGCATGTTTTGACTCTCGCGAAGTCAGTGGGCATAACAAAGTTCAAGGCTGCATGGCAAAAGGTCGTCGCCGATCTAGACATTCTGCGTACACGAATCGCTCAGCCTCGGTCCGGAAATTTCGTCCAAACAGTGCTCGTCGCTGATCCAATCACATGGGGCGAAGTGGACAGCTTGAAGCAAGCTGAGAAGGAGGTGACGAGGATCTCTCAAGATCTAGGTGGAAAGCTCGCAGCATACACCCTAGTGCGCACTGCTTCGCACGAATGCTACTTTGTCTGGACGCTCCACCATTCCCTGTATGATGGCTGGAGTCTACCACTCATCCTGGATCGTGTTCAGCGCATTTACCGGACTGGGGTGTCCGAGGTTCCCAAAACACCATACACCAGGTTCATCAACTACCTTCAAGAATCCGACATTGTGGCTTCAGCGAAGTACTGGAAAAGGACACTGGGTGGAGCTGCTCCCTATCATTTCCCACAGCCATCACACTCGGCCTTGAGCGAAGAAAGGCATGACGGGAAGCTTCTGCACCATACCATGAAGCTCGCTCCTCACAAGCACGCGGATATCACGCCATCCACCGTGATCCGGGCAGCATGGTCTCTGCTTCTTGCAGCGTACAGCGGAAGTGACGATGTCGTTTTTGGTGAAACTCTTACGGGCCGCGACATCGCGGTCGCCGGGATCGCAGATATCTGCGGTCCTACGCTGACGACTGTGCCTAGCAGAGTGTATATCGACCGGGAAAACACTACCCTGGAGCTTTTGGAGGTCGTCGCTGGGGCAGCAACCGACCGCATCCCCCATCAACACTTCGGCCTTTCGGAGATCAAGCGCCTCGACTCGGACACAGCGGCCGCATGCGACTTCCAAAACTTGCTTGTCATCCAGATTGGTACTGAACCGCCTTCCGAATCTTTGTGGTCTTTCCACGATGACGGTACGCAAGCAAACTTTTTTACGTACCCGTTGGTCGTTGAGGCCACTGCGAAGCGCACCAGCGTCGAAGTCTGCGCCCACTTCGAATCGAACGTTATCTCAGCTTGGGAAGTGCAGCGCATACTCTTCCAGCTCGAGTCGGTCATACACCAGCTCAACACAGTCAGCAATGTCCGCGATATACACGTCTTTAGCAACCAAGACGCGGAACTCGTGCGGAATTGGAATGCTCGCGAACCCATTGTCGCTGACGAAACGATTCATGCCCTCTTCTTCGAACAAGTCAAGGCTCGACCGACTGCTACCGCCGTGTCCGCCTTCGATGGTGAGTTCACGTATGCTGAACTCCGTGAATTATCCTCGAGATTGGCGCAGAAGCTTGTGGGCCTTGGTGCTGGGCCAGAGAGATTGGTCCCCCTCTGCGTCGACAAGTCGAGATGGGCTATCGTAGCTATCATGGGTATTTTGATCTCGGGAAGCGGCTTTGTGCCTTTGTCGCCGCAACACCCTGCCTCAAGGCATCAGCATATCATCGAGAGCTGCAGTGCTTCAATCATAGTTTGCTCGCCTGAGTATGAGACACGGTTCAACGGTCTTGACATCGTCAGGGCCGACGAGAAGACTATCCGCCAGCTACCTGTATCACGTTCGCGGATCCAGTCTCGATTGAAGAGCAACAATATTGCATATGTCGTAAGTCGACCTCTGCACAGCCACCTTTGGGGGACCGTCTCACTAAGTACTTTCCTAGATGTTTACGTCCGGCAGCACCGGCCTACCCAAAGGAGTCGTCATGGAGCACCGCGCCTTTGTTGCTTCCTCTATGGCCATGCGACGGGCCCTGAACATGGATTCTCCATCAACACGCGTATTCCAATTCGCCTCTTTCGTCTTCGATGTGTCTATGCTGGAGATCCTCACTACCTTGACATGCGGGGCCGTGGTCGCGGTCCCCAGCGAACAAGAACGCACTTCAGACCTTGCGGGAGCAATCAACAGGCTGAAGGCCACATGGGCTTGCTTGACCCCGTCTGTCGCGAACGTCCTTGAAGGGCCAACTGCAGTGCCCACGTTGAAGACGTTCGTCTCAGCTGCCGAGGCGCTAACGACTGAAACGATCGACAAGTGGGCGACCGGTCTGCAACTCATGAATGCCTATGGACCGACAGAAAACTCTGTGTTGTCAGTAGTGAACAGCAACGTTTCCACCGAGCGAGACCCTACAGTCATTGGTCACCCGCTTGAAAGTGCTCGTGCTTGGCTCACCGAGGCCGACAATCCTCATCGCCTCGCGCCAGTGGGTGCTGTGGCTGAGCTCTGCATCGAAGGACCACTACTCGCCCGATGCTACCTGAACGATCCGGCGAAGACGGCAGAGGTCTTCATCGAGAACCCAGCCTTCATGAAGGATTTCTCCAGCAAGCCGCACACCCGCATATATCGAACTGGTGACCTCTGCAAGTATGCCTCTGATGGCGCTGTGAAGTACCTAGGACGAAAGGACAATCAGATCAAGCTTGCGGGTCAACGCGTTGAACTGGGTGAGATCGAGCACCATCTACAGGCCGATGAAAGCGTCAATCTCGCTGCCATCCTAATGCCCAAGACTGGCCCTGGAAAGAGGAAGTTGACGGCTGTCGTGTCCTTCCACGGTTCTTCTGGCCCTTCCGTTGCTATCCAACAGCGCTGGAACACAGCGCTCACACATCTAGATACGCTTCGCCAGATCAACGCTGCGAAGGGCAGGCTCTCCGATCTGTTGCCCCCATACATGGTGCCCACGGTCTGGGTGGCTGTGCCTAGTATACCGAGACTGGCTTCCGCGAAACTGGACAAAACGACAGTTGATGGCTGGATAGGGAATATGGATGACGAGACATACCGCCAGATCTTGAACGTCGAAAGTTGGATCGAGACTGCGGTGCCTGCGAGCGAGGGCCTGCAGAAGCTCCAGAAAATATGTGCTAAAGTACTCCATGTGTCCGTTCAGGATGTGCAAGCCCACCAGTCGTGGGTCTGTAAGTTCACTCCCCTGTACCCATGTTGGAAGATATAAGTTGCTGACCTGCTTCAGCACTCGGAGGCGATTCTCTCATCGGAATGCATTTCCTCGCTCAATGCAGAAAAGAGGGTATCAGCATCACTCTGAATCAGCTTTTACGGGCCAAATCTCTGGCGCAGCTGGCCGAAACCGCTCTCCCAGCTACTGGGTTCGAGCACGGAGAAGCACAGACAGAAAAGCCGTTTGGCCTTTCGCCTGTCCAGCAACTCTACTTCCAGAATATTGAAGATGAGACTGCCACGCACTTCAACCAGTCGTTCACGCTTCGCTTGGCACACCAGGTGGATACTGGGGCGATCAGGAACGCTATCGATGCCGTCGTTCGTTGTCATGGCATGCTTCGCGCTCGCTTCTTGAAAGGAGCGAGAGGGCAGTGGCAGCAGCTCGTCCGCGGCGGATTAGAGGGAACGTACAAGTTTGATGTTCACGAAGTTGCCATCACTTCAGGTATAATCGACATCATTGCCAATACTCAAAAGAGCCTCAACATCTTCGAAGGCCCGGTATTTGCCACCGATCTCTTCAACCTCGGAACGGGCGAGCAGGTCTTGTTCATTACCGCACACCACCTTGTCATCGATGTAGTGAGCTGGCAGATCATCCTAGCCGACCTCGAAGAGCACATCGTCTCCGAATCCTCACTGACCCAAGAGCTCCCCTTCCAGGTTTGGGTGGAGAAGCAAGCAGCCCATGCAATTCAGCCTAATCAAATCGAGCTCATGGAGAAGCAGACTATGAGCTTCGAACCTGCCGATCTCACGTTTTGGGGCATGGAGAACCGTATCAACTTGTACGGCAATGTCGAGCACGAGTCCTTCACTGTCGGTGAAGATATTTCTGCAATGGCTCTCGACAACCATAGTGTTCTGCGTACAGATGTGGTCGACTACTTCATTTCGGCAATCATCCATTCATTTTCCCGTGTGTTTGTCAGTCGAACGACTCCGACCGTTTTTGTTGAGTCTCATGGCCGCGAGCCGTGGGACAGTACTGACTTGTCGAGAAGTGTGGGTTGGTTCACTTCAATGTACCCAGCTCATGTTCCGATTGCCGAAGATGAGGACGATGTGATACAGACCGTCCGCCAAGTGAAAGACCTTCGCCGTAGTGTCATCGAGAATGGACGTTCGTACTTCGCCCACCGATTCATGGCTGATAACGGAAAGCAACGATTCGAGTCTCACGAGCCTATGGAAGTCTTGTTCAATTATCTCGGCCGAGGCGCGAACGATTCCATCGACTCTCTTTTCCAGCCCATGCAGTTCAGCGAGGATGAAGAGGCCCCAATGTCAGATCTGGGCGCCGCTGCAAAGCGCCTCGCACTCTTCGAGATATCAGCAACCGTGAGCCATGGCAAGATCAAATTCGACTTCCTATACAACCAGAACCAAAAGAACCGGAAGGGCATCCGACGCTGGATTGCCGAGTGCCAACGCACGCTTGAGGAGGTCGTCACCTCCCTCGCGAAGGTCGATAAGCCTCAGCCAACCCTATCGGACTTCCCACTTCTGCCGCTGGAGTCGTATGCCAGGTTGGATCGCGTGGTCAATACCTTCCCTTCAGCTGGTATTGTATCATACGATCAGGTTGAGGATATGTATCCCTGCTCTGCGATGCAGGAGGGCATGCTACTGAGTCAGATCAAGGATCCAAGCGCGTACTGGTCGTTCGCTGTGTTCGAGGTCAAGAGCAAGCACGACTCGGTTGATGTGCGTAGAGTGGCAAAGGCATGGAAGAACGTCGTGGCCCGACATCCGGCTTTGCGTACCGTGTTCGTTGACAGCGTCTGCAAGGGCGGAGTGTTCGACCAGATCGTTGTTAAGGAACCCGATGCTGGACTCCTGATATACTCCGCCGACGAAGCTGATCTTAGTTCGAAGCTAGACTCGGTCAAGTACGCCGACCACAACGGCAAGAGGAAGCCTCGCCTCCCCCACCAGTTCACAATCTTCCAGGTCAGCTCTGGGAAGGTTGTTGTGAAATTGGAGATCAATCACAGTGTCATCGATGGTGGGAGTTGGGCAATCATCGCCAGGGACCTGCAAGATGCGTACGCGGGTCGACTTTCCGCGGACGGCCCGTTGTACAGCTCATACGTCAAATACCTACGCAACCTGCCAGCCGATGCTGCCATCGAATACTGGAGGGAACATCTTCATGGCGTAAAGCCCTGCTACCTGCCCATTGTTCCGCAGAATGGAACAAAACAACGGCAGCTGCACTCGCTCTTCATGGATTTCAATCGCTTTCCAGAGGTCCAGAGTCTCGCTGGGAAGAGCGGCGTGACTTTCGCTAACATCTTGCTCGCGACTTGGGCCTTGATCTTACGATCGTATACCTCGGATGCGGACGTCTGCTTTGGGTACTTGACCTCAGGCCGCAACGTTCCGATCGAGAACGTTGAGAATGCCGTTGGAGCCTTCATCAACATGCTGTGCTCCCGCATCAAGGTCTCTCAGTCTCAGTCGCTTCTTGACGTATTCTACAAAGTGCAGAACGATTTCGTTGATAGCCTGCCACATCAGCATTGCTCGCTTGCTCAGTTCCAGCATGATCTTGGGTTGAGTGGGAAAGCGTTGTTCAACACGGTGATCTCGGTTCAGAACTACGGAGCCACAGCGGCAGGAGAACACGTACCATCTGATGGCCGGATCGAGTTCGAGCATCTGGACGCCCACGACCCTTCAGAGTTCGCCGTTACCGTCTCGATTGACGCCACTCGCGGTGATGAAGCTGTCAAGTTCGCCTACTGGACCGATGTAATATCGGACGACGAAGCAAGGAACATTTCCAACATGATGGCCAAGATCCTCACCCAAGCCATCGCGGACGTGACCATGACCATCACAGAACTCGACGTTGCCATCCGACGCCCAGATAAGCCCGCCAAACAAGCCACCGACTCGGCAATGCTTACACCAATCCGCGGGCATACACCAAGGCCCACGTACCGCCGCACCCGAACAGGCCCCGAACCGTCGAGGCGCTCAATCTACTCAACCCGCGAAACCGGCCCACTCCAGGTCATGACGCTACCAGGTGCTACGCCCGACTGGAGTTCCCTCATCCGCTCCATTGTTAGCGAGATGGTCCCCCAAATCGTTGACCAAGTATTGGCTAAGAATAAGGACGCCCCACCGCCCGCACAGTCGTCTGTCGACGAGATGTCTAGTCAGATGACCAGCATGTTGGCGCGGAGGGCGTCTCTGTCAAAGCGAGGGAGACCGGGCTTGGATCGCAAGATAAGTATGGCGAGTGACACAGAGAGTAGGATTGGTATTGCGGCGGACATGGTGGCTGCGGCAGGAGTTATTGCTACAGAAGCGCTCAAGGGCGTGCCATCGGATTTCGTGGAGAAAAAGTTGATGACGCTGTGGGGAAAGCTGTTGGATATGGTGGAGGAGAGTATTGAAAAGAACGACAGCTTCTTCCAGCTCGGGGGCGATAGTATTATTGCCATGAGGCTTGTGGGTGCAGCGAGAGAGGAGGGGCTCTCGATGACTGTTGCGGATGTCTTCAAGAACCCCACGTAAGTTCCTGATGCTTTGCTATTACAGGCAAGCTCGTAGCTGACATTGTTAGGTTTGCCGATATGGCTCGGGTTGTGCGTGTAGCCGGCGAAGTCATCGACCAGGTCATGTCACAGACGGGCGACGGGGGGTCAGTCACCGGGAGGCCAGGCTCCTCCAAGATCCAACCCCCGGAGCACACGGCTTCCGTGTGGAAAGACATCGAGCCCATAGCTTCAGAGCACGCAATTCTAGACGATACAATCGATGGCGGCATCAGGCCGCCTACTGGGCCCGGGGGGGGGAAGCGACCCTATATACGAAAATGGCGAAGGCTTCTCGTCCTCCGACACTCCATCGACGGCCCAGCCAATAGGACCAAAGCCAAGTCGCAGTCAGAAACACTGGGCTCCGACGACCATCCCCGAAGGGTTTTCCATGCACACGCCAAAGTCGGTCTCGCTGCTTGGTGACCCCAACGTGGAGGGCATCTTGTCGAAAGTGCAGGTCTTCAAGGGCGGCATCTCCGATGTTCTACCCGTGACTGACTTCCAGTCACTTGCCATTACCGGCACCCTTTTAGAATCCAGATGGATGTTGAACCATTTCTACCTTGATGGCCATGGCCCCCTCGACATTCGCAGGCTGAAGCAGGCTGCCTTCCGCGTCGTCCAGGCTTTCGACATCCTTCGTACGGTTTTTGTTCCTTACGGCGACCGATTCTTGCAGGTGGTGCTTCGCAAGCTTCAACCCGACTTCATCTACCAGGAGACGGACCTCGACATCGGAGAGTTCACTACCGAGCTACGGCGGAAGGACCGCGAGCATGGACCGCGCCTCGGTGAAGCTTTCGTGCAATTCGTAGTGGCCAAGCAGAAGAAGACCGGACAATACCGTATCCACATGAGGCTCTCCCATGCCCAATACGACGGCGTGTGTTTACCGCGTATGCTGGAGTCTCTGGAAGCGGGATACAACGGTCTCCCCGTATCGAAAGGCCCTAGCTTTGGGAACTATGTCCGAGAGACCGCCACAGCGAGAACTGTTGCAGGCGCCCACGATCATTGGCGAGAGATTCTCCGCGGCTCCGTGATGACGCCCATTGTCGATCGGTATGGTCCGAACTATCAACGCGCTGCCGGTCAAACCGTTACACTCAAGCAGATGCTCACAGCTCCGACTCTGTCCCATGTCAACATTACCACAGCCACCGTCGTGAAGGCGGCGTGGACCGCCACTTTGGCGCGTATCGCCAACAAGTCCGACATTGTCTTTGGTCACGTCATTAGTGGCCGCAACAGCACGCCGTCGGCTTCAGCAATAGTCGGTCCTTGCCTCAACATGGTACCCGTACGCATCGTCTACCGTCCTGGATGGACGGTGCTCGACCTTCTCGGCAACATACAAGATCAGCAAATCACCAATATGCCATACGAGTCTCTCGGCTTCAGGGAAATCATCAGAAACTGCACCGACTGGCCTGACTGGACGAACTTCTCCAGCGTCCTGCAACATAACCAGAGCATCATCCACTCCGACGACGCAACCTTCAAATTCGGCGGCACTGAGTTCAGGCTCGGTGTCGTAGGCACGGAGGAAGACTTTGCCGACTTCTCCATCGTTTCGATATCTCATGGGAGCGACCAGGTCGAGGTAACGCTTACCTACGCGCCGAACAGCACGATCACCACAGAGTTCTCTCAGCACGTCTTCAACATGCTTTGTACGAACGTGATCGCGTTCTCTGAGGACCCCTACGCGCAGCTTCCTTCTCCATCCGAGCTGTCAACCGGCCCTTTCACCACGAACACCGCGTCGGAAGCTGACGGCCGCAAGAAGTCGGGCGAAAATGTACCGCTCTTGCTGCCCAGCGACACGGGTCTATCGATGTCCGAGATCACGAAACTAGCTACGCAACTGCGCTTCGCATGGTCGCAGATCCTGCGCCCCAACAGCACGGGCACACCCGTGCACGTCGATCTGGACACACACTTCTTTGAGAGCGGAGGGGACATCATGGGTCTCGCCCAGGTCGCCTCGATACTGGATCAGGAGGGCCTAAGGGTCCGAGTCGAGGACTTGCTCTCGACCCCGCTGTTCGTGGGGCAGGTCGGGCTGCTGGCCGAGGAGAGGAAGCGGGTGATCGCGAGAGAACGAATGAGCCCATGGGGAGAGAAGGGCGCGAGGAAGGAGAAGGAGGAGAAAGAGGGGGGAGAAAGGGCTGGTAGAGAGGCGAAGTTGGGTAGAGTAGAGAGTGGGTTTGGAAAGGTGCTGGGGAAGTTCGGGTTCAGGATGCGCGATAGGGTGAAGCAGGCGAAGGCTTAGGACCGACTACCCTAGGCGGGTCCTGCTTAAACCACCTCTATGCATACGATATATGTCTAGACCTACATCGGCTTTTAGAGATCATTTTGACTACATGACTACATCCAAGCGTTGTCAGATGATACGATCTTAAGCATTTGTGGTACCTGATTAACCGGCGGAGGGGTTGCCTGCCTGGCTGTCCAAGCTGGGAGACCTGTGTGGGTGAATAGGCGTGTCTAGAGCTATAGGGCGGCTCAGGGTTGCTCACGTGGCTTTGAACTTCGTCTGGGATGATATAATCCCAATGCATTTGGCGGTTGGCTTTGATCTCTTGACTGTGAGCGATCTCTCGGCTGTGAACGATCTCGTTGACGGCCTCGATCCTGTTGACCCAGCACCGGGTATACTGGGTTACCTGTCTGAAACTGAAGGGCATCCACTGCACCCCGTGCATCTCGACGAGGTGATGCATTCCTATTTAAGCCACGTGACGGCTAACGGTGATGGGACATCCCTACCGTTTCAGTGCAATGGTCTTCAAGTGAGTTAAGGTGTATCAAATGGTCTGATAGTCTGTCAGGGAAAGGTGCCGTATGCTAGATGTGATGCCAAATACCGAATGCCTGTTCATAGCAGCCAACCTATCTTCCAGCTAGGACAAAGGGTAGCATAACAGTATGCACGAAGACGATGCGTCGTCTTCCCCTCGCCGCCGCACCTCGTATGTTGGTAGATAGAGAGGCTTCCATCCCGAATACAGGTTTCTCAAAGCATTGACTAATTCTCAATAGACCAAAGGAGGAAGATCCATCTAAAGGCGCCAGATAGCAGCAAATTTGGAACATGATGTTGCCGTTCTCCTATGCCGCATTCCGATTCGTCCGACATTGATGACTGTGGCTGTGGCACAGTAGGTCTCATGGGATGAGCGACATTCGCGGACGGTTATTCGAAAGCACAAACGGATCAGGATCCTCAATACCTACCAGTTTATCGAATTGTCAATTGGCTATGACATGACATGACATGGTAGGACGACTTCGGCTGAGATGCCACGCTCAACGGCCCCTCCTGTTGGTATTGAACCCTCGAGATAACCCGAACCGTACATACCATTCCCTTCCTGTGCAACCTGGAAAACCTGCACCTTCACGTCAGGCAGGCATTTCGCACATCATACGTCCTCGCCTATTTTATTTCTTCAGCAAGCCAGCAAGGTTGCCTGTGTCTCCATGGTTGTTGGCATACCGTTGCGCAGTCGGCCAGGATGTCCAGCATTGATGCGGCCGGGTCCAACTACTCCGTGACTCCCGGCCACGCTGGGGTGGAGCTGCTGCTCGCCGCGAGACGTGTTGTCCGACCCCCAGCCAGGCTGTGCATATGTAGCACCGGAGCGGCCAGTCGTTCCGTTTCCGGTTCTAGCGGTGTGGCAGGGGAGCTGAAATTCAGAAGCACCGACGGGATCACCGCGTTCCATCTGCGGTGTAGTAGTGGTTCGAGGGCTGTTGTACTGGCGTTCGATGTGCTGGACCGGCGGAGACTTGTACTGCTCGTGGTGGTGGACCTGCTGCTCGGCCTTCTTGTTGCCGCGCTTGAACATCTTGCCGCAGCACAGGCATAAGCCTAGGCCGAGGAGCAGGAGACCGCCTATCACGCACCCAATCACAATGCCGGCGATGGCGCCGGCTTCGAGGCTATGGTGATGGTGGTGGTGGTGTGTGGGGACTGCTGATGCGGAGGAGACGGAGGATACGGCACTGCCTGCGGCGGATGGCTGGTGGGCGATTAGCTTGGTTGGCTGCCATTAATACTTCCTATGTAGGTATGTTGCAAGACTCACACCGAGTGAAGCCATGTTGGTAAGTCTCCTTGGAAATTCGGAATGTTATTAATCATACAATAGTAGTGTGGCGCGAGGAGATGAACAGAGCAAGGAGGTCAAGACTCCTCAGTGTGCGCCTGTCATGATAGGACCTATATACCCTCTTCCATGAGCTGTCTGACGGTACCGAAGCCTGTTCGGTCAGATCTTGGTCGACTGTGCCGGAGCTTGGCCATAGGGCTAGAGAGCAAATGCATACCGTTCACGCACGTTGCCGTTGCAGTGAGGCCCTCGATGAGCCTTACAGACTCGACGCAGCTAGCCACAATCATCTCAGATCAGCGCGCATACCAAGGTAGACCATGCGACCGTCTTCTATAAAGCATGGAAACTGCTCTAGACGTTGGTGTATTTTGTTGCAGCATCCTGCTCATGGTGGTCCTGAATTTAAAACTTCACGCCAAACGGAGAGTCATGAAGGTTCGATGTCGCCAAGAAAAAAGTTGTGCAGTCACCCTATCCAGGTTTGTTGGCTCTTTATCCAAGCACGCAATCTGTGGAAGCTCAAAAGGTTCACACTATGGAAGTCAATCGATGGACATGTCAGATACAGTACCACCCAGATAATTCGGCAGCAACCGCTCCAGCTCCAGCTCTTTGGCGCTATCTGTTTTCTCCTACACACCTGAGTGACCATGTCACATAGCCCCCAAGATCTCAACAGCCAGGTCTCGCCGCTCTAGAACTCCGATGACCGCCGCGGAGATCGCCTCGAGCGGCGTACGTGCGGTCGGGTCGGGTCGGGTCCCTGTTTGCGTTCTCATGGTGCTGTGTTGTTCGAGTGGTCCCACTGCCACTCCGGAGATGCAATCGGGTGCGCTTCAGGCGCCTCACACTGCTCATGACGAGGCCGTGATCGATAAGGCCGACACGTGTGGAAGATTAGAGCCGCTAGAATTGCCGTCGACCTCGGTAGTCTCAATGGCCTTCGTCAGGTAGGGTGCCGCTTGTTGAAAGTATGAGATGCGGGCATAGATGGACGTGCCGATTGTGCACGCCATCTTTGCCTCTGCCCTTGGCCATTGTTAAGTGGCTCCCGACCGTGCGGTCTCAAGCGCAATCTCAAGTGAGTGGCATCAACAGGTTTTTTTCACGGAGACCTAGGGATATGATTCACTAGCAAGACAGCGACAACTCATATGTAACTACCTACCTGCTTGAGGCTAACACTCTCTGGTGCTCTCAACCACTGCCACCGACCAATGACTCTGTAATGACTTCAAACCATCACCATCACCCCTACGACGCTTGGGGGAGCACGCCCGTCATCATCTCTTGGAATAAAATCAACTCATGGAACTGCCTCGCAAGTGCCTCCCCCTGGGCCTCTCTCGGCTGCGACGTCGCCAGATCCAGATCGATTATATAATAGGCTTCCGCGGCATCCGTCATGTCGTACTGTCGGCCTATCTTGCGCATGTGCTCCAGGATGACGTCCATCTCCTTGGCGCTGATAAGCCCATTGCGCAAAGCCATGCTCAGCAAGCCCAATATGGTCTTATCCACCACTGGGAAAGACTGGTACAACTTCAGGTACCGGACGATGCAGAATAGGAAGAAGAAGTGGCAGTCAAGGTGGTTTGGGTCCTCCGGCTTGGGAGCGGGAGAGATCATTGCGTTTGCCAGGTACAGGAGGGCAATGTGCCACGGGATCGACGCCGAAGGCCCATTCAAGTGAATACGATCAGTGAGAACGAGTCTCTTCAGCTGCTTGACAGATGCGCCGTAGACATCTTTCGGCGACCCCATGAGGTGTTGGAAGTTCATGGGTGGTAAGTCCTCCGCGCTCATGAATAAGAATGGCCTAAAGAGTTCCATGGTTACGCAGTGGAAGTAGGCGCTAGAGCGCACGTGTGTCAGAATGGCCAGCACCGCATCTGACTCCCACGGTGGAAGCTGCTGTCATGGAACCACATTGGGAGGGAGGAGAAGCTCACTGTAATGCCAGAACAGAACGCCGGATCCCATCGCCGCGTGCCAACTCCATTGGGAGCGTCATGGCCCAGCCAAGCAACCTGAGGTAGGTCCGCTCCGCGAAGTCGACCGTGGCTCGCTCGACCGGTACCCCGTGTCCCGTGTCGAAATATGCCCAAAGAATGTCGTGGACGATTAAGTTCTGTTATAAGTCAGCGTCGTTCTATGATACCCCGGATTTCACCTCGATGGAGCTGTTTCCTGCCATCGCCGCCGTGTCTGGCAAGACACTCAGTGCCCCTTGAGGAACACGCAGCGTTACGTACTGCAGCGAGGTTAGATTATTGTAAGACGGATACATGAAACCACTGCCGGAATGAAGACACGCACCAAAGTAGCACATTGCATTGAAGATGCCACCGACGCGGCTAGTCGGTACAAATTTATGTATGGCGTTCTGGGGATGTTCCGACCAGGTGTGGGTCTCGAAATACTGTCCGGGTATCGGCAGCATCGGGGGCGTTACGAGCCTGGCTCTGTGGTAACGCAGAGACCGGATGCTTGAACGTATGAGCGCCTCACCAACATGACGACCACCCAATGCAAGACATGTTGCCTGGAAACAGACTCACCACACACAGGTGAAGATACCCCAGGACGTGTGACAGGCAGCTCGGAGCCAGTCATCGTGGTCGTCCAACCAAGTCATAGCTGAGTCGTATTCACTCCTCACTCCAAAGAGCCCCATCCGCGTGCCCATGCGAATGCCCTCTTCTTCACACTCGACGGAAAATTCGTGTCGCCCCCTGAATGCCGACACGTTACTCAGCAGCTGAGCTGCCGCCGCCGCAGTCAGGGTGTTTGTGTGTTTCTCGGTTGCCCAACATTCCACGGCTTCCTTCTCGAAATCGGGGCTCAAGTGGTCAACCTCGGCCTGTAGATCCGGTTCGCATTGTTGTACCATCTGTGTGTGCAGGTAAGCAACCCTTCTTGAGTAGGTCATGACCTTCACCGTAACTTACGCAGATCCAACTGAGTATGGAGTTGACAAGCAAGCGCGAACAAAAGTGCGTCGTACCGGTGAGCAGATCATCCAGGAATAGGTCAGCATCGAACAACGTGCACCATGGGTGTTCGATATCAAGGTATAACGTTATCAGTGTCGCAGCCAGCTCATTCGATATGGGCACGTTGGTCCACTTTGAGATGTCCATTTCCATCAAGCGTTGGTCGACTTGCTCGACAGATCCGACGCCCACGGACTGACCACTGTCATGGATGCTGGCGAGATCAAAGCTCGATGTCATTTGTGTCTCGGAGACTCCCATGCTACTACCCTGGGCATCGGACTCGGAGGACGTGGCACTTACCGAACCGTGATCAGTTTGACTGGCAGCCCGTTTCATGCTGCGGACACGGGTCAGGCCAAGTATAGCTTCAACCCCCATTCGAAGCGCATCCGAGATGGGAACCACTTACGGTGTCGTCGGTTTCGCTTCCGTGTGTAGGAGTGCGGGCAGTTTCAACATGTCTGACAAGTTCATGAAGGCAAACTCGATAGGGACGAGCGATGGGTAAGCAGACGCGCAACGTATCATGAGCTCAGACTCGGTTTGTTCTCTCGACTCGGGCAAGAAGCTCTGCATGAGCTCCCCGTTCGAAAAGCGAGCACGCAGAGGAGACTCATGCTCCAGTTCCCTGTTGACTGCAGCAACAACATCAGTAATTCCGTCGGCGCCTGCTTTTGTATTCCGAATCGCTTTGAGTCGCCTTACGATGTCGAGGACAACGCTATCCGAAGCTGATCTCAGCAAGTCGTACAGCCCCAGAAGGCTATCAGCGAGGTGTTTATGATGCTCAACTTCTCGTTTCAGTGCCATGAAGGGCGTCTCATCGCTGGTGGCAGTAACAAAGCTGCAATCGGTTCCAGCCCGCGCGCATGCGGTACAGACGGGTCTCTTGTTGTCGCACTGGATTGGTTGGCATGGTCAGCGACATGGCGGGGGACAAGGTCTCGTGCGCAGAGCGGGAGCCAGAGCCACTCACGCGTATCTTCTTGACTCTGCAGTTGTTGCAGGCGGCCTTGGACACGGTCCGTTTCTTGGTTGGGGGCTCGCTGGTCTTCGCCGCCGACGAGGAGGAGGAGGAGGACGACTCGGCATGGCCGCGTAGGGGCAGCATGGGTGCTGGAAGTAGGCGTTTGTAGTTGTCGGACATGGGTGGCGGGCCTGTGGTGGGTGGACAGAAGCAGAAGCAGAAGAAGCAGAAGCAGAAGAAGCAGAAGCAGAAGAAGCAGAAGCAGAAGAAGCAGAAGCGTATATGAAGCACGCAGAAAGAGTAGAGGCAAGGTGCGACGAGAGTTAGAACTTAGGTCTGTCCAGAGGGGAGCGGCATGCCAGGTACCGGACCATAGGCATCGGTACGGACTGAAGTCTGACTGACCCACTGTCGCCTTGTCCGAATCACCTACTGCTATAGTAGGTAGGACGGCACTCGATTTGTTCGTGACGTACTTCGCCGTCGGTGGGGTTCCAACTGCGTGTATGTTGGGTGTCGCATGGGGTGTACTGTAAAGTTGCCCTTGAAAATGCGCATCTCCGTAAAGCGTCGAGATGGGGGATATGACCTATGATCCCCGCCCTCTGATTGGGTTTCGGACGTCCCTCCGCGTCGTCTGATTGGCGCGCACTCACCAGCGGTAGCGCAGGCAACGACCATTAGCTAAAGTAAGGAGACTGGCTATACTGGTACATGTAATCTATCATTACATGTGTGCTCGAGGGGATTGCCGGTGTCACTGGACAACAGCTTACCTAGTAGGCATAAGTACGGCAGAGCGGCCCATCGATAATTCTGATCAACCCACTGATATTTTCAGTCGTAGGATGTCTCGTGTGATTAAAGGTGCATTTAATGACTGCTTGTGTCAAGGCGTGGTGTCATAAAGTGAGAGAAGCAGTTAATTAGGTATCGTTGTGACGGAACGCTCACCATAACCACCATGCCACAGCTGTTCCTCCCAAAAGGATGCCGAATATCAAGCGTGGCAGCTTGACATTCAATGGTGGTACATGTACTCATGCCCGGGCTCCAGGACTCACCACATGGGCTACCTATACCAGACCATGACAATCGTATAGTAAAGGGTAGAATAAAATACAGTTAAAACCTGGCCTTCTTTTTAATGTGTGCATCTTATAAACCCTATATATGCCCGCGTAAATGCCATATACCTTTTTTTTAAACGAATATTGCTAATTAGCTAAAATATTTTTAATAAAGCTAATCATTTCAAAGAGGGGTATTTTTAATTTTTGAGAAGCTTTTATAAAATATCAATAATAATAACGGTAAGGTAATAACAACAGTATAATTATAAGAGGTTTATAAGCGGCGGGTAAGTAATTTATATATAAGTTAATAAGCGGTAATAAGTAATAAATTAGAACAGCTAAAAGCTTACTTATTGTAATGGATCAACTATCTATCGGGTGGTTGGTGGGGCAGACACGTTGCCGCTGCACAGATAGCTAGATAATTATGGGTCGGGATTTGGGATCTATCCCATTACCAGATTGAGCTGGTGCTGCAGAATCTTTCTTTCCCTTCTCACCAAAGTATTTTTGTTCAATAGAGGTCATTGCTGGGCATCTTTGTCCAAACCTTCTGCTTGCCCCGTGACACTTATCTTATATATTAAAAAAATCTTATAATAGACTTTAAAAACACACCTTTTTACGTAATAATAAAGTCTATTTTTTCTTTGTACATCGTATTTCGTTATATGTCGTATTTTTTAATATTTCGCACTTTATTATATACTGCGGCTTTTTATACATTATACTTTTTTACTTATTATTAATGTTGTACTTTTTTAAGATATTTTTAAACCTTTTTTGTAAGAATATTATAACTTTATTAAGTTAATTATTAATTAATTTCGTTTTATATATAAATTGTTACCATCAACGTGGATGACAAGCGAGCGGCAATTACAAGCGAACGGCAACTTTTCACCAACCTTCCAACCAACATGTCAAATAACTCAACCACAACACATTTAATTCAATCTAATCAATTGGATTCTTCTTCTTCAGACGTTTCTATCTTTATTGTACAAGTTCGCGCATTATAGCCAGTGTTGCCGCAAACTCCATAACGTCGCTCACGCGCTGCCGCCCTCCTCGGACGATAACTACCTTCACCCATTTCCTGTCTTGCCAGCTAATTACTATCCTTTACAGCCTGGAGACCTACTGCATCTTCAACAGAAAGTACTCCTCCTTTCACTAGACGTATGTTTTTTGTACTCCGGCGTTTACTTAGTAGATGATTGGCCTCCTCTAGCTCGCAGACCCAGGAATCAACCAAAGCAACCTTATGTATAAGACCGTATGTAGCCTTTGAAAATGAGCTTAACGCATTAACTATTGATATAGGTGAGCTTCCCTAGTGGTTCTGACTCGATTTTGGATATAAACCGACTGGTTTACCGCTTTGTTGATTGTGGTAGGCGTCTTTGAAGTCCAAGTAGTGGGTGGCAGATTGGGGTCTAGCGACGGTGTTTGTACGACAGCGACAGCATCCAGCTTCGAAATAACACTTTCTAGGTCAAAAGGAACAAGCCCAGTGGCACTGAAACCTGCTCGAATGTTTCCTGGCGTCATAACAGCATTGTGTGCTTCATAAAACGCTGTAAGGAAGTCCTTCTTTGAATTGTGGGTTATATGACGCCGGATGAGATCCTCAATCATGCGACTGTATGCTCGTTTGAGCAGGCTAAAACAACTGACATTTAAAGGCTGGAGCCTGTGTGACGAGTGGGCAGGCATACAAAGGGTAATAATGCTGTTGTTCTGGCAATAATCCTCAAAGATCTGGGAATGGTGGCTTTTGTGACCATCTAGGATGAGGAGGCGTTTACTGGCAGTCATACGCGGTCTGGTATACTTGTCGAAATGCCGAATCTATTCCAACTTAATCTCGTTTGTAGTTCAACTGTTATCAGATATAGCCACCTTCTAATCGCGTGGTAATGTTGTGTCGCAATACTATGACGCGAGGTGAGTTTTACTCTGTAGAATGATGAGCGGCAGGACCACCCTACTATCAGCATTGACAGCAGAAATTACTGTAGACCATTTCCTGTTGCCTCGCTAAGCTTGTCTAGGCCTACCACGTCTTTTGGCACTTGTAACGACTATGCCGGACCCAATAATGCCTATCATAAACCCAGTCTCGTTGAAGTCATAAATATCCGCGTCTTGGATACCATGTTTCGCAATTGCTGCTGCAACTTAGCAAAACCACGCGTGATACGCGTCTAGATCTTTATTTAAGACCCTCTAGTAGTCCATCTTATAATGAAAACGCGTCCGGAGGCCCAGTGTATGTTTAATGAAGTTCTGCGTCCAGTTCTTTCTAACGCGTCCATCCTCATGCGCTGTCAACAATTGATTCGCCATATCTTCAACATAACTGTGTCAGGGTGGAAATGCTCGCGCATCCAGGTCAAGAATGAAGGAAAGAATGGCATTCTCTTCGAGAACTATAAGTTTCAAAGTATTGGGTATGCTATCGCGTCGTGATGGTCGGCCGGCGATTCTAGCCTTCAAGGTATTATATGGGATATGGAAAGTCTTAGAAAGCTTGCCAATGGTAATATGAGGGTCGCGTCGCTTAGCTTTGACAGTAAGCTGTAAATCTGATTTGCTATAACGCAATGCCATTATTGTTGGTTGATCAATTAGGAGCCTTGATTGAAAGGTTAGGTGGCTGGTGAAAAGTTGCCGTTCGCTTGTAATTGCCGCTCGCTTGTCATCCACGTTATACCTTTTTTTAACGTAAATAAGAGTTTGTCATGGGCTGGTATAGGTAGCCCATGTGGTGAGTCCTGGAGCCCGGACATGAGTACATGTACCACCATTGAATGTCAAGCTGCCACGCTTGATATTCGACATCCTTTTGGGAGGAACAGCCGTGACATGGTGGTTATGGTGAGCGTTCTGTCACAGTTGCTGTCTTCAAGTCATCTCAGAACCGCTCTACATTCTTATCAAATACCTCGTTCTTATTGAAAGCGACATCTCTCGTACTGATCACCTTGTTTAGGTGAGGCACCCATACACGGTAGATATTAGAGGACCGATATTCAACCAAGTACCCAATCCATGCTTTAGGACTGAGTCTGTCTAGCCTTCAGTGACCCACCTTCATGTTGGTTATTATTGTATAGGCTTTGTAGCCATACACCCAGAGATATGTCTGATTGTGGTGCTTGTCTGGGGCTATTGGTTGATCTGTCTTCCTTATGACTGCTTCCAAAAAAATTAAAAGGGGTTTTTTATCCACTCTTCCTTCTTGGTGTCTGATTGTAGAGGTGTGTAGCCGCTTTGAGTATTTCTGGCCATAAGAAGGTCGGTAGTCTAACACCAATTCGCATCGTGCGCGCTTTTGTTTTCAGTATACCCCATGGGCGCTCGGCACCTCTGTTTTGTGCTTGTGTATTGGGAGCAGAAGGCTCTAACTTGATTGTGCGGGCTTCTAACCATCTCTTTATATCTGGCTTGTTAATGTATATCTTATTATCTGTTTTAATTACCTTGATTTTGATGCCGTATTGTCGATCTAGTTATGAGAGGTGTGTTAACTATATAGATGATTGTTTGCGTAGTCTGATTCTTAAGAGCATAGTCCCATGAAACACCAGAGTTTCTGCATATGAAGACTATATGAGATGACTTGTCTGACAGCGATCTCTTGTAATCGTGGAAGTCAAGAGTTAATCTCTCTCCTGGATCTTTGTAGTTAGATTGTGGTGCTCTTGTGACGGAACGCTCACCATAACCACCATGCCACGGCTGTTCCTCCCAAAAGGATGTCGAATATCAAGCGTGGCAGCTTGACATTTAATGGTGATACATGTACTCATGTCCGGGCTCCAGGACTCACCACATGGGCTACCTATACCAGACCATGACAGCTCTCTGTATATGCTGTCTGGCCTTGGACATTCCGCATGACTCGTATTCTATTCCCATTGGTCCTCGGATGATCACCCTCTTAGATGCACGCACTGGGTGTTCCAAAGCTTCCGGACCAGGATGTCCTAGTTGTTGATGCCATAGCCACGCGTTCCCAGTAAGGGGAGGTCTTCTGGACCATGAGTTGTGTAGATACTTCTTTCTTGGTTGTGCAGTATGAAACATGGCGTTTGG